AGACCATATGAATTACCAGATGGAAATGTTGTCGTCATCTAAAATTAAAGATTCAGATGTCCTGAATTACTCTTCAAACCAAATTTCATTGGTCTTGAAGTATCAGGTATCCATGAATTAACATTCAAATCTATCATGAAGTGCGATATTGATGTTAGAAAAGATCTGTAAATTATTTTTATTTATATCTTAGTTATGGAAATGTTGTCATGTCTGGAGGTACTACTATGTTCCCAGGAATCCCAGAAAGATTGAGCAAGGAATTAACATCACTTGCACCATCATCTATGAAAATTAAAGTTGTTGCACCACCTGAAAGAAAATTCTCAGTTTGGATTGGAGGATCAATTTTATCATCATTATCTACATTCTAAGCCATGTGGATTACAAGAAGCGAATACGACGAAAGTGGTCCAACCATTGTTCACAGAAAATGTTTCTGAGATATAAAAATATTAATAATCCATATAAATAACATCTTATCAATACCCATTAAAGATTATTCATATTCACTTTATGATTCAACTATTATCTATTATTCATATAATCTTACAATACTTTTAGAAACTCTAATTTAAAACATAATGTAATCTAATATTTTTCTATTTATTTTCATAGAATATATTTTAATACCCAATTTTATAACCCAAACAAAGATCATTTCTTTTTTTGGATCTCTATGATGATTATCATCTAACCAAAAATTAAATTATTAAGAATAAAAACCTAAACTACAGAATTTCTAACAAAAAAAATTCATCAGATTCTAACCTGTTTGTATCAGAAATTTCATTTAAAGACAATCCAACTTGTTATTTGCTATTCCAATCTCAATTAATTATTTATAAACAGATTCTATCATCAAATTAAACATCTTTAAAGAAGAGATAGTAAATATAAGCTTAATTACTATTCGTTTATGATTATTATTTATTAAAAAAAAATATGGTTATTTTAATATCAATTATTATAATAGCCATACTAATAAACGTATGTTATGTCATGAAGAATTATGTGTAAATTATTAATTATATAAATTATTTTTATGTTCTAAAAATGTAAGAGAAGTAGAATATTTGGGTAAAGTTAGAAAAAAGGCCATATTACTCTTTAAAGTTAGGAAATTCATTTTTTTAAATTATTATTTATTGTTCTTTTTGAAAAGCTTTTTATGAGCTTTATAAATGATTTAACAATAAATTCAGAACTTTTAATTTTTTAAAGGATAGCTATATTTATTGAGAATGATAATTCTTCTAAATATTAGCTAAATTTTAAAAAACATAAATTCAAATACTTTCTATTTAGTTTTAATTGATATTCTAATTTTAATCCTAATTTATGCTGATATGAATCTTCAAAAAAAATATAAACAATCTAATAATTGTGTAAAAAAATAATTTTTAAGTTATAGATGAATTACTGATACTAATATGATCTAGTTATTTAAATTTAATTGTTAAAAAAAAAAATTGAAGTCATAAAATTTATATATTTAAATTTATGGTTTTAATTGTTGTAATCAATAAATTAAAAGATAATTAAACATAGATACAAATATAATCAATAAAATCATAAAATTGAATGCAGATTATTTAAAATTTTAACAAATTTAACACAAATTTCTTAGAGCCATTCCTAGTTTTTTTCCATAATATTTTCAAAATTTTATCTATCATGCAGTCCAAATATAAGAGATTCTTCTTTATCGATATTATCATCAGTAATGATTGTGATATCTTAAGATTTGCTTATCTTTATTCTTCTTTAAAAAAGTTCAGTTGAAGGTTCATCTAATTGTTTTAATTCAGAAAAGTAATCTTAAAATAAAATTTATAATATTCCCATAATTGCTAGAATGATAAATTTACTAAGCATTTTATGACTCATATTTTGATAAACTAAATTATTTGAGATTTCAATCAATTGAATAGCAAATAATCTGAAAATGAAATATTCACCTATTATCATTTTCTCTTAATAATTTCCAATTTTTAAGGTATTTTTAGTGTAGAATTTAGTCCTTTTAGCTAAAAATAAAGAAGCTTTAGTATTTTAACTTTTAAACAAAGATAAAAATAAAGTAGTTTAAATTAATTCTGGTATATTATCCTTCTCTGTAAATTTTTCCATATTAGTTAAAATTGAATTTGTTAATTAAATCAATTAATTTTATCTTGCATTAATTGAATTAGCACTATTGGGCTCTTTTGAATTTTCTTTCGCTTCTTGTATAAATTAATTATTGGAAAAAGATTTAATTAATGGGTCTGTGATATTAGAAATCCATTATTTAATAATAACTTTACAAGTCAATACATCTTAATTGGCAATATTTTCAAGCCCCTTTTTATACTTGTATCGAATAAATTTTAATTGTTAAACTTTTTGATTTCTCTATTATCTTAATAATAAGATATAAATAGTACTTATAATTCTTAGACCATCGAACATATGCTAAAATAAATAACAAATAAACTCTTAAGCGAGAAGTATTTTTCTAATATCTTTTTCTTCTATATGAAATTTACTATTCTCTTGAAGTCGTTCTCATTTATAAATTAGGCAATTGAAAGTTTGAAGAATCTTCTTGGATATAAGAAAATTCTTTTGAATTCCTTGATTGAATTCTACTTGGTCTATAACTTCTATTTGTGTGCTTATAAGAATAGTTGTCAGATTAATTGTCATTTTTTGTAGAGTACTAATAATCATAGGATTAAGCTCTTTTTGTCTCATTTCCAATTTGATTTAGAGTTCCTGCGGAAGGCTAATATTCTGAAAATTCTTATTCCAAAAAAGAAGTTAATTTATGTTTGTTAACTTGAGGCAGATGCTGATTTTGGCAAATTTTTATTAATTAAAATATTTCTTTCTATTTTTATTTTAATTCTCGACTCAAATATTTATTCTGCTATTTTAGACTTTAATTTTCTAATTCACCTAATTTCTATTTTAATAGATAATTTTCGGTATGTCTTGATATTTCTTATATTCTTACTCACTAGTTTATGAGAGATAACTATCTGTTAAAAATTCTTTTCCTTATATGGATTAATCTAATTAAATTGGTTTATTTTTTAGTTTCAAAACATAAGGTTAGTGATAAAGATCTTTTTATCTTTGACTAAACACTGAATTTTTATCTGTAACATGTAAATTAAACTAGCCTGGCTACAATAACTATAGCATAAATTTGATGATGTATTAAAAATTAATTAATTTAACAAACGATAAATTAGTAATTATATAAATTTTATTGCTTTATTCAATCATATTTAACTGTGTAGATTCAGAATAATTTTATGGAAAATTTTGCTTATATTTGAAATCCAATCAAGTTGTTATTAGAACAAAGTTTCAAATAAATCTCTATCTTACAAACCTAAAATTAGTAATTCATTTTCATCAATTTTATCTTCTAAAATTATCAAAGCCTTTAAATTTTCATCTAAAACAATTTTTCTTTAGTATAATTAAACATTTATTTCTTTAACTAATTTAATATCTTCAAAATAATCAATATATAAAATTTAAATGAAACTTGCTATAACAGTAGCAAAAAATTTAGTTAATTTTTCATGAATTTTATTTTAATATTCAATATTATTAAATATATTCAGCATATTTTAAATAATAAGACGAAAAAGTATATATTCTCCTATTATCATTTTTTCTTATTGGTTTGATATTTTTATACTGTTTTTCATATAAAAATTAGTTCTTTTGGCTACAAATAATGATGCTTTAGAATTTTAAGATAAAAATAATGACAAATACATCAAATTAACTATTAATTTTGGTAACAAATTTATTTATGTCATTTTTTCAAGTCTAATAAAAAAATCTAAAGTTAATTTGAGAATCAATTTTTATCGATAAATTATATTATCATCAGAATTCGGATTATAATCTTAAGTAAGACAATGCTTAATAAATTCAGGTTTACTGAGTTCATAGATAAATTCTTTAAATATGTTCTCTACCCATTAATAAAGAGCTTATTTAATTTAATCTTCTTTTATTGATAGGATAAACTACTTTGTTTTTTCAAATTTCTCTCGAATTATTTTTAATTTTTTTGATTATTCTAATCGTTTAAGTCTAAAATTCTTGCTCCATCTAACATATGCAAGCACAGCTAAAAATGCTATTTTGATCTTCCGATAATATTTTTTTTGTTTCGAGTTACTTAGAACTTTTTAAGTAGCAGTCTTTTTTCTATTTTTATACTCAAAATCTATAGTGTCATCTTCTAGGCCATTTTATTGTAAATCTTAGACATCATCTATATCTTTTTCTGTTTATGATTCATCTAACTAAAATGAAATACTTCTTTTTTTATTATTTAATTGATTCTGTTTTATTTAAGAGACCATTGATCTATTGCTTTAAATTTATTAAGTATCTGTTTAAGAGTTGTAAGTGTTTATTTAAGGTAATTTTTATTTAGATATTATCTTGAATGTATTTTCTACATCTTTCTAGATTTTTACTACTTATTATTGAAGCATTTCGTTTTATAATTTTAGTTATCTATTTTCAATTTCCATTAGTTATTGTTTAAGTAATTAATTTTGTGTATGCATCACTTATTGTAGTTTTTATTAATATTCTAGATGTGATTGAGCCAAAAGGCTGTTTCTTAGATCATTTTCAAATGACGATACATAATTCCCTCTATTACTCGAGAATGATAAACTATTACTTCTAGATGATACTTCATAGCGTTAATTTAATTTGTGCCTATTATTTTACCATTAAAATTAGGGTCTGTTTGGATTCATGTTAGCATCTAAAACTCTTTATTATAAAAAAAGCATATTTATTATCAAAATTAAATGTTATTTTAAGATAAAAGACTATTAATAAGATTTCTAAAATAAAATTCAGTATCTTATCACCTCTTCTAATTTTCTAGAATTAATTTTCCTTTAATTCTGAACTATTTAACCAGCAATAATAATGTTTAGTTTTTGATTCTTAGTTTTATCAATACTAGATCTATTAGGAATAACATTTCCTTAAACTAATCATTAAAATGAATATTAATCAGACTAAAAATTGATACTAGTTAAAATTAACATTCTAATAAATAAAGCTCATTTATGCAAAATCATTACTTTTAGTTTGATATATATATTTATAGTAATTTATTATAAAGTATTTGAAATATAATCATAAATCTTAAATTTTATTTTGGTAAATATTTTACACTACTTTTTTAAATTTTTTTAATAAATTTTAGAACCAAAATTTTCTTTCGAATATCAATTTAAACTAATCAATCTTGAAAGTTCCTTTATAAAATTCTTCCATATCAGTTTTAATGGGAACCAAAATCATGCCCTATTTATTTCTACCAATTTGCATCTATTAATATTATAATTAAGAATTCAATCTTTAGACTTCAGGAATATCTTAAAAAGTCATAATGAATAATTGTTAAAGTATAGTTATGAATCCACGAATCAAAAATTAAATATTTTGATCATCTGAATTAAAAAATTTTTTGTTTTCAGTAAGTAAGACTAAATTTGGTATAAAATTATTCATGATCACACACTCTGTAGCAATCATTGCCTTTTCTTTCATAGTTATATTAGAGTATTTATTTGATAAATAATTAGTTCTTTTAGAAACAAATACGTTATAGGTTTATCTATATTCAACGAATTATTCTAAATATGATTAATATCCAAGTTCTGTTAAAAAGGAGGCTGGTTGTGTGGTTATTTCAAGATTAGAGATTAGATGAGAGCATAAATTCAAAAAATTTGTTATTGCTAAATCTTTTTAATAATCTTCGAGGTTGCATTCCTAAATTCATAGTCAATAAATCATACTATAAAATTCCATTATTTCAAAGTTTAATATCTTAAAACAGAAAACACTTTAGTCAAGGATATTTGAGTCCATTGTTTTATTTTATTTTGGATTAATTTATCCTTGAATTTAAATAATTTAAATAACTAACTAAATATTTTTTACTTTTGAATCCATTATTATTTTAATGGTCTAAAATTTATAAATTAAATTATATTACCTAACTAATATTATCATTTTAATAATTGCACGAACTAATAAGAATCCTACTTTAATTTTTTTCACTTTAAAATGTATTTTTTCTTAGGTTTTTAGTTTCATAATGGTTTATTTCATTTATGGATCAATATTTTAAATGAGTTAATCTTCAACTTATTTAATGTCTTTAGACTGTGAATTATTGTTTTTGAGTATATTAGAGATGTCTTCATCAACTTCAAATGAATTGTCTCTTTCATTTGTAACATCTAAATAACTTTTAAAATTTTAATTTATTTAAAAAGAGAACTGTCGCTTTCTTGGGGATTAATTAAGGTAAAATTAATTCTATTGGTAAGTATTTTAACGCAAGATTTATTTTTATTCAATATATTATTCAGTTGATTATTCATGAAGAAAGTTGTGATAAAATCCAAGATTTTCGTCACTTAGTTCTTAAAACTGAATAGGTTTATTTATATTTAATTAGTTATCTTGTGTTGCTTATATTTTAATATCTTATTAAGGAAATATTAATTTCGTCATCTAAAACTCATCTAGAACTTTTGATTATTGATCAGGTGAATGACTTTCAGAATTTATTTTTCTAGTTAGTTAAACTGATAGATTTTATTTATTATTATGATTAGGAAGAATAAATTAAGGTAATGCAATATCAGGTTCAATTGGATTAATTAATTTTGTAATGTGTTCTTTTTGAGACAAACCTCTCTCTGCAGCACTTTAGAAATCAAATCTAGATCCTATAAGTTTAGGGTGGTTTTACTTTTCATCATTCAAAGCTCTGGAGATTTTAATAAATAAAAATATTATATATAAAGTTACTAATATGATCTATTTTTATCTTCGAGATTGAGAATTAAAAAAATAAAAAAATAATTCCATGGTTTAAATAATTAATGATTTTAATATAAATATATACAATACACAATTATATTATTTTGATAATAACTCAAATTAAAATATGTAAAAAATGAACAATGAATCTAATCCTATAGAATTTGTAATTGAAGCCTAAAGTTCAAAAGCACCAAGTTCTCAAGAATTTGAATTTGAAACTTAATCATTTACTAGCAAGGAAGATCTATTAAATAATTAAAACTTTAAACCATTTTTATAAGAAAGAGATTCTACAGGAAAATTAGTAGGAAAAGATAAAAAATTACACTTTCTTAAAGGTTAATAAATAGTACTTTAGACATCAGGGTCTAAAAGGCTATAAGTAAAATTAATTTTATTGTTAATAGTTTTCAACAACATCAATTTTAGGTCTTAATCCTAGAGCCGTAACAGCAGATGATAGAAGATTCGCAAAACGAGAACCACTAAAGAATTTTAAATTAAATTTACAAGCTGATTAAGGCTTTATCAAACAGTTTCGAGAAATAACAAAGCATATAAAACCATAATCATAAATGAATAGTGGATTTTTAGGACCTCATAGAGATTATTATTATAAAACAGTATTTAGAAAATTCAATAAAACAAGACAAAAACTCCAGGTCCAGGCGTATATTAATCTCTTTATATTACAGCTTCGAATCCAATTGAATTTCCAAAGAGTCCATAAATAAGTAAACCTGTATAGCCAGTTTGTAGTAAGGACTTTTATGATTTTAATATGGTTCAGAAAAACATTTCTGGACCATCATTTGTAAAGACTTAGAGCAGAGATAGTGCATATTAAAGAGGAATATTCGCATAAATTGAAATAGAAAAAAGATAATCATTGAAATAAAAACCAGAAGAATATGATGAATAAAGAATTGATAGAGAAATCGATTATTTATTACAATAACAATAAAAATATGGGAAATTGTGTAAACAATATAATTAAATGATTAGCTTAACCTAATTTAGCTTGGCCAGTTCCTTTATAAAAAATAGAATTACCAGAAAAAGTACATGGATAATGGACAAAAATGCTGTATATATGAGTAAATATATAATATTAGTGAACGCTATGGATTTAAGAAATAAACTGGGGGTAGGTTAATCAAGAATACAACTTCTATGTGATTATAATATGTCGAAACAGTATTTATTAATATTTAAATATGACTGATAGAAAAGCTTGGAATTAAAAAGTATTATGATATCAATAAATTAAATGAATAGGAAGATATAGCCATTCTTCACTTAGTAAAGTAATATGGGATAAAGAAATGGACAACAGTAGCTGAAAAAATGAAAGAAATTTATGGGTTATTTGGTCGATCTGGTAAATAATGTAGAGAGAGATATCATAATCATTTGGATCCAACAATTAATAAAGATCCTTGGAGTGAAAATGAAGAAAAGATAATATTTTTAGCACATAGAGAACATGGAAATAAATGGGTATTATTAACAGATTTAAAGATTTTAAGGCAGAGATTGCAAAATTACTTCCAGGTAGAACAGATAATGCAATTAAAAATCATTTTTATTCAACCTTAAGAAGAAGTTTAAGACGTATAAATAAAATGATTGGAGATAAAAACAGTAATCTACGTAAATAAATATTTAGCAAAGAAAAGTGTACCCAATAGATCAAGGACATAAAGCCTGGTGTTTTGTCCAAGATCTTCATACTTGCTGAAAAAAACCCATTTGAACTAAAAGATGATCATATGAAAAGATTATGTTTAGCATGCAAAGGATTATAAGATTCTATACTTGAATTTGCTTAATCTAAATAAAAATCATAAATTATTCAATTCAATGAAGAAAAATTCAAATAATTGATAGAGAAAATTATGGATTTTAAGTATTCTCTCAATAAATATATTTAGCGGACTTTATACTAAATAAAGAGAAAATAAATTAAAATCAAGAAAATTAAATCTTAAAAAAAGAAAAAGTATTGTTGAAGATGATGATGATGATGAAGAAGATGATTCATATTCTAGTTTTTATAAAATTAATGACAATAGTATACAAATGCCAATCAAAAGATCTATTAGATAAAGTTCAAGAAAAAAAATTGTAATCATTTCTTTCATATACTAGAAATTTAATGATGAAGATGATCTTGACACTATTATTAGGACTAAAAAGGGTCCAATCTTTAAAATAATTTATGATAGATTTTAATTTTCTATTGATGATGATGTATACAATCTACTTATTAAAGGAATCTTCATTAAATTAAATTTAAGAATCTCCTCCAGAATAAAAATCATATTAGAATATAAATTCAAATAAAAAAATTGCTTAAATTTCATTAAAATAGGCTTTTGAAAAATCAAATTAAAATTATCAGAATATTCACATCAAGACTAGTTTCACCCCTATTATTTTGATAAAACCAATACTTAATATTGATTATTCAAATTTTGATTAATTTTTAGAAAAATTGAAATAAGACATAAGTTTTAATTAAATTTTTATAATTAGAGGCAAATTCTTAAAAAAATCTTTAAGGAGAAGATCTTAATTTAGATATTAATATTGATTTTGCAGATGCAACAAAAGATTTTACTAAATCATCAAGTTCTATTTTTGGATATACCTCATGTGCATTTAAAAAATACAAGAAAGATCTAGATTTAGATAATTTGTTAGTAACCCCCAATAATTATAAATGATAAATTTAATCATGAAATTTCAAAATTATTTCCATTTATTCATAAAAATCTATTAAATTTTTAAAAAAGTGTTTTTTATTAAGCTTAGTTTCTTAATGTTAAAGGATACTAAATTAAAGAAAAGATCAGAAATGGTTAGCAATCTAAATTTATATTATATATCGATTAGTAACTAATATATTTAATTAATTTTATATTTGATTTACATATTAAGTTAATCACTTATATTTATTAAATTTAACGATTAATAATTAAATTTTTTTCTTAAATCAAAATGCCTTTTTATTATAAAGCTCTTAATTTTTCTGTTCGATTGGGGAAAATTAAGATTAGATCAATGAAATTTTTGAAATTCTTAAATATTTATCCTCGAAAAATGTTATTTCCCATTCTAGGAGTTATTGACAAAAAAAATGAATAACTTTTTCTTTTTAGAACCCATCTATTTCTTAATTTTTTTCTTTTTTCAAGAGTCTTAATGAAAATTTGAAAATACTTGCAATGGGTTTTATTGTTTACTCCAAGTTTTACTTTTCATAGTTAATATTCCAATAATCAATAAGTACATGACTTGGCTTTTTGAAAGTTAAGATCATGATGCTAGCTAAAATAAGGTTAATTCTTTAATATTGATTGTTAAATTTATATTCATCTTANTTAAATTTCATTAAAATAGGCTTTTGAAAAATCAAATTAAAATTATCAGAATATTCACATCAAGACTAGTTTCACCCCTATTATTTTGATAAAACCAATACTTAATATTGATTATTCAAATTTTGATTAATTTTTAGAAAAATTGAAATAAGACATAAGTTTTAATTAAATTTTTATAATTAGAGGCAAATTCTTAAAAAAATCTTTAAGGAGAAGATCTTAATTTAGATATTAATATTGATTTTGCAGATGCAACAAAAGATTTTACTAAATCATCAAGTTCTATTTTTGGATATACCTCATGTGCATTTAAAAAATACAAGAAAGATCTAGATTTAGATAATTTGTTAGTAACCCCCAATAATTATAAATGATAAATTTAATCATGAAATTTCAAAATTATTTCCATTTATTCATAAAAATCTATTAAATTTTTAAAAAAGTGTTTTTTATTAAGCTTAGTTTCTTAATGTTAAAGGATACTAAATTAAAGAAAAGATCAGAAATGGTTAGCAATCTAAATTTATATTATATATCGATTAGTAACTAATATATTTAATTAATTTTATATTTGATTTACATATTAAGTTAATCACTTATATTTATTAAATTTAACGATTAATAATTAAATTTTTTTCTTAAATCAAAATGCCTTTTTATTATAAAGCTCTTAATTTTTCTGTTCGATTGGGGAAAATTAAGATTAGATCAATGAAATTTTTGAAATTCTTAAATATTTATCCTCGAAAAATGTTATTTCCCATTCTAGGAGTTATTGACAAAAAAAATGAATAACTTTTTCTTTTTAGAACCCATCTATTTCTTAATTTTTTTCTTTTTTCAAGAGTCTTAATGAAAATTTGAAAATACTTGCAATGGGTTTTATTGTTTACTCCAAGTTTTACTTTTCATAGTTAATATTCCAATAATCAATAAGTACATGACTTGGCTTTTTGAAAGTTAAGATCATGATGCTAGCTAAAATAAGGTTAATTCTTTAATATTGATTGTTAAATTTATATTCATCTTATCAAGATCAAAAATATAAAAAAAATTCAACTTTTTGAATTAATCATAAATCTAAAATTTTCTTAAAATTCTAACTTTATATTTAGCATAATTATTTATCGATGCTCATATTAAAAGCTTTTTAAAATAGTTACTTTTAATTTTGATCTAGTTAATATATAGTGCTAATCCATTTATGGTAATCCTTTTTTAGTTTTCAAAGGTTGATATACATGTTTACAAATCAATTTAATCCATTTTTAATACCTGATACTTGGGGAAAGGAAAATAATTTAACTTATATTCCTTACTGCAAAATTTATAAAATTTATCTATGAGTAATTTAAAATTTAACTTTCTAAAAATATTAAATTTATAAATTTTAATTAGTGTCACTCGATCTTTGGAGGAAAAAAAATTATAATTAGATTTTAAAACTATTTAAAATGTAAACTAAAAATTAAATGAACATTTTGTCTGCTTTTTAGGTTTGAATTCCACTAAACTTTTATTGCCATAACGAGATATTAAAGACAGAATATAAATCTCATTAGCCATAACAATAGACCGTACTGCCTATCCGTATTCATTTAAGTATGGTTTTTAGAAATACATAATCCTGAAAATAGAGAAGCTTTTAATGATTCATGATACAGATTCTTTATTTATAATAATCTTACTTAATTTTTATTCAACTTTTTGTTCATCAAAAACAACATAGCCATCTTTCATTTAAATTATTTGCTTTATGTAATTAAAAAAAGTTAAATCAAGTTTAAATCCAATACTTAAATCCTTAATTAATAAAAATAATGGCTAATAAAAAATTATTCATTCTCAATTTATCTCTGTATAATTAATAAATGAAGGAAAAAAAAAGATTGAATTTGTAGTAGAATTTATTTCTTATTTCAAAAACAATTCTAAAAATATTTTGAATTATAAAAATAGTATGGATTAAGCATTTATTATTTTAAAATTTAACATAAAATATTTTTATTGGTAAAAAATATAAATTTGGTATCAATGGAAATATAGTTTTAATATTTTAGAAGCTAAATTTATTATTTTAGATCAAATTTAAAGTAAATTTTTTTTAAAATGCAAGGAAATGAAATTTTTTTCTAAATATTTATATATATTTTAGTATTATAATTAGTAATTTAAAAATGCTTGTTCAAAAATAAGCTTGATAATTTAAATGAGAACTTCTTAAATTATGAATGATATATGGAATTTAGGAAATAGGAAATAGTGGGTTTCAAGAATAGAATTAATATGCATTTTAGAAAAAGCAGAAACAAAAAACAAGTTTAGATTTGTTTAAGAGATGATAATTTAGAAATATTTTAAAGATTATTTTAAAATGTTTAATTCAAAGAGACGAAAATATTTGGAGGGAAATGGAATATATATACTTGAATTTAGGACTTCTTTTAAGTAATAAAGGATCAAAATGTTGAAGTGATAATGTTTTGATTATAAAATTGTGTAATAATTTTCAATCTAATTTTTAGTTAGAAAATCTTAGAGAAATAAAATTATCAATAATATTCAATATTTTTTTTTTCAATATTATAAAAATGAATAATGATAATACAAACAACAATTAAAATTTGAACGATTTCGATTTTCACCTGAATAGAATTGGATTATAGTTTTATGCATTAGGATTAGAGTAATATTTTTATTTAGATGCGGGATTAAATAGAGGAGATTCTTTTGGTGAAGAGGATGATATTTTAAGAGGCTTAAGATAACCTTAAAGAAGGGATAGACCTTCACCTAGGTAAAATATTGAATGAAGTGTAGGGAAAAATATTAAAATCTTCAAAAATATCTTTAAAAGCAGACAGAGCCTATATAAAATGATCACTTAGATTAGTGTTAACCACATATTAAAGTTACCTCTTTAAGAAACATGAATGTCAACAATCAATATTATATTAACGAATTTGGGTAATTTATAATAAGGATTTTTATAGACTGATTGGCTCGCTAAAAAATACGAACTCAAAAGATATTTTAATAGGAAGATCTCATCGAAACTAAAATTAAGATCTGATCCCTAATGATATAAGTAGAATTGAAATAAGATTTTGATTAGTATTACCAGAAGATCGAGTAATTTCAAGAATTCATTGTAAAATAGTTTGCAAAGATTACTTTCGGAAGGATTAAATTTTAGAATAAAAATATAAGTAGGTTCTTAAACACATAAATTTGCCTTCATAAATTAAGCATAAAATAAGTTAATTTTTGGAGTAAATTTTTAAATTATTAAAAGAGAACCAAAAAATGTATATATATAGGATCTTGGAAGTATGTAAGGAACTTATATGAGAGTATTTAGATAGGAACCATATTTGTTAGCTTATGATAATAAATTTAGCATAGGCAGTGATACGTATTTTAGTATAGTGTTGAATGAGACTTACAAATAGAATGCAAAAGAAATAGATTAAGAATTTTAGAGAACATTAAAGATGTTATCATGTTTGAAATTTTAATAGAAGCATGAAATTCATTTTAGTGACAAACAGAAGTAATAGGAGTTTAATTAATAAGAAGAGGAAGTGAACACATTGACAATTAAAGAATTATATTAGAAGTTAAAAGAATATAATGTAGCAATTTTGGGAATAAAATTTTCAGGTTAAGGAGTGGAATAAAATAAATAACAAAATATTTTAATAGGGAAATAATAGAATTAAGACACTGAAGAATTCTATATAGGTAGAGGGGCAGAGAATGCAATAAAAATAAATTCAAACACGATATCTAGAAAATAATGTAGAATAAAATATTCAGAATAGTAAATATGTTTAGATATAAATTTGTTAGACTTTAATAATGGGTGATATCAGATGGATTTTAAGATCGAGAATCAGCAAATGGTACTTGGGTGAGTTTATCAACAGTTGAATAATCAGAGAAAAAGAAGGAATCAAATTAAATATAATTGAAGAATAATTCTGAAATAAAGATAAGTGATTTCATATTAAAAGTGGAATTAGTTAAGGGATAGAAAAATAAGTATGGAGAATATATAAAAGAAATGATATCTGTTTGATTGATATAATTTATTAATTAAATAAAAAGTGACGCTATTTTTATTATTCATAAAATTATATCTTTTTTTAATCTGAAAATAAATTTATTTATCATAATAATGAGCAACGTTCCCTAATCACATCATCCACCATAAGTTCCATAATAAGGTGCCCCATACTAACCTTAATAATTCTAACCTGGATTTGCTCCATAATATGCTCCAGCTCCAGTTAGTTATGGTCCACCTCTCACATCTTCACCATTGAGATATTCTCAACCTCTTTATTAACCATAAGTTGTAGCATAACCAGTATATGCACCACAACCTGTTGTTTAATAACCTGTTTATACTCAACCAGTTGTTTAACAACCAGTATATACACAACCTGTTGTTTAACAACCTGTTGTTACATAATCTGTTGTTGCTTAACCAGTTGTTGCAGCTTAACCAACAATCAAAGGAGAAAGCAGAATCGAGTATGTACCATATGAAAAAACTGTTTTGGAATATGAAGAAGTCAGACAAAGAATTTAAGTTCCAAGAGAAAAATATGTAACTGATTATTATGCAGTGGAATACTAAACAGAATATGTTCCATAAGTATTCTAAGAAAAATATACAGGTATTAGATATATATCATTATATTTAGAATATGTACCAGTTGATAGATATTAAGAAAGAGTAGAATATTATCCAGTTGAAAGATAAGTTGTTCATTAATAAGTCTAACAAGTCTAATAAGTTGTAGCTTAACCAGTTGTTTAATAACCTGTCTAAGTTGTCTAATAACCTGTTTAAGTCGTTTAACAACCAGTTTAGGTCGTTTAACAACCAGTACAAGTTGTCTAACAACCTGTCTCTGTTGTATAATAACCTGTTGTTTAATAACCTATGGTTTAATCAATCCCAGTCTAAACTGTTCGTCCACCTGTTTATGCCCAAGGATCATTACCATTAGCTTAAACTGTTTCACCAAGATTACCTCCTTAAGCATAAGTATCAATTATCTTATATTATTTTAGACTAAACCTTAGGGTTAATAACCATAACCTAAATAAACATAGCCACAATAATAATAGAAACCAAAGAGCTTTTTAGACAGATTATTCGACAGAGATTGATATGGAATATTTTATTAAAATACATATATCGAATTAAATTTTGATTTATTCTTCTTAAACTCTTTATATATCTATTAATTTAAGTATCACAATAACAATTAATATTTACTTTATGCATTCACAATCTTCTCCTTAAGATAATTTACCCCAACATTCATAGCAATAATAACCAACAAATTAGCCACCTCCTCCTTAATAAAATACCACTTAATACTATCCTGTCTTCTATATATAACCTAATACGTAATATACTAAATTTAAATAGTTTTCCTTTGCCAAATATTCCATAACTAAATAGAATTGAACATAAAGATTCTTGGTTTGTTTGTCATCCAGTTATGCCTGATGATCCATTTTTTTCTTATCTCTCTCATGTTACTAATATTATACAAAAACCATAAGCATTATAAAATGAAATCCCTATCAAAATTGAAGATGATAAAGAATTACCATAACCAATAATTTAAAATTAGACAAAGTAAATTCGTAGAGATTAAATTAAAAAATAATAACGACCTCCTTTGCTCAAAAATTAGATTAAAATTAAAGAAATGGCTCAAAATTCTAAAGAATCAGATTTTTAGCCTTGTAATTGTTCTTAAAGTAGTTGTCTTAAAAGATATTGTGCTTGCTTTCATAGTGGCAGAATGTGCATTGATGAATGTTAATGTAAAGATTGCAAGAATTGTGAATAGTTTTCAGAAGATAGAAACTTTGCAATCAATCATGTTTTTAAAAAATGCCACAGAGATAAAAATGTACCAGTAAATGAATTATTATCTTTATAAATCAGTTATGGATGTAAATGTAAAGCAACAGGATGTTAAAAAAAATATTGTGAATGCTTCAAAAGAGGATAACTCTGTGGAGATTTATGTTCTTGTGAAGATTGCTTAAATATTCCATTTAATATAATTAATAAAGGTTAATTGAGAAAGAAAATCAACCTCTAAAAATGATTGATTTTTATTTAAATTTCCAAATATAATTACTTAATTAATATAAACTCATTGTGCTTATATATTTTAATTTATTTAATTTTATTATTTTATATTGGAATTTAAAACTAATCTACATTACCTTAATCAATAATATATATAAATAATAAAATGGCTTAAAAAAAAAATTTTTAATATCACCTAATCCAACAGATGTTTAATAACAATATATAAACTACAAGAACTTCAATTTCAATTGATTCAAATAAAATTTTCCCTTCACCAGTAGGGTGTAATAAAATATAAAAATTGATCTAAAACTAAAAATAGGAAAAAATGAATATTCAAATAGAAGTTACACAAAACACTGGGATAGACATGTAAAATATAATAAAATAATTTTAGAAATGATAATAATTAAGAAGATCGCAAGAATAGACTTAAAAAAAATATATGTAATACAAATTCTATTAAAGTTAATACGATAAAATTAAAAACAAACATTAGTGACTTAAAAATAGAATAAATTGATTAGACTACTTCAAGTAGTACTATAAATCAATAAAAGTAACAAGAGAATTCAAAAAGATCTTTCTATGAAAAATTTTTAAAAATAAATGAACATGAAAAACTCAACTGTCAAAATAGAAATCAGAATAATAAAAGTTTTGAAATTTTCAGCCATTTGATAAAAAAAATACCAAAAAATAATTAATAATAAGAAAGCCCTAATTTTTAAACCTAATAGGAAAAGATTAATCAATTAGAAAAATAACTATTAGAAAAAGAGAATTTGTTAGCTGGTCTAAAAGATTAATTTTCTAAATGTTAAAATGATTTACAAAATGAAACTTAATAANAAAATGAAATCCCTATCAAAATTGAAGATGATAAAGAATTACCATAACCAATAATTTAAAATTAGACAAAGTAAATTCGTAGAGATTAAATTAAAAAATAATAACGACCTCCTTTGCTCAAAAATTAGATTAAAATTAAAGAAATGGCTCAAAATTCTAAAGAATCAGATTTTTAGCCTTGTAATTGTTCTTAAAGTAGTTGTCTTAAAAGATATTGTGCTTGCTTTCATAGTGGCAGAATGTGCATTGATGAATGTTAATGTAAAGATTGCAAGAATTGTGAATAGTTTTCAGAAGATAGAAACTTTGCAATCAATCATGTTTTTAAAAAATGCCACAGAGATAAAAATGTACCAGTAAATGAATTATTATCTTTATAAATCAGTTATGGATGTAAATGTAAAGCAACAGGATGTTAAAAAAAATATTGTGAATGCTTCAAAAGAGGATAACTCTGTGGAGATTTATGTTCTTGTGAAGATTGCTTAAATATTCCATTTAATATAATTAATAAAGGTTAATTGAGAAAGAAAATCAACCTCTAAAAATGATTGATTTTTATTTAAATTTCCAAATATAATTACTTAATTAATATAAACTCATTGTGCTTATATATTTTAATTTATTTAATTTTATTATTTTATATTGGAATTTAAAACTAATCTACATTACCTTAATCAATAATATATATAAATAATAAAATGGCTTAAAAAAAAAATTTTTAATATCACCTAATCCAACAGATGTTTAATAACAATATATAAACTACAAGAACTTCAATTTCAATTGATTCAAATAAAATTTTCCCTTCACCAGTAGGGTGTAATAAAATATAAAAATTGATCTAAAACTAAAAATAGGAAAAAATGAATATTCAAATAGAAGTTACACAAAACACTGGGATAGACATGTAAAATATAATAAAATAATTTTAGAAATGATAATAATTAAGAAGATCGCAAGAATAGACTTAAAAAAAATATATGTAATACAAATTCTATTAAAGTTAATACGATAAAATTAAAAACAAACATTAGTGACTTAAAAATAGAATAAATTGATTAGACTACTTCAAGTAGTACTATAAATCAATAAAAGTAACAAGAGAATTCAAAAAGATCTTTCTATGAAAAATTTTTAAAAATAAATGAACATGAAAAACTCAACTGTCAAAATAGAAATCAGAATAATAAAAGTTTTGAAATTTTCAGCCATTTGATAAAAAAAATACCAAAAAATAATTAATAATAAGAAAGCCCTAATTTTTAAACCTAATAGGAAAAGATTAATCAATTAGAAAAATAACTATTAGAAAAAGAGAATTTGTTAGCTGGTCTAAAAGATTAATTTTCTAAATGTTAAAATGATTTACAAAATGAAACTTAATAAAAAGTAATATAAGAAGAAGAAAACAAACGGCTAAAAGAAATTCTTAATTTAAAACAGATTGAGATAGATTAATTGTAAGGCAAAAATAATACTTTTTTATAAGTTATTTAAACAATATAGGCAACTATCTCTTAAGTAAGTGATAAACCAGTATAAATTTTAGTGAAATAAATCTGAATGGTTTAATAATTATTTTGGTTGAATATTTGATATTATTTTTAAGTCGACATAAACTAAAAAGACTCATAAGATATATCAATTTGTTTTTATTAAAGTTACATAATTTAAAAATTTTAAATCTAATTTAACGAAGTCACTCATTTTTGTTATTCCCTTCAACTTTTTACTTAAGTAAGCAATTATCTTTTTCTAAAATTTCTATTTTTTCCTAAAGCTATTTATTTAATTCAATAATATTTTCTAATTCCAAAAACTATTTCAATTATTCTTGTTATTTTCCAATAATCTCTTTTAAATTTTGATTTTCTGAATTCAACTTCTTTATTTCTTCTTATTATTCATATCCTGTTTTAAAAAAAATTCTTGTAGGACTTTCAGAGGGCTTAACTTTCGTTATACTATTAGGGCGATAATAGTTATTAGCAGTTTGAAATAATTTAAGTTTTTCTGAAACCTATTATGGAATTAAAAGCTAGAATTCCTTTTTTTTTAGTTTACTATCAGTCTAAGGGGTATTAGATTTTATTTATCCAGTTGATAATTGTGATACATGTCTATTCTATGAAGGAGTTAATAATTTAGTAGTTTGCTTATAATTTTAAGGGGATAGTAAAGGACTTTATGATCTCATTATAATTAATTATGCTTAAAAAAAACTAAATAAAATTTATTTAATTTAACTCATAAATAAAATAGCAAAAATTGTTTTTTAAAAAATTAAGTCATTAACATAAAAAATTATGAATTTTTGATCGAAAAGAATTTGAATTTGTCTGTCCTTAAATAATATGTGTAAAATATGTATAAAGATAAGATTACGATTTAAGCATAATAAGAAACATAAATAACTTATTATCTAAAAATAATTTAAATGAGAAACATACTCATTCTTTGGCTATTTCTACTTTAGCTCCTTGGGTTTTAACAATAACACAAAAATGCAATTCTCTTTTATCATTTTATAAGGTCATTTAATATCCTTCGTTTTGATTCTATGATTTAATCTAATAAGTTACTTTAGCTTTCTTCCAAGTTACCCTTTTAATATTAGGTTCATAAGATACTTCAATAATATCGTTCTAGTCAAATCTAAAACCTTTAGTCTTCCAATTTAAATCATCTTACTCTGTATTTATTGTGTCTATTGTGATGTAAAATTTTACATGAGTCTTAAAAGCAAACAAAAGCTCCATTATTAATCTAATTCAACTGAGGTCTAAAATTTTTTGTTTTAAGAATTTATAAATCACCAATTCCAACTCCAATATCTCCACAGAATTTGGGAAATTTGAATTTGATTGAACTAGGTTCTAATTAACTCAATCTTTCATNTAAGCAATTATCTTTTTCTAAAATTTCTATTTTTTCCTAAAGCTATTTATTTAATTCAATAATATTTTCTAATTCCAAAAACTATTTCAATTATTCTTGTTATTTTCCAATAATCTCTTTTAAATTTTGATTTTCTGAATTCAACTTCTTTATTTCTTCTTATTATTCATATCCTGTTTTAAAAAAAATTCTTGTAGGACTTTCAGAGGGCTTAACTTTCGTTATACTATTAGGGCGATAATAGTTATTAGCAGTTTGAAATAATTTAAGTTTTTCTGAAACCTATTATGGAATTAAAAGCTAGAATTCCTTTTTTTTTAGTTTACTATCAGTCTAAGGGGTATTAGATTTTATTTATCCAGTTGATAATTGTGATACATGTCTATTCTATGAAGGAGTTAATAATTTAGTAGTTTGCTTATAATTTTAAGGGGATAGTAAAGGACTTTATGATCTCATTATAATTAATTATGCTTAAAAAAAACTAAATAAAATTTATTTAATTTAACTCATAAATAAAATAGCAAAAATTGTTTTTTAAAAAATTAAGTCATTAACATAAAAAATTATGAATTTTTGATCGAAAAGAATTTGAATTTGTCTGTCCTTAAATAATATGTGTAAAATATGTATAAAGATAAGATTACGATTTAAGCATAATAAGAAACATAAATAACTTATTATCTAAAAATAATTTAAATGAGAAACATACTCATTCTTTGGCTATTTCTACTTTAGCTCCTTGGGTTTTAACAATAACACAAAAATGCAATTCTCTTTTATCATTTTATAAGGTCATTTAATATCCTTCGTTTTGATTCTATGATTTAATCTAATAAGTTACTTTAGCTTTCTTCCAAGTTACCCTTTTAATATTAGGTTCATAAGATACTTCAATAATATCGTTCTAGTCAAATCTAAAACCTTTAGTCTTCCAATTTAAATCATCTTACTCTGTATTTATTGTGTCTATTGTGATGTAAAATTTTACATGAGTCTTAAAAGCAAACAAAAGCTCCATTATTAATCTAATTCAACTGAGGTCTAAAATTTTTTGTTTTAAGAATTTATAAATCACCAATTCCAACTCCAATATCTCCACAGAATTTGGGAAATTTGAATTTGATTGAACTAGGTTCTAATTAACTCAATCTTTCATCAACAAGTGCAAAACAATAGTGAGTTTAACTTTAAGTTTACTCTATAATAGCTTCTTCAATAATTTATATGCTTGGAAACTTTGCATTAGCATCAAATTTATAATACTATTCTGGATATCTTGGAATGATGCCTAAATCCATTTACAATGTATCTTATATTTATTATTCCCAGAATTTTAATGTTTTTTAAATTTTTATCACTAATTGATCATTAAACTTTGGAAAATATTCATCATTTTTCTGATAACATATTTTATTCCAAACTTAAACTACTTCTTATACTAATTCGTCACTTACAACAGAATTATCATTTTCAATTGTTTTATCATACATTTAATCAAGTACATCTCTTTGAGAAAGTTCATAAATAATTGTTTCAATTTAATTTTCAAGTTTTTCAAGTTAAATAACAACACTTTGTTTAAATTAAGAGTACATTTTTCTCACTTCTTGTATTTTTTGATAAATTTTAAAGTTATCTTTATTTGTAAACATTTAAATATAATTTATTTAAAATAATGCAATAAAATTTGGTTTCTTAATATTGAATCATAATGAGATAAATTAATTTGAAAACTTTTGTATTCTTGTCAAAATGAAAAATGAACATCTTTAAAGCAAAATTAATTAAAGTTATATGGTTTTAGAATAAAATTAAAGTTTTAATCTATTTATAAGAATATGATAAGGTAATATTAGGTAATAAAATCTGTTAATATTTGAAAAGAGTCATTAAATAACAGTGCAGCTTTTTTATTTTCTTAATAGATAGATTATTAATGACTGCAAATTACATAACAATAATATAGACTAAACCTAAAGATAAATGATTACATAAGCTTAACAATTTGTTAAAACTATTTTTTAAATTAGTAATCAAAATTTAATTTCTAGGACTTTTTCTAATCGAAATATTCTATAAATTATTCAGAAATAAATTGATGGATTAGAAAAAAATAGATACACTTATTCAAGAAGCTATAACAAATACAGACTCTGATATCTAGTATATGAAAGCTCAAGAACTTACAATTGAATTGACTATATATTATGAAAAAGGAGAATAAGGAATGGAAGACGAAAAGAATCAAAAGCTTATTAATAATTGTTATAATGTATTTTACTAGCATTTGCAATCTCAATATAGAAATATTTAAGGTAAGATGAGTCAATAATATAAATAGGAAATGCAAGTAGAGTAGATTTTTGAAGGGTATTTTTAGACTTAAAACGAATAAAATAAAATAAATTTAGATAATATTAATTAATATGCTGAAATTTTAGAAATTTAACAATTAACAATAAATTATATAATATCTAATCTTCATGCTCGTTCATTCGATCTCTAATTAATTGATTAAATAACTCCTTTGATTGATTTTGATCCATTAGGAGTAGCAGCAAAAGAAGAAAAAAATCCATATGATGATGAATATTATCCTGTTAAAGGTAAATTACTTTATGTAATATTAGTATCTGATTCAACATGGAGAGTTAGAAGATGTACATTATACACATTTTAAGTATAAATTAGTACTATCAGCTTTATTTGGTCCAAATTAAATCATTATGAAAAGAATCAATGAGAAAATGCTGAAATCAAATTATCAATTATTGATTAGTTTGGTTTAGGCATCTGCAATTACTAAAGAAGATATAAATTCTATGGAAGTTGAACAATTATCATTAATCAAACAAAGATCTATACCAGCCTCTATTTCTTTAATTGAATTAGTGGAATAATTATTGGACAAAATATAATCGATCTTTAAAAATGATCAAAAACAATAGTCTTTAAAATCAGAATCAACAAAATTATTATTAGCTATTGGGTAATACTTCTATTCTCAAATTTAAACTTCAAATTCATGTTTTACATAAATATAAATTAATCAATTACTGGTTCAACTATTTATTATAAAAATGAATAAAAAGTATTTATTATTAATTAATAATTTAGCTTGCTTCTATTTTAACTATGAGTACTATTCTTAAGAGAACAGCCTGAAGTTGAAGATTTCTTTAATTTAATCAATTAACCTTTGATAGTAGAAGAAGAGATTATAAAACCACTAGGTAAAGAGAAATTATATACTGCTGGATAAATTTATTGCTCAATATTAAAAAATAGTAATGGATCAATCAGTAATTTATATTCATTAATAGAAACAAACAGATAGTTAAAATTATCAACTTTAAGATTCAGGTCAGGTAAAAATATATAAATATTTATTTTTAGAATTTGGATAAGGAAAAAGAAAAGATAAGATTGATAGCAAATATATTATAAGGTTTGAAATAAAATTCTAAAGATATTGATGATTTTTCAAAAAGTAAACTTACATAAAAAATTCACGATTTTATACATTAATGAGAATTTATTATAATAAAGAATCAATTAAATATATAATTTATTAGATAGTAGAAATTATCAATTTTTCTTTTAAAATTATCATTCATCGCAAGATATTCTTTTACCTTTATGCCATAAACCATTTTTTCCTTTGTTATTCATAGAAAAAAATCCTCTGCCATGTTATTTACCATTTTCCCATTCACCTTCATATCTTCTTCCATCTCCCCAGTCATAAATACCAAATCCCTTATTTTAAGTAATTGAAAAAGATGTACATGCTTTTTATCATTAAAATATTATCCTTCATATTTCCTTCCATCTGGCCAAGTATATTTACCTCTTCCATGCATATTACCAGAATAAAAATCTCCTTCATATTTTCTACCATCATTCCATATTAAGATTCCTCTTCCAGATATTTTATTTTATACCCAATCTCCTTCATATAATTATCCATTACACCATAGATATTTACCTTTTCCATGTTTATATGAATTTTAGAAATATCCTTAATATAAAGATCCATCAGGCCATAATTCAATACCATATCCATGTTATTTGTCATTAAACCATTATCCTTCATATTTAGGACCATCAACATGTTAATATATTCCATATCCATTAGACATATCATTTTCCCATTCTCCTTCATATACATCACCATTATTATGAGTAAATTTACCTCTTCCATGAGCTTTATTATGTTTCCATTCTCCTTCATATTTAGCACCATCTGGCCAAATTTAGATTCCATATCCATCTTTTGAATTTCCTCTCCATTCACCTGTATATGTTGCACCTCCAGGAAATCTAAGTATTAAAATTACATACATATAAGTTGGTTTTTCAACTCTTGGTTTATCATCTTTATTTATAGTAATTCCACTCTCTACTATATCTATTTCAGAAACATTTAATATTTTTTAATCATCTACTTTACGTCGAGTTATGTAACCTCTCCAATATTTCTATATTACTATTGCCATTTTATTTTTTATCAACTATGTCTTCTATGTTTTTGAACAACTAGTAGGAATTGAAATACATTCCTAATTCATTCATGTTTTACTTATATTTCATTTAATCTCTTATCACAATTACATTAAGAACATTGAGAACCCATTTATAAAATTATTATATTTTACATTACTTTTCTTTTTAAACAATTTATTTTAATAAAATATAACGATTATGTTAGCTGACAAAACTAGTTTCTATGTTAATTAAAACTCTCTTTAACCGAAACAACATAGTAAAAGAGTAGTAATAAAATATTATCATTCTAGCAACTTGATATATAATATGTCGCATAAACTTTTGAAAAGACTCAATCTATTAATAATCTTCAAGATATGTTTCCAGATAATAAATCCATAGAATTATCAAATTCTATTACAAATGAAGAAAGTGAAATTGAAAAATTATCTTAAGCATATGCTGATAAATACTATTACGAAATGAAGTTTGAGTAATATCAAAATTTACTCACTTAATAATAAGGCACCATTACTAAATTACTCAATGAAAAAAAAGACTTACTTGCCAGACTTGAATCTGCAAAAAGTAATGAAAAAGAAATTAGCCTTCTATAATAATTAGAAATTAAATTCATAGAAAGTTAAAAAGAAAAATAATAGTTATAAAATGAATCTCAACAGTATAAATATCAAGTCGAATAACTTCTTACTGCTAATAATGAATTACAATAATCTTTTCAATCCTTACATAATTAATTTGTTGAATATAAGGATAAATAAGATAATTATTCAATTAAATAATAAGAATTGATTGCAAAATTGACTGATGATATTGGAAATCAAAAATATTTACAAGAAATTCATTCTCAAATTTAAACTATCAAAATTTCAAATAATTTACTAACTGAATAATTATCTTAACAGGAACTTAATTTTTAAATCAAACTTTAAGAAATATAAGAAAAATAAGTTATCTAAACTAATGAATTAACTTAAGATTTTGAATCTCAAATTGAACAAAAAGAAGAAGAATTGCATATAATCAAAATGGAACTTGAAAAATTTAAATCAGAAAGTTAAAAACTTCAAAATGAAAACTGTTTACTTTAAAATCAGATTTAATAATTGAATTAGAGGTATACAATAAACAATAAATTTATTTTAGTTACTAAGATGATGTCTAAGCTTAAGCATAACTACTTTCAGAGTAGGTGGCAGAGTATAAGATAGTTATATAAAATTTAGAAAATCAATTATATCAAATGAATCAAGAGATAAAACAAAGAGATCGATCTTCTTCAAAGGATAGCATGATAAATTCTAGATTGATTTCTAATTATATTAGCAGATATAAATAATGAATTTAAATCTAATTCTATTTATATTAAATTATTTTAATAGAATTATTATCAAAAAAATTTTCATTAATTATTTACCTCATGAATATCTATTTTGATGATTAATATATTTAGATAACTTAGAACTTAACATTCCAATAGTTATTTTAACATTTAGGAAAAAGTGGAAATATAAATGATAAAATTTTATTGAAAAATGATTAGATCTTGACAATAAATGAAAATAACTTTATCAAAGATCATGTAAAATAAGAGGATAAACTCAAATTAGTGGTTAGTTTAAAATCTATTTTTAGGAAAAGCAATCGTATCGGCCAATTGCATTTACAAGTCCTTAATTTCCTAATAATAATACATTTTTTGATCCGAGAGCATCATAGGTGATCTATTCAGAAAATTAGCAATAGCCAGGCAAAATTCTAATTGGAATAAACTAATAATAATAATCAAAGTAATAAGTAATATAATCATAACTAATATAATAATAATAATAATAATAATAATAACAATTACAAATATAATAATAATAACAACAATAACAACAATAATAATACTAATAATAAGTTAATAATTTATAATTAAAACCATAATAATAATAAAATCATCAATATGCATAATAATAATAAGTTTAGAATTATACTTAATAAAATGTTTAACAGTATTAAAATTAAACTTAACAAATACCTCAAATCCCACCGATCTAAGATAAAACAAATGCTCAAATAAATATATTTGAAACTGTTTTTTGTAATTAAAATAATGATTAAGACAAAGAAAAAAATTAGATGAACAAAAATAATTAACCTGGAAATAAAGAGTAATAATATAATTATATTCAAAGAAATTAATTTGAAAAGTATGGCTTTAGTTTTAGGATAGATAATTATGGAGATGATATTTAGATTGAAAAATTAGATAAGTCATTTATTCTTAGATTGGATAAATCCTATCAATTGGATCTCATCACAAAGTTTGATATAACTGATATTAAAAAAGAATTCGAACACAACATTATTGGAGTACTCAATTAGACCAGAATATCTAATAACATAAAATTTTTGCTGTACAATTCAATGGAGGGAGATAAGTAGGATTAAAATTATATATGGAATGATTTTTAAGATATATAAATTTAATAAATAATACATATTAATAATTCTAATAAAATGAGTATTTGTAGAAGAAGTGCTACATTAATTTCGATTCAGGATGATTTTAAAGTGCTAATGTTAAAAAGGAGCAATGAGATTTCATTTGGTGGATCTTTTGCCTTTCCTGGTGGAGTTCTTGAAGAAACAGATTATAAATTTGCTTAAGCAGATTCTTCATTAATTTAATAAAATCATTAAAAGTATTATTGCCATCAAATATTTACATGGTACGATTCATCCTTAATTGCTGCTATTCAAGAAACTATAGAAGAAACTAATATTTAGTTGGATTATAAATAAATATATTCATAAATAAAACCATTCATTAGAATCATTACACCATAAATGATGAAAAAAAGATATGACACATAGTTTTTTGTTTTAAATTTAAACAATTATGACAAATTAAATATTAATAAGAGTGAAAGTATAAGCTACAAATGGAATACTCCTTTAGGATTTCTGGAAAAATTTATAAATAATTAGATAAGTTTATTTCCACCAATATTTTTATAATAAATTATACTTAAATTATTGGGAAGTTTTTAAAATATTATTACCTATATAAATTAAGGAGATCTTTTAAAGTATCCATATCCTCATATTTTTTAATTTAGTATCTATATATTTATGAGTTTTTATAAGCAAGTAAAGGAATTATTAATTATCAAGATCCAAACTATGATTTATAAAAACTTTTAGAAACAGAATAAACTGATTATTTGAAAAATGAATTGAAAGTTAGATATAATCGAATTGATAGATCAGATTTTAGATTTTAATTAGAGGGAAATTTGAAAAAATTGAATGGACATATAGGAATGTTTAAAAATTCACCTTTAGCATTCTTAAATGGTGAAATTATAAATGATAACTAATTTATTTTAAAAACAAACCAAGATTATGAGGATGAAAAATAAAAAATTAATTAATTTTTAATTTGTATTGTATTCACTAGAATTGGAAAGTCTATTAAGCTTTTGGTTTAGATTATCTTTAAACACTACCAGAATTAATATTAATTCTATTATTATCTCTTAAAACATCATTTTATACTGCAGGACTCTATGCTTTAGTTTATATTTAAGGATTATCTTTTTGTACAGCATAAAATTTCTATTTCATAACTAGTAAATCTTTTTCCATAGTTTGATATTTAAGATTTTTTCCTTCTTAATCTTTATTCCTCTATTAAATTTCCTATTTGCAATCCTAGATAATATAAAATATCATACAATCAACTCTTAAATAAGTAATTATACAGATTAAATAATCTTATCACCATCACTACCCTTAATAGTTGAAAATCTGTTTTTGACTCCACTTAAATTTAAAATTTAATTAAGTTTAGTCATTTCATTATTCAATCTCTAATTTTCGACAATTAATTTTTACTATAAATTAAAAATAAATAAATACCATATCTAATTTTGAGATATTCTACTATTAATTATCTGAATCAGTATTTTTTCGATTTTATTATTATTATTACAATAATTTATTTTTTTCTTCGATCTCTTTCTGTAACTATTCTGATAAATATAACTTTTCTTATTTCAAAGATGAATTTTCTTATTTTATTGTATTTAAGTATCTTATTTTTTAAGATGGATTATTATGACCTCCAAGTTAAGCTATATCTTTTTGCATTTCTTCAATTTATTTATAAAGCATAGATCTCTCATTATTTGATTTGGTTAGCTTTTCATGTTACTCTTGTAATTCCTTCTTTAATTTAAGATTCTCTTCCTCTAATGTATGCATTTGTACTAATGCTTGATCTTTTTAATCTTTAATTTATTCATTCTCATCTTCTCTTTCTTGATTTTAAGACTAGATATTAATATAAAGAATTACTAATATTGCATTATGTTCAGCTTCTAATTTTAGATATTAATCTTTGATATCATTTATCTCTTTTTCTTATTATTTACAAAACTCTTTTGCTCTATCATGAACATTTTTTAATGTTTCTTCATTTTATAATAGAGCTTGCTCTAATTAAACAATAATCTAAATAAAATTAAAAGTCTTACTTATTATTTTTTATCAATCTTTTATTTTAATTCATTATTTTCTTTAGTAACTTTATCTGCAATATGGCTATACTGTTCTCTTATCTATGATTCTTATTTCATCTAGGATTCCAATCTTGTAAATTGATCTTTTAAGAGATTATACTTCTCCTATTATTCACTAAATTAGGTGCTTTAAAAGTCATTTTATTTTTAGATTGATTAATATTTATGTACATTTTCTTAAATTTAATGTGTATATTCTTCCAGTTAATTTTTTAACTAAATATTCGCATTTTCAAGTCCTTAAATAATTTTCTATTTATATTAATAAATAAATATACAGTAAATTTGTTTTAGTCAGATTTTAATTTATCTTTTAGATGTTGAATATCCTTTTGAGTTTATAGATTTAAATCCTCTTTGGTTTCAAAAGCACATTATAATCCATTTACTTATTTACTTAATTATTCAATCATCTGATCCTTTTATTATAATTACTTTTAATGTATATCTAACTAATCTACTAATTCTTAAACTTCTTTTTTGTGTTAATCTTCATTTTTTTTTAAATGTAAAGAATATTGCTTAATTTCTAATTCCATTTATTTAGTTAACTTCTTAACTGCTGATTTATTTTCATCTACTTGTGCTTATTTTTAATCTAATTCAACTCTCATCTAATCTATTTCCTCATGTTATGAATCAATATGTTAATTTAATTATTATATTTCCTTCTTTAAAAGCTAATTATCTTTAGATGTTAATTCCAATTATTACTATAAATTTGTATTTAAATAATTTAATTATAATTTTAATTATTCTATTTATTGTTCTTTTAATTGTAGATCATTTAAATTAACACTTATTTTTGATTCAAGTTTGTGAATTTCTTTTTACTTGTCATTTATTTAGATTTTTAAAATATTATTATCAGTTTCCATTTAATCTGTTTCTTTTTTCCAAATTTGAGAACTTTTATCTAGAATCTAATTTTATTTATTTAATTCTTATTATAAAAATTCAATTGATTATTCTTTATCATTAATTGTATTAGATAAACCTTAAATTTAAGATTATAATAAGTTTGATTTATTTTAAGATTCATTTAACTATTATTCTAATTAACAAATAGTTAATTTAAATTTATTGGATTCACTTTCAATATCTTTAACTTTTTCATTCAAAGCTGTTTTTTCATTAGTCAATTATTCTATTGTTTTTATCTTAATTTATAATTTTTAAGTCATATCTTACAATTTACCTTACTATTATATTTCTAAAGTATTTCTGCTTTACTAATTATCATTCTCTATCGAGATTATTTTTTATTATAATTATTGTATTTCTTTTGACTAGCTCTCTATTTTGGACTTCTGTTATAGCACATCTCTTTTCATTTCGGAGTTAACTTAGTCTTTTTGTTCCATCCTAGCTTACAAAGAAATGTATAGTTCATGAACTTGGTTATAATGATCCGATGTTTCTTGAATTACAGCCTGCTTACTTTCTAATTGCTTTTATAATAAGTCAACACTGGACATTTGTTCTTTTTGAATTTCTTCAAACTCACATTTCTATGTTTCAAACATTATTTCTAATTGAGAACTTTTTTAGCTCTCATTTTGTAATTTTTAATTCAATAACTATTCAATATAGCAAATAAATTACACTGATTTAAGATTCTAATTAAGATTTCATTTATGAATATTATTATTCTTATTCTTTTATTAAGCAATTTAATGAGAGAATCTTAAAATTATAAAATTAAAAAATACTTCTTAATTTAATTTCCCTAAATCACAATCCTTTTTTGAATTCAACTAAGAAATTAACAGTTCAAAATCTTTCTTTTATTATTTCATTTAATCTTAATAATTCTTCTCTAAATCAAAATTTTAAATTTATTAATTTTGTTAAAATTTTTTCATTTCTTCTTAATAATTTTGTTAGATCTAATAAAGTTATAATTAAGTATTTTAAAGTTCTTCAGTTTTTTAGTTAAAATCTTGAATTAAAATATCCTTTTCCTTTAATATTTCTTACTTAACTTTTTATAAAAGAGAATTTTCATTCTATAAAATTTAATTATCTCTTTATAATTATTGTAGCTATGTAAACAATTCTTATTCTGAATTTTCTAATTTAGAAACTGATAATTACAATTATTCTTACACAACTTTTAATTCATTTTGTTATTGGGTGCATTCTTTTTTTAGATTGATATTTTCCAATTCTAAAATTTAAATAGACTTTTATTATTATTGAATTTTATTTTCTTTTTCATTTAATTCATTATTTAATTATAAAACCTGTCTTTCATAAGAAGATATTTATGATTTGAATTCTGAAATAGCTATATCATTATCTAAAATGATTGTTTTTATTTCACAGAGTTTTTCTTCATTTTCTGATAACTTTTAAGCTAATTAACTATTTGTATTTTATTCATTTATAATTTACTTTTTGAATTCTAGATTTAATTAATTTAATTGTTAATAATCATTAGATTATTATTAATTCTTATCTTCTAATTGAATAATTTATTATTCAAGCCCAAATATGAATTATTTAGAATTATCTTAGAAAGCAGTAATATTAGTTTGAGATTATTCATAATTATTTTGAATTTCTTATTTTTCAGTTTAAATTTATTAATTTTCAATCTTAAGTTACTAAATAATCTGTTCTGAATTATTTAATAATTCTTCTAATTCTTAATTTTAATTCTTAAGTTCTTAATTAAGATCACTTATTCTGTTTTTCAAATCTAAAATTTGTTTATCTCTAACATCAACAACTTCATCATTTTCATTAAAAGTGATGCCATTTTCCTATAATTTTTGAAATATTTGTTTTTCAATCTCTTTGATTTAATCTTCCATTAAGACTAATTTTTATGTCTATTCTGATAATAACTTTTCTTTGTATTCTGATTAGGTTTCTAATTCTTTAAATTTTTCTAAGGTGACATATTATGAATTAAATTATAGATCAAGTTATTATTGGAATTATCTTCTTTCATTAAGAGAATTCTAATGAATTAAAATATAATAGATACTTAAACTGTTTCAACTATTTCTTTTAATAAATTAAGATTAGTATCAACTTAGACTTAAACTTTTGATACTGTTTATGTAGCTCCTTGCTACTCTTTTAAAGTTAAATTTTCATAAAATGTTTTCATAACTAAACCTTAGCATTGTAAAGCATATGCTAATTATTATTAAATTTATTATTGTATGTCATCTGGTGATTAATTTAATTTTAATTTTTAAATTTATTCATTTTGCAATTTAATAACAAATTTTAATTATTATTCTAATTGTTATCCTAATTAAAATCCTTCTTTTAATTACTTAATTCCATTTAAATATTTTTCAATTTCTAAAAACAAAGCAGTTTCACTTTCTGTTGATTATTCTAGATAACACTTTAATATTTCTTCAAGCTTAATATATTTTTAATCATTAATCATTAAACTTTCTAATTCTAAGGATTGTAAAACTAAAGAATAAGATGAAATAAATACACTATTCATTAATAAAGGATTATTATTATTTTTATTCAAATTTTTTCGGTGATTCCCATTTTTATTATTAAGTAACACTTTTAGCAAGTTCTTATTTAAGTCTTTTAATTTCATTTTTAAGACTTTCTAAATTGCCACTTTCATCTTCATTAATTCTAGCTTTATTCTTAACTTATTTGACTCTTTTAGAAAACATAAGAGTTGATAATGTTTCTTGATAGAATTATTAGGATTGTTATATATTAGCAATAAGATGAGTTCTGGAATTACCACCTAAAGAGTCTTTAAGTAGAAATGTTAATTTAGAATCTCTATAATGAACAAATGATTAATTATCTTCAACTAGAGAATTGATAACATTTCCTAAAATATGTAAACTTTTATTTATATTGCAACCTTCTCTCAATCTTTCTCCTTAAACTTATGATTACTTTTATCTTTCACTACCAGCAAGATCTACAAAATGAAATCTTGAAAATCTATGATTAATAACTTAAGTTTAAGATGATTGTCTTCTTGATTCAAGTTAAATAGTAAAAACACTATGTGATCTTGATGATTCAATATTCATTTAAGTAGATGAAATATGTCTATTTAGACTTCCTCTTTATAATACTTCTAAAGATTCAGCTACATTAGTACAAACTTCTTCACTTAATTGTTCTACATAAACTCCTTTTTTTAAATCTTCTCTTAATTATAAATTTCCTAATTAAGGATTTAAAAGATCTATTATATGTTCATTATAGATTTCCAAATAACTGCATTTAACTAAATATTCTACATTTTCCGATTAATCCTCCAAAATACAATTAAACAAAAAATCAATCACTCTTGGTAATAAACCTGGTTATTTCTAAGTACCCATCATTGTATATGTTTTACCACTTCCTGTTTATCCATAAACAAACACACAACCATTATAACCATCAAGACAATTAATTGCTTATTATTTTCCTACTATATTAAATATGTCTTCTTAACTTGAATCTTACTATGCTACATAATCAAAATAAAAATATTTCTAATCTTACTATTATTATTGATTGCCCTCAATAATAATTGTATTTTTTAAATTGGAATCCAGTTTTATACATGATCTTCCATCTTCTAATAAGGGTCTTACATTATTAATTAAACGATTCTTACTTTATTCTTATAGAAACTTGAATATTGTCTCGTTCAGCCTTAAATTTATCTGTCATTTTTCAATTTTTAAATTTGAAATTATTATAATAAATAACAATCAAGAAATTATTCCTGTTGTAAGGCTTGTATTATCATGGTAAACATAATTGTAATCTTAACAATTCTTATTACTAAATAGCAATTGACAGCAATTCCTTAGACAATTTGAATTGTTAATATCATTCTCCACTTAACTGGTTTACAGCAAACTTGATTGTTAATTACTAAAAAATTCATTAAAATAATAATACTTAAATCTTCTATATTTTTTACTTAACCTTTCAAAAGTAGTTCTATTATAATAAATATTCCTAAGCTATGTACATATTATAACAATTAATAAAACAAAAAATATTAAAGTTAATAATAGTTCTAACACTATGTATTCTATTTTAACACCTTTTGAAATATTTAAATACTTTCTAAAATCATTGAGTTAATTAAAAATAATATCAAGTTTGTTCAACTAATATTAATTTTAAGATGTAATTCCAATTAAAGATAAATTCCCTACTATTTCTATAAAAAGAATAATAGAAATAAATAATTAAAATCCTATAGTAAAGAAAGTAAACCAAATAAAAATCATGAATAAAAAATGATTTTTAGCTCCAATACAATTATTTATCCATGGACAATGATGGTCATATACTATGATACATTTATTACAAAAATCACAATGACGACTTCTTTAAGCCTTTAGAGTTTCACATTCTGAACAAATTTCTAATTTTTTTGGATTATTTTATAGAATTTTATAGAATACTTATCCATCATTTTTGTATTGAGTTTAATATCCAGGATCAGATTTAACCATATACACAAATAAAAAGATCTCTAATATATCTGAAATTATTTATATATAACCAAACAAATTATTTCCGATTGTGAAAAGAATTTAATAGATTAAATTAAGGAATAACATGAATATAAAATTGTACATTTATAATTTGCACTTTTTATTCTAGATATATTTATTAAAATAATAGTACAATTCTAGGCTTATTTTTCTATCCAAATATATTATTACATTTAATATTCCCCTCCTAATATTCCAAAATCATTTAACTAATAGTTGGAAAATCATTTTCAACAGCCAATTAATAGGCAGTCTTATTCTGTTTATTTCTTAATCTTGTTTTAGCATTATATAGTAGTAATTTTTTTGTGATTTTGTATTCTCCACTTATAGCTGAAACATGCAGAGAAGTGCATCCATAAATATTTTTAGTGTTTATTTTACAACCCCAAGTTAAGAGTAAACCAGCACATTATTCACTGCCTTAATGACTAGCCAAATGCAAAGCTGTACTAAAATCATTATCCATAATATCAATATCAACTTTAGCAATTTTCACTAAATAGTATAATATGATGGGTTAATCTGATTGTGATGCTATATGCAAATTAGTTTATCCTTATTTAGTTTTCAAATCTAATTGGATTCCTAACTTAAAAATTGCATCAAGAATTGTAACATTACCTTTTTAAGTAGCTAGATGCATACATTAAATTCCAGAATCATTTTATTGAGTAACCCACAATTTAGTTTGAAACTCACTAAAATTTCTTAATGAATAGATACCCGAATTATTTAAGGGAATATGTTATTAGATCAATAAAAAGTATATTTTGATCTTTCAAAACAGTCTCCATAAGCAATGTATTTTTTTTTTCATCAACAATTGTATATATATGAATTGGTTACATTTGGTTAGAGGTAAAAGGATCTATTCCAAGAAGATATCTGACTCCATTGATATCTCCATTTTTAATTTTGTTTTATAAATCTTAGTAAATCTTTTAAACATCTTAGGCTTAGGCTTATTCCTGAATGAATAAAACGTATAAAATACATTAACAAATGCAGCAGATGAAAATTCAAATCCATGAAGTTCTCTATTGATAATACTCTCAGAATCAATAGATTCTAAAAGAGGCTGCATTATAAAATAATTAATTAGGTAAATGTTTTATATTGTATAATATAGAAATTAAAGAGTGCTTAAATAATTTGAAATATTTAAGTGAAATATTTATGATAGATAATTCATTAATAAAATTAATAAATATAATGATGATCACTTCGTCCGTGTTTTTGATTGTTTATGATATACACTTGTCACTACTCTGAAAATAATCTCTATATATATATATATAATTAAATGTTAAGAAGATTATCTGTGTAAGTCTAATAAATCAAGAAATTGTATTTTACTTTTTCTGTAAATGAAGGTATATGATGTAGATAATCAGAATACAAGATCTAAATCCTGAATCGATTAAAAGTGATCAAACATTCCAATTCTGATAAAGACATAGTATCGAATGGTCATATAGAAAATCTATCTATTGATCAAGGTATTTCATTCATATAGTAAACTAGATGGAAGAGTCATAATAGATCTTAAGTTAGATTAAGACTACAGAAAAATAAAGGCACTTTGTTCAGAAGCTCTTAAAGAATTTGAATGGATTAAGAATTTAGATATTCGTATGGCTCCAAAAAAAGAAAATGTATTNGCCCAACCCCAAACCCAAACCCAAACCCAAACCCAGATAGTTGTATCAATATCAACTTTAGCAATTTTCACTAAATAGTATAATATGATGGGTTAATCTGATTGTGATGCTATATGCAAATTAGTTTATCCTTATTTAGTTTTCAAATCTAATTGGATTCCTAACTTAAAAATTGCATCAAGAATTGTAACATTACCTTTTTAAGTAGCTAGATGCATACATTAAATTCCAGAATCATTTTATTGAGTAACCCACAATTTAGTTTGAAACTCACTAAAATTTCTTAATGAATAGATACCCGAATTATTTAAGGGAATATGTTATTAGATCAATAAAAAGTATATTTTGATCTTTCAAAACAGTCTCCATAAGCAATGTATTTTTTTTTTCATCAACAATTGTATATATATGAATTGGTTACATTTGGTTAGAGGTAAAAGGATCTATTCCAAGAAGATATCTGACTCCATTGATATCTCCATTTTTAATTTTGTTTTATAAATCTTAGTAAATCTTTTAAACATCTTAGGCTTAGGCTTATTCCTGAATGAATAAAACGTATAAAATACATTAACAAATGCAGCAGATGAAAATTCAAATCCATGAAGTTCTCTATTGATAATACTCTCAGAATCAATAGATTCTAAAAGAGGCTGCATTATAAAATAATTAATTAGGTAAATGTTTTATATTGTATAATATAGAAATTAAAGAGTGCTTAAATAATTTGAAATATTTAAGTGAAATATTTATGATAGATAATTCATTAATAAAATTAATAAATATAATGATGATCACTTCGTCCGTGTTTTTGATTGTTTATGATATACACTTGTCACTACTCTGAAAATAATCTCTATATATATATATATAATTAAATGTTAAGAAGATTATCTGTGTAAGTCTAATAAATCAAGAAATTGTATTTTACTTTTTCTGTAAATGAAGGTATATGATGTAGATAATCAGAATACAAGATCTAAATCCTGAATCGATTAAAAGTGATCAAACATTCCAATTCTGATAAAGACATAGTATCGAATGGTCATATAGAAAATCTATCTATTGATCAAGGTATTTCATTCATATAGTAAACTAGATGGAAGAGTCATAATAGATCTTAAGTTAGATTAAGACTACAGAAAAATAAAGGCACTTTGTTCAGAAGCTCTTAAAGAATTTGAATGGATTAAGAATTTAGATATTCGTATGGCTCCAAAAAAAGAAAATGTATTCTCATAAACAAATTCATAAAAAAGAGGGAATCTCTAAAATGTCAATAAAATCATAGCTGTTTCAAGTTGTAAAGGAGGAGTAGGTAAAAGTACTATTGCATTAAATCTTACATTTTCATTACAAAAATTAGGCTTTAAAGTGGGAATATTTGATGCAGATGTTTATGGTCCATCTCTGCCAACATTGATTGGAAAGGAGAAATAATAATTATATGCTCCAGAAGATAAACCAAAAGAAATTTTGCCTATTGAATTCAATGGTGTTAAAACCATGAGTTATGGATATGCAGGTGGCAATTAAAAAGCTATTATCAGAGGACCTATGGTTAGTAGCATTGTTATTTAATTAGTACAACAAACTTAATGGCAAGACTTAGATTATTTAATTGTTGATATGCCTCCAGGAACAGGAGATATTCAAATTAGTTTATGTTAAGAATTAAATTTTAATGGAGCAGTAATTGTTACTACTCCTCAGAGATTAAGTTTTATCGATGTTGTTAAAGGAATAGAAATGTTTGATGTTCTTAAAGTACCTACATTAAGTGTGGTTGAAAATATGGCTGAATATGTCTGTTCAAATTGCAATCATATTCATAGACCTTTTGGACCAGGTTATATGAATATGTTATAGAAATAATTTGGTATTGCAACAGCTCTATCTATTCCATTATATGGAGATATTTCAAAATATTCTGATTTGGGAAGTCCTGTTGTTTTAACATTACCTGAAGATCACACTATTAATAATATATATAGATAATTAGCTAATAGTGTTGTTAATGAATTAAATAGAACTGATTTGACTTAAACTCCAAATGTCAGATATGATACTGCAAAAAGAGTAATCATCATTAGAGATTTTAATGGTAAAGAAAAACCTATTAAATCTATTGAATTAAGATCTAAATGTAATTGTGCATTATGTGTTGATGAATTTACTGGAAGAAGATTAAATTAAGTAATATCTAATACATATATTTAGAATCAAAAACTTGATTAAGAAGTTTATCCATATAAGATTGAACCTAAAGGTAACTATGCTGTAGCTATTGTTTGGTCTGATGGTCATCGATCCTCTATTTATCCTTATTAAAGATTATGGAGTGATGAAATTAATGAACATAAAGCATGATAATTATATTTTAAATTAGCAAATTATAAAGATTGTCAATTTATATATTATTCTAAGGTTTCTTTTAATACATTTTGTTACTCTTAATTTAACTAATGAGCCTTTGCAAATCCTTTAATTACTTATTCTATATCATCTCCCTCTCTTATACAAATTCTTGCCTTTCTATTTTTTGAAATTCTTATATCCACATTTAATAACAGACTCTTAGGGTTAGGTACTTTTGTACTTAAATCAAAAGGTTCAGGAACAGTTTAATGAGGTCTATTTTGAATATTTGGTTATTCTGTACAATAGTAATTCTCCTTCTCTTGTTTCATTTATCTTGCCTTATTCATTCTTTCTATAATAGCAGATTCTCCTTTTACAGGCTTAAATGAATATTTCTATTTATTTATTAACTTTGGTTTAAAAGTACATTCTATTAATTCCTCTTCTTCTCTTTATCTATTTAAATTATCCTTCAATTTTTGTTTATGATTCTTTATAGCTTCTGCATTTTAATATAATCTATTAAATGTATTTACAGTATCTTATCTTTTTGTTTAATTTGATGTTAATTAAGGTTTAAATAGACATTCTGGATCATCTTGTATATATGATTCCAATTATCTTTTTTTTTCTTGTAATACCTTAGAATGCTCATATAGCACTTCAAATCTATTTATTGTATCTGAAAGTTGAGCATCCTATACTTATTTTTATTTTCCGTTTGTTTAAATATTAGTGTTTTACCAAGACTCTTTTTTTGATGAAGATTGTCCCCGAGAACCATTCGAAAATCTAACATTTAATAATTTAAATTTATTTGTCAATCTAAACATCAATTCTTCTAATTCTTCAAAATTTACAACTTAAATTGGAATATTCTAATCCTCTAATTCTACATTTATAACATCTGTCAATAAAAGTATTGATTAACTTTAAGTTAATTATTTTTCCAATAATATCACCAAAATATTAAATACAAATCCAATAAATGCACTTTCTAAATCTAATCCTAAAGTTAATAATTTCCATAAATCAATTGACACATGATCATTTTTTGCAGAAATCCCTAAATCAACCAATACGTTGCAAAACCTTTCATAATCCAACTGCTCTTCAATTTAATAACGATTAAGAGTATTATTAATTTAAGTTTCTAATTTCTTTAACAAGATCTTTTATGAGTTATAATCAATCTTTATTTTATTGGCTTTTTATTTTATTTCTTCATTCTTCTCCTCTTATTTTTAATTAATTCTTTGTTATTTCTCTATTGCTTTATTGTATAATGAAGAAAAATGATCTTAATGTATCAAACCATTAATTTCATATGCATTTGAACTATCACAATTTCTTAAATATTAAGATTAATCTCCATATTCAATATTTTATTCATCAATCATGTTCGTTAATTTAATAAATATAAAAATTATTTTCTTTTTAATAAATAATATTTAGTTAATCTGGTACAAAATATCAGCAGTAATACATATTCTATGTTATAAATTTAATTATAATTAATAATTCATTTAATTCCTTTTTTTGATAATAGAGCAGCAAATGATTTACTTTTATATGGAGGATATTCCACACTATATTGAAGACAATTAATGCAAAACCCTTTCGGCTATTAATTTGGCAATTTTTATTACCAAATACATACAAAATCACAACGGTAATTAGAACATTCAACTAACTTTAGATTTTTATCTTATTTTTGAATACATAGAATTAAGTTTTAAAAATCTAATTAATTCTTCATCTCAATATATTAAACACCATAAATTTTTATCTATCTACATAAACTATTGCTAATATTTTTATTGCATTAAAGACATTTTGCTATTTATTTATTATGTAATGCTTTTATTAAAATTTCCTCTAAATTTCGCTCTTTTATTTGATGACTACATTTATTAGTGAAGGATATAGATTCAGACAATCGATTCTCTTTTATTTTTTGTGATAATGGGGAAATTTCTTTTCCTTACAAAAAGTTTGATCTATTTTTTAAAAATTGATTTTCAGATTAAAATTTACTATTTTCTTGAATCAACTATTGAATTTTATTTTCTAAAATTTGGTTAGATTATTGTAAAGTTTGATTCTCGAATTCCAACTCTTTAAAAGCTTTATTTTGAAACCTAAATAGCGTTAAGAATGTACATATTTTATCCATCGTAATTATTTTACTATTATTCATTTATTGCCAAATTTTTTTGTTTATCTGATAGATTCATGAATTATTAGTATTGATCCTAATTATTCTATGCTTATAATAAATTTTCGTCATTCTGGTCAGGATAATTTTCTTTATTTTTAATTGAATTTTGATCAAATTTATTTTATAATTGGGAATAAGTAAAATTTTCATAAGAGTATTATTAAATGGGAATTTAAGTAGCCATTATTCTTTTTTAGTATTGAATTTCAGAATGTCCTTATTAATTGATTTTTAGAGACTCTGATTTCGATTAGAATTATTACTAATATATTCGATATCCAAAACTACGATTTCTTGTTCTTTTTATAATGTCTATTATATATTAATTCATATCTCCCATAAACTAGACATTTTATTCAAAATATAATTATATTTAAACTTCTACTTGTTGAGTTTTCTAGATGTGAACTATTAAATCAAACACTGTTGAGTTATCATAGACTCTAAAAGATAATTATGATTAATTATCCCCTTTATCAAGATTTTTCAAAGTTATTAAAATTGCATCACAACTTTTAGATCTTTAAATTTTTAACATGTTTTTAGTTTAAATTCAAATTTATTAATAGGTTGTTAAATTAAGATGTATTATGATTCAAATAAATAATCTACGGTAAAAATAATAAATTTTTAATTTCTTAAACTTAATTTAAAATGAAGAATATTATTCAAAGTTGAATTCAACTAGAATATGAAAATCAAATGGAGAAAGGTTACAATAAACCAGGTCTTAAAGAATGAACAATAATTAATAATTAATAGAACAAATAATCAAAATTTTGATTAAATTTCCTTTCTATGTATTTAGAATGTTTGAAGAATGTTTGAAGAAAATTTTAATAAATTACTATTATCGATTATCTATCATTTTGTTTTTAAAGGAATATTTTCAAAAGAATATTTTGTAATCCAAGAAATTTTAGATTGGCTTTAAAATACTACAATAAATTTTGGAAATTATGGATTCAGAAAGAAATGAGTTTAAGTAACTATTAAAAATGAATATTTATTAAAAAAATGTATTTAAGTTTAACAATAATCTATTATTTAGAAAATATTCCAAATAAATTCAACATAAAAGTTGATAAAATTATTGATTAGATCTCTGTGGTATTAAAATTTATTAAAAAGCTGAAATTATATATTATTTTTAAACTATTATTATTTATAGTTTAACATATCAGATGGGTTTATAAGAGCCTAAAAAATCTGATAAACTTTTAAAAGGAGGGAAATAAGATTTCTGTTGATTTATTTTTTGTATCCATTCCAATTAATAAATCCATCATAGATATTTAAACTATTTTTGAAAAAAAAATGCATCATTAATCACTTAATCTTATTTGTATATTTTTTTTGAGTAAGCCTTAAAATTTCAATTTTCTGATAAAGGACATGTGAAACATAATTAATTTAAAGAAGAATTTTTTTATTTCTTTAAACATAATACAATAATAACCGATATAAGAATTGTAAAAATCATTCAAACTCATAATTATGTAAGTGAAATAATGCAACATGAAGCATTTTAAGATAATTTCCCAAAAATTTTAAATTTATAGGATATGGAATTTATTTCTAAATATTTTTAATTTATTTAAAATAGAAGTTTCTTCATAAAATGAAATAGTTAATCCTTTGCTTTAAAATCTTTTTCCTAAATTTTTAAGTTAATAACCGATTCATAAGTNCTAGAATATGAAAATCAAATGGAGAAAGGTTACAATAAACCAGGTCTTAAAGAATGAACAATAATTAATAATTAATAGAACAAATAATCAAAATTTTGATTAAATTTCCTTTCTATGTATTTAGAATGTTTGAAGAATGTTTGAAGAAAATTTTAATAAATTACTATTATCGATTATCTATCATTTTGTTTTTAAAGGAATATTTTCAAAAGAATATTTTGTAATCCAAGAAATTTTAGATTGGCTTTAAAATACTACAATAAATTTTGGAAATTATGGATTCAGAAAGAAATGAGTTTAAGTAACTATTAAAAATGAATATTTATTAAAAAAATGTATTTAAGTTTAACAATAATCTATTATTTAGAAAATATTCCAAATAAATTCAACATAAAAGTTGATAAAATTATTGATTAGATCTCTGTGGTATTAAAATTTATTAAAAAGCTGAAATTATATATTATTTTTAAACTATTATTATTTATAGTTTAACATATCAGATGGGTTTATAAGAGCCTAAAAAATCTGATAAACTTTTAAAAGGAGGGAAATAAGATTTCTGTTGATTTATTTTTTGTATCCATTCCAATTAATAAATCCATCATAGATATTTAAACTATTTTTGAAAAAAAAATGCATCATTAATCACTTAATCTTATTTGTATATTTTTTTTGAGTAAGCCTTAAAATTTCAATTTTCTGATAAAGGACATGTGAAACATAATTAATTTAAAGAAGAATTTTTTTATTTCTTTAAACATAATACAATAATAACCGATATAAGAATTGTAAAAATCATTCAAACTCATAATTATGTAAGTGAAATAATGCAACATGAAGCATTTTAAGATAATTTCCCAAAAATTTTAAATTTATAGGATATGGAATTTATTTCTAAATATTTTTAATTTATTTAAAATAGAAGTTTCTTCATAAAATGAAATAGTTAATCCTTTGCTTTAAAATCTTTTTCCTAAATTTTTAAGTTAATAACCGATTCATAAGTAATAAATATTAAATTTTACTAATATATATTTCTAAATTCTAAATTTTTTAAGATAAAGAATTGAAAAAAAACATTTAATTTGTTAAAGAATTAACATCGATCGATTGGAAAATACTAATAATGAATAATGTAAATATCCTTAATAGTAGGTAAAAATTCTCCAAATATAATACTACTATTAACTTTGTGGAAACCTACTAAGATAGCTTTAAAAATAATTAATTGAATAACGATAGATATCCATTCGGATTAAGATAAAGAAATTTACATTTAGATCTTTCTTTATTAAATATTTTTTTATTTAATTAATAATTTGATAATAATTTCTTAAGAACATAAATTATTCAATAAATCAATACTTTAATCTTATCGCCAATCTAAAATCTTTAAAACAATATCGATTTTGATTCTAGAATTTTTAATGTTTAATTAAAACCCAGACTCCATTCTTTGAAACTTATTTATCATGCCCATCATACAAAAATATTCTTCCATTTTAAACTTTAATATGAGCATGTTTACGAGATGAACACTCATTTGGATTTAACATCTATATTTACTAAAATTAATTGTCTTGGACTTTTTTAACAAAAACAATTAGCATTCCTTCTTTTATAATAAAAGATTGAGAGTTTATGACAATTTCATCTTATTATATCTCAATTAATTATTTATTAACTCCTGAAGGCAATCCAACATAATACTTTTCACCTCTTATTAATTCTTTTTAATCAATTTTTTCATAAATTCCATCATCAGACAAATTTACAACCATTATCATACTCTGGTTATCTAGTTATCTAATATAAATTTTTCAAATACGTAGGATAGATTAAACTCAAAATTTTATCTTAGTCATAAATCAAATTAATATCTTTAATCATTGACTAATTCAATTAAGTTAGAGTAGATTATTTTAATACAAGGCCATTATTAATATCAAATTCTTATGTAGTTCCATTAATTATATTTAGCAAAATCACTCTATAAACATATAATTGAAATACTTCTGAAATAATTCTTTAGGTACATTACTCAAAATATCTATTGGAACCCTAATTGCACTAGATTAATCCATTATATATAATATTAATTCCTAACTTTTTCAGGAAGAAAGAAATAATAAAAATATTATAACTCCTAAAATTATTTTTTTTCTAATGAATAGATGAATATTTTATATTAAATTCTATATTTTTATTTTTAAAATGGGGATGATCTATGATATTTATTTAAGAATTCAAAGATTTATGGTATTATTCAGAAATATTAAAAAAATTTGATTTTAAATAATCTAATTTGCATTTGTTTTTCTCATTAGTATAATCTTAAAAATTATCTATATTGTTAGAATTCTTTTAAATCAAAAATATGTTTATAATAATCAGAATATATAAATTAATAAAGCAATCCCTAAAATAGCAGAAAAACAGTTCTCCAGACATTTATAATATAATTGCACATCTCCAGTAGTAGCATTAGCAATAAGTCCAGCACATGTTTTATAATAAAGTACCCTATCTTTACCAGTTACGCAATATTCACTTGATTACATAATCTAAACAACTTCAGCAGTAACTGCACAAGCTTAATCACATTTTTCTCTAAGATCTCTGCAATTATTCCAAAGGCAATTAGCATAATCAACTTCTTGGTTAGAATTCAACCCTTAAATTAAGTAAGCTAAAATAATTAGTGATTTCATTAAATATTTATGAATTTTTTTCAGAACTTTTTAAGGAATATAAATTAAAAAGAGTCTCTAGGAAATTAATTAAATTTTTAAGAAAATAAAAAACATGAATACAAAATTTACTCTAAATTTTTATCAAAAATATTGAAGCATCATCTTTATATAATATTGAATCTTAATTGTTTAAGGATTTTTTAAATGCCATCTTAATAAATCTAAATTTTAATCTTTTCTATTAATAATAGCTTAACAAAGAACAGAAAATGCCCAGTTTTATTAAATTTGGAAATAAAATAAATTATCATTTTCTAAATTTATATTATTAATAATAGATAATTTAGTATAAAAAATCATATAAGAGAAGAAATAAAGATATTTAAAGTTCTTTTAGAAATAAATTCATCCAAAAACTAATTAAAATCGATTAAAAATCCTCTTTAAAGCTCCAGGATAAGTTTTGGACTTTTTAGGTTAAATTTAAAAATATTTAACTAATCCTAAAATTCTATTTTTTATTGAAAAAGTTTACTATAACTTTAAAGAAGGAAACATTAGCTTATATAAGAATAAATTTCAAGACCATAATTCTTTACAAAAAACGATAAGCTTGTTTTAAAATGAAATTTCAATACTTATTATAATTTTGATGTATAATCGTATTTTGAGTTTAATTAGAATAAAGGAGTTTTAATACCATATCTTGATTGTTAAAATATTCCTGATTTCAAATATTTTTGAGAATATATAGTGAAAGTTTAGTTTATTTACAAAAATCATAAAAAAAGATATTCTTAGATAAATAGTTTATTTTAAATTGAGACGAATAAGCTGAAAGAAAGAAGAAGAAAAATAAGGAGATTTAAAAAAATTAGAGCCAATTCAAAGAAAAAATAATATATATAGAAGCATTAGCAACCTTCAAATGGTTAAATTGTTAAAAAGATTTATGAATCTCTTTAAAATAGCAAGATTATTGATTTTATGCTGATAAGAGTATATAATTTAATAAGGATAATTTATTCGTAAATGGTTATTGATGAATTTAGGCTTAGGGTTTATTGAAATTATTAAAATAACATTAACAATCAGTTTCTGAAAGGATTGATAGTAAGTTTATAATAATTATAATTAATTTTTGAATGTAAATATTATTCTAATGAGCAAAAATATTTTTAATTATTAATTATGGAAAAGCTGAGTGTAGAAATTTTGAAATAAATAAAATCAAATACTTAGCTTAGATTTCAATAAGATGACAATTGTGTAGTAATATCTGTACATGGTCCTTACTAAATTGGATCATAAAAAGCAAACCAATGTATAAAAAAATATTGAATTAGAGGCTATTCTTGATATACAAATCAAATTTGAGTAAGATAAATCGATAGAATAATAATTGAAGCAGATTTTTGAATAAGCTCTAAATTTATAAGAATATCCATAATAGCAAATAAGAGTATCTTGCATAATTTAAATTAATACAATAAATGTATATATATAACAATATATAATTTCTATAGATTTTTTCAACTTTATGCAATGGAATCATGATAGCTCTATTACATTAAGGTATATCAATGAGTAAATCAATATACAGTATTACAATCGAAAATACTCGTTTAGTATTTTAATAAATAACTAATGATTTATTGTTTATAGACAACAAAAAGGGATAATCGATGGATAAAACTATGTGTTAAATTAAAGAAGGATTAAATAAATCTCAAATATTTGAGTAATGGCTTCGAAGTTATTTTTATGAATATTATGTAAATAATAATTTGTTATGATACAAATAAATATTTTGAAATTTTTACATCAATAAAATATTCCTTATGCGAAATATTAAAATTTATCATACCTAAAATTTATATTGATTAATACCATCTAGCTCTCCAATTATCTAATGATTTATTAATTAATTCTTAAACATAAACAAATAATTCAGCATCAGACGCTACTTTTGGGTTGAATCTATTTTCCAACTCTTTTAAAGCAATCTCACCTTTTTAAAAACAAGGTAATGTTGTACCATGGCCAGTAAACATCATTTCTACTAATAACAATATTTCATTTTAATGTTTTTAACATGCTTTAAATCCTCTAATAATTAAAACATAATAAACTTGTAAAATAACTTTCTAAAATGATCTTAAAACAATTTTCCTTTAACACCTCCTAATACTTTTATATAATCTGATAATAATTTAAAAGGCACTTTTCCTTCAAATTCCATTCCTTTACCAGGTGCTATTGATAAAAAAAATCCAAAATCAATATGAATCAAATGACCTTCATCATCTAATAATATATTTCCATTATGTCTATCTTTAACTTATAAAAAATAACAAACTAAACAATATGCTACAAGTGATTAAACATAATTTTATAATGCTTATCCAATATTATTTCTAAAAAAAGAACGAAAAAAATCAGAGAAATCACTAAATTAAGTAAATTTCTTTTGAAGATTCTTTTACAAACTATCAATAGTAGTTGCATTTTTAATCATTTCAATCATTCCACAATCAGGTCCTAATGATAATACTTCATAATATCTTAATTATAATGGTAAACCTTCTTTTTTAAATATTTAATCAAATTAACAAATTAATTATAAAGCAAATTATTCTTACTTTAAATTATCTCCTGTTTTTATTATCAAATGAACTAATTTCCAAGATTTTAAAGTTTAAAATGGACTTTATTTTTTAATTCTTTCTTGTTAAGCTAAAGAATTTTCACCAAAAATAGTTTATTTAATTTCTAAATATTCTTCTTAAGATAATATTAATCCTTTTCCATCCTATAAATAACTTACATTACTATTAAATGAACTCGTTTCTAGTTTGCTTTAATTTAATTATTAAGACATTCGTTCATTGTTATTTTATTAACTTCTATTATCACTTAATAAATAATCAGTTTAATTTAAAATTGATGGCTATTATATTATTAGCTATTAATCTATCGCTTAATCACTTTATTCTTGATCTTAATTAGTGTTATTAATCTCTCGATTATTATAAAATAATCCAATTCCATCAGACTCTTACTCATTATTAAAATAATTAAATTAGTAGAATTTAATATTTTAAAATTCATTATTAAATGTAGTTTGAGCTTCTGCAAGAGAAAATGTTCTATTGAGCTAAGAAATTTATTCTTCTTAAATTATAGATTAACTTTAATAGTTGTTATTATTATCAGTTTTTATCATCTATAAATATGATTTTATAATTTACATTAGCTTTAATAGCTAAGGACATTTATTTATCTAGAATTTATTATTCATTATAATTTCCTTCTATTTCAGGTCTATAGATTTCAAGTGTTAAACTATAAGGACTTCTCATTTTTGTCGAAAATACTCTACTTTCTTTAGAAACTATATTTAAAACAGCATAACTTCTAATTGAATTCTTAACAAAAGGTACATAAACTGCAGCTGGTAAATTAGCATTCATTTTATTTAATAAACTTTGTAAATATAATGTTTTAGTATTTGATTTGGACAATTCCTCACAAATATTAGTAATATCATTCCAGAAAGCTATATTAGATAGAAATGCAGTATCTATAGGTTTAAAATCTTCATCTTTATTAAAAATAGAGTTATAATCATCTAATACAATATCTTCATAATTTCTAAGTAAATATTATGATGGACTTTTATCTGATATTTATTTTTCCCATGCACTTGTTCCATAAAGTTTTACTATTTCAATTTATTTAAATGATTTTATTCTTATAGATCCTTAATAAACCTCTTATTTAATTTTTTTACTAGGTAAAGATGATATGGATTTATTTAATGAAGAACTTTATTAAGAATCCTCAAGGTGAATCTTTAAAAATTATGTTGCTATTAATAAATTGCCTAAATAATTTTAAGACATCTTTTCTTCAAATTCTTAAACAAACTTTTAAACTATTTTAAGTTCTACTTTGTTATTATGAGCAACAATCTAAGATAAACTTTTTAATTGGAAGTAAACAAGATGAGCAAAAAAAAAGTCAATTTTTGATGCTTAATTAATGAAAGAGATTAATTTTTCATCTGAAAGTTGCTAGTGAAACACTAAATAATTTATTAGTTAAGGAATAAAATATTCTAAATCGTTTCTAATTAGATTTGCTTCAAAATTTGGATTTATACGGCATCTTTAAAGCATTTCAATAGCTTTTCCTTTGTTCTCAGAAATATATAATCTAATCATCACTTCTAAGATAGCTTCATCTTAAATCTAAAGAAATCTAAAATTATTACATCTAAATTATTATCTTTATATTTTTTAAGAATTTTGCCAGATTTCTTAAACGTTTTTGGAAATTCTCCTTTTTGTTTCTTCCCAAAACATAAACAACCTTAATTCTTATTTAGATTGCTTTTTTACATAATATTAGTTAAATATAAAAATAGTAATTATTTAATGATATTGAATTAAAAAAATTTTTGATTTAAAGAAAAAACCAATAATATAATAAACGAAATATTTTATTATCTTTATATAAATTTAATTTTTGAATTCTTAAATTTAAAGCTTATTTTGTTGTTTTGAAAAAATGAGTAATAAAAACCCTTTTATTATAGATATGAAGAGTTTTAATATAATCATTATTTATAATTATAAAATAAAGGTGGGTTGGATATATATATTAAACAATAAGCATTAATTTAAAAATTAACAATTTATGTGTAAAAATGAGAGAGTTTAAGCTGAATTGAAATTTGATGAACAATGTTAGATAAAATATATAAAGACTGTATTTCATTTTAATAAATTAATTTTAATGTAGATTTTTACTTATTTGAATATCACAAATAACTATTATTAGTATCAATTTTATTATTTAATTTAAAGACTCAAATGAGAAAAAGATATACTAGTTGAATTTAACTCTAAATATTAATAATTTCATTTTGATGCGAATTAAGAGAACTCTTATTTCATTTATTGTTCTTTTAGTTTTTATTCTTAAAAGATCTTTTCCTTTAATTCTCCATTTTATTCTTTTGCTAGTCTTACTTATTCTTCTGCTATTCTTCTAGCTTCTTAGTCTTTTTTCCTATATATTTAAAAAATTTAAATTACAATTTTTCTGGATCAGATTCATATTATCCTATTTCTTGCATCAATGTTATAAAAACTTCTTTTAATTTTTTAAACATATCTTTCTTAATTAAGTCTTTGCATTTATCTGAAATTGCTGTTTTTGTATTGCAGCTAATATGAATTATTTCAAAATCATTATCTAAAGAATTTAAGTCTTTAATTTTGTATGTTCCCTCTGCTTCATGATCCTTATTTACACCTAATTTTTTAATAATTTAAATACCATGCCATTCTACTTCAATATCAAAATCATATATCAAAACTTGCTTTCCTCTCCTTATGTTAACTTAAGCCTTTATATAATTAAATAATTTTACATCTCCAGTTATTGATTTTACTTCTTAGTTAAGTAAAGTTATGTCTCCAGATTCAACTTTGGTTGATTTAATCTTAGATTCAATCAATTGTTTGGAAATCGGTGTATAATTTTTCTCTTCCCAATGCCAACTATTTGGATTCCATAATGATCCTGCTCCTTATTATTTAGCCATATTTTATTTATTTTATTGAACTAATTATTATTGATGGTTTCACTTTTAATGTCATTAAAATCTAGAACTTTCGAATTAATTATAAAACATTTCCATTTTTTATCTTAAGAATATTTTTCTTAAAAAATTATAAATTATCTTCAGTCTTTCTATAATCCATCTTATTTACAATCTTTTTAATTTAAACTTATCCTCTAATTATGCTGATTCATATAATTTTATAAATTCAATTTAAATTTTATTTATCTTAATACATTAACAAATAGAATAGTTCTTCCCAAATAGATTATTTAAATCTAATTATCATCCAAATTTAATAATCTAAGTTGAATTTTTTATTAAAAATGCATAGAGTGACTTATATTATTTAGTTCATTAAAAGCTATAATTTTTAGATGAGATGATTATATTAAATAAAATAATTTGTAAATCTCTGAATTTTCAATTAAGATTGAATGAATTATATTAAAATCTATCTTACTATTATTATAGGATAATAATAAAACTATAAACTAAAAAATTGGCTTATTCGAATTTATCAAATTTCTAATAATAGTATTAATAGTTGAATATTTTATGATAAATTTTATTTTTATTAGATTTTTTTTTTTCTTTAAAACTCAAAATGCTTCTTAAAAATAATTTTTGTGAAATTGAAATAATATTTGATTCCTAGTACTTTCTTTAAATTGATTATCTCTAATTTTTAATATGTATTTCATTTTACATAATTACTGAAAATTTCTGAACTGACTCTTTTCCATTATGTGTAACTGTTTTGATTTAAAATATATTTTGAATTAATATACAATTAAAAAGGTTATCTATAAATCATCTTAATATTATATATAAAATAGTAATGGAAGAGATTTTAATGTCTCAGCGAATGGGCCCATCTGCACTGACTAATTAATTAACTTCGAAGTAAGAGTCGCCATGTAACTTAATGCTAGAGGAGGATTATTAAATAGAAAGTCAAAGAGATATGATAGAAAATAAGAGTATAGATATGAATATGTCGAGATTTGAAAGCAAAGTAATAAAATAAACTAAATAAAGACTGAATTTAAGAAGCATGCATTATTTTTAACAAATAGAGCACTTAGAACAATTTAAACATAGAAATAATCTCATTTTATATAAAACTTCAAATTATAATTGCATGTTCATCGATTCATAAATAATTTATTTACAAATTCTTATGTTCTTAGAAATACTCAGAAATAAAAAATTAAGGATAAGCTACTTGAAAAACAATTTATTTCATAGTAAAAGAAAAAAGGTATTTTAAATATTAATTATCAAGATTATGAAAATAAATCAGTTATTCCAATATTCTTACCTTCAACAAATTCAATAATGATTTGGGATATTTTTGGATTTATTTGTAATTTAATGATGCTTTGGTTAACTCCATTTCTTGGAGCATTTAATAATTATTTTAACGAGCCAATATCTATATTGCAATCAATTATATTGATATAATTAATTTTTGATTTTATAGCATAATTTAATAGAGGAATATTTGTATCAGCAGTTTTAATAAGAAATAGAAAGAAGATTATAAAGTAATACTTAAAATCAAATGCTTTATCTGATTTCTTAAGATTAGTAATTTGGGCTGATCTAAAATATTAATTATTGTTTACATTTTGCTTTGAATTAATAATAGTCTTATAAATAATATTAATATATCAAAAGATAATGAGATATTTGTAGGAATATTATTATTAGTATATTTATTCAAAAGGAGGACAGAATTTTATTTTAGATTTGGTTTAGTTAATTATTCAAATTTATTTTTTTGCCCACATAATTGCTTGTATATGGCATTATGTAGGAGAAAACACATATAATTTATAGAATTCTTGGATTTTAGAAAATCAATTAAATGAAGAGTCAGTTTGGCATAGATATAATTCTGCTTTTTATTGGGCAACTATGACAATGACTACTGTAGGATATGGAGATTTTTCTGCAAAGAATTAAATAGAAATGATAGTAGCATCATTAATAATGTTTTTTTCTAGTTATGCATTTGCTTATACAATGAGTTCTATTGGAATAATTCTTAAAAATGTTTATGATACTAAACAAACTTATAAGTATAATTACAAGTATAATTAGAAAGAACCTAATTTAAATGATTTAATATATGAGTAAAAATTAAGTTGATGAATCTACTTAAGGAAGAATAAGAAATTACTTGAGATTTTAATAAGCACAAGAGAAAAAAGAAAATTAAGATGAAATTACAAATATTATTAATTAATTGCCTTAGAATTTGTAATTAGAATTAAATACAGATATTTAATCTAGAGTTATCAAAAAAATGAACTTAATTATAAATCATTTTTCTAAATTTACACAATAATAGGTTGCCAAAAATTTAGAATTAGTCTAATTCATTCCAGGAGATATAATATTTAAATAAGGAGATTAACATGAAGATAATTTGTAAGATTTGATATATTTATATTAGATATTTCTTATATAATGGAGATGTCATTTTAACTGAAACTCAAACTTAGTAAAAACTTAGAACTGTTAAAAGTTCTTAATATTTAGGTTATTATGTATTTTTTACTGGGTTTCCACCAAAAGAAACTGCAATTTGTTAAATTCCAAGTGAATTATATAAAATTAGTAGAAAGAAATTTCTAGAAATTATTCGTTAAAATTAAAAAGACTTCGAAATTTTCCATCATATCAAAGAAAAATTGATTTTTTAAACAAATTATGTTCTTTTTGATCATAAATGTAACTTTTGCAATAGGTATATACATTAAGAAATTGATTGTCCTTTAATTTAATATAAACCTGATTTAGAAGCAATTTTAAAAAAAGATAATTTTAATTAAGTTCTTAATTTTAGAAGATAATTTATAAGAACAAAAAGAAAACATCATGCATTAGCATAACATTAACCTATTGAACAATAACTTAAAATATTTCAATAAGATAATCAATTTTGTGAAGACACAGACTCTGAATAGGAGGGAAAATTTGGAAATTAAAAATCTTTTTTTTCAGAATAATAAAGAAGTTCATCTTAATTATTATAAAGTGAAGATGATGGACATATTGAAAATACTCCTCCAAGATAAAATCAAAAAAGAGCAACATAACATTATGGCCAATTAAAATTATAAAAAAGTATTTGTTTATTGTAAATTTAGTGTCATCTTTTTCTAAAATGAAACTTGGATAAGTTGAATAGAAATCATCTTAAAGAAGAATGATTTTATAAAATGAAGAGTAGGTTTTAATAAAGAATAATAGTATGATAGAAGAGGTATAATAATTATTATAAAAATAATATAAACCTTCTTTTAACTTAGATAAAGTATGTAATACTTTTCGAAGTTACATGCCTTAATATACAATTGAGTCATAAATAAAAGAATTATAAAAAGTTTAGAAGAAAAAACAAAAGAGATTTTGGAAGTAAAGTGAAAAACTTGGAAAATATACATTTTCTAATAATGTTAAGGTTTTGACATTAAAGATACTTAATAAAGGCAAAAAAATAAGCAATAATCTTAGTTAAGTTTGACTTAATTTTTTGATATAATGATAATAATTATGATTGGTATTAAATATGAATTGTATTCAACATAAATGAGAAATTTATTTGATTAAATTTTTATTTCTAATTATGAAATAAATATATATTAAAATAGCTTTGAATGTTTTGATTTGAAATTTGATAAAATATTAATGTTGATAAAATTGAAATGAATAAAAAAATTAATAAAAAATGGAATATAAATGTAGTATATTATTCAAATTATAAAAGTATGATAGAAATTAACAAAATTGCATTCTCTAATAAGTGAAAATTATTTTTTATTATCTTAATTTGCATCAATGATATCGTTGTCTTAGTAATTTAGCCTTGATTAGACAGATTAAAACTTTTGTGGTCCAAAAGTAAAGTTGGACGAAAATAGACTCAGTAATGTTCAAAAACAGTCTTCACATGACTTAATAAAAAGTTCTTTGTTTCATGTATCGAATGATTACATAGAAGTGGCATAGACTCCAAATCCTTAAATATAATAAGCTAAAAATAATAGAGCAGCACGTAGAATGGTAATATAATTATGGTTAACCATAGTTAACTAGAAGAAATAAATAGGAAGTAAGTTAGAAATTAGTTGATAACTAAGTATTTAAAACTTTGGCAAAAGAGAGATTAGTAAAACAATTCAAGCGGAATTTGTTTTTACGTTCTTATGTAATGTGTAAAGAATACAAAGATGTAATTCAAAACCATTTTAAATATGAATAAAATAGTTCAAAAAGAGTGGAATGTATTTTAATTTGATAATCAATAGTTAATTCATAAAACTAAGATAAATAAATATATTTGATACCTGGGAGTAAAGTAACTTTGATTTTAGATCTTTTATCCTTATTAATAAAGATATTATGTCTTTGGATATCTCCTTTGATAGTATCTTTTAGACCAGCAGATCATATATTTACATGGTTCTAGTTAGGAATAATGTTTTAAATATTAATTGAAATATTTATATAGACTAATAGACCAATAAATATTTCTGGTGAGACTATAACTAATTAAAAGAAGATAGTGGCAAACTATTTAACTAATTATTTATTTGAAGATTTGCTAGATATTGGTTGTTGGGTAACTTAATATTTAGATATTAATAACATATCAAATAGTGTGGCTTGTGGATTCATAATATTAGTTTCATTTAAAAAGATGCTTAAAAATTATTCAAATTGCAATGAAACAATGTTTTTAAAGGGAAGTTTTAATTATGCATTAGATATATTTACATTAATAATTACAATTCTTTCATTTGCACATGTAATGGCTTGTATACTTCATTATGTTGGTTAATTGACAGTGAGTACAGGTTAATCATGGTTACTAAAGTATTCTATAGATGATGCTACAATATTGGTATAATATAATTATTCAATTTATTGGGCAATTATGACTATGGTTACAGTAGGTTATGGAGACATAACTGCAGCAAATCAATATGAAATGTTCTTTATTAATTGTATGATGTTATTAAGTAGTGGAATGTTTGCATATTCTATGAATAGTATAGGAATGATTTTAAAAAACAACTATGATATTTAATAGAGATATAAGTATGAAAAATATATATTTATCAATAGACGTAGTTTAATACAAATTAACAATTATATGAAGAAAGGTTAATTAAATTAGACTATTTAAAATAGAGTAAGAAATTATGTTAAACATTATATACAATCAGAATTTAATGAAAATAATGGGGAAGTTAAAGAAATCATTAGTCATCTCCCTACCAAGTTAAGATAAGAATTAACTATGGGCATTTAGATGAATATTATGTAGAATATATCAGTTCTTACTCATAACTTCTCTCAACAAATTCTAAAATAATTATCATAAAAAATAGAATAAGTAAAATACATTCCAGATGAAGTTATTTATAATAATGGTGATTTAGAAGATTAGTATTTGTAAATCTATTTATATAATATTTAGATATTATTTACAAGAGGGTCAGGTACTCTTATGTGAAGAGAGGAGTAATAAAGTTTTATAAACAATTAAAATAGGTGAGACATTTGGAGAACATTAGTTTTTTACTGGATTCCCAGCTAAAACATAAGCTATAAGTTATGGGCATTCTACACTCTATAGAATTCATAGAAATTCTTTGATGAAATTGTTTAATAGTGTAAGCAATAAAGATTTTTAAAGATTTCATAATATCAAAGATAATATTGTATATTTGAACAATTATCAAGTTATATTAAAGAAATGTAATATCTGTAATTTGTACAATCATACAAATATTGAATGCCCTTTAATTTCATATTAACCAGATCGTTTTAGAGTAGTAATGTAGCCAGATAAGAATGTTGAATAAAATATGAATAGAAAAAAATTTAAAAGAGCTGGAGATAAAATAAATTCTATAGCTGTGAATAGTAAAGTTATTGAATCGGTTTAAGAATTTACATCAACTTAATCTATGACTAATTTTCATGAAATTGAAGATACAAATCAATAACTCAATGCAAAAATGTATGGTGGTGGTCATATTCAATAAAATACATAAGGAATTAGTAGCAAATTAATGATAGATATAAAATAATAAAGCAAAGATTTTTTCAATTTCGAAAAATAGGGGTCTGATTAATAAATTGAAATACCTTAAAGAGCTCCTAGAATATCTATTTCAGGCTTATAAAATTTAATAAAAAAGAAGGTGGTATAAAATATGATGAAAAAAGAGTTTAACAAAGAATAATCTAAATAATCTTTCAATAAATCTCCATCACTTAGAAAACAGTAGTCAATTATTAGATGTTCTTCAAAGCATCTAACAAAAGATGATTTAGAACGATAAGTAAGTGAAATGAATTAAAGAGAATTTAATTAACTACAGTATATCTAATCACATCCATAACAAATCAATTTTTCAGTTGATCACTATTATCATTTTTAAGGATACATGCAAACTGACAACCTATTATAAGTTATAAAGAAGTATGATAAAAATAAAATGAAAAGTTCAAGGTTATGGAATCCTTATAGAAATTCAAAAAATTCAAATGGAGGCATTTTTGGATCAATGGAATACTCAATTGTAATGAATAAATGAATATTAATTTAAATGTTATTTATATTATTCATAATCTAATCAATAAATGCTTAGAAATGTGAGACAACTGATCAATTTTATAATCCATTATCATCAAAATGTGAAACATGCCCAACAGGAACAGGCTTAATAAATAATTAAGTAAAATTGAAAATTTGAATTATATTTATTAGTGTATTTGTGATTCTACAATAAATGGAGTACCTATAAATTAAGTTTGTGCAGCAGAAACTAATTTATGTATATCTGATACAGGATCTTGGTAAAGTTCAGCTTGTTAGTGTTCTGGTCATGCAATTTCTCTACCAACTAATATTTGCTAATAATGTCCTAATAATTTGATTAATGTATAAGGGAAATGTTCTTGTTCAGGATCTACAACATCTAGTGATAATTATTGTGTTACTTAATATTTGAATGTTTTTTAGGATGATATTGCTTAAATCATAGGACCAAAAGCATATGATGGATGCATTATATATAATGATATGGTCTCCTGTTAATAATTAGCAAATTTATTCATTTTAAAAAGATCAACATTAAGCACAGAAAGGGATTTCAATTATTTATACAATGCAGTTTTAACATCATAAAATAAAAAAAATATGCCAAAAATTATTCATGAAGTTTCAACCACTGTTACATCAGTAACTTTAATTGAGGATACTCCTCTTCAAATGTAAGTTAATTTCAAAGAAGACAGAACTAGCAGTCTTAACAAACTCTAATTTTATGTTATTGAATACTATATCGATGGAAGTGTAAGCGAATTAAAACCTCTTCAAAATTAATTCTAATTATGCAGTTCCAGTTATGGTGATACTGATTTAGCCTCTCATTTTGGAGTTTCTTACAGAAATGAGTAAAATTATATATATTATCTTAAGTTGTAACTTAGATTTTACAAAGTATTTAGAAAATAACTATAAAACAGTATTTTATTCAATTTGGATAAAAGATATTGATGGAAGTTTCATCTAGATCCCTATTAAAATTGCAGGTTATGATGGAAATGGAAGTGGAGAAGCTGAAACTGATTATGGATATGCCAATACTAAATTTTTATGGAGATTTTTTATGGTTGATAATTTGAAAAGCCCATCAGAAATCATTTATGCATAAACTATCAGATTAATTAGTTATTTGTCTACAAAAGAAGAGGATAAAACATTTCTACCATATTTTTATGTAATTTATAGCGATCCTATTACAATCACAAATATTTAAACTGAAAAATATTATCCTGTTTTTTATCGTCATAATTACTATTAAGCTTAAACAAGTTTTTACACTGTTGCCACAGCCCTTTTAATTGTTGCACATGTATTAATAATAATAATATGGTTTATCCGAATATATATATGGAGCAAGAGAAATCCTTCTTATACAGGTTAAAATGATTGGTGTATGTATTTAACAATTAAATCTTTTTATGTTTTATTAGATACTTGGGCAGAAGTAATTTTTTATTATTTGGCAATTTTTACAGGATATTTGTTTTGTTTTTATAAATTTCAACAAACTATTTATATATTGATGCCTCCACTTTCAGATTATGAGAACAATTATAGACCTTTTGAAATATTATTTTTTATGATGTTTGCATGTAGATTGATATCAATGTTTAATTTAATTTTAAGATAAGCTGATGTTCAAGTGTTCTTTGTAGATTGGGAAAAATCTGAAGTATTGAGACCAAGAGAATTAGCAGATAAATTAGATAATAATGTATTAAAAATGGTGGAATCAGCATAAACAAAATAAAGTGCTTGGAGAATGATTTTAATAGCAAATGAATTTAATGAACTATAAGTATATAGAATAGTAAGTGTTGAATGGACTTTATTATTTGTGGGATTCTTTTTGGAAGGATTGAAATGGATAAATTTAGATTAAGAACAACCAAATTTAAAATTGGAAAGAATAATACCAAAGAATTATGTTATTTAATATTTTTTATGTGCATTCCTCTATATGACAATTGGTTTAGCTTAAATTAGTATAAAATAATAAAATATATATAGTTATATAAAAACTGTTTGATATATGGTTTCCAATATTAGTAGAAGATTTTGTTGATTTGTGTGCAATATCAAATGTATCAATATTAATATTGGATGATGTTTTACATGGATATTATATTCATGGTGAGAATCCAGTTGGTTATGCTGAAGGTTCAAGTGAACATTTAGCAAATTGTTTACATTATGAAGCATTAGGTAAAGGAAAAAAGAGAGGATTTATTTAAGAATCTTCATAATAACATTAAGATGATGTAGATCTTTAAACCTTTGAATTATTTTTACCTATGAGATTTAGAGATGCTTATGAAAAAGTTTATAATTAAGAACTCAAATAAAAAACTGATAATGCTTAATATTAAAATTACAATGAAATGTAATTTTAGTATTATTATTTTTAGTCGAATTTTAAGATAAGGTGTTCCTGATGGTTTAGATATGGCTTTAGTTTAAACTATTAAAGATACATTCTCTTTTTATTTAAAGGATGTTTTAACTTAAGTATTTTATATTTAGATTTTTAGGTCAGAACAAACTTTTCTAAGTGTGTTAGAGATAAACTACCTGTTTAAAGATTTTTTGATTATCCACCTGCAGATTTAGAAGAAAATTATTTCAAAGATTAAAGTATGCCAGTTTTCTTTAGAGATCCAGATTAATCATTTAAAACTATGTTCTTTTGTGGACATGAATATTTCTTCTTAATTACAGATACTATGATCTTTAACTTTTGGATGATTCTAACTGATAATACATACCTTTCATTGATGTTAACATATTTAATTTCTGCTGGAATATTTAATTTCCGTTAATGGGTAGGTGAACGTAATTTAGCTGATCAATCTAAAATTGATTCAAGATTTTTAATATGATAATTTATTATAAATATATAATTATTATATATTATTAGTATTTTATGAATATAGATTTTTCTAAACTTAAAGTTTATTCAAATTCCTAATTAGCTATTAGGTTATTTATTTTAGGCTAGAATAATCCTTCCTTAATATCATAAATTATACCTAAACTAGAAGAAAATGGTCTTTATTTGTAAATATATTATTATATATATTAGAGCAGCTGCAAATTTATCAGAAAAATCAAAAATTTCTTACTCTAGAGAAGAATTAAATGCAGCAAGGAAGTTAATTACAGAAAAGAAGAATCAAATATAACAAACTAAAAATTTATAAAATAGAAATGCTTTAAAAGAATCATTCATCTAATTAGGAGACTTATATTATCGATTTGGAGATTTAGCTGAAGCTTATGGTGCATATTATAAGGCTCATGAAAACAATTAAGCATAAGAAGCATTAGATTATGCTAATTCATGGGTAACATGTATGATTTTAAGCAATAACTATATGCATTACAAAGTTATTAATGTCAATTCTAAAGATTCAGATGTTAAAGGATATTAAAAGTGGTTATTATTGAGTGCCATAAGAAATTATGTAAGAATGGATTACAAAAATTTTTTAAATGATTTACTATCTATTGATACTAAAAATCTTGAATCGGTAGAATTTATTACAAGTTATTTCGATTTAAGCAAATATTTTGCAATAGCTAGTCTTACTACTAAATTACCTAAAGATATTATAGAAATATTACAACATCCCTTTATCGTTAGAATACTTGATGCAGATCCATCTGTATTAGAGACGTTGAATTGTTATATTGACTACGATTTCGTACAATTAATTCAAAAATCATAATTACTTATTGTATTCATATTTCATATTCTAGAATGAATTGGAAAGAGACATCATATCAGCTCCAGTCCTACAATAAATTAAGGAAAAAATCATTTCTACACTACTCAAATAAGTATTTATTTTTTTCTATTAAAATAGTATATCATCAATTTCAGTAGAATGACTTTAAAATCATTAGCTAATTTATTAAATATAAAAGATTTTTAAGCTCAAGAACTTGTTGAAAAATTGATTAAAGCTGAAAATCTTAATTATGTAGTAGATCCAATCGATATGATTGTTCATGAAAAGTATACTAACGAATAATTGTAAATACGTCAGTCACAGTAACTAGGAGTCACAGTATTAAAAACATTAGATCAGAAATATTTCTAAATTCTTCAAGATTTAAAATGAAAAAGATTTATATAAAACAAAAATTATTAAATTTTATCAATCTTTATAATGAATATCAAGCAAAATAATATCCATAAAATAATTAATATAAAGAATACTCTAAATTCTTAACTGAAATCCAAGAGATATAATTATTAATGAATTATAATTTAAATAATTTGAGCAACAACTTTATAATTTAAGAAGAAATTGAGAAAAAGATTTTCGAAAACAAATAAGAGGAGGAAGATTAGAAAAATAAAAATAATGAATAAAAATGGTTTTATCTCAGCTTATAATATCTATACAAAGATGAATTTTCGTATAAGTATGGGAAGCTAATATTCAATATTGCATGTGTTGGGAATTTGAGTTGCTATTCTCGAATAATGGCCCTCATTGCCACACTGCTTAATATATTATATTTTTGATGTTTCATTATAATATTTCAAAAAAATAAAAAATTATATATGGGAATGGTTTTCAAATTAATTATAAATAAATTTATATTAATTTAGCAAGAATAAATATATTCTCTCAATGAATTTTTCTAGTGCATTCTCTAGCTCAATTTGTTTTAAAAAGATAGATTTAATGATCTAAGCTAAGATAGAGCGATTATTAGAAAAATATTTTTGAACCCCAATTTAGAAATAGATAATTATATTTATTCAAAATGACAAGAAAAAGTATCTATTTGGATTTTAAAAGATATTAAAGATTGAAAAGTTAAAACTGATGTAATTTATATACTATCAGAAACCTGAAATTTTGATAAAATGTTATTCCTTTGATTTAATCAATAGCTCATTACAAAACATAGTTTTGATTAAAATTAATTTAAAATCAATCAATATTTTATTACATAATAACTAGAATTTCATTATTGTAAATTTTAGATAATTATAAAAGATAGATGAATTAATTAGATGATTGATATTTAGTACTAATATTAAATAATTATTAATAGTTAATATTTTGTAATTTTGCTGAGCACATGAGATAGAATTTGATAAAAAATCTATATGAAAATTAGAATTTAATTTGATATGATGATTTTTTATATAATACTGATTCTAATTAACAATAAAATCTTATAAAAATTATAAGAAAGAAATTTTGAGAGTATCCTAAAATAATAAAATGAATTTATTTAGATGCTTAATTAATATGATTTTGAGAACAAAAGTTATTTTATATATAATATTTTATTTATGATAAAATAACTATTTAAATTGAGAGTATTTACTTTTTGCCAAGAAGCTAACTTTGGATTTAAAAAGGTTAAACTTGAAGAAAAATAAGAGCATGTAAATTAAGTCTTTCATAATGTTGCAAATAAGTACTAGTTTGTTTTAATAAAGTTATGATTTGATGAATGATTTAATGAGTGTTGGTCTTCATAGATGTTGGAAGAATTCTTTTGTTGAAGAATTAGGATATTTAAAAAATGGAGATTCATAAATTAGAGTATTGGATGTTGCAGGTGGAACTGGTGATATAGCTTTTCGTATTCTTGAAAAACATAAAGGAAATAATTTGTTTAATGGAAATCTTAAAATAACAGTTTTAGATATAAATTAATCTATGTTAGATGTAGGATAAAAAAGAGCAAATGAATTAGGATATTAAAATTGTAATTTTAATAAATAAAAAATTTAGAAATTGATTTTGTATGTGCGAATGCAGAAGAATTACCATTTGAAGCTAATACTTTTGATGCTTATACAATAGCTTTTGGAATTAGAAATGTTCCAAGAATTCCAAAAGCTATTGGAGAAGCACATAGAGTATTGAAATAAGGAGGAAAATTCTAATGTTTGGAATTTAGTAAAGTTTAGAATCCTGTTTTATCTTTTTTCAATTAATTTTATTAATTTAATTTTATTCCTACAATGGGATAATTTGTTGCTAATGATAGAAATTCCTATTAATATTTAGTAGAAAGCATTGAAAAATTCCATAGTCAATAAGATCTATTAAAAATAGTTGAGGAAGCTGGTTTTAGATATGCAGGATTTAAAAATTATATGGATGGAGTTGTAGCTGTACATTTTGGATTTAAATTATGATAATAATTAATTATGATAATTTTATTTTAAATGAAAGGTTAAGAATAACAAACTCATTTTTATTGACTATGAAATTCGTGAAACCATTTTAAAATTTAAATTTCCTTCATAGCTTGTTCACTTATTTCAACAATGATTTCCTTTTCTTTATAATCATTTTCACTGTACTTTTTAATGCAATAATCGAAATATTATTTTGGCATCATATTATCTAAAGTGTATTATTATTACATTTATATAAAATAAAAATATTAATTAAACAAATAAATAAATAACAATAAATCACTGTAATCTTCTTAATAAAAACATTTCTTTGAGTTTCTCTTTTTATCTCTTTTAGATATACAATTTAAATCTATCAAATTTAGGTTAATTAAACTCCCTATTGTAATTTATATCATTTACTTACTAATACTTTAAACGTCTTAGAGAAGAGTATCACATTAGTCAATGCAATTTTAAACTTCTCTAATAGGAGATAGTTTATGTCTTTAAAAAAAAAAAGGTTAAGCGTTTGATCTGCCAGAATTAGTTACACTATATATAGAATTTCCAATTTGTTCTTCATTCTATTGGATAATTTACTTTATAGATTTTAAGTTAAAATCTTATTAATTAAAAGATGTTATTCTTGATCTTGGAAGTGTAGTTTTATCACTTCTTTTCATCAAGTCTATGTTCTTCAACATAATTGGTGGAACATAATTTAGTTTCTTGCTATTTCAGATCTAAAGAATAATTTACATTTCTTATTCTTATTTATACTTAAGTGCCTCTATATAACTGTCACATTGTTTTTTCATTTTTTAAGACCACATTTCAACAATTTACATTGAACCTTATTTATCAAAATTTCCTTTTTTTTACGATATACTTTATTTTCTATCTATTGAAATCTCTTTTTAAACAGATCTCTATATTGAACAACTCTTATATTTTTTCATTTAGATATTTTCATTTACTAATTTTCTTCTCATATAAAATATAAAATAAATTGAAAATTAAATTATAAAAATTTATTAACTTCTTAATAAGATCATATTCTCTTTGGTTTTTTGGTAAGATGAGAGCACATGTATTCCAATATATCTTATTAAACTTTTTTGATATTTTCTATTTATCTTTCTTGATTTTAAAATAATGAAACGAGTTAATAAATTTCATCATTTTAATCTAAAAGTAAAGCTAAGGATTCAAAATTTTATAAGGCATATTTATCCTATTTTTACTGATTTTTCTCCATAAGAGTTTGAAGTTAAACTTATGGTATTGCAAGAACTCCTTATAACTAAGTTGAATCAGTATGATTACTATTTTTTAAAAGTAAATCTGAATTGGTAATTTCATAATTATATTAGTTAGATTATTGATTGAATTGCTTTTCGTAATCAAATAGTGCTTTATCCTCTTTAGTCTTTCTTTTTGGATTATATAAATTATCCTCAGAATCAGATGTTTGTTTATTTTCAGTGCAAAATTACTATTTATTCTTTAACCATGTCCTTATAGTTCTAGTTTTGATATCATTTTCATGAGCAATAAATTCAATATGCTTATCAGAAGGATTATTTCCTAAGATTTTTAGGATCTATTACTTCTCTGAATTAGAAACTTGCTTTTTGTGATAAGTATATTTAGGATTCATTTAATAAAATTCTTATTATACAAAAAATAATATATATAGAAAAAATATCATTGATATTATTATTATTATTAATATTAATATTAATATTAATATAATATATTATATATTCTTATAGTTGAATATGATTTAATGATTCGTTCAATCAAATTTATATATATATATATTAGGTATTTAATTCTCAAATTTTAATCATTCTTCCTATTTAATTTAGTTACCTCTATCTTCAGATTATTTAAATGGTTTTTTCTATCGACAATAAAGCTGTGTATTATACCGAAAATATAAATCTAGCTCTGCCTTATGTTATGAAATGAATGGTTTAACCCAATGATAATTTGCAAAGAATAATTTAAGTATTTTCTTGGCAATTACAGACTTTTTAAGTTTCTAAATAGCACTTCTATTAAAATGTTGACTTGATATTTTGATAAAATGTTTTATATATGGGTCATTCATCACCTTTAAATCGTTTTGAAAATTTTCGATTATAAATTTAACAATTTTCTAACCCATATTCTTATAATAATTCTTGCTTGATCCTGGGAATATATGAACATTGCTCTTATCATTATCTTCATCATTTTTTTAAAGTTATTTTTATAATTTTTATTTTTCTTCTTCTTCTTCTTCAACTTTTACTTCTGCTTAAACTCCTTCTTCTTATTTTATTTTTTACTACTATAATGCAATTTAATTATTTGATAAACTAGTCCTAATTTACTGATTATTCCATGGGAATTATATTAGTAATTGCTAGAAAAGTATTTAATTGAAAAATTGTGGGATCATATTTTAAAAAAAATTAAGTTAGTTCACTAATCTAAAATTTAACATATGAAAACTAAATGAATATATATCTCCACTAAATCTAATGTGTTTTTTTTATATTACTCTTATATTAGTAAAATAAGTTTATTGATATAAAGTTTTTCTATTCTAAAAGAATTTGAAGTAATTGAGATTATTTTATTGAATATCCATAAGAGCAGTCAAAAAAATATCTTATAGAGTAAGTGAATATATTGATATTTTTGGTTGTTTGTTTGAAATAAATATTTATAAGAAAATAGATTAATTTTTTTCAAAAAGCATACATCACCATTTTATACTCTATTGAGTTTATCAGTTGAGTTTAGTTCCCAATTCTTCTGCCTCCATCTTCTCCATTCTCAAACCAATAGCTGAACCTTCTTTGATCATTTGGATCCAAGTCATCACATAAAGTTAAAAAAATTTCTTCTTTTGGAGAAAATCCAAATGCAACTGGATAAGCCATATACCAATATATGTCTCCAGATGAACTTTTTCTCGCATATTACCAATGATATGTATATTAAAATATCTCATCTTAATAATCACAACCTGCTACTAATACTATTTAAGGATTATCAATTTTAATTCCACCTATACATATTATTGTTTAATTTTCAGTTATATTTTAAATTTATCTTACTATTTATCTATTAAATGGTTTAGACAATAATTCATCATATATTATAACAAAATCTTCCAATTCTTTTACATCTAAATCAACATGTATTTTTCCAACTAGTTTCTCCTTTATTTATTCTCTATTTTTATTTTCAAATCTTTAATGAATTTTCATAATATTTTTCAATAATTATGTTTTTTATTATTCCATTCCCTAAAAATTAGCTGTTATGGTTTTATTTACCATTTTTAAATCTTCTTCGATTTTCATTACACGCATCTATTAATAATAAAGAACAGATGAAGTTCGATTACTATCTATAAATATCTTATCATTCAATTAATCTTATCTTATTAATTATTATTATAATAATAAAATTCTTTCTTTTTAAACATTTGTTTAATCAATTATTGCACTAGAAATTGTTTCATTATATTACTTTAATTTTGTGTTAAAATAATTCTTAAATTAATTAAATGGTGATTCTATTTGATTCTACTTGTCATTTATTTAATCTATTTACCCCTACAACTTATTTATTTAATACTACACAGTTTTGTTAAATTCTTAATAAACAAAATCATATTTTTATTCTATTTCCCTTTAAAACTCTTTAATTAAATTATGAAATTCTTCCATTTTTTGTTAAAATTCATTTTTTTCATTGAAATCCTTATACATTATTATTGGATTTAATCCAATTATTATTAAAATCAATATTACTGTAGATTTAAATAGAAAAGAATTTGTTGTACTTGGTTATTTTATCAATTACTACACTTATTATTCTAAAACCTATTATTTCTGAAGATATCTAGAAAATAGATATTTTTATACTTGACTATTTATTGATGTAAATCCAAATCCATTTTTTTTATGTAATTATTTAATTTAACTTAAAGCAACCCTTTATTTTATACAACATCTTCAATAAATAAATTAGTCGTCTATTAATAAAGCTTAAGAATTTAAGAATGGTATTATTGTTAATATTCTGTAAATTTGTTGAATTCTATGATTTATTCATACAATTTTTAGATAAACTAATCAATCTCTTTTTCTACATAAGATTTAACTTATTCTAAAAATTCTTTTGGATTATTTTAATAACCTTCAATTATTTAAAACTTCTCTTTCTTAAAATCATTCAAAGAGGTGATCATTTAATTAATAAAATTAATTCTTTCTTTTTTTCTTTTATCTACTTCTTGCATTATCAAACTTATTTTTTTAAAATCATCAAGATGATTAACAAAATTATTATTTTTTTATCGATGGATTTTTGTGATGCATTCATAACAATGAAGTTATTTTCTATTAGAGGTACAACATTGCTCATTCATACAAATATATTCCTCCTTATTCTATGTAATTGAACAAGTTTTGACAAATTCGTTGTTCATAACTATAAAGCAATATAAAACTTAAATTTAATATCCCCATTAAAATAGGAAAAAATATTTTTTATATCATTCACAAACCCCACCTATTTTTAATTAAACTGTTTTGTTTTATTTTATTTTAAGTACAAATTTAAATTTTTTTCATCTTATAAAGTTCATTTTTAATAACAATATATATCTTTTATATAAAGGTTATTATTTGTTACATTTATAATAGTATTTTTAATTTCAAGATGTTACGTTAAAAATAAAATACTAAAACCTACAATAAGAAGTATTTGATTTTTAATACTTTAATTTTAAATCTGAGAATACTTAAGTAAGAAATATTTTAAAAACAAGAATAAAATTCGAGTTTTAACTTTTAAAAATATACAATAAGTTGATTAGAGAAAATGATAAATTGGGATTTTATTTTAAAATTAAAAACATATGATTAGAAAGTCTAACACTTTATAAATAGAAAGAAATCGGGCTTCAAGTGAGAATTTGCTTTCTCCTAAAGAAGAATCTATAAAATTTATATTAGAAAGTCCTAATTCAAAAGAATTTAAGTAATCAAACAGAATGAACAAGTCATCACTACTTGAAATAAAAATGTATTTTTAATATATAATATGATTTAGATCAAGAAAAATAGCATAAGAATAATAAATAAAACGATTAAATAATAAAAGAAGATTGATTAGGGCATTTAGAAAAGTATATTTGATAAATATGTTTCTTTCAATTGCTAAATAAATGGACTCTAAAAAGTTATAAGGAAATCATAAAAAAAAAATTGATAAATTACTTCTTTACCCAGTAAAAATGTAAGATGTATTTTAGTTAAGGAGGATCGGTTTAAAAAGATATGGGATATTTTTATGTTAATTGTTTTAGTTTATAGTTCTTTTTATATTCCATTTATGGCAGCTTTTGAGGATGATGAAAATGTATACAATGTAAATAAATGGATATTTTCAATAATATTTTGTATTCATTATTTATATTCATAGCTTTTGATATAATTATTTTAATGAGACTATGTTATTATGATGATAATAACTATTTAGTTTAAGATTCTATTTTGATAGCAAATAATTATTTGTTTGGTTGGTTTATAATTGATTTCATTTCAGTAATTCCTTTATAGTATTGTCAATTAATTAAGGTATTTAGAATAAAAAGAGTTTAATAAATTGTTAGCGCTTCTTCTTTAAATTAAAATAGGATGTAATGTTATTGAATAATTAATAAAATAGTTTAGATTCTATGTATAATTTTTTGGATATGAAATAAGCAACTTTATTTTAAATTTTATTTTTTAGTATAATTGGATTTCATTACTCAACATGTCTATGGGCTTTATCAAGATAATGGTCAAATCATGAAGTTCCTAGCTATTTAGATGCAATTTATTGGTCAATGTAAACCTTATCAACAACTGGATATGGAGATATAACTCCTTCCAGTATGCTTGAATATATAAGTACAATATTTTGCACACTTTGTGGAGGTATATTTATGAGTTTAGTTATTGGTAATTTAAGTGGTATTCTAGCTGATATGGATACTGAAACTTAATATAATAAAATTTTAAATGACATTAAAGTTTTATTTAATTTAGTAACTATTCTACCTGATTATAAATAAGAAATCTTGAATTTCATTTTTACTAATCATAAATACAATCAAAGTTGGTCATTAAATTAATAAGAATGGTTTAAAAACCTTCCTTAGAATATATAAAATAAAATTTTATTAGCTGTAGCAAAAAAGGAATTGTTGAGTATCTCTTTATTTAGAACATCTATTCCTTTTTCATTAAAAGTAATTAGACATATAAGTCTAATGAAGGCAAAAGCTGGATAATTGATTTGGTTAAAAGGAGATCCTGTAGATGAAATCTTTTTTCTAATTGAAGGCATCGTTTAATATAGAAATTAATTTGGTAAAGAACTCCTTGAAATTTAAGCAGGTTCTATATTTGGAGAATAAGAATATTTTAATAGAAAATAAATTATATTAAGATAATAACAGCGTAAATAGTATGCAATAGCAAAATAGAATTGTTATTTTTTAATAGTTCATAATTCTCGTTTTTTTTAATATCTAAAAGAATTTCCAGCCTTATAAAAATATTTATAAATGTTTGCAGAACATAGATTAGATGATATTCTGATTAGATAAAAATAATATGAAATTGAAGCAGAAAAAGAGAGAATTAGTGCTTAGAAATTAGAATTAATTAAATCTGCAAATAGAATAGAAGTAAGAGAATACAAAGGAATCATGAAACATAAATAAAGCATCATTTATGATACTAGATAAAGTAACACTGAAAGCATTTTAGAAAAAATATTAAAAAATAGAGTAACAAAGTTAAAATTGTTGATGGAAAGATTTAGAAAAGTTGTTTAAATGATAATATTTGCCAATAGAACTTTAGATAAATAATATTTATCAACATCAATTCAAAATTCATAGTCTAATCTTTATACAAGAAAGCTTAAATCTAATAAAGTTTTACCTATTGATATCTTTTTAAAAATAAAATAAAGTGAAATTAAAATTAAAGAATTTAAAAAAATTTCATTAGAAAAAAGAAATTAATTTAAAAAAGCTTTTGAAGTATTATGCTAAGATAAAAATAATTTAATCAGATAATCATCAAGAAATAATAGTGAAGTACGTCAAGGAAAAAAGAAAAGTGTTTTATTAATTCGTACTTCATCCCAAAAATTAGATGAATTTTTTGCTTAAATGAAAATTTTAGAGAGGAATCTTAATTTAGCCTAATGGGCAATCTTCTAAAGTTAAAAAGATTTAGAGAAGGAATTACAATGTATAAGTAGATTATTTGAAATATAAGATTTCTCAAAATTAATTTGATAAATCAATAAATATTTTCCCTTAATTATTCAATAATTATAAGCATAAAACACATTATTACTCACTTTTTTATAATTAAATCAAATTATTTATCTGTCTCATAGATTAATTGTTTTAACTATTCTAAAGATTCCTATAGTATTGTATACAAATAACATTCTAATTTATGTTATAAATTATCAATATATAAATTTAGATAGATATAGATGATAATTTTTAAAACTTTGAAAATGTTGTTATAAATGACTTTCAATATGTTTAATTTAATCATTAGGGTTTTAAGCTTTAATAAACATTTAATTGATTTTATCATTTTCTTATAATTTATTGTTAACAAGAGAAGTAGGTGAAAATTATTTAAGCATTAAATGTTATATGAGAAGAAGTCGATCTTTTTTTTGTTTCATAATTAAAAAAAAATTATTTTTATCAATTAAAACTTGATAAATAAATAAAAATTAAAGATGATTTTACTGATAAATAAAATTTATAAGTAATATTTTGACATTAGATTATAAATAAATATATGATCATTAGTTATATTAATAAAGTAATTTATCTAATTTTTGTAAATCATCATCTTCTTCTATTTCATTAAGATGCATAATTTTTTAATCCATTTTTTTATGAATTCCTGCTATATCAAAAGTATCAGTATTTGTAGCTTTTTTAATCATAGTCATATCAGGGAATTGAGAATCTAAAGTAATTCCTTTATAATTTAAATCAGCAGAACCTAATACACCTTAAGCAGCCCGTCCAAATGCAGAAGGAGGTCTTTAATTAATTTAAGATGGAGGTCTATTTGAGATAGATTATTATAATTATTTCTATTCAAATCCATTCTTTGTAAATCCTGAAGGAGGACGATTTAAAGTTTATTGAGCAGGTTTATATTTAAGAAGATCATCAATTTCTTTAACAAATTCTGAATCAATAGATGGAACATTCCAAGATGGATGTTATCCATTATTACTAGGAGGTCTCTTTTTAAAATTATCATTTTTAATTTGATATGTTTCTCCTATACCTAATTTCAGACTATCTTCAAAATGTGCATTTAATTCATCTATTTTATCTAATTATACTTCTGAAACTTTTTTATTTATTGGTTATATTTAAGGAACTAAAGAAGCATTATGATCAATAGGAACCATATTTGAATCTGAAACTAATGATTATAATCCAAATTATTCTCTAAAATATTATTTTTATTCTTTTGATTCTTCTTTTAATACAAGAGCTAATTAATTTATAAAATATAAATTACGTTTACTTTCATAAGCAGGGGCAAATGGAGGTGGTTTATTTTAATTAAGATTAGGAAAATTAAAATTTTCATTTAATGCAGGCATTGCCAAATCTTTATATGCACCAATTTCAGCTTATGCTAATAGATGAGGTGGAAATACTTATTTTTCCCATTTTGGATCATTTTTTACTAATGCAATCATCAAATCATCATGATGTCTTTCTTCTTATAAATATTTATTTTTCACTTATTCTTTTAAAGCAATTAATTCTTATTCTGCTTTATTTCTACCTTCTATTGCCATTTAGGCTTAATTCATAACTTATTATATTTATTATTGTAAATTTTCTTATTATTAAAGCATTTATCTTTTAATATCATCAATTTCTCTATTTTATTAAACTTCAGCTTTATTCATAGGTAATGGTCCATTTCTATAAAAATCAAGAATACTTTAATGAGGACTTACACCTTCTTTTATTTTTTCATTCATAAGAAAATCTTTCAAATAATTTTCAGATTTTGGTTATGAAGGAGGAATATTACGAGAAGGTGGTGGTAATTACTATTATTATTAAGGTTCAAATAATTAAAAGTTCTATTATTATTATTAATCATCATCTTATTATTATTAATTTTTTCTATTTTTTCTCTCTTAAATTCTTTCCAATCTTCTTTTTTCTTTTAGATCTATATTATCTTATTCAAATTCTATATTTAATTTTTAAATTAATTATACTTCCTTATTATTATTTCTTTAAATCTTCCTCTCGTTTCTTTTCTAATTCTTCTTATTCTTTTTGCCTTCTAAATTTCTCCTCTTCCATTTTATCTTCCATTTCTTTTTATAACTTTTCTTATTCTTTCTTTCTCTTTTTTTATTCAATTTATTCTTATAAAACTCTTTACATTTCCAACTTTTATTATTCTTTTTTTTTTATATCATCTATATTTTAATTTTCCAACATTAATCTATTTCTTCCTCCTTTCAATTGAGGATCTACTTAAGGTTCCATTAATATTGGTTATTAATCAAATCCAGATGGTAAGTTTTATTCTTAATATTAATATTATTAAGGAGTTACTAAACTTTGTTAATATTAAACCTATTAAAATGGCTATTAATAATTTTATTATTGCTAAATAAATTAATTTTACTATTAATAATTTGGTTGCTAATATATTTATTATTAATTATAATTTTACTATTATATTTGATTATTAACTACTCTTTAATTTGGTGCACCACCTCCTCCTTTACCAAAAGGAAATGAATCCCCAGTTTCCATTCTTTATTACAGATTTTTCTTCCTATCATTTTTTTCTTACTCTTTTAACTACATTTGCATTCTTAAATAATCTCCATATTCTTATTTATGTAATCTATTCTAATCTATCTATTAAGGCTATTGATTTTAATATGGAGTATTAGATTATTGATTACCATAAGAATAACTTTAATTATTTTCTTATTATTATGGCTAATATATTTATTACTAATATTATTATGGTTACTATTAAATTTAGTATTATTATGCTTATTAATATTATTAGTTATTTTAATTATTTCCTGATTAAATTCTTCTTTTCTTTTATTCTTCTTTTTCCATCATTTATTGTCTTAAAAATTCACCATATTCTTGCTTTTATTTATTAATTGGTTATACAGGAAGTGGAGCTTGATTAACAGATTATTATTAAATTTAAACTTGTTAAATTTAATATTAATTATTGTTTGTTCCATCTCTTCTTCTTTTTTTTTCAGTCTCTTTTTCTTCCATTTGTTTTTTCAAATATTCTCTATAATCATCTTATTATTGCTTAATAGGATTTTGTAATGCAGGTTATTATTAAAATTAACTATTTTCTCTATTATCTTTGAAATCAGATTACTAAGGATTTGATCCTTAATTCATTCTAGGTGGTTCTGAAATTCTATTCATTTCTATTGGTACATAAGGTTCTGGAGGCATATAAGGTTCATACTCCTAAGATTGAGAAGGATAAGATATTGGAACCTAATCATCTAATCTTGCAGGTGGGAGTTAAAATTAATTACCATTATTTTCTAACATTTATCCTTCCATTCCTATATTTATTTCTATTATTTACTTAGTAATCGTTCTTCTCTTTATCTCCTCTTCTCTTCCCAAATTTGATCTCGTTTAGACTTTGCCTCAGTCATTTTATTATTTTTTTAATTTATAATAAACTCATTAATTAAACTTCAATTACATTTTCAATTCTCCACTTATACATAACTATCAAAATATAGTGGAATAACTAATCAAAAAATAAAATTAATTTATTATCCTTTATCAATATTGTCTACCTCTTTATTAATTTATGAAAAAAAAATTATTATTAAGATTGAATCGCAATCAATTTACTAAATTATATAAAAAATCTTTATTTCTTAGATAATTTATTCATAATTTTGAAATTCATTCAATCTTTATTTTGTGAAGTCAATTTAATGTTTTTTGCAGAAAAACTATAAAAAAAATGTCTTTAAATTTCGCCTTTGTTTTTATAATTAATTTGTACTAACTCTTAGAATCCCTTCACTAATAAAGAATTATTTATAGAACTCGTATAAGATCATTTTAGAAAATAATATTTTAAAGTAAAAAAAATTGATATGAAAATTTATGAATATTCTTAATCAAAAAGTTTCAATCATAATATTCCCATACATTCTCTTCTAACCATTCTTCATATTTAGAAATAAAATCATGATCAATAGGTTGATTTTATAACTTCTCCAGATAATCATTTTATTTATAATTAGGTTCAACATCATGATAAGCTGGAATAGAATCTATTGTATTGTTATAATGATGATTATTATAATCAAAATGTAATTTTCTTAGTTCCTATTCCAATGTATATAATAAATACCTCTTAAGATTATATAATATCACAATTATAAATTTTATCTTAACACTTTTCAAATTTATAGAGAGAATCTAGTAATTAATCTTGTTTTGATATATTTTTATTTTCATTTTTAGAATTCTATTTATATTTACAATAAACTTCTGATATTAATTTCATAGTATTTCCAAGTTTTAAGTTTTTCTTATTAAAATTTAAAATCTAAATCTTTAATAACAAATGACTATATTTTTTAATTTTTTTGTTTTCTGGAAACATTCCAGGAAACTTTTTAATTGCTAGCTAAAATTTAAGAATAAAATTACATATTCTTTATAATCAATCAAATAATTATTTATTTTATCTGAAAAGTTATTACAAGTAATATAAATTAATTTTACTAAATTACTGACACATTATTCTAATATCTATTAGGTGTTTAGTTGATCATAATCAATTTTAGTTTAGGAAATAGTTTGAGGATTAAATTTTTCAAAAAATTTTAAAAATACTAAAACTCCATTAGCATCTGTTATTAATTATATTAAATAAGAGCATTACACCTTACAGTTATTTCTTAATTTTTTTAAAAAAAGCAACAGAAATTCAGTAATTACATAATTCAAAACGATTCTATGTCTATCAAATTCATCTATGACTTCATTTTTTTAATTTCTTAAATCTTATTATTAATTTGATTATTCTTTATATTTTGCATAATCTGCACTAGCTAATTTACTATCATTTAGATCTAAATTAAATAATAGTTTCTTTACAATATTCTTCCCACTCTCTATGAATATCAACTCCTTGTTAATTATTAGAGACAGATCCTGCTGTTTTTACTAAACCTCTAAGTAATCCAACAACGATAATCTATCCCATTTAATTTTCCTCCTAACTTAATATTAATCTTCTCTAAAATATTATTATTATTACATAAAATTATTCAGTATTTGAGGCATTTTTCATAAAGAATTTAGAAGCTTGTTTTATTGCTTTTTAATATTCAGACATTTTCAACCAATATTAACCATCCGAAGGTAATTCTTCATTTAGTTCCAGTTATAATAAGACCAAAAATATAATCATTACTTTTTTAAGAGGAATATATATAATTTTTAGAGAAAATTTGATTAATTTTAGTAAGAGAGTTTCAATTGCTTAAATATTTGAAATTTATTACTTCTATAACAATTATTTTTGCATTAAATTATTATTAATATTAAGGTTGCTAATATCCAGTTTAAAACTAGTGCTAATTATGATGGATATTAATCTTATCTATCTTCATAATTTTGAATTATTTCCATTATTAATTTTAAATCTTCTATCATTTTTGGAATATAAATTTCACTTTGAATTATTGCTTTATGATTAATTGCAATAAGCATCTTATCATTCACTGCTAGATAAGATTTCATAAATGATAAATAAATTTTTGACAATTAATTTAAATCTTTTTTTCTACCTACTTCCATAATATCAAGTGTTTAATCCAAATCCAGTGGCGCTTCTGCTTTTTAAATGTAAAATAATTCTATTTAACTAAAGAGCATGCCTAGGTTTTATGCAATCATTGAATAAATTTGATGTTTTGAAAAAAAATAAATATAACTATTATTAAATTTCTTAATTAAGTTTTTTTATGTTATTACATTTTGAATCTTTGAAATATCTTTCTTATCATTTGAACTATAATTATTTTTATATTTCAATCTATGAATAAAATTTTGAGAATAATAATAAATCTAAATTATCAATATATATTTAATTAGCTAAAATTAAGAAAGATCAATGTTAATTGTCATATGGTATAATATTTGATATTAATAAAATTAATAATAAAATTATAAAAAATATACTGAGGGTTTATAGATAGGAAATAACTAAAATTAATAAACTTCATCAACTTATAAATATTTTCAAAAAATATCATTTATATTAATTTATTTTATTTTATAAAGCATTCGAATAAAATGCATATTTCTATTTAATGATTATTAAATTATTATTTAAAAGTAAAAATGTAAAATAAAGTTCGATTGATTGAAACAAATAATAGTCAGGGTATGTTGTAGGTTCCAGAACATTTAATAGGTCAGGTCTCCAAAATTTTAAAAGATTAGTTTGGATTTTAAATAGAAGAGAGAGAAAGTGCCAAAAAAGATTAAAGACATTAAATTTTTAAAAAATAATTGAACTTACTCCTTTCATAGATAATGTGTAGCTTCAAAAATTACTGCAAAATTAATTAATATAATAACATAAAATAAGAGCTAGAAAATATATAATAGACAAAATAATTTTCTAAAAAGTTCAGTTTACACAACTTACATCAATTACTTTATGAAAATTAACTTCATTTAGAGTTTAGAGACAAATTCGAATACTATCTAAGTAGCGGCTTAGCAGAAAAAGATCTTAATGAATGTAAAAAAATAACAGAGGATTTAAAAAAATAAACAAAAAAAATAATAAGTTAACTTTTATTAGAAGTTTTAAAAAATAATAAAAATACAAGTATTTTTAAGCATCAGTTTAATAGAAAATGAATAGCCTGATTAATATTTTATCAAAATTTTAAACATTTATTATCAGTCATATTACAAAGCATCTACCATATCTGTTTAGAATCTGTTTCATGTATACTATAAACAATATTATATTATTTGAGATAATCAATGTAATTTGGAAAGTGAATGATTTCATAAGTAAAATTATAAATTAGATAGCCAGGAATTAATTCAAAAACAGCATTTATAAGTTATTTAAAGTCTTAATCTATTAAAAAGCAGTAATATTCTAAATATTTGATAATTCCTATTACAAAAACAGGTTTATATTTTAAACAATAAATTATTGCTGATGTTGCTTCTTCTGTTTGTTAAGATCCAATGATTAGTAATTTGACTGCCTCATAATCATTTGAATCCCAAAAACAAAACTCTTAAATATTTGGTAAGTCTTAAATCAAATCAAGAAGAAACATTTTCGAAATTGATTCCTAAGAGAGCATTAGTATTTAATTTAAGCTTATTTAGAAGTTAATGTTTAAATTATGAATACCATTCTACTTATTTTAAAATATAATTAGATCGTTCTTTTCTGTTTCAATCATCAATAATACTGTATCACTATTAAGGAATTATGAATAATAAAACAATTTATTTTGTTTCTGCAGGTTAACCATTTAATAAGTACCAAAATTTTAGTAAAATATGATTGCTGTCCTTTATCGAAATAATATTAAAATTTCTTTATTATATAGAGTTATATAATCAATCTAATTGATAAAATTATTATTATTAAGAGGATAATTAGATTGTTTTAATTTTTCCACTTTTTCTAAGTTATCATTAATGTGGTAGATTGATATAATAAATTAGTCTTTGTTTTATATTACTTTATAAAATAATTCTAAAAATCTATCTACTAAAATTTTTGCTTTAATGTTATGTTTTCCTTAATACACTAATTTAGGATTTCTATCCTTATCAAGTGAAATATGATAAATATATTAAAATTTTTCTTATGAATGTATTATAATAAAATTATTGTGTTTAATTGGCAATATTGTTGGTTCATTTGAACCTTTAAATGCCTTAATTTCTTTAAATTATCCATATTTGTCTTTGAAAGATTTTAAATCATCAATTCTTTAATCATCATATAAATTAAGAGAAAATCTTAAAAACTGATAAATTTCTATTTCAATGCCTTATTCAGTAATAATGTATTTTTCTTCTTTTTTAAACCATAACAAATAATCTGATTCAATATTCTTTTATTATTATAATGTCATTAACTTTTTCAAAGTGGGTCCTAATTTTTTAATTTGTAAATAAGATTACATATATTAATTTTATTTTTTATGAGAATAATTTTAAATAGATGTTATGCTAAACTAAAATAAATTCTGGAAGAAACAAATTAAGTAAAAAATCGATTTCTTATCAAAAATTGTATCAAAAAATTTGAAAATGATTAATTATGTTGATACAAGAAGCTTTTCAATGAAAATGTAATAAATCTGGGTATTTAATACTTATTCCTTAACTTTTAAAGTCAAAGCTTTCAATTGTTATTTTTTTTCAATTTTTATTATATAATTTGAGAAGTGCTTTTAAAGATAAGAAAATAATTCAAAAATTTTTTTCATATTAAAAATGATTTCAGTTTGTATTGTCGAATTTAAATAAGTCTAATTTTTAATTCAAATGATAATCAGGAGAATTCCAAAATTCATAATTTTATTTATAATTTAAATGAATTAATTGAATAAAGTTTTTATTCAAAAATAATAATTGATTTGATTCGTTATTCCTTTAGTTTCATAAGATATTCACATGAGATAAATAAAAGATTATATTTTTACTAACCAGACTATGGGTCTTTTTAATAAAGATAAAAAGTAAAATAATTTTAGAATTTCAAATATAGTTTAAGGTGACATTATCATCAAAAATATTAAAATTTAGCTAATATATATAAATTTATATTCTATAATATCCTTTTATTCACTTCAATAAAATATGATAAATAATTCATAATTTTTAAAGTACAAAGATTGTAAATAAATTTGGAAGCAAATAAAGATATTAATGATAAATCATATTAATATTATCATGCTATAATTTTTTATAAGCTTAATCTAGATTTTTATTTCTTATATATAGCAGTTAAACAATAAAAAATTTTAGAGGTCTAACATATATTTATTTAAAATTAATTATCTAAAATAATAATTATAAAATAGGCAAAGAGAAAATGAAAGATAAAAAAGGGACTTAAAAAGAATAATAAAAGGAAATATTCATCGAGTTCATTTATTTCATATTCATCATTATTATATGAAAGAATTAAGAAATAAAAAAAAAAAAAAATAATTTCAATCTGAGTAATTGAAAAAAAGTGAAATAAGTTCAATAACAATAAAATATATAAATTAATTAAGAATCCTAATATTTAATAAGAATTAGACCATTAATATAGAGCTTAGATGATTAAATAATATTGAATTGAATATAAACGAATATAAAGAAGATGTCCAAAGTAAAGTATGAATAAGCAGTAAAATAAGATTCAAATGTTCAAATTACTAAGTTTAAATGAATCGAATTAGAATATAAAGGTAGATGAATAAAATTAAATAGGCAATAAAGATATTTAACCTGAAGAAGAGAAAGAAGATTACACACTGTATAATATTTAATTATTTAAGTAAAATAAAATGGAAGGTGTATTTAATGCAACAAATTAAAAGCGTAAATACAGATAATTAATAAATAGAAGAGGAGGACTTAATAGACTGTTAGATAAACAGGATAAAAAGATTGATTAATAAGCAAGTTGTTTATTTATAAAAATAAAAAGCTTAAAATATATAATTATATATAATATATTTTATTAGATAAATTAAAAAAGAAATTGATGGCTAAAACAGCAACAGAATATTCAGATTATGATATCTCTGATGATTCTCTGGTACCTAAAATTTTTTACTAAAGCTGAAGGGAAGAATAAATCGAAGTAAAATAGATAAACCATTAATTTGCTTTTGTGTTTTAAACTTTTTTCTTAATGCAGCTGTTTCGGTAATAGCACCTTTTTACCCTCCTTTAGCTAAAGATAAAGCACATGTCTCTGTATCTACAATAGGATACATATTTGGATTGAATCCAATTGGTGCATTTTTTTTTTCTTTAGTAATGGGTAAGAAAATGTCTTAGTGGGGAAGAAGAAAGTGTATGTTAATTGGTCTAGTAAAATTAATTAATAAAAATAGGTAATTTAATCAGTGGTAGTAGTTGCATTTGGATTATTGGATTTTATGACACAAAATAAAGTTTTATTTATTACTGTTTCCTTAGTAACTAGATTTTTATAGGGAGCAAGTAGAGCTGCATATAGTAGTATCTCATTTGCTTATATTCCTATATTATGGCCTGATTCTATATAAAAAAAAATATCAATCTTAGAAACATTAACAGGGTATTCTTTAAATAAAAAAACAAAGTTTAGGTTTGATGAGTGGTCCATTTATTGGAGCAGCTTTGGATGCCTTATTTGGATATTAAATGATATTTTATACCCTGGGAGGCATATTTTTCATAGCTTTAATTCCAACAGCTATATTCTTACCTGAGGATGATCATTCTTTAAATAAGAAGTAAAGTCTTAATTCAAAACGAGTGATTAAAAATAGATAAATATGGAGTTTGGGAATGTTATTGACTATGATGTCTGCAGGTACAACATTTATTAATCCTATTTTTTCAATTCACATGAAATGTTATGGTATGGAAGAAGATGTTGCTAGTTTATTATTAGGATGGTTAACGATATCATACATCATTTGTATTAATTTAGTTCCAAAATTGTTGTAATGCATTGACAAAAAAATAATATTAACTGTTGGATTATTTTGTTCTTGTTTAGGTGATTTAATTATTGCTCCACTAAATATTTTTCCTAATAAATGGTTTATGACTGTAATAGGACTTCCATTTATTGGGATTGCAAATGCCTTTTGTGTATTGCCTTCCATACCTTAATTTATGGATTACTTAAATAAAATTTTCAACAACGATTAGCAACTAAGATTACCAATATCTGATTTATCGAGTGGATTATTTATTTCCTTTTATTCTCTTGGAACTTTTGTGGGACCAGTAATAGGAGGAATTGTTTATGATGCCTTTTTAGTTGACTAATCAAATGAAGCCTAATTAACGAGTTTCTAAAGATCTTCATATACAATGGCAGGTTTGTAAGCTTTAGTATCAATACTATTTATATTTGGGGGTGATGTTTATCAACCAAAATATAAAAGAATTAGACAGGGTGAAAATGTAGGGATTTCACTTGAAGAGGAAGATGAATTTGTTGGTTCGAATAAGATTGGAGTTTAAATGTTTAGTTCAACCTAACCTAATGTTTCTTGTGATGAGTCTAATTGATAAAATTATTGAAAAGTTTTAAATTAATTTTAATTAAAATAATAATGAATTTTAAGTTTTTAAATCTAATAAAAATTTTTATTTATATTTTAGGTCAATAATCAAAATGACTTGATTATGGATTTTAATTAGAAATAATAAATGTTAGTTAACTCAAATAATTTAAATAATCATATAGAAATCTTGATTGGTGAGATGATATATATATTAATAAAATTTGTTTTATAAAATATTTAGACTAACAATCTCATTCATACATTTTATCAGTTTTATTTTCAGGTTTGTAGTTTTTGCCTTTTTCATAGAGTTTTCTCATTTTTTCCATCTAATCTTAGGTTAATCCAGAATCATTATAATTAGTATTTTCCATAATAATTTTACCATAATTATTCCAAAAATATTCACTATTTTAATAATCTCCATAAACGATGCCTGAACTAAATCCAAAAATGAGAGATAATTCTTTAAAGAAAAATCTGCTCTTATTTTACAAGACAGGTGTCATTAATAAAATTCCAATAATAGCAATAGGGAATGTTCTTAGAGCAAAGAATCTGTAATTATAAAAATTGATGCCATTCAACAATTTTTGTCTTTCTTCTCCTTAGAGTACTTACCAAGCTTCATCAGAAGCCTTTTCTCGTAGTTATATTCTTTTTTATAATTTTTAAAATTGGATGAAGTATTCACTCATTAGAATTAATTTATTTATATTGTAAAATAATAATCAATTTGTAAAAACAAAAATTTCACATTTTGGATCCTAATTTATGTTTCCATAATTTCATTAAATTTCCTTCTAATATTTAATTAATTTTTGTAAGCAAATAAATATTTTCTCCTTCCAAATCATCTCTTTTATCAAGCACTTCCTTATTTAATTATTATTGCATCATTTATTATCTAAACTGCATATTAGGTTAGAGTAATGAGAATTCTCTACTATCTTCAGAAATGAATTTAGTTGGTTTTAATATTGTTGGTTTATTTTTATATTCTTCAATTTATTTCTTTCTATGTTAAATGATGAATTAAATAATTGTATTTTTAACATCAATATCATCTGAACATTTCTTTACTTTTTTATAAAGTTCTTCTGCAGCTAAACTTTTAACTTCTCCTTCTTCATCATAATTTCTATTTAAAAATAATTAATCAAATATTTAAAGTGATCTGTGCATATCAGTTTCTTTTTTTTCTTTCTATTTTAATACTTTCTCTTAAGCCATTTCTTCGGCTTTTCTTATTCGAAATTAAAACTAAATCTTCTTTCTAAATGAAACATATCCTACATCTCCAGTTTCTTTTCTTACTTTAGCTTCTATTGATTCATGAACTGCATTTTCTATTGCTTTATTCTTTTTTTCTTACTATTAAATATCTTTTAATAATTTATCTTATTCTTCTATTATTAAATCTACTATGTCACTCTTTGTATTATTTATTCTAAATAAATTTAATCTCTATTGAAATTCTTCCAAAGTTGGTTAAGATGCTACTTTTTTTGAACTGTTTAGAATATTTTTCGAGACCTAATACCATTAAGAATTGTTTTTATTTTCACTCTAACTCTTCTATCTTGGAGACATTCTAACTCTTTAATAAATTCTTACATTTATATATTTGATACTGATTTACGAGATATCAAGTTTTCTTATTATTTAGGTGGAAACAGCTTCTTCAATTCTTCTTCATCCTCAAAATTTGCTTTTTCTAATTTTATTGTTCCTATTTCTTAATTCAATTATAACATTCTTTCCATTTAATCCTTAAATTATACTATCCCTTTTTATTATAATGCTTTTACAATATTACTAATATTTTACTCTATTCAAATTCTTATTCTAACTATTCATCAAATGAACTTTCAAAAGAAATATCTGATCCTTCAGTGTCTTCTGAATCAAAATCCAACTAAATTTATGATTTCTAATTCATAACTAATTTATATAAATTATATAATTCAATTATAATTTAAACTTCTACTTCCTTTTTTTATCTTATATAATTCATATTTCTTATAAAAATCTTCTCTTAAAAAAACAATAATTAATAATTACTTTATCAATTCTATTCTTATTATTTTTTTTATTATTTATGAATTAATATGAATGCCAATAGGATTAGCATAATAATTTAACATGTTCCTATATTTGTATTGAACCGTTTTGTAAGCTAAAAAGAATTTCTTGTTTTTAATGTTTTCAAGATAAAGATTCTCATGAGTCTCATCAAGGTTTGGCCATCGATGAATTTTAGTAGAAAGTTAAATTTAGATTACAAAATCTAAATTAATTAAAAGATGCTTTAGATTTAACAAAAACATTATTCAATCAATTTATAAATAACTAAATTGAATTTATTAGAAATCATATCTTAGAAGGTAAAAAATATTTAGACGATAATAATCTATATAAAATTCGATTTATTAATGATTATTTTATTAGTGAATAAGATAATAGGGCACCATATGTATAAGAACAGTTGTTCAAAATTAGAAAGAAAATTAAAAGAATAAATGAATTTATTTCCAATATAAAGTGTATGGATACAAAATTAGTTACTAAAGAAATTAATGATATCAAAATTAAAGCTATGGATTGCATCAAAAGGAAATATGTTGGTCATTATAAAGATGCAATTTAAATCTTAAATAAGGGATTAAAAGAAATTCCAACATGTTGTAGTTTAATTTCTCTCAAAGTATTTCATTAAAATAAGGTAGTGTACATGTCTCATTAATATAAACAAAATTGATAGTGCTTAAAGATTAATTAATTATGCATTTTAAATTAACTGTTACGATGAAACAGTCTTATTATTATTGGCTAAATTTATGTATTTAAAAAATTAATATGGCAAATGCTTAGAAATTTGTGAATTGAGCTTTGAACCCAATTAGTATTTAGCATATTTTAAGTGTATTAATTTATTCAATATTTAGTGGATTCACTAAAATAATTATAAGAAACATAAAAAATGTTAGCATTTCAAAAAGAATGTGAAAAAAAATTTGGGTATTAGTTCTATGAATAATATTTAAAACATTAAAATATTAAACATTGAAATTAAACAAGTACTTCATTATTTTCAATTATTTTCTATTTTTTTAGTATATTTTAGATAAAAGTATTTTTTCATATAGATAATCTATTGATTAATAAATTCCTTTTAAATATATTCTACAGAATGAAAATATATTTATTTTATAAAAAATGTCATACAATTAATAGAGACAATAATAAGCATAAAAATTAGAGAATTCAAGAACTTTGCTTTAATTTACCAATGCAGTAATTGTAAAATGGAGAATAATTATATTAGGAATTACAAAATGAAATTAAAGTTTATTACGGAATGTTGGAAAGAAATGAAGAAATCAGTTCTGATAAATATAAATAAACAACTTTTAAATTTTTAAAATTTGAAAAGGAAATGAATATATAAATAGAAGAGATTGTTTCTAAAATAATTAGCTAGAAAGCAAGAAAATGAATTTTAATGTGTTTATTTTTAATAATAAGAAATTGAACAAAATTTCGATATATTTAAACAATGAATGTATTATTAGAGAAGGAGCTTTAAAAATTGGCTGCAGGTAATTACCAAAGAGCATCTGATATCAAAGATTCAATTTAAAATATTCTTTTTGAAAATTAACTCAACCATGCTGAGATAGGATTATGTTCGTCTAAAATTATGGCATCAGAGAAAAGTTTATTAGAATTTCTAACAAATCATGTTCTTGATAAAGATACTTATTATGCTTAGACTAAGAAATCTTTATATTAAATTATAGCAAAATACATAAAAAATTATGTTCAATATGTATCTGAATATTTGGAATCAATAATTGTATACTGATTTTATTTATTTAAAATTAGAGCACTTGTATTTAAAATTTTAAAAAGGAAGAATCTGGAGTAGCAAAAGAGGCATCACTATTCCCAATAATAAAAATCTATAAACATTGTGATCAATAAATTTTAGTAATTATTTTAGAAATTTTATAATTAGGTTAGATTATAAGTACATAAAAATATATTTCATATTTTATTATAAGAATGTCTTGAAACTAAATTAACAGCTGGTGTAAAAGGAAGGATATTTTAATCATTGGGTTTATTAATGAAGAGATTTAATAATGATCTTGAGGAACATGGAATTTATTTACATGCATTCTAATCTATTATTAGTTAAATTTAAAGTAGTAAACCTGAAATGGTTATAATTGAAGGTATTCTTAAATTCTTTAAACAATGTTTAATATTTCATCCTTTTAATTAAGATTAACTTGCTAAGTTATATCAAGTATTAGTCACATTTTGTAAGCCAGTAGAAGATTTATCTACATTTAAAGTACCAATAGCAGCATGTAAATGTATGAAATAGAATCTTGATTTGTTTGGACATTTTTTAATAATAAGAGCAAATGCTTTAACATTATTTGAATAATATATAAAGATTTTATAACATCGAAATAGAGATTTAAAAGAATGTGTTTAAGATTTGCTTGAATTGTTTATACAAAAGATATCTTAATAGCTTGATCATAATATAAATGATCATAAAGTAAATCTATTTATATATTTAGATAATATTTAATGTTATATTAAATAAATTTATTGAAATTTTGAATGACAACAAAGCTGATATGTTTTTGATGACTGTTATTATTAGATCTGTTGGACATTTTGCAAGAGCAATAGCAAATTTAAGAGGAGAGAAATAATTGAGTGATTTTTTTGATAAGTTAAACGATTTGGGATTTGAGAGATTATTATAGGTTTATGAAGAATTTTATAAGGAAGAAGAAGGAAATATAAAAAAAGGAGCTTAATTTAAAGTTTTGCTTTATAGATAAAAGTAATTAAATTCATTTTTGATATCGTATGCTAATATAATCAAGAATCTCACTATAATTTCAGATAAACAAATTTAACATCTATTTGCTTTATGTTCTCTTTGTATTAAATAACATTATAATTATTTTGAAAATTATAGACCTTATCTATATGATGGAATGGCAAATATTATCATATCTATATTTGGACATTAAAATATCGGAATTTAATTTATAAGCTCTTTATTATCAAAAGGAGTCATTGAAGGATTGAAATTAGGATAGAATTAACTTGATGGAGATTTATATTTAAAGACATGTTAAGAAATGGCAAAATTATGGATTGGAATTATTGAATAGAAAATATGGACATAACATTATTTAACAAAATTTGTTAAATAGTTATTTGATCAAATTGCATAATTAATTTAAAATTGTAATTTTGATTCAAATTAAAAAGAAGTAACTTAATTAGAAGAATAAAATTAATAATAATTCTCATTAAAAATTTAAGAATTTAGAAACTTTGCTGTGAATCCAATCTAACTATAATAATTTCATAGATTTATTTTAATGTTATCATCTTTAATACCTAAAATTCCAATAGAATCTGCAGTGATATCAGTTTTGAGTTTATTAAATTTAGTGTAAATTAAAATTAGGAAATATCCAAAAGCTTTATTACTATTAATATTTGCAAGAATTTTATTAAAATATATCAAGGAAACTTAATTAATGAGTTAATAATTTTTTGAAGCAAGATAAAAATAAATATTGATAAATTTAATATTTAAATTAAAAGGACTTATATAGAATAATTTAAAATAATATAGTCAGCAATTATAAATTGAGGCTTTAAATATTCTCTTAACGATACCAGTTGAATTAATAATAAAGGATAATTATTTATTACTTAAATCTGAGTATTTATAAATCATAATTAATTCATTTTAAATGAACAATAATTCATTATCTTGGAGTGCAATAGATTTATTAATTTAATTGATATAGTCTGAATATAATTAAAAAAGTTAAAAGAATTTAAAATATCTATTAAAGATATTAAAGAATGTAATTCCTAAATTATCAACTTATATGCAATTAATTCCAGAAAAAGAAAAGTCTCAGTTTACTCCAATTTAATATATAGACAGTGTTAGTCCAAATGTCTTATTATCTGAATAACACATAGATCAAAATCATATTGTAGAAAAAGTTCGTTATTTTTTGGGATCAATTGGAGGATTATGTCATTTGATAGTGGATGAGACATATAATGAATCTTTGTTAGCTCTTGATTATAATAGTCCAATAACAATCAATATTCCTGTAGGTTAAAGAAAATTGAAAATTCGATTTGGATAATTTTTGGAAAGAATATTAAATTTATGTTTATATGCTCCTTTAGAAAAATCAAAAATATATGCTTGTGAATTATTATAAGCTTTTATAATTTATATGATTGGAGATTAAGCAGTAAACGGAACAAAAGCTGTAGTTTAGAATACAAAAAAGAAATTTGAGTATGCTAATATTTATAAAAAAATGTTTCCCATTATGATCGAGATTAGTAATACAATGGATCATCCCTGTAAAACATATTTTAAAGAACATTTGACAAGGATTGTACATTGGTTTGCAAATTCAAAATAATATGAAGCCCCAGATGTAGCTTAATTATTAGATTGTTTATTTGAATAACCAATAAGTAAGGAAGATCCTTAATTTGAATAATTTTGTTCATAATTAATAGGAGAATTCATTTAATGGACTCTAAAATAAACAACACCTGATTAATTAAAATTAAATTACTCAAATATTAAAACTGTAATGAGAAGAATTATTACATATGCAAATCATCCTGATTATCGATATAAAAGTATGTCATTAGAATGTATTTTACAATTTGTAAAACATACTCAATAAGAAAAGTTTATAGTATCTAAATATTTCATAGAAATAGTAGAATAGCTTAAATTTATTTTTCTTGTAGAAGACAAAGATATAAGTAGAATAGTTTCTAATACTAATAATATAATAGATATTATCAGTAATGCTTTTGAAAGATTTACATCAGATTTATTATAAGAAACGAAAGGAAGATAAGGGAAAAATAAGACTTTATATTCTTTACATGAATTTTTACTAAATGAAGCAATGATTGGTAAAGATGGAGGATGGTAATAAGCAGCACTTAGTTTATGGTATTTAAGTATCAGTAAAACATAGAAAATAATTAAGAAAAATGCTAGAGAACTTTTAGTTGATTAAATTAATGATGTAGGTTAGAAGATGAAATTATTTCCTAAATATCCTATTCATAGATTATAAGGAGAATAGAATTATAATTCTCTAAGATAAGATGCTGAATCATTATCATGGTAATGTAGAGTTTGGTAATTTATTTGTGATAGAAATTTATTCACTTTAGATGAAATTATTTAATTTGATGATTATTTAATAACAACCTATAATATTCATCAATTTCTTAGATATTTTTTAATCAAAAACTAAAAACATATGCTTGAAGAATCTCCTTTATTTGATATGATTATGACTTTGACATAAGACAATTTCAATCCATCACAATATTTTTAAAATGATCAAACAAATCTTGATAATTGGCTAACAACTTAATTGCCTGAAAAATTAGTTGAATAACTTATAACTACTTTTGAAAGAGTATATAAATTTGTAAGAACATTCCATATTGATATTGAATAATACTATAATCTAAGTCTAGGACTTGTTATAAGACCATCTTATTTCTTAAAAGGAGTTTAATTAGACTTATATTTTGGATAAGTAAATAGTGTATGTAATGAAGCTCAAAAATTATTATCGGCTAACATTAAATTTTCTTAATTTAGATAAGTTTTAAATGAAATTTTTGATAATGAATTTGTTTCCTTTGCTTCAACTATTACAAATAAAGATTTAATTAAAGATATTAATGAATTAAAGTTCTTTTTAAATGGATTGAAATGGATTTTTAATGAATGTTCTAATGATTAAGATTGTATTAATTTTTATTAAGAATGTATCGATTAGCTTGGTTAAGTAGTTGTCAATTTTGAATAAGGAAATGATTAAATTAACAATATTGAATATGTTACTTATCTTTTTGAATTTTTACTCTCAGAATAAAGAGCTAAAAATTTTGTTATTTCTAATTTAATTAAAGCATCTGATTTTAGATAAAAAAATGAAGAATAACTTATTGGTTTTATTGCTAAATATTTTGAATCTGTTGGACAAACATATTTTTAGTATATTTGTAAAGAAGTTCATTTATTTAGATAAGGAATAAGATTAGTTAATAAAGTTCCAGAAAATTAAATTCATCACTTTTACAATTTCTAATTTAAAGTTAATAGAGAAAATTCAGCTCTTTTACAATTAGAAATTTAAATTAATAACATCATAATAAATTAAACTAAAAATATAAACAAAGAATATGTAAAGGGTTTATTAAAAGAAGGATTTAACACTAGCAAATCAATTGATATTCACACAGATTCCTTGATATTATTTGGATTGTATATTAAACATATTGACACAGATTTACCTAACTATTTAAATGATTTAGCAAATAAATACTTTCCTATTAAGATTTCCGATTTAAAAAAAGGTTCAATAGAAGAATCTAATTTTAAAGAAATTTTAAAGAAATTAACTGAAATGATTAAACTTTGTGGATAGATTTAATACATTGAAGTCTTATTTCCTCTTCTTAGATAAGATTTAAATTTTGATTATTTTATACAAGAATTTTTATAGATAAATTAGGAGTCCTATTCTTAATTAAAATGGCTTATGCTTTAAATAAAGGATGAACAATTAGATACAAATCCACTTAATAATGTGAGAATAGCTTTAGGAAATAAATTATTAATTCCACTTCTTAGTAATTCTAAGTTATTACTTGAGTTTTATTCAGAATTTACACCTTATATTTTGTAATAATTAAATGTAGTATGGGATGATAATTGGAAGGTCATGATATTTTAAATATAATGGAGAACATTGATGTTTGATTTATTTGGAATTGCTTATAAAAAAATGTCATCAGAACAAATAAAAAAACAGTTACATTAAAATCTCAAATTTTAAGCAGATAATGAAATAACTAAGAGATTGATTTTGGATTGTAACAAAGCAAGCAAATTTAAATTTGAAAAAATTAATATTTTGAATATAAATTAAAAGGAAATCTTATCTTAAGTTAATTATGTAAAAGTAGTTGAAGATTATTAATGTAGTGCTTTTATTACTTATATTTATGTTTTGATGAAAACACAAACAAAAGAGAATATATTTTATGCACATTTATTTAAAAAAGAAAGAGATATAAATTATTGGGATAATTTCATTAATAAAGATTGGCAATTTAATTTTTAAGTTGAAACAAACTTTGAAGAAAAACCACTTTTTACTGAAGTGAGAAAATAATAATAAGATTATTTTTAAGAGAAAATCGTTAAGAATTATTTATACACTGCATCATCATTATCAGTAGAACAAGTTACAGAAACAAATATGGAAGTAGAAGAGGAAGATGAAAATATATAGAATACAGTATAAGTATAGAAAATTGAGATGGATGAAGTTAATAAACATAAATTGATGATACCATTATTATCTTTAATAGAATTTATGGCCAATAAACAAAATTTCTAATAAATGCTTGGCTAATAATAAACTTAATAAACATAATAATAAGAAGAAGAAATGCCAAGTTGGATGACGGCAATTAAATCAGTATTTAATGATGATAGTCTATACTTATCATTAAAAATATTCATGTTGAAATTGATTATTAATAAAAGTGATATTTTTAATAAATATGCATCAGGATGGATTGGAGTTTTATTGGATTATTGTACAAAAGAAAATAAAATTAATGGAGGAAAAGGATTTCATTATTTTTTAAGAGATGTTATTGTTGTTCTTATTAAATTTTCATAAAAATAAGAAGTAAGATAAGAATATCTTTAAATGCATCCTTAATCCAAAAATAAAATATGTTCAGTTATCAATAATTTGATAATGTTATCTGCAGATAAAAATAGAAAAATTTTTGATTAGAATATTGAAATTATTGGAATGTTTGTCTAATTATATAGAGATTAGATGTACATATGTGATAAGTTGATAGTAGATATGATTTGCAAAAAGCCTGAATAAAAAAATTTATAAATAGAACCATAAACAGAAGATAATTCAGTTTTATGGTAGGCAAATGGATTGGCAATTTTACATATAGCATTATTAAATAATGTAGTAATTTTATAGGATTATCCAGAATTTGTTAGAACAGCAAATTCATCAGTATATGAAAGATATAGATTTATATTATAAAAGTAGTCCCATAATATAAAGTTTCCAACAGATCAAATATATAGAATGGCATGCACATACACAACAAAAAAACATGTATTGAAAGGTATAGCAAATGTATATGGAAGTGTTTTATAATGTTGTTAAAATTTGAAGATTTCTGGAGGTGAATATGAACAAGAGATAATAAATATAGTTACAGGAATAAAGGCAGATAGTAGACCAGGATATGGAAAAGAAAAATTTACAACATTTATGAAGATTATTACTTTTGTTTATCCAAAGGTATTAGGGAACAATAAATTATTTTAAGAAACAGCAAATTTAATTGTTTAGGCATCAAATAAAGAGAGAGCTTAGATATTAATTATATTTAGTGAATTTTTGGGATAGATTGAAACATCCACATAAGATCCTGAGTTTTTTATAAATGAGATAGTGGTATCTATAAGTGGAAGTATAGATAAGGTGATTGAAGATTAAGAGGAAAGTGTGCATTATGAATTATTAAATTTATTAAAGTAATTAGCATAACTAAAATGTTTAAATGCCTGTACAGAATTGATTTTACATTGTTTTAATTAAATTTTAGATAAAATAGATTAAAAATATGGTATAGATAGAGATATTGGAATAGTAAAAATATATTAAAGTATTTTAAAATTGTTACATGAATATTTAATAAATTATGAACATAAGGAATTGTAAGAGAAAGTAACAACTTATATATTATCATTGTTTACTTCTCAACATGCAGAGATTAGAACATTATGTTTTAAATATTTATAGGATGATTTAGAGCGTAAAGCAATTTAATTGCAATATTAAGCTGGTTAACAAACAAGTTAGATAGATAGAGTGATTTCTTTAATGAAAGATATATATTAACCATCAAAAGAGACATTGTGGTTGAAAGGAGCAGTACCTTTATTATTGAGTTAGAGTACTAAAACATCAGAATATGATTCATTTGTGTTTGATAAGAATTTAAGTGATGAAGCTCATTATTATGATTAAGAATTCAATAATAAAAAATATTTTAGATAAAACAATATGTCATAGATGGCAGGAACTTAATTTGGTTCTTAATATACTTCATCATCTTAATTATTAAGTTAAGCTATTGGAGCTAGTCAAAATAATTAAGGTAATAAGAATATTGGGAATTAGAAATAAATGATAAGAGCAACTTAAGAGATAATTCAATAACAATCATAATATCTTGATGAAGATGGATTTAGAATTCCAACAAAATCTAATAAATCTCATCTTTCTTAGTTTCTTTAAGCTAATGAAATAAGTTTTTAATAAATTTAATTAACATCAAATAATTAAATTCGATATAAACCAGAATCTGCTTCAAGTCAAAGAGATGTATCAAAAAAATATTATAAATTAAAAACACAATAATCAACTTCATAAATGTATAATTAAACATAAGAAGGATTTGAAAAATTTGTATAAAATAGAGTTCGCTAGTATAGAGAAGGAGATCTACCAGATATTAAAATTAAACATAAAGATATAATAGATCCTTTAATAGTTTTATGTTTTGAAGATGAAGAATTAGCAGGAAGAGTATTTACAGCTTTATTTTAAGAATTGTATGATAAAAATACTTCAGCTGAAACTTTATATGAAGTTCTTCTAGGATTATTGTAACGATCATAATGTAAAACATTTATTTTTATTTCAACTGTTTTGAGAACTTTACATTAAGTCTTGTGTAAATCTGGAATTTTATTACCTGAAAATAAAATTGTCAAAAAGATAGGATTAGAATCATTAGCTTATTATTAAAGCATGATTTTAACTGAGGAATGTATTTTAAGATTGTAAGAAGATAATGAAAATTTAGAAATCAGAAAATCATTCTTTTGGATGGATCTTATGGATTTACATCAAAGTTAAGGTAATAAAGCTTAAATTGAGGGAATCATAAATGAATTGTTCAAAGATAAACCTGCATTTGATTCTATTAAATAAGCTATGGATTTAAAACATCAATATTCATATGTTAGAGCAAACTAATAGTTAGAAGAATTATTAGAGGAAATTCATTAGGAAGGATATGATGAATTAACTATAGATGGTAGAATGGTACATTATTTATAATAAGAGTTTCAAGATACATGTATGAAATTAGGATAATGGGAAAAATTAGATTCTTAATTAAAAGATGTTACTTAACTTACTGATAAAGAATTAAATGCAGATTTACCTTTAATTAGAAGGACATTACATAAATATATGTCAATTAATAAAGCTGGTGAATTTGACCTTCAAAAAGCTAAATATTTAGATAGGAGAACTGAACATCTTTAAGATGAATTTTTATTAGAAAAAACTCTGATTCTCATTTCTGAATAAGATATTGATTAATCTAGATACTTTCTTTAAAAAGCATAGAAAAAGTTCTTAATATAGTGGTCAAGTTTATTATCTTAAAATGAATTGCTCTCTAAATAACTTAGACATAAACATTTAGAATAATTATAAATAATGCATGAAATGGGTGAAATATAAAGTATATATAGTGGAGTAGAAATTGATATTGATAAAAAGATGTAAATTTTTAATACTTGGTCTGTTAGATCTCCATCTCTTTAAGATAGTTTATATACTTGGAATAGAATTTATTAAAATCGTTTAATAATGGCAAATTAAACACATCCAATTTTAGGTATGTGGGCTTTATAATTTGCAAAAGGTGTTGTTTAAATGAATCTTTTTTAATAAGCAGCAAATTTATTGTCAATTTGTTTTAAAATCTACAAATGTGAAACATGGAGTACTTATTCTACCTTAGCCAAACTAAAATTAAAAGAAGAAAGATTTGAAAGTGATCAAAGAGATTTAGAAACTATATTATAGAAATTAAATGATAATTTTGATAGATATGATTAGCATAAGAAATTAAAGCTTTTTTTCTGTTAATAAGCATAAAAAAATACAGATAAATCAGTACAATTTAGATTTAATATGCTTCCAATTATTAGTAATCAACATTATCTTAAAATAAATTAGGATGTAGTTTTTATGTTTAATCAAGAGAGTAGAAAACACAATAATCGTTATGATTTTAATCCTTTCTATTAACGTTATGCTGATGCTATAATGCAAACATTTAACGGATATTTAGAATTACAAATATAATTACAAGAAGAAAATATAAATCAATCTAAATTTTATAATAAAGCTGCTTTGTTTTGTGAAAGATGTTTAAGAGTAATTGAACCTGATTCTGGTGGTTCTAATGATTTAAGAAAAATTTTAGAAAATAGAAATATTAGTTTAGATATGATAGCTGATTAATTTGTTAGATATACAATAAATTCTTTTAAATTTAATTCAAATCAATTAAATAAGATTGAAACTCTTTTAATAAAAGTATTAAAAGTAGTTTAAAAATTTCCAAATTAAATAGGTCCAGTATTTTAAGATGCTGTAGAGAAGGGTCATTTAAGTACTTGGATTTTCTTATAATATTTACCATAATTAATACATTTAATTAATGATAATATAAGATATTAGTATTTTAAGAAAATCTTTGATGATTTTGTTAAAAAATATCCTCAATAATTTGTATATTAATTTAATGTGACATATTAAATTAGAAAAGAATTCAAAGGTGATTCTGAAGCAAGTAAAATGTTTGATAAATTACATCAATAGATTCCTAAAAATTATGCTTTTATAGAAGCATTAAATTAATTGACTCATCCAGAACATAGATTATAAGCATATTTAAATTAAATAAAAGATAATTCAGAAGATATTGAGATAATAATAGATAAAATGTAAGAAGATTTTTATTCAAAAAGAGAAGATTTCTATGGTAGTTATAATTTGGCATATATTTAGAAAAAGAAAAATTCACTTAATTAAATATTAAGAAACAAAGCTGATTAACATTTTATAAATTAGTTAGCAATAGAATTATAAGATGAAATAAAATCATTATAAATAAAGAATTAATAAATGGTACATGATATGTCTCGTTGGTTTTAGAACTTTAATGAAGAATCAATAGATCAAATAGGTAAATATTAAGAGATTCTAATTCCAATGTAATTAAATGGGATGAATGAATTGGATATAAGAATGATACCAAAAATAGCTAGTTTTGATTAAGGGATGCTTGTCTTATCATCTATAAGGAAACCAAAGAGAATAAAGATATATGGAACAGATGAAAAATAATATTTATTTTTAGTAAAAGGAGGAGAAGATTTAAGATTAGATTAAAGAATAGAATGTTTATTTGATGTTATGAATAAAATATTACCAGATTCAGATCTAAGTACATATGGAGTATTTCCAATGACTAAATTATTTGGTATGCTATAATGGGTAGATAATACAACAGTCATTAAAGATATTATAGATAGAGAACATTAAGAGGAAGAAGGATTGGAATTATTTAAAAATAAAGCTTTAACTAAGAGAGATGAATATGTTGCTAAAGCAGCTAAAAGATAAGGATAACATTTTGAAAAAAATAAAGGTTGCGAAGTTCTTGGTGTATTATAATGTGAAAGTGCAAATGATATTGTTACAAATTTTAATGAATAAAAAAAATATGTTAAAGATACATTATTAAGAAATGGACTTAGTAAATTAAGTGCAAATTTAGAAGCATTTGTTTTTATTAGAGATAAATTCCTTATTAATTATGCAGGTATTTGTGCTTCTGGTTATATACTTGGTATTGGAGATAGACATTTAGAAAATATTTTGTTAAATTATTCAAATGGTAATTTAATTGCTATAGATTTTGGATTTTCATTTGGATAAGGTTTAGCTTTACCTATACCTGAATTAATGCCATTTAGATTAACTTAAGTATTTGAAGGATTAGCTAAACCTATTGGATTAGGAGGATTATATAAAAGTTAATTTGTTAAAGTTATGTCTGCTTTTAGAAAAAAAAGACATATTTTACTTGATTTTTGTGAAGTAATTATTTTTATTATTTTTTAGGTCTTTATTAATGATCCTTTAATTGAATAAATCAAAATTGGAAAAAATAAAGGAATGTCTGATGAATTTAGATAACGTTTAGAAGAATAATCAAAAATTGAAGAATAAATATATAATAAAACTGGAGATTCTATGAGCATGATTTCATTAGATTAATAAAGAATTAAAGAAACTTGGTATCCAAGAAAGAAAATTGATATTGTTCATAAAAAACTTATTGGAGTTCATTGTTCTTTAATTCTTTTAGAGGAATTTGATGAATCTAGACATTAATCAGCTAGATATGCTGATAATTTAAGAAAGGCTATTTAAGGCATTAATTAAAATAGATTAAGACATTAATTCTAAAAACATTAAACATTATCTGTTATTTAATAAGTTGATTGTTTAATTGATTTGGCTACAGATCCAAATATATTAGGAAGAGCATGGAAAGGCTGGGTTCCATTTATATGAAAGTATTTCATTAATTTTAAGTAATTTATTTCATATTCAAAATGCTTTACTCTACTAATTTAACCATTTCTATTATATCATCTAACAATTCATTTCTATACATTGCTTCAATTTTCAATTTAGGACCGCATTTAAAACATTCTTTCTAATAACCTTTTTTACATTCAAAACAATAAGAATGACCACATGGAATTATTGTTACTGGTTATTTAATAAATTTATTGCAAAAAGTACAAGCAAGACCTTTTTAAATTTCTTTCTAAAAATTTAAAAATCATAAAATACATGTGTTTTTTCTAATATACCAATAGTCTCTATAACTTATTACATATTCTTAGGTTTTGAATCACCTAATTTTTTATTACATTCTTCTATTTTTTAATTCAATAACTTAATTTCTGTTTATTAATCTTTTAGTACTTTCTCAGATTCACCAATAGATTTTGTAATTTATTCTACATAATTTGTCTTTTCTACTAAATTTTTAGAAGTTGTTTCAATTTTTTATTTATATTCTTCAATTTATTGATTCAATTGATCAAAATTTTTAACTTAAATATCAAGATTTCCTTTCCATTAATTAATTTCTTTCTTATATAAAAAATGAATATTCGTACATCTTTTGATTTGTTTTATTCAGCCAATTATTATTTCAATTAATTGATTACTTCTTATAATTTATTATTCTAATCTTAAGAGTTTTAAGGCTATTTCTTAATTTGTTCTTACAATTGGCTTTTTTCTTTCTATAATTCCTTAACCTTATTCTAAGTACTATTGTATTCAGCTGATAAACATTCTTCCTTAGCAATGTATTCTTTTTTATATTGATCCATTTAATGTTTTATTAATTACTTTTCTGCTGATATGGATTCTAAACTTTTTTTAAGTTCATCCATTATAGCCTATGATTTATACTTTTTCTCCTAAGAAATATTATATTACTTTTATACTTCACTTTTTCTAATTAAGTCTTTGAATTTTTTAGAATCATCTGGCATTTCTTCCTTTGATTTAATTTTATGAGCTATGTCATTCAATTAGGTATTAAGTTAATCTACAGTTTAACTTAATTAATATTCTTTTGACTGAATAGCTTTTTAAACGGTTTCTAATTGCTATATTTTATCTCTTTCCTTATCTGTACTTGCTTATCCTATATTTTTATTTGATTCATGGATAGACTTAAGCTTTTATTAAACAGCTTAATATTATATTCCCAAGTCTTATAATTGTCTAGTTTTTTCTTCATTTAATAATTTCTCTTTTATCAATTCTTGTCTAACAGATTCAAACCCTTTTTCAATAGTAAAAATCATATCATTTCGTTATTCAATATCTTTATTGTATTGCTCTAATTTATTATCAATTTGTTTAATAAATTATGACTCAGCCATTGGACTTTGTTTTTTCGATTTCTTATTGAAGTTTTCAGTAGCTAAAATTCATATGCGATTGAATTATATACTTCCAAACTTCAGTTTTCTAGATTGTGTATGTAAACGACCTGGAAATTATTCATCTTCAGACAACCGTGGTAATTGTTATTGTTAGCGCATTAATTATTAATCATAAATCAAAGAGGTAATAGTTTCAAACTTAAAATCACATAGCTCAAAAAATAGAGATAAATGAGTAAATCAATTATAAACTATTCCTAATCTAAGAAAAACTCAATAGACACTAAAATGAATAGAAAAGACTAATAAAAAAATATTAAAATTGTTATTTTTTACACATATATCATTTTTGTAATAATTCTTTTAGATTACACACCAAAAAATTTACTAAGAACTAACTATCAATAAATGGATTTCATTAAAAATTACTTAAATTTAAAATAAAAATTCTTTATCATTATTCTAAATTCTTTTGTTAATAGATTAAATTTAAAAATGAAAAAAAACTTAAAAAAGTACTCATTCTTCATATTATAATTATCCATATATTATAAATATATCAAATCTTTAATTTGACCTTTCCATTCTCTAATGTAATTTAATCTATCTCTTCCTTTTCTTATAAAAATACATCTTCTTAATTGACTTTCACTTATTCTCCATCCTTGAAGGCAGGTAATCCTATATTTATATAATTTATTTATACCTCTATAGGGACAATTTGCACAACGAAAAGCATCGCCTAAATAACAACTACCGCAACCTTTTACAGAATTATTTTTTAATTATTCTAATAACTACTCTTAATCTTATTTTTCTCTAAAAAAATAATTTAATTTTAATTCTTACTCCATTTCTTTTCTTCCACAAGTACAATTTGCACATGCTCTAGGTTTAGTTGCACAACTTTCTACTTATTTTACTTCCACACCATCATTTAATAACTCATTTTCATCAATTATTTCTTATTTTTCATTTACATCTACTTATTTGAATAAATTTATTTGGTTTTAGAATTTCTATTCTATATAATCATATTTTCCATAACAATTATTGAAGTCTTACAATGGAACATTCATTTTCTTAATTTATAATACTTATTTTTTAAACTTCCCTTGACCTTAATTATACAATCCACTTGCTTAAAGGTATATTTCAATCTATTCATTAATTTCACCTTCATAAATTAAAACTCCCTCTTAATAATAGATTCAATATATTTACGATCTTTTAAAATCTAAGAAATCTAAACTGCATCCTTGAGTGTTATTTATTAATTACATTCAATCTTATTGAATGTATTATCTCTAAAAAGGTGTATTTAATCTAAATTGGTAATTATCAGTGAATCACTTATAGAGGATTGTTAATTATTTGTGATTTTAAGGTTCATTAATATAATTTAAATTATAAATGCCAAAGGTAGTTGATAGCTATGTTCTTGAGAGAAGTATAGGAAAAGGATAATTTGGCGAGGTGTTCAAAGGATATAATAAGCAAACAAATGTTGACATAGCAGTGAAATGCGTAAAGAGGTGTTAAATATATCAAATTATTAGGGAACTGCTAAAAGGGAAGTTTACAGAGTTGTTAGAAAATGAAATAAAAGTGCTGAGGACTTGCAATAATGATAACATTATTAAGTTATATGATATAAAGAAGACAGCTAACAACATTTATTTGATTATGGAATACTGCAATGAAGGTGATCTTTCATGTAATAATAATTATCATTTAAATTTAGAGTACATAAAATAGAAGAAATTTTTACTAGAAGAAGAAGCAGTTGATTACTTACTATAGATTCTAAATGGCTTTAAAACACTTGTTAAGAATAAAATAATGCATAGAGATTTTAAATTGGCAAATATCCTAAAGCATGATGGCAATATAAAAATAGCTGATTTTGGATTTTCTAAACTTTTGAATGACAATCAAGGATTTGCAACTACAATGTTAGGATCTCCTCTCAATATGGCTCCAGAAGTACTTAATAGTTAAGAATATGACAATAAGGCAGATATATGGTCTATTGGTACTTGTTTTTATGAACTATTATTTGGAAAGTCTCCATTTACAGCTATTAATATGGTGGAATTATTAAAAAACATATAAACTAAACAATTTGTTATTAATAGAAAAGTGAATAATATTTCCCCTATTGCAGAAGATTTATTAAAAAAAATGCTTGTAGTAAATCCTAAAAATAGAATATCTTGGGAAGATCTATTTAATCATGAAATAAATTTCTATCAAGAGGAAAAGTTAAAAAAAGATTTAGAAACAACACTAAAAGGTGGAGAATTAATGATGAATATGAGTAAATTCTATATTAAAAATAATATGGTTATTGATCATCCAGCAGAAATTAAAAAAAAGGAAGATTTAAATAATTTTGCTATGTAAGTAGCTTAAAAGGGTCCTTAAAATCAATAATAATAATATGTAGGACCTCTATTAAAGAAACCACAAGAAGAAAATAATCTTGCTAGATAAGATTCAGCTAAAACTGTTTAAAGTACTTAAGGAGCTGTTTAAGATATTGGTAATGAAGAAGTTACTGATAAAGAAACTTAAAGAGAAAAAGAAATTAAAGCTAAAAAAAGAAATGCTAATAGAATTTTACATGAAAGAAATATTTATGTATTTCTTGCATCTGTTGCTGAAGAAGCTATGAATAATTAAACTATTCAAAATTATGATGTTACAGGCTTCTTACTTGTTAAGAAATTATTATAATTAATTGATTTCCTTAAAACTATTCTATAAGATAAATAAAATTGTTATGGATTAGAGTAATTTATTATTTATATTAATATTATAGATTTTGGGAATAATTTACTTAAAGCAAAGACTATAAAGATATACACACATATATTTCTAAAGAATTTGATGTATTCAAATCCTATTTTGATTCAATCTATGAAAAAATTAGTATTTAAATTCAATAAAGACCAAAAATAGATGAAGCTATTAAATAAGCTATTAACAATAACTTTAAATAGAACAATCAATAAATATTAGTCAAATGCTTAGTAGAATACTCAAAATTATTGATTGAAACTCTTAAAAAAATAAATGCTTAAGATCAAGTAATTCATATATATGTATATATATTAAGAATCGATAATAATGGATTCATGCTGATAGAGTGTTAGACTGTATTCGATTAGAAGAAACTTTTTAATTTGATGACAAAAATACAAATTAATAATTCAATTTCAAATAATATTATGAAAATGACAATCTATTAGAAATAGAAGCTTTATCTAAAAAAGTGTTGTTAAAGTTTGAGAGACTTAAATGAATTATAATTATCTGATCAACAAATATATAAATTATATTATGTACAATTTTATTATTATATAAAACATTAATGTCTAGAAAACCGCTTGAAGCACCTCCTTTGTCTGATAGATCATAATTGAGAAGAATCAGCTAAAAAAGTGTAGATGAATTGAATTAAGTATTCATTTTATGTATCTAGACTCTTCATGCTCGTATTAATAGTATGGTTGGATTAGATGAATAATTAAATACTAAAATTAAATAACTTCAATCTAATACCTTTACAACTAAGGATTTAACATCTATAGGATTATCTCTTTAAGACATGGTTACCACTTTGCAAAAAGTCTCCTTTAATGAAATCATGTATAATCAACTTTTAAGGGAAAACGAAAAGTTAAAAAGTGAACAATCATATTTGAAAGCCTAATTATTTAAATTTAATCAACTAAACTCTAAATTTTAAAAAGAACATTAACTCTTACTTGAAAAAATAAGAAGTCAAGAAGCTGATATTAATAATCTTAATAAGAAATTAATTGCAGAATAAAAACTTAATGAGGAATTATGTATAAGAGTCAAATATTCATAGCTAAGAAATTAAAGAGATCTGAATAAAGAGTTTAAATTATATTAGAATCCAATATCACTTTATAAAAAGATTAAATAAAACATAATTTGATTGAAGTTTTATCAGAAAATGAACAAATTAAGAAAGATGCAATATAAAAATAAAAAGATTTCTAAAAGTATATTTTTTATTAAATTTACAGACTTCAAATGGTTAACAATTCTTTAAATTAAAAAATATACAGATTGAATAATAGATTTTAAATAAGAAGCAAAATTTAAAATGAAGAAGATTTTATAGATTAGGAGAAGATGGTGATAACATTTACAGAAATTCCATAAAACTTTGTATTTAGACATGTATTCTAAAATCTAGAATGCAAATGTAATAAATATTATTCTAACTAGAATTTATATAATAAGTTTTAGAATTCTCAGCAGAAGATTTCATACTTCATATGAATTAACTAAATCCTGAAAATAAGAAGATGTAATTAACTTGGTTATTTAATCATATGATAAATTATAAAGAATTCAGCTTAGCTCATAATGTATTTATTATTAAGCTATCTAAACTCATGTAAATTTATTCGTATGATGAAATGCATAATTTCTTTACAACATTGTCTTCTTTTTTCAAAGTTTCTCATGTTTATTTATGGCTACGAGATTTCTAAACAGGATTCTTTATCAATTAAATTGATGGAAAATAAAAAAAAATAATTTGTGCAAAAGGTGTATTTAGAGATAGTTTAGAAACTAGAGAATCAGTAAATAAATTAACTGCTCATAAACATATTATTTATTAAAATGAAACTGGAGAAGATGTTTATCAAGATAGCACTTATATCTTTCCAATAATAACAGATGCTGCTCTTCCAGCTGGATTAATAGAATTTCATCATCCTATTCAGAGTAATAATTTTAGTGATATCTAATATTTTGCATCAATTGTAGGGTTGTATACTAAAATATAAATTCAAAAAATTGATGAATAGACTTAAAAGATCTCATTATTAAAATAAACAGACCTTTTATAAAGCTAATTTTTAAAATTAATTCGAGCAAAAGATAAATTTCATTTTCGTGAACTAATGAAAGAAATGTAATGTAAAATTATGCAATTATCAACATCAGAAATAGTTTTTGTTGAAAATAATGGTCTATGGAAATATTATAATGAAGAAATAAAAAAATTAGATAGTTTAGCTGGAGTATGTGGTTAAGTAGCTATTAGTATGCAACCTGCATATTTTGCAAATATTTCAAAGGAACTTAATTTTAATCAAATTGTTGATATGTATTCAATAGCACCTATATTCATTTATCCTATTGTTCATAATAATAAAACCTTTGCTCTTATTTAAGTATCATTAACAAATAAATAAATTGATAAATATAGATTTAAAGATCCCCTAGTCAGTTTATCATGCTAATCTAATCAAGCAAGACTTTTTTGTGATTATGTATCTACTGCATATATTCACAAGTTTTTATGAAAGTTAGATATGCATAGAATTATAATGTAATTATATAAAATTTAAATTCTCAGCAATATATTATAAATCAAATAATAATTAATGTAAAGAACTGATATATTGATGAATAGAATCAATATCTTAATAGTGTTTTTAGCAATTTGTCTCTTTCTTGCCCTTTTTGGGAGAAAATCAACAGAAGATTAAAAAATATCAGAACATTTTGAACCTGAAGTCACAGAATCAGAAATTCAATATTATTTAGAAAATGATATAAATTATAAAGATAGTGATTAATTTGGAATTCAAACTATTTAAGATTGGCTACCTATTTAATCTGAATTAGCTTAGTTGAATTTGGCTTTAGAATACTTTTCACGCTTAAATTTAGAATAAATATTGAATAAGCAACCTTAATTGGAAGAATAGGTTTAGTAATGTTAAGATTTAAATTTGAATTTAGAACTAGAAATTTTTTTGAATCAAACAAATTAAAGCTAAATATCGCCTATTAATTATGATTTACTTTTTGATAAAAAGAAAAAATTGAATGAAGGAATATTTCATAAAAAGGCTGAATATGATAGCTTTTTAATAGAAGAAAATGAATTGAAATTAATTTGTGCTTAGTATTAAATTAGTGAATCAGAAACCAAAAAATTAAAGATGAAATAAGCATAATTTGATAAGATTATTGGAGAAATTAAAGAATTGGAATAATCTATTAATGATTTGAAACTATAACTTTAATCTTATTTGTAGGAGAAAGGAGATTAAGAAGATTTAACAAAAGAATATTAAAAAGATTAAGAATTAGCTAAAAATATGAGCAAATTATTCAAACCTGCAGGTACAAAATGGGTAGAAATACGTAATCATTGGTTAGGAGGAATTTTAAATGTATTAGATAGAAATATGAAATAATATACTAGAACTGAGGTATTCTTAAATGGTTTAAATTTTCATCCTGAAATGTAACAATACTATATTGAAGAAATTAAATAAACTATATAAAGAAATTAAACAATTTTAGAATACAGAATAAAAGAAAAATTAAATTTAGAAACAGAAATTGGATCAATAGAAAATAAAAGAACAGAAAAAAATTAAAGTTATAAAAATGCACTTAACAGATTAGAGTAAATAAGGAGGAAAAAAAGTGAATTACTTTCTTAAATGTAATAAGAAAAAAAAGAATTAAATGAGATTAATTAAATATTAAAGAATTATAATCCACAAAAAAATTTCTAAAATAATGACCAGTAAGATGCATAAAAGAAATTAAGAGGTATTAATATATATAATTTAGAATTTTTATATCAAAATTTAAAAGAAGATTAACTATGTGTTGAGAAATGTATTCAATATAATTCTTTAAATTAATAAATTTCAAGTAGAAGAAATTAAGTTTCATTGGATTCAATTTAAAAGCATTTTAAATAATTGGAATAGAAATTCAAGGAATTCAATTAAAATTAATGAAAGATATACATAAAAATTGATGTCAATTTTTACATCAAACTAAACTTTAAAGCAATTTATTTTTTTTATCAATTTAAATTTATTATGCAGTTTGCTATCCTTTGATAGAACTTTGTCTTACTAAAGGTCTTCCTTTGAATTCATTTTGATTATCTGTTTCTATCTTTTAATCTTTGTTAGGATCTTCAGAATGTATTTTTAGAATTTTCTCTTCTTCTTAAGGGTATTAAGATAATAATTCATAATTGTCTTTTTTCATTTTTTCAAGCATTTTAGGATCTTCCTAAAGTTTAGTAGATATAGTCTTTCTTTGTAAGACATCTCCAATATTAATTTTTTCCTCTTAAAGCAAAGCTTATTTTGCTTTATTAACAGATTCTTTAGACATTGGAATAATTGAATTTGTATTAGTATTTCCTTTTCTTAAATCAGTAGCTAAATATATAATTATAATAAGATACCAAGTTATCTTAAAGCAAATAAAGATGTTTCTTATTCTTATGTTAAACCCAAAAATGTAGATTATTTATTAACAATTCTTGGTGTTCCTAAACATAAAGTTCTTTCTTTATCACTCATCTGGCTTAAAACATTATTCATTCTATTTCCACCAATAGTTTTTTCAAACATTTATTTATTTTTTTCTATTTATTCTTATTTATCTGTTGATTCAATTTTTCCATTTTTAGTATTTTTTTAAATAATGTTTAATATACTGCTATATTCAACTGAATACTTCTTACAAATCTTATCTTAAAATTCAACAAATTCATCATCTTCTGTTATTTATTGAACTTTATCAAGAATAGATTTGTATATGATTTTTTTAGCCAAAAATGCTGCTCTCAAAGATTGTATACAATCATCTGGTAATTTATTTACATCTTCTGCTTATAATTGATAAAGCTAACAATTATAATGAATTGATACCGTAGATTCGCAAATAGATATACTTCCATATTCTGATTCTTAATCAAATAATAATTTTTATTCATTGAAAACTCCAACATTTTGAATACATCCAACTATTACAAAATTATGACTTTTTGTCGTAGTAAAAATTAATGTTGTTCCTTTTGTTTAAAAATATACACTAGCTGTTCCTCCTCCTGGAACTGTCATTATACTTCCAAACTTTTTTTTAGTTTCCTTAAATAATGGCAATAAAGATTATTTTTTTTATATATCAAAAGATCTTATAGGGATACAACGTTGTAAATTTTATGATTTTATTTCCAATTCCTATAATTCAGCACTCTATTTAATAACAATAGTTCAATACATTTTTAAATGAGTTGAATAATTATCTATCAACCTAAAAAGCTATTGCTCCTTTTCCAAATTCGACTTCTTCATTTTATACAACTTCTGCCTTTTTATATACTCTTGTCTTTGATGATAATTCACCTAATTATAAATCATTTTCATACCTTCTTATACTAAATAAATAGGATTTGTTCCATCATTACTTGTAGCTATTTTTATATGCTTTATTATCTAATGTTATCATGTTTTATTAACTTCATTAATTTAATCTCCTTTCAGATTACTCTCTAACCACATATATGCTGTTGGACCACTAAAATTCTTAATACAATGCTTAATATAAACAACATCATCATCTGTCATATTTGAACCTATAAAATTATATTATTCCTATTCTTGATACCTTAATCTAATATTTATCTCATCTATTCCTTTCTTATATCATCCCAATTTGTTTTTGTGGTAATTTAAGACAATTTTTATTACATTGTAGCAATAAAATTAATTAATCAATATTTTATACAAGTTTAAAGATATTATTTCATCACTACTACACATTTTATTTAAAATATATTATATCAAATTTTAACATATCAATTAAATTATTTGTATGTAATTTTTCTAATTTTATTATTAAAATTGTTTTATTTATTAGATCCCAGAATTCTTAAATTGTATTCTATCCATTAAACTTCTGAAATTTATATCATCTTAAACAAAATCAAGTTTTAGTAAAATTATATTGTCATCCTTACTAGTTTATCTTTATTCACAAATTTCTAAAGATTTAAAATCTTTAATTATAATGATTAATTCTTAATCAAAATAAATTCTTAAACATAATATAAGATTTTTCATCAAATTTTTAATATCTTGTATAAAATCATTACTAAATTTTTAAGAATTGAAAATAAAAATTTATTAATAAAATTAATCTGTTAATTTAAAAATATATCCATATTTGCAAATGTCAACCAAATTCAAAATTTAAAAAAGAGGGCAATAATATGAATTGGCTTAAAAAGAAAATTATAATCCATTTAGTAATTTATCACTTTGCCCAAAATCAATAATTGCATTAGCTTAATCTTCATATGATTAATAACTTATAGAATTTACTCTTAATTAACTAAAAACTCCAAGCAATTCAAAACATGAAATACATTTGAATAGAATGAGATAAATTGCAGATAAATAAGAAACTTTTGTTCATGGTTCAATCAGTACAAATAGTCAACTAGAAACTATTGTATAATAGAGTGATCATTCATATTATGACTAAATGGATACTACTCACAGAAAAAATAGTCTGCATTATTATTTTGATGAATCTTATCAACACTTTTGATTTTAGTTATTATAAATAATATATATTTTTATAAATTATTTATCTTAATTTTAGGTATAAAGAAATGCTAATATAAATATAAATACCTATGTTGATTTTTAATTTATGTAAAAAAAATGGTAATATGTATTTTTAAAACAAAATTTTTAGTAATAAAAAATATATGGGACTCATACTAAAGAGAATAATATCCAAAAATGAAATCAAGATCATCTATTTAAGAAAGTAATATTTTTAAAATCTTTGAAATAATATAGAAGTTGCTAAAAAATAAAGTATTTAAATAAAATTGATAATGATTATATAATAGTGTATATAAAAAAATTTCTTATAATAAGAAGTTTCCATAAATTAGCAAGAAGAATTAATCAAATAATTAGAAATCTCATTAGTTTGAACTTTAAAGAACCAATAGTTTTCTTCCATTTACAATTATATTCAGTAATTCAAATAATCTCATATCTCCGTCTAGCCTTTAAGTTTTGATTTTACCAACAAGTATTGACAAGAAGGGTTCATCTAAATCTTTAATAGATACATAAATATCATTTACGATTGTTTGTAAGTTCATAAAATTATTTTGCTAAACATTCAGTTAATTGTCTGATAGTGTTGAAACAAGAAAACTTAGAAATGGAGAAATTAAACTCATATTCATAATCAGGCTTTAAGACAATGATTGGTACATTACTGTATTGATCCTAAAACAATAAAAAATGGTTTTACAATTTATTGTTAGGTACATTTTTAGATTCTTTCCCAAATTTTTTATTATAACAAATTCATTCCTAAATGTAAATTAGGACTAGATATGAAAAATACATATTTACTTTTGTATGGTTTTAATTTTTTCAATTAAGACTGATTAATCAACAGAGTCTTACAAAAATATTGAACTCTTTTTCCTAGATGTTCTAACTTCAAAACTTTATTGTTTCATGAATGCAGTTTAGGCTTATTAATTTTCAATAATTTTAGAGGTTGAGGAAGTTTTTTTTAAAATGGAATAATCTTTAAAGCTTTTTGATTTTCCAGTTTTGATCAATTAATGCATTAGTTGATTTAAAGGAATTAAAAAAATTAATACAAAAATAAATTTAGTATTTTAATAATTAAAATAAATAGATAAAACATAAGATGACAAGAAAATTTTAATGATAAATAATTTTACATTTTTTAAATAATGCTTCATGGAGGCTATAAGGATTATCCACTCTAATTATCTAGAAATTGTTGAGCTGCATCATCAACTTAAAAGGATTAATATAAATATATTACCTTGAGTGCCAGAATTAAGAAATCTCAATTTAATAGTGCCATTATAAATTAGATTTCCAGTGACTAAAATGCAGAATCCAATTAGTTCTAGAATAATAGCTTCCCATCTAGTATTTTCCCATTTAGACTCTGGATCAATCCAAGTAATAGCTAGTGAAACAGCCCATATAATTAATGTTCTTGAGACATCAACAAGTGATCTAAAAATATAAAATAAATCATAACCTAGCTAAAGAAGATACATATTTAGTAACTGATACACCACAGATGTTAAATGTAGCAATTGTAAATATACCTAAAATAACCCAAAATAACAATAATCCACTATTAACAACTTGTAAAAAATAAAAATCAGCTCTTTCAAAATAAAACATTCCAGTCATTCGTTTTTCTATACAACTATCATTCATAGAAGTTGGACATTGTATAAAAGTCAATGAGACTGCTAAAACAACGTAAACTGAAAAACCCCATAATCCTTCAATACCTACTATTTCAAAAGGATGTAAATAATAAACATCAAATAATTTCTCTTCAGAAACAAATTAAAGTCCATTCATTATAACAGACAATAATAATAAACCAACTGAAATAAAATAGGCAGCACCTATTTCTGTTTTTGAATCTTCATCATTTTTGTCCTATTTTGGTGGGAATAAAAATGAACTCATTCCAACTAAAGTTATTCCAACCAAAACTAATCCACACCCAAACCATTAAAAATTTTTTATTTTTCTTTTTAAAAAGAATTTAGACATTACTGCTGTTGAGATGATTGCTCCTCCTCTTAACATTTAATATATTGAAGGTGGAATGTAATTTAATGATATATAGGCTAATGTTGAGGCTGTTAAATCACACATAGCTGGAATTGCTACCCATCCATAGTTAACTTTTGTTTTTACTCTATTATATATCAAATTTCTATATATACCCTTTTGCTGCTGCTTCAATACATTCTTATTTATATTCCGGTTTCTTTTTTACATTTAAAAATAACAATATACATAAAGACTCACCTAAAAACATTGTAGTTGCTTGCATAAATGGATGATTGAAATTTGTTGCTTTCCAACCATCTACTGATACTGTGCTTGTATTTTATAATTTATACACTAAATATTCATTTCTTTAAATATTACCTATCGTATTAGCTGCCCCTGAAAGAATCATTGCAATTATCAAAGCTGTAATGTATGAAGATGATTTCTCACCCATTTGTTTAATAAATTTAATTAAATAACTATGATATTATTATTATTACGCAATATTTTAATGTATAGACAAAATAAATATCTATAGAGTTCATGATTATGTTTTATGTTTTCTGAAGTTTTTTAATTACATTATTTATCTTTTAGAATTTTAAAATAATAACATTTACATAATTTGATTTGAGCAAATAATTGTCTTAAGATACATTCTAAATAATCAAAACATTATAATTATTTTTCTCAATCATTTTAAAATCATTTTTATTATTCCTTAAAACAGATTTACTAATCGAAATATCAAAGGTAATTAAGTCTTAAGATTAAAAAAAAGCATTAATAGATACCCTTAAATTAATTAGATTGGTAAAATTATTTAATATATTATCAATAATCTCACTCTATAATTTTTAATCAGCATTTATAAACAATCTTAATTCTCTGCAATAAATTCTTTATACAAGTAGCTATAGAAAATGCTTTTATTTTTCAAAATTTAAAATGCATCCCTTAATTATATAATTTATGAAATTTTCTCTTTTCTTCCAATTTTATTTTTTGAATATAAAGTTCCCCTGTGTATATCTATTTAAATAGTAAAAGAAATTATAATCCCCAAAAATAACAGTATTAAGAACCTAAAATTGATCTTTTAAACTTTCACATATTTGTATTAAAGTAATTTGAGTAGCTTTATTTACTATGTATTTTTAAAAGATTTCTTTTATCAATTATTGTCATTTTTGTGTTTGCTAAGAAAAATTTGATAATCTCTAATCCCTTTTATTATTTACTTAATTTATAGTTCATAAGTAAAAGTAAATGTAAGATTAAATATTTACAAAAATAATGAAAATAGCAAAGAAAGTTTAAAATAACAAATTTATTATGTTGACTGAACTACAACCCTAGATTAGATTTGGTTCTGTTTTTAATATTTCAATTGAAATTTTCCAGTATTGAAAATTGAAGTAATATAAAGGATATCATTTGTTAATTTTAAAACAATAATATTTTTATACATTAGAATAAAAATGAAGGCAGATATCATAAAATTGCAGGTAAGTGTCTAAAGAAAAATTAATTATATGAAAATAATTGGATCATGAAATTTTATTCTTCTTCTACTACAAAAATCTAAATACGGAAAATCCTAGGTTCTCGCTCTAACTTCTGATTCTAATATTCTTAAGATTATTTTTTTAAGTACATGCTCCTTGAGTGCTTTTTAACAAGGAATATGATTAGCAGCCCTTGGTTTCTCATCAGTTTCTGATTCTTCAAAAATGACATCCTCTGGAGAATAAACAGTCAATTTTTATTATTATATTTTAGGACCTTTAGGCGGCTCAAGGCTTAAAGGATCTTATATTTAAGGAGACTCTTTTGGTCTTTGTGTTTATAAAACAAATACTTAATATGAGGTTTGGATGGTGGTTTATCATAGATATCTAAATATTGTTAATAATTCATGGAGGAATGATATCGCTATCGAATTTCTTAAGTGTAAAGATTATCCATAATTTTTAAATATAAATAATAAAATCTAAATAAATACTCATTATTTATTTATTCCTTCAGGTGATATGAATTCCACTTCATCTAAAGCATAATAAAATAAAACACAAGGATATAAATCATGATCAGATTTTGGAATATCAAGTTTGAATGTTGTGCTAGACTGAAATATAATAAAATTTAACCTTTTGTTTATGAAATATAATAATTTCATTCTTTGGATCATATGTACAAACAATTGTATCTCCTTTTCCAAATTTAAAACATTTAACAACATTATTCTAATTAGATGTTGTACTAGACCATGCACCACCATTTGATGAAACCATATATCCTCCATGTCCAAGTGATTAAAATGCAAATCCGAATTATTTAGTTTACACTATCGATAAATCACATACACCAACTGCTATCCAATTACTTTAATGAACATTCTTTATTAGATAAGTTTAATAATAATTTTACAATTAATTTAAAACCAAATACTGTCGTTTAGTTTTTATCTAAAGATGGTGTCATTACAGCAAATTTATATCCATGTGTTGAATTACTTGCTATAATATTTATTACCAATTATATTTATACCTTTTACAATCTTTGGCTATATTATATCAACTTATGGATGTTTATTGTTTGCTAAAAATTAAAATTGATATGATTTCTAAAATATTGTTTTCTATGTTTTTTATTATAATAAATCTATCTATTATTCTATTCCCTAATTGAATTGCTTCTCTAATTATTATAAATGATCTTTTTAATCTTTTATATGAAAATCGAATATTCTGCTGATTTCTTCATAATTTAGATCTTTCTCGGGCATCTCTTAAACTACTAATGCATCTAGTAAACTCTTAACTGAACTACTTAACTATTCTACATTTGTTTGATTTTATATAATAGTTTCTATTACTGTTTCTATTAATACATATTCATTTATATATATTTACATTAATTTCCATTACTAAATTCTCTCATTTTTACAAACTTTCTTAAATTTTCAAAAAAATCTCTTTCTAAGTTTACAATTTTTGATAATTTATTGTTTATTTGTTCCTTTAACTCTTCAATGTAAATCAATTATTTTTCTTCCTATTCATTAATCTTCTTTATTAGCATATCCTTTTCATTTTATTTTAAAGAAATATTTTAATGTTCTCTATATATTGAGAAACGATATACCTCAATTATTAATCATATTCGCATAACAAGAGTTTTAAAGGTTTTAATTGATGTCCTTTATGAAATTCTTCTTAACATATACAACAACACAAAATTTGATTTTATAAACAATCTTTCTCTAGACAAATTAAACTCATTGTTTCTCCACTATGATCACCTCCAAATGGACATTATGGATATTAGAGACTTGAAAATTTTTTAATATTCAATTTGTCATCTGGCTTATTCATTTGTTTGTAAGTCTTTACCGCATTTTATACCCATTATTTCATTTTTTATTATTTTAAAAATAAAATAGCAATGTTATACATGAGCAGTTTTAAAAATATATTATCAAAAAAATTGAATTCACTTTATGATAAACCATAAGCATTATTAGAATGTTAGACAATCTTCATTCATATAATTTCGAAAAGTTTACTCATCAAAATTTTATTTTATGTGAATTAGAATTATGTTTCATATTAATAAGCAGATATTTGTAAGTCTCTAACTTAATTATAAAATAAATGAGTGTCAAATGTAAAAAAATAATCTAAATTAAATGTTACAATAGAAATATTGGATCAATTCAAACATCTTTTTGAATAAAATTAATATACTTTTTAAAATGAACATTATTTAGTAACAATAATAATATTAATTAACACTTTGAAACTAACTTTTAAAATTTATTCTTACAATTATCTTAATCATCAATTTCAATAATTTGCCTGATGTTATGAGTTTCAATTTTGACAAGAAGCACGAATTTTATAACTAATTTAGACAGAGGTTAAAAATTTATTATACATACAATACTTCAATTTGAATTGCTTTATTAGGATTTTTGAATCTTAAAGTTTTGAAGAAAAAAATAACTATATAGGATTATTATATTACAGTACTCTAATATTATTATTTTTGGAAAAAATTATTTTGTGCTAAAGAAGTATGCATATTAATTCAATATATTAAATTAATGAATTATAATCTTATATTCATCTTATATATTTGCATTTCTCTATTTTCTAATAGTTAATAATAGTAAAATAGTAATGTAAGTGATAAAATGCATAAAGCAGAAATATAAATTAATCATTATTAGGATTTTCATGATAATAATAATTTGTCTCTGCTCTGTATTAAGAATCAATAATTTAAAAGAGCATTTCTAATTCTCATGGAATTATAATTAAGTTCGATAATTTTGATTTCACAATTTCAAACATAGAATAGATTTATATCAATAGGCAAATTAAGAATTAGAGACAGAGAATATATATGATTAATTTTATCATTCGAAAAGGAGCTTGAAAAAAATAAGAATCAAAAAAGCTTTTGAATAATAATTTTAAATTGAAGAAAAATCGAGACATGGATATGAATATTTTAAGTAGTAATAAATAGAAGACTTAAGTTTAGAGTTAAATACAGACTTTTATATAAAAAATATCTAATCAAATAACTTTTAATTTTTAAGACTTTTAGTGAATATTTATATAGTTGAAGCTATTAATTATTTTTATAAATAATATATAAGTGTCTTTATAGAAAAAATGTTTTATTTAGAGCAAATAATTGAATAAATGATATTTAATTATAGAAGGATGGATTGATATTATTATTTAAGTCAATAAAAATATAACAAACATAAACTATCCTATATTAGAAGAATAAATCAATCTCAGAGTATAACTATGGAATATTTCTTTACTTAATCCCTGATTCTCTATGTAATAAAATGAAAAACGTTTATGCAAATGGTGTTAATCGATAAGCAGAAATTTCAAAAACTTTTACTGACTTATCTAAAAGATTGGAAAAATTTTTTGATTTTATAATAAAACATTAGATTTAATGAATATCCTTTAATTTCATTAGATATTTATGTTATAGATTCATTAATTAAAGAAATACCATGTATTGTTTTATAAATTATTTATCCAAATAAATAATAATATAATTCGATTTATTTGGATTGTCTCAAAATTTAACAGAAGAAATAGATTAATTTAAGTACTATTTACTGTATATAAGAATCAGTAAGCATTTATTGACAAAAATTGAGCATTAAAGAGAGTGTAATATCATTATCCATTTATATAAACTATTTTTGGGAAAAATAAATAAATGAAGAGTTTATTTAGATATGAGCTTATATTTTGTTAAAGAATGTTGAATCAAATATGAAAAATAAATCTATAATTAAAGGAAGAACCAAAAATTTTAAAAAGTGCAAATACTGTTCGATCTTTAACGAGTGTAAATTATTGGGGAAATTGATAAATAATTTTATAATAATTCTTAAAATCTAATTCAGATGTTAAAGGTATTTTTATAAATCATCCAAAAAATTTGAATTTTAAATTTATCCAGTTTTACAAAGTGTCTATAAAAACATCAAAGCAAATGTTGTAATCTACCTGAATAAATAAAAAGAACTTGATCATTTTATCCACAGGATAACATCACTAGTATTTTATTAAGAAACATCAAAGTTAATAAAAATTAATTCAAAATAATAAGTAATAAAAATCAAGAATATTAATTAAAAAATCCACTTGGCTGGATTGTTCAAAAAATAAAGAGCTTTAATTTTGATTAGTTTTATTCTTATTTGATAGTTACAATTTTAATACTATAATGATACAACATTTTGATGATTTTATAAAAAGTATTTATATTTATTTCTTATGCATTTTTAATTATCTTAAAACATTAGCTTAGACTTAAGAAGTCCTATAGATGATGGTGTTGATGATGACATAAGCTCTACAGAATAACTAAGTGATGGATCTGTTGAATCATTGGAGGATCTCCTCCCAAAAATTCATTAAAAATCAAATTTATTTTGTATTATAGAAGAGAGGATTATTTAATATCTCAAACAATTAAATTTGTAATTTAAAACTGATCCAAGAAAAAAAGAGTTTGAATATTAGTATTTTTTATTTGTTACACTAGCGAAAAATAACAAAAAACTATTCCACAGTTTCTAGGTTCTGTTGAGGGTTCACCTGGTCTAAAGAGTATTAAATAAAAAACTAAATAAATTGTGCTAGTTAAAAAAAAATGAAACAAAAGACTTTTACAAAAACACAAATATACATATTTGACTTATATTATGATCAAGTAAATTTATTTGAAGTTTTTAGTTTTTATTACTGTCTAGCTGATTTTTTTTTGTTATAATCCCCTGGTCTCATTTAGACTTAGTAATTTTATTAAATCTCTTTATTTTTGAATTTTAAAAGTATTATTTTTCATGATACCTTCTTAAGAGTTCAAAACCTTTCTAATCTGTTAAAAAAATTATATTAAATGAGTTTATACCATTCAACTTTAACCAAGCTTCAAGTTAAAATAATCATTTAATTAATAAGAATTACAATAAATATCATAAATATTTCTTTTTAACAAAAATTTTTTTTTGTATTTTAAATTCAACTTTATTTCTAATTAAATAAAATTTATTCAAAATTTTACATTAATAATTTGGAAATCAATGTAATCTAACTCAGATATTCAATTAGATAAAAATATCTATGATTATAATCATAAATTAAATCAAAGTATCTATAAAATTTAGTGATTTTAAGTAATTTAAAACTTTAATTTATTTATGTATTTTAAATTAGTAGAACTATATAATTAAACTAAAAAATAGAAGATCTATAGTTAGTATCCAACCTAATATTTTTGTGAATAGATTTTAGAAATATTATTAATTTGATTTATATAAAAGATATGATTTAATATTTAATATTTAAAATTAAGTAAATAGTTGCTATATAATTAGCAAGTAATTTGTAAATATTAAATATTTATCTATCATATTAATAAACTTTAAAATTTCTTTAAGTCTAAGAATAATGTAAAAGAAACATTTATTTAATTTATCTATATTTAATGGGAAATAAATAAAGTGAAAATTAATATAACAAAGAACATAATGAAAAGATGTTAGATTGTTTAAGTATAGTAGTAAATTTATTAGTTAGTAATTGAAAATCGAAATTATATAGAAGTATTAATCAGGAAGGCAGGTAGAGTGAGTAAAGAATACTCTTTTCTAACACCTCCGATTGGAAAAGGAAAGTATAGTGAAATTCGAAAAATAATAAATAAAAAGACCGGAATAATGAGAGCAGTAAAAATAATATAGAAAAATGTATCTAATAAGGTAGAAGGAAAGATAATTAATGAAATCAATACTTTAGAAATGTTAGATCATCCAAACATAGTAAGAGTAAATGAATATTTCTCTGATGATAGATTTCATTATATCATAACAGAATATTATTCAGGAGGAGAGTTAATAGATCACATTGATAAATAAAGAGTATTTACTGAAAGTTAGGCTGCAAAAATAATTTATGTGCTACTTTATACTATAAATTATTGTCATAAGAAGTAAATATGTCATAGAGAAATAAAACCAGAAAATATATTATTTGATAGAAATTCAGAAGATTCATTACCTATATTAATAGATTTTGGTAGTTGTAGTAAAATGGATCATAAAATGACTAGTTAACCTAATCATCCATATTTTTAAGCTCCTGAATTAATATTAGGAAATTATCATAGTGGAGTTGATATATGGGCAATAGGAGTTATTTTATATTTACTTTTATGCGGATATCCTCCATTTAGAGGAAGAACAGATGAATTAATAATAAAGAGTATTATTAAAAATGAAGTTGAGTTTGATGATCCTGAATGGGATAATAGTTCAGAAGAATCTAAAAATTTAATTTTAAAATTGTTATAAAAGGATCCTAATAGAAGAATGACAGCAGAAATGGCATTAAATGATATATGGATATTGAAAAATTATGAATTAAAAGTATTTGATGGATTAATAAAAAGAGTTGTTACAAATTTGGCAACTTTTTCAGCATCTTCAAGATTATAAGAAGCTACTTTAAAGTTAATGGTATAATTTTTAGCAACAAGAGAAGAATTATCTGAATTAAGAGTAGTCTTTATGCATATTGATACTAAATTAGATGGAGTTTTAGATTAAGATGAATTACAAGCTGTTATGTTAAAATATTATGATTAAAGTTTTGTTCATTAATAGATAAATAAAATATGTTAACATCCATTAACTTATTCTACTTTTTTAACAAGAAGTGTTGATAGATAAACTATGTTGTAAAAAAGTAAGATAGAAACAGCTTTTAAATTAATAGATCGAGTAATTTGATTAAACTAAATAATTTTTAGAATGGATCAGGTAACATATCAGTTGAAGAACTCTAAGATACTTTTAAGGTTTGCAATGTAGAAATTGAGAATCCATGGTTAGAAATCATGAATGAAGTAGACAGCAATCAAGATGGAAGTTTATCTTTATTAGAATTCAATCAAATGATGAGATAATTATTAGTTTAATGATATTATATTATATTAAATCTAATTAGTTTATAAATTCATTTTTTATTATTTTTATTTTACTTTTTTTTATTTATTATGTACCTTATCATTATATTTTTAATCTTTTAATTAATACAACCAGCACCTAACTCTTTTACATTAGTTTTTCATATTATTTTGTAAAATTGTTATATTCATATTCACTTTATTAACTTATTGATAGAGTAATGCAATGACTATTCTAGTTATGGGAAAATATTCTATAGCCTGAATAATATTTTCAAATTCATAGACTTACTATACTATTTTAATTTTATTAAATGAACAATTGGATAAGAAAAGGAATTTTAAAAGATTTAATAAAGTTAGTGTCATTATTTTTATATCTTTTAAAATGTTTGCTTTGGTAAAGAAGAATGTTGTTTTATTTTGCTATTTTCTCTTTAGCTTAGATTTTAATTTTACTCTTTTATAATACTTCAGCCAATTAAATTCTTAATCACATAATTCTATTATTGGAGATTTATTGATTGAAACATAATTTTAATTAGTTTCCAATTTTAATAAATAATTACTTGATAATAAATTAAATTATTATGAATTTTGAATAATCGGATGTTTTCTATCTTAAACTTAAAATTAAAGAATAGTAAAACTCTTTACATTTCAAGGATCAAGGTTAAGATATTACCTCAATTAGAGTCATTAAATAAAAAATTATTGATTAATAAGAAAAGAATTAAAATATTTAAAATTTAGTACAAGCAATATCAAAGCTATATTATGCTATGTACTAAATAAAAGATAAACGAAATCTAATAATGATACATACAGGCAACATAGATTTCGAAAAATAAAAGCAATTCCTTGACGCAATTAAGACTCTAATTGATTAAAAATAAGATTTCATTTAATAGCTTTGTCAAAATGAATAAAAAAAATATATGAATGTATTTTAAAATTTTATATTCAAAGGCAAATAATTGGACTAATAATATTCTAAGTTAATAAAATGAGTTTTTTGATTTTTTTTATTAAATTTCATAAGCATCTCATCAAATAAAAAGACAATTTTTTGAATAGAACAAAAACCATTTGATGATATTGTAGCAGAATCAAAACGAAAATTTTAATAAATTTTTATTTACTTTCTGCTTTATTCAAAATATAAAATTAGAATATGAATAAGATTAAGAATAAAAATAAGAATAAAGCATGTTTACAAGTTAATCATAAAATATAGATAAGGATTAAAATAACGAAAATAAGGAATAATATGATCATAGAGAAATGAGAAATTTATATATAAGTATCTCATCTGATATTAAATAATAAGATATAGACTTTTGGTCAATTTATATGAAAGATTATAAAGATAAAAATCACCTTTTAATATTGCATCCTTTAGATTAGAGTAGCAACAAAAAAATGAATTTAAAAGATTCTAAATTAAAAAATAATACTAAAAATGAATTTATTGCTCCAATCATTTATTCAAATAAAATTGAATATTATCAAATGAAAATGATATATAAATCTATTCTTGATTAGTAAATTTATAATTTAAATCCAGACTGCATTTATTTAGAATATTTATTATCTCAAGAGTTTAAATTAGATTTAAAAGCTCTTGAATATCTTATAAGACAATTATAAAAAAGAGCAAAATTAATAATTCATTTTCGAATTAGCTTAAAAGAAAAGTTTTCCGAATATGAGCTATTTAACAATTTAAATGCAATTGTTATGGGACTTTAAGGATTCAAAAACTAAGAGAAAACTTTTTTAAGGGAAATAGAGTATGAAAATATAGTTAATTGGACATTTTAAATGATTTCAATTTATGAAAAGTCAAATAGAAATATCAACATATCACTTCAAAGCGAAATGCAATTAATGTAAATTTAAGTTTAAAATTTAAAAAAAATATTTGGTTGTTTGTCAAATTAGTATAAATTTTAATGGATAGAAAATGATAATTTTTAAAGTTAAATTTATTAACATTTAGTGTTTAGAGATGCTATTATTTTATATGATAAGATAAATGGTGATATATTTTATTATAATCGAAAACTCAGAAATTCTGATTCTTTTCATCTATAAATTAATTTGTAAATATTTATCTATTCTAAGCAAAAAGATCTATTTAAAGTAAGGGTTAATTGAACCAAGTATAATAGTTTTATAAAATTATTTACTTATTATATATGGATACTTTAAAAATAATTAATTTTCAAATTAGATCTTGGTTTTTGATTTGTAAAATTAATGTTAAAATTCTATTACAATGAATCGTGATGAAGAATATGCTTAATTTAAACATACTTACTATGAAAATTAAAGTTGTGAAGCCATTGTAAATAGAATTAAAAATAGAAGAGGACCGTAAATTTGTAATAATAATTTTTTTGATGAGAATAATAAAAATTATATGTCATTTATTCTAATTGGAGGGGAAGGGAGAGAGTAAGAAATAACTTTAATAGTTTTAGATCAAATGTAATAATGAACATAATTGAAGTAGTGATACTAGATCTTAGAAATCAAAAATTTTGTTCATTCATCATAAATAAATCATAATTATGTAAAAGTTCCTCTTTAAAACCTTGGCCCTTTTAAATGGTTCTTGAAGGTAAATAAAATTGTATATGTTTTTATTTGGTTTTAAATGGAAACTAGACAAACAAATTGAATTATTTCTCTTTTCCAAAAAACCCTCAATATCTAAAATAAGCATAACTCTTAGTTTAACAATAAAATTCATTCTAACTTTTTATATTACCTATCACACTAATGCAAGAATTAATAGTTTAAATAGATTAACTTTTCGATGATTGCAAATGTTAGTATTTCGATGAAATGCAAAGTGAGGAAAATTGTTTTGTTTGGAAAATTTTAATTACAAGATTCGTTCTTTTTCATCATTCAATAATTAATCATCCCATTTTTGCAAGGTTTTAAAACCGATTAATATTATTATAAAATAATAAATTTTTATAGATATGCTTTTAAATCAAAATAAAATTATTTTTGTAAGTTTAAGATTAAAACTCTTAAAATTACTCAGACTCTCGTGTAGAAATAGATTGCAAAATATTAGAGGTTTTATAATAAAATAATGATTGATTTTAAGTTTTAATATAAAATTTATATTCTTATAGATTTAATATTAATTTATAATTATCATATTTTTTTTGATGTATATTTTTTTAATAATAATATATTATTAAATTGTTCTTCAGAATATTTACGAGTCAGCTAATAATATTATGTAATTATCCTACTTTTATAACAGTTTCAAATGGTAAATTAAAACTTTTAAATTTTGTTACAATAAAATGTAATGTTTCTTTGCATGCTTGAATGTCTGAATATAAATCTAAGATTTAGGTTGAGAATTAATCAACTTCTTTAATATTTTAAAATAGGGTATCTTCATTTAACCTAAAATAAATAAATTTCATACTCTAATACGTCATTTTTTACAATAAATTCATTTAACATTTTATTTTCATTATCTAACAATAAAAGAGATTATTCAATTTAATTTTCTAAATTTTGTAAATTATTTTTTTTGATTTCTTATTTCATGATCTCTTCAATTAATTTATCGTGATGTTAATGCAAAGTTTTGTAATCATTTTAAATTTAATTTAAATCTTCATAAAATACTAAATAAATGAACTAAAATTTTTACTTTGATTGCATCTTTCTTTAAGTTTCTGCTCATTTTCTATCATATTATTACCTTATTAATAATTAGGTTAGCCCTAAGGCTGTTATTAAGGATTTATATATGGATTATAAGCTTAGGAATTATAGTAATTATTAGCGTTATTTGGATATTATTATTAATATTAAATTTAGTTTTTGTTTTAATATGGTTGCTATAGTTAAGCTTAATATGGAATTTACTGTTAAGGAGGTATCCTATAATTAGCGATTAAACTTACATTTATATAGGTTATTAAACTTTGTTGAAAAATGGAAAATATGATTCCAATTCTCTTACTAAAGTGACCATCACTCTTGCCTTATTATAAATAATAATATTTACTATAGATTTATGTTGGTACCAACTTTATAATTCTTAATTGTGGATATTAACAACAGATTAATCTTATGAAGCTCCTTGAATGAAATATTGATTGACAGAGAACTTGGATATATCTGGATTATAAATTCTAATAATAGCTGGTGCATCATTATAAATAAATGGAAACTAAATGGATGTGATAATAGAGTAAGTTTATCCTTTGTATTTAATTGGTACTAATATGAAATTAAATGGTACATTCTCCTTTGAGTTCAAGCAATTACTTAATCATTCCTGATTCACCTTAATTTAAGATAAAATTGTACTTGTTTATGTAATTAGTGGATTGAATAATTTTTGGTAATTGAATAGAATATTGGCAGCATCATTAGCAACTAAATTACTATATAATGATTATAAATTAAATCTACTGATTTCTATAAGCACATTAACCAAGTAATCTGTATAATTCTTATTCCTTCGGGAACTTTTCTTACATTGCCATTTCAAAATATAAATAATATATATTTACACAAAATTAATAATATTTCTTAATATTTCTTTATTCTGAAGCATACTCTTTGTATTATGTATTTTGAATTTATGTAAAATAATCTTATTTCAAAAATAGAATCAGATTCTATCATTTTTTTAGGTTCACATGTATAATTTCATAAAACTAATATAATTATTTGAATAGATTAGAATTTATTCTATAAGAAATATTTTGTATAATAAAATGATAAGAGAATTTATTTGTTCTAAATATTGGAAGGATTTTAAGAATCTTGAATAAGTAAATTGAATATTGCCTATTTTATTAAAAACAACCTTAATGAAGGAAGACTAAGTATCATTAGTTAGATATTTTGCAGATGTGAGTAAATTGGTAACCATTTGTTATAAATTGTCATTGGAAAAACAAGATTTATTAAAAAAAACATAATATCATCAAGAATCTTAATCATAAAATTAATAGAAAATACCTATGATGATGGAATTATCTGAATAATTCAGTAATAAGTCTAAATATAATTAATAAGATTTAGAAAGTCAATAGAAGAATTAAGATGAAAAATTAAATTTAACTAAGACTAGATCAGGAAAACATTTTTATAAAAGATTAATTCTAAAAACATCTAAGAAAGATTTATAAGAAAAAGAAACATTTGATTGTCAAAAATGTGATAAGAAGTACTTTCATAAGAAATCTTTAATACGTCACATAAAATGGAATCATTAAATCATTAAACTAACAAATTCTAAAAAAAAAAAATGAAATGATCTTTTTAATATATTAAAGATCTAAGATTATATTTCTATTTAAAATATTCATGTAAAATATTTAATTCTTTCTTTTTCTTCTTCTGTAATATCATCAACTACTTATTCCTCTACTTAAACCTGTGCTGGCCATGATCTAATCATTATAGGTCTCCCAGATCTTTTATGAACAATTTATTCTTTTTATTATTCCTTTTATTTTTTCTATTAATCTAATAAATCTTGCTCTTATTTCATTTATTTCACAATGTCTTTTCTAGCTTTAATACAATTCTTCTCTTTTTCTAAGACTAATTCTGGTGCAATTTATCTGAACATTTTCAAATCATTTATTCGTTATTCTAATAGTTTCTCAGTTTCCTTAAGCATTTCTATTCCCGTAATATCTTTTCTTGGTTCAATATTAACATCACTCCTATATGTTTTTGCTATTTAGTTTTCTAAATTCTTCAAAGGTTCAAAAACTTCACTATCACTCCTTATTGCTTTTAATCCTTTAATTTATTCATTAACTTAATCAATTTATCTTAAAAACTCATTTTTAGTTTGCTAAGCAGTTTTTTATTTCTCTTCTAATGTTTTAATCTTTTAGTAATATTTATTTCTTAAATCTTCTACCATTTATTCTCTTTCTTTTGTATTTCCTATAAGAAATAAATTCTTTTCCTCTAATTACTAAAATATTTCTTCCAATTATTTTGGTTAAGTAAAATATGTTACTTATTCATCATCTGAATCATTCAGTAATTATTATAATTCATTATTAATTTAATTATTTTAATTATTTCTCGATAAAACAACCTATTATTATTATTATTATTATTATTTAGGTTGTTTTTATTTCATCTAAAACTCTTTTGGAGTGATTTTATCTAAAAACTTTTTATATTTTAATAAATCTTCTAAATTGTCTATTTTTTATTAGATTTTAGTCATTAAATCTGTTCTATGTTCTTATAAAGCTTTAATTTCATTATTTTTCTCTTATTTTAATTTTGTTTCTCTTTCTGCTTCTTTTATGGCTTCTCTTGAACTCATCTTATTTTATTCCAAAAACTTATTAAATAATTCTACATCTTCTTCTATTAGTTATTCACTTTTTTCTAAACCTAATCTATGTAATTTAGTTAATTTCTCAAATTCATCTATCATACCTCTTTTATGATCAATTAGCATTTAAAATAACAACATTTCTCTCTTTTTATCAATAAATTGATACATTGGTTCTTTCTATCTTACTCTATTCTTTACTGCATTATCAGCAGCATCAATAATGTTTCTCAAATTCAATAACATAAATACATTTTTGCATTATACTCTTTATCATTTTTATCTTCTTCTTTACCAATCTCATTAATTTCTCTTATACTCAATTTACCTTTTGATTTTATCCCTTTCTCATGAACTCTAAGATTTTGAAACTTGATTCTTTCTTCCATTTTAATTTACTTTTCTTTTTCTTTCATTTTAAAGATTTCATATTCATCAGGAACATAAAAAGGATTATCAGTACTTTAATTCAATCTTTCCTATATCTTTGGCAACTGTTGAGCCATTTTTATTTAATTATTAATAAATAAGAATAAATACACATGTAATAAGATTAATAATTAGTGAAAAAATTTTCTGAAATTACAGGATGCAAGGATTAAATGAAATGCATACATTATTTATAAATGAATAATAACGAGCTTGAAGTAAATATTTTTTTACTAAAATAAGAGAGCAATTTAATTATATTTAGACTTAGAAATTCAATAATAGGAAGATCAAAATTAATAAGAGATTTATCATTAATAAATAATTCCATAATAATAAAAAAAGTAGATAAAATAGGAGTTTTAATTAGAAAAAACTTAAGCTACTTAAAATTTAATATTAAAATATTAGCAATATAAAGAGAGCAAAATGGAAGAGGATGATAATTTAGTATCTAATGTTTGGAAGATAGCAAAAGCTATTTGTATTTTATTGATATATTGATAGTTACTAAAAATTAAAATTATGGGGAAGAATTTTAAAAGAATATATAATCTAAGAAGATCAAAATCGAGATTAAGTTTGAAATGGGTTCGTTTTAAGACAATATCAAAAAAGCTTAAAATAAATAAATTCCTCTTTTTGTCTATGCTCATGATGTTTCAGGCTTAAAAATTTTAGAAAATATGTTTTAATGCAAAACTTTAGTAAAATTTGTAAATCGATCATTCATAAGTTATGCATTTATAGGTAATGAAGAAACCTTAGTATAATTACCTACTTAAAATATTGAATTACCCTCTATTTTAATATATAGAATAAATTTTATTGATGAAATTTGTTTAATGAAATAAATTAAATTGTTTCCTTAAACAAATTTTGAAGAATTGGCTAAAGAAATAAAATAAATAGCATATGCAATTTATAAGATTAGGGTTTAAGAGAATTTAGCAAAAAATCATGTTGATAATCCTGAGGAGATTAGCTAAAGTTAAATAGAAAAATTTAGCTAAAGATAAATAGAAATGGAAAAAAAAAAATAATAGGAAATATAATAAAGAGAGAGGGAAGAATTATTATAAAACTAAGAAATGGAATATCTGATTGCTGTGTAAAAAGCAGAGGATAAAAAAAAGAGAATATAAGATGAAAAACTTAAATAGGAATAATTAATTTAAGAATAATAATGGGAAGAAGTATCCAAAAAAATTTTATATAGGAATAACGATAATTTATTAAAGCTTCATAGCTTTCAAGTTTACCTGAAGAGCCAATAGAAAATGGAATAAGTATTTAATTGAGATTTTTTGATAAAGTATTAACAAGAAAATTTAATTTAACTGATAAGATAGAGGTAATAAAATATCATCTAGCAATTCTTAGAGTATATTTGATTTTGTAATGTGTTAAGATGATTCACTTTTTATGAATCCAAAAGCTTAAATTGATTTAATCTAAAATTTTCCTAGACTTTCTTTAATTGATAAAAAGAATATGACAATTTAGGAAATCTTTAATGATTCAACTGGAGAGTAATTAATAATTTTAGAAATGGATTGATTATTTATTAATATACAAATACTAATTTAATGATAATTCTTGCCTTATGAATAAAGAGCATTTTACAACAATTTTCTATATTTTAAATATATCTATTTAAGTAATATTGAAAAATTTAAACTAGTACATATAATTATATTATTAATTGTATAGATGTCAGCAAAGGATTTATTGATTTAATTATTTGGATTGCCAAAAGGGGAAATAATCTTTTAAGATTATTCTTGTGCTTAAAAAGGGTTAATTTCAAAATATGGAAGAATTTTCATTGCAGAAAATCATATTTGTTTTTATGCAAATCTAGCAGGAAGCAAAACAAATTTAGTCATAAAATTAGATGATATTATTAGGTTGGAGAGTAAAAATAAGAATGATATTGATATATTTTTAAAGGATGGTAAAACATATTGTTTTAATGGTTTTAATGATAAGGATTAAGTATATAATCTAATGAATGCATTAATATCTGGCTAACCCTTATAAAATTAATAAACATTTTAAACTTCAACAGATAGCACTAGAGAAGATGAATCATAAATAGAAAATGCGGAAGTAGAAATCTAATTTTTATAATCTGGAGCATCCATGGATTAAGAAATGTGCAAATTCACTTTTTCATTTAATTTAGATAAATTTTTTGAATTCTTTCTTGCAGATGATGCTTTAGTTTATTCAATAGCAGATCATAGATAATCAGAAAAGGATACAGATATTTAATTAACTAAATGGACACCTATGGAAGATAATCCAGGAATGTTTTAGAGAGAAATGAAAAATGTTATTAAATTATCAGGAGTTCCTTTTAAAGATAAAAGTAGAATGCATAAACTTTTTACTTATAAAAAAGAACCAGAAAAATTAATATATACTTGCACTACTCATACTTTAGATGTTCCATATGGTAATAGTTTTTAAGCAGAAGAAAAGTGGGAAGTCTCATAATTAGAAGAAAATAAATGTTTATTGAAAATATTTGCTTCTGTTGTATTTACGAAATCTACAATGATGAAAGGTACAATTATGAATAAAACAATGTCTGGATTGAAGGAAGATTATGAAAAATGGATTAATAATGTTAAAATAAGATTAGAAGCAATGGCAAAACAATAAAAATAATAGGGTTCCAATATCAATCATGAATATGAAGAGTAATCATTTATATAAAATTAGTTCTAAAAAATTAGATAATAATATATTAAATAAAATAATGAAAACTGGTCAAAATTAAGAATAAAAATAGATAGTTTCCTAGAATTAATTTAATTAAGAGAGAAGAGTAGATATACTTTATTTATTATCGATATTTCTCTTAATTATAATTATGTTAATTTAGATTGGAATATTAAATAAATAATCATAAAAACTTGAAAACTTAGAATAATTGGTATAACAATTATAATAAAAATGATATATTTATTATTTTAATATTTTTGATTACTTTATCATTCTGTTGTATCTGTTGTTTCTTCTGTTGTTTGTGTAGTTTCTTCTGTAGTTTCAGTTGTTTCTTCTGTTGTTTCTGTAGTTTCAGTTGTTTCTTCACCTGTCTATGTAGTTTCTTCACCTGTCTATGTAGTTTCTTCAGTAGTTTCTTCACCTGTTTCAACAGTGGTTTCTTCACCTGTTTATTCTACAGTTTCTTCTTCTGTTGTTTCTTCAGTTGTTTCTTCACCAGTTTATTCTACAGTTTCTTCTTCTGTTGTTTCTTCACCTGTTTAAGTTGTTTCTTCTCCTGTTTAAGTTGTTTCTTCACCTGTCTAAGTTGTTTCTTCACCTGTCTAAGTTGTTTCTTCAGTCTCTGTAGTTGATGTTTATTAATCTGGAACTGATTCTTATGTATCTGCATCTGATTCTGAATGTGTAGTTGCTTGTGAAGTTGTTTTTCCGTGATGATGATGATGAATAGTAATTTCATGAGTTTCATCATCTTCAGATGTTACTTTAACTCCATTCTAAGATCCATTATTTGAACATCCTCCTCTAATGATTTCAAGATCTTTAATTTAACCTTTGATCTTTATTACTGTTATTGGTGTACTTCTACATTATTATCTGCAATTATTAAGGCTATTTATATATTCTCTTAATAATCTACATAATTCTTTTTTAGCTGCTGTTCTATCTTCATGACCTATACATTTTATCATATTTATATATACTTTCAGAATCTAAAGCATGACACTATTCTCTTAAAGCCTTTACTTGACTTAAACCTATCTTGCTTTTAGTTAAAGGCAATTCTAATTTGTGTAATTTCTTAAGTAATTTCTTTCCTGAAACTGAAACTTAGGCTTCTAAGAAAGAATGATGCTTTGTTGTCAGCATTTTCTCCATTTACTCTAAGATCTTGATATCATGAGAAATAGCTTTTTGATGAATTAACAAATCTTCCCATTATTTCATTTGTTTTTCTATAAATGAAAATTAATCTGATCTTGAGCAATCCATTGTTTTTACATTAAAGTTTCCTAATTCTTCCAAAGACATCATTTACTCTGTAAAGGCATAGGCACTCAAACCCAAAATTAATAAAATCAAAGCTTTCATTAAAAATATTATTCACAAAAACGAATTCTCAATATTCCTTCTAATATTATTTATTAAACATAATTAAATTTATATCATTTTTATAAATTCTAATTATCACTTTTACATTAATCATTTAAAAATCAATATCTACAATTCATGTTTCATATAGTATTATAATAATAATTAAGATCATTTTAATTATGATTCCTTTGTTAAATTAAGAATTTATCAAGAAATCTATAAATATCTAATTTTTTATTATAAAAAACTAAATCAATAAGAATTACATTCAAATTAAGTCCTTTAAAAACTTTATAATTTTGAAATACATAACTTTTCTTATTAATCTGGTCTCTTAATTTCAATTTATCTCTCTTCAGAATTTTTATCATTTATTGATTTAAATATTGAGTTGAAAAGTATTTTATTGAACTAATTAATAAATATTTAATTAAATTGTAAATTTTGAATACAAATTTATTGCTAAAGATGATCTTTTTTATTTTTTTAGACATATTTTGAATAACAAATTCAAATATTATATTTGTGGATCATATTTGGTTTAAATGGTTATCTATTTACTTAATTCATCAATTTAAAACTAGCATCATTGATATTTGTTTTTTGGTTTAGATTTTTAAGTGTTTGTTTTTTTTCTTAAATTTTCTATGATCAATAATCTCATATAGATAATTTTAAATAATATTTTAGAGAACTTATCAAGGATACTCTAGTTCTGGTTTACTTTTTATTTAGAGAATGTATTAACTAGAAATATTGTGGATATTTTATTGAATCAAACTTTGTTTTATGGATTTTTATTTAATTCAAATAGTTTTGTATAGGTGAACAACAATTATAATGATAAATAAATATATTGGAAAGGTTTTATTCAATAAAAATTTAAATTCTATATAGATTATCTATGAAAATAATATTCATTAACTCAATATACAATGGAAATATGGATTAAAAGTGGTATATATGTTTTCTTATGATTTTGTAATTGATATTGAATATTAAATCTGGAATGATTTATATCACTTTATTGAATTGTATACTCAGCATCATTGCTAAAGATTGTTCTAACTTTCCAAGCGATTACACAAAAATAGTTGGAAAAGAAAATGAAATAATTATTTAAGATCTATCAGAGTATTTTGATGATGTTAAATATAATTACAGTATCACATTATCAGACCAAAATAAAAAGCTTACTCTGCTTTCACCAATTAATTTATAAACTACATTATAAATGGCTCCTAATGGTAAATATATATTTATATATTTTTAGTAAATAAAGTTTTAACATATTCAGTGTTGACTAATGCTTAAAATCAATGGACCAATAAATTCTAATTGTTAGCTATCAGAGAACAAAATGAATAAATATTAACATGGACAAAGCATATTGTAGCAGGTACATAATAGCGATATCCTGTATTTGATACAACACTAATTATTGGAAAAACTGAAGAAGTTAGATGTCAATCTTCAACTATTTTAGATATATCTCATCTATTACTTGATTGTTATTAAGTAAATGATTAAGAGCCATAAACTTATCTTTATATGATTAGTCAAAATGATGATGAATAATTATTAAAAATTGAATTAAACTATCCTTATGATAAAAGTTAATAAAGGTACATCGTAAGCACATATCAGTACATTTATAGAATAACTTTAAAAACAAATAATAATCCAGCAATTATAGAAATGTTTTCTTATGATTTATAGACCAAAACCATAGCACTAAAATAAATAATCAATTAAGAGTGGATGTAATAATATGTTAATATTACTGAATATTCATTTGATATGATCGATGCTAAGATAAGTCCATCTAATGAAATTTCCATTTTAGATAAAACTGGAAATTTATTTTATTTTAAATACTACTCTTCAAACAATACATGGTATTTTTACCATCAAGCATTATTATTGGGAGAATCTATTTCATTTGATTATTAATTTAAGGATTCAGAATATGCAATCTTATAAAAGAATACTGTTTTGTTTCGATCAAAAAATTATACATCACAAGAAGACTTGTCTAATTCAAAACTCTATTTTAGCAATAATTTCCTTTTTTTAACTTCTTCAACCAAAATGATAGCTTTTGACAAATATTTATAAATAATATAAATAGTTGATGGGGATTTTAGCAATTTTTTGGTAGATTAAGGTTAAAATGACTTTTTGACGTTTACAAATTAAAATATAAAACATTATTTTAGTCACTCTAAGTATAGAATCTAATATCAAAATAATGATTAAGGAATCACTGGAAATTCTTAACTAAATATGAATGGATGCTAAGTAACTATTGATTATCAAACAGTTTCAAAAAATTCTGTTGATTTAATTTTAATATCCAAAGGAAATATATAAGATTCACCCTTCTTTTCAAAGAATAATTATTTTTTATANAACATATTCAGTGTTGACTAATGCTTAAAATCAATGGACCAATAAATTCTAATTGTTAGCTATCAGAGAACAAAATGAATAAATATTAACATGGACAAAGCATATTGTAGCAGGTACATAATAGCGATATCCTGTATTTGATACAACACTAATTATTGGAAAAACTGAAGAAGTTAGATGTCAATCTTCAACTATTTTAGATATATCTCATCTATTACTTGATTGTTATTAAGTAAATGATTAAGAGCCATAAACTTATCTTTATATGATTAGTCAAAATGATGATGAATAATTATTAAAAATTGAATTAAACTATCCTTATGATAAAAGTTAATAAAGGTACATCGTAAGCACATATCAGTACATTTATAGAATAACTTTAAAAACAAATAATAATCCAGCAATTATAGAAATGTTTTCTTATGATTTATAGACCAAAACCATAGCACTAAAATAAATAATCAATTAAGAGTGGATGTAATAATATGTTAATATTACTGAATATTCATTTGATATGATCGATGCTAAGATAAGTCCATCTAATGAAATTTCCATTTTAGATAAAACTGGAAATTTATTTTATTTTAAATACTACTCTTCAAACAATACATGGTATTTTTACCATCAAGCATTATTATTGGGAGAATCTATTTCATTTGATTATTAATTTAAGGATTCAGAATATGCAATCTTATAAAAGAATACTGTTTTGTTTCGATCAAAAAATTATACATCACAAGAAGACTTGTCTAATTCAAAACTCTATTTTAGCAATAATTTCCTTTTTTTAACTTCTTCAACCAAAATGATAGCTTTTGACAAATATTTATAAATAATATAAATAGTTGATGGGGATTTTAGCAATTTTTTGGTAGATTAAGGTTAAAATGACTTTTTGACGTTTACAAATTAAAATATAAAACATTATTTTAGTCACTCTAAGTATAGAATCTAATATCAAAATAATGATTAAGGAATCACTGGAAATTCTTAACTAAATATGAATGGATGCTAAGTAACTATTGATTATCAAACAGTTTCAAAAAATTCTGTTGATTTAATTTTAATATCCAAAGGAAATATATAAGATTCACCCTTCTTTTCAAAGAATAATTATTTTTTATACACTAATATTTAACCAAGATAATTAGTATCAGGTCCTAAATAAAAAATATCATTTGATAAAAAAAAGAAAGATAATTTATATGGAGGAGGAAATTTAACTTAAATTTCAATTAATGGGAATTTGGAGGGAAAGTATACAAATAAAAACTTAAGTTTGAGTGATTTGATTTTTGTATAAACAGTCTCTATGGCATAATCTTTTGATTAACCTTATGCCATTATTACTTAGAATAAAGAGAAAATATTGAGTATATATAATTGCTAAACTATTACAATTGAAGTTTGCTAATTATCATATTAAACAAAGCTAGACTTTGAAATAACTGAACAAAATACAGTTATTAAATATTATTATTATGATTTTAGTTTCATCACTTTATTAGATAAGAAAACATTATTTCTTTACAGATTTTACTCAAATTCTTACTTTAATAAAAGTATTACTTTAAAAGATGATGATGAAATCAATAGTATTGATAGCATTTATTTAAATAATAATTATTTAGTATTATTTTCAAAAGCAATTAAGAAAATAGGAATTTATAATTTTTAGTCTGTTGATATACTTTATATTATAAGTGCTAATAGTTTGAAAGAATTAGGATTTAATGATTGGGACCCACAATAATTATTTTCAAATGATTTTAGTGATCTTTTATTTGTTATTAATGGTTAAGAATAGACTCAACTTCTGATGTTAAATATCACCAATACTGATTTCTCTTTAGGATTCAATATGAAGATATCAAAATCTAAAGACACTCGTATCATAAATTTTTATAATCGATTTGCAATACTTAAGTAGTATGAAAATGGAGCATATACTTTTGATATTTACAATAGACAAGATGCTACAAATGTTTATCTAGAAAAGACTCCATCATTTTATGATTATAAAATTGATAATTTGAACTCTTTCTTTTGGGTTTCATACAATAATTTATTGCATGTTAAAGCTAAATCAGAATTCAAATCAGTTATATTAACTTATATTGTTGAGTTAACAGATCATAATTCATTATTTTGTGTGTAAGATTGGGATCCTGCAAATCAATTTGTAACAGCTACTTAAAATACTATATTTTAATTCAATAAGGATAATGTTTGGGTTTATTATATATAAAGATACCCTCGTTTAGAATATCAAGTGAAATTTGATGATAATACTTTTATTACAAATGAAGATTATTAAATTGTTTATTCAAATGAATAACTTTTACTTCTTGAATAAAAATTTAGATTAGTAAACACCTAGGTAAATTTGAACATAGATCCAACCAAATTAAAAATTAATACTAATTTAACATCAGATAAATATAATAATTATGTTTAAGATATGGGTAATGATTGGTATTAAGGAGAAGTCACTTAATTTTATTTACTAATACCTTTATTGAATGAATCCAAAGCAGAAATAATTAATCCTATAGAAGTTGTATAAGATTATTATGGAAATAATACTAAAAATGTTGTTGATTTTAGTACAGAATACATTTTTGTATTAAAAAATGAATCATATCTTCTTATTAGTAAAAAGACGAATTAAATAGTTGTGAATGAAAATATTACAAAAGGTTATTTATGTGAAGATATTGTTGCTAGTTTTGATGAGCAAGTCTTAATTTAATGTTATAATAGTGATAAATAATATGTAGGAGGAGTGCAATGTGAAAATACTAATTGTAAAGTAGGAAATTCTTGGTTAGAAATAGAGGGTGATATCATATCTGGATATATTGATTCAGAAAATATCTTTATTATTTAAAGAAATAAAATTTTAGCATATTCAAAAAATATTTTAGATTTATCTGAAAGTAAAAATTATGGTAAAATAAATTTAAATGATTTAAAAAATTATTATGGATTAACAATTTATAAAATAAAGAATAATCATTATCAAGTTTATTGCACCGATCATGAATATACATTTGTTTTATTAGAATATAGTATCAAGGAGGATCAAATATTAAGAACAAATCAAATTTCATTAGATTTATATGATTTTATAAATGAAGACTTTTATATATTAAAATAGTCTTACTACTCGTGCATAAAAACAATTAATGTTTAGGTTACTGATAATTCATACAAAGCAGACCTTATTTTATTTGCAACTGAAGGTCCTCATTATGGAATTCATGTTGAATTTACTTGTTAAGCTGACAAATGTGAAATACAATAAAAAAAGATTGTATTTATATTATAAGGTTATGGATCATTTGAAATATTGGGATTCTTGTTCTCTTCTGTTAAAATAGTTAACAATTTTATTTAAGTTTCATATACAGATCATGGAAGAAGCATATTAGTTTAGACAATCTATTAATTACCTAAATTACAAACAACTCATTCAGCAATTACCTTTTTTGCTGCCTTGAAACCAATTTCTTATTATTTTAGAAACGATATTTAATAAGAATTATACTCTTATGATAATAAAGTATTATTATTTATTTATATAAATAGTTGTATTTCATTACTGATTCAAATCATTTCGGTTCATTGGCATTGTATAAAATTAATTTTTCACCTCAGCTCTTGCTAGATGGAAAAATGAACAATGTTACAGGGTTTCTTTCAATTTTTAATGATTTTTCTGCAGCTTCAATACCTCTAAATATTTATGTACCTGGAGGTAATAATGATGATGATGACGATAAAGATATTAGTAATAATAGTCATAAAGTATTATGGATTACTTTAGGTGTAGTTGGAGCATGTATAATTTTTGGAAGTGGATATTATTGTTACAAAAAAAAGAAAACTAAAGTAGAAACACTAATCTGATTAAATAATTTAAAATATATACAATCAATTTATATTATAATCCCAAACAATTTCTGTTTAGAGTGTCCAATCTTTTGAACTAAAATGCAAAAATGGTACTTATCTTAATTATGATTTACTACTTATTTTATATTATTCTTACTTCAAATTTATTTCACTTTGGTGTATTGATTAATTATAGCTATTATTAATTTCTTCAGTAGGTTATTATTATTTATTAGAGTATTTTAATCTAATAATAAATTCGAAAGATATTAATTTAGTACCTGCCTCTCTAAACTATGACCTATAATTCTTAACAGTATTTGAATTTATTATATTGGGTTCCTTTTTATTAAGTAAATATTGCAAATTCTTTATTCTACAATATCTAGTATAAATAACTCTCCATTCCCATTAAATCTCATCATCTTAATTTTTCTCATTATTTTAATTAATCTATATCCAATTCATATCTGAATTAATCACCTCTAAAATATTTAATAAATATTTTGAATTTTAGGACACTTAATAATCAATATCAAAAAAAACATTCTTACAATCTTGTTAATTTCTATTATTTTATTAATTTTTTTTTTTGTAACAATATTAAAAAAGGATTTAAACATTATTAATATTTTAAGGATTTAACATAGCATCATAATAATTAGTTTTAGTTTAATTCCATGGTCTTAATATTAAATAAGCAGCTTCTATATTTTAAAATAACAATGAGTTTGTATTTATTGGCAAAACTAATGAATTTGGTGATGGTTTAATTGACCCAAAAAATGGATTATTATGTCTTTTAATGAATTAAGAATAAAATTATAATTTATTCTCAAAATCTACAAATATATATTCTATCAAATTCATTGGCTGAAAAGAACTAAATATTAAATTTTGAATACTTTATAATTTCACCCCCAAAAAGAGCAAAAACTTAAAAAAAATTATCTTGTTAATGTTGAATTTGACAGACTGTTTAACCAACTATAAGTTATTATCTTAGTTCTTATATATATCTCTCTGTATTTTCATTATTATCAAAATACTAATCGTTATTTTAGATTTATTCTAGTTGATTCCTTTCCAGTCTATCCCATCTATTTTTTTATAAACAATAAATTAATATAACATCCTCCTATATTGATTTTTCACCTTAAGTTGTTATTGGGTATACAAATAAAATTTTTTTACCATATATTATTATTTAACCATTTCTTAATTTACCATCGTAACGTAATGGAATTTTCCCCTCAAATTCATTACTAATTATATTAATAAAAATTACAATGTATAATCTGTATCTGATGTTGAGAAATCCTATCCAGAATAATAATAAAAGTTTTGATTTAAGAAATCTAATAAAATTATTATTTTATATGTATATGAAATATAAACTTATTGAAAATGAATGCTATTTTTTTAATGGTTTTTTGGTTTTATAATTATATTTTACTAATTTTCTTACATTATAACAAAATAAAGATCTTCAAAAAGTTAACCTTATTAATTTTTTTTTTTATTCATTAGATGTTATTAAGCTCTAAAGAAATTTATTAAATGCATTGATTTTTAGATACCAAATAACTTTTATTCAAAAAAATTGTTATAATTTTTGTTTTATTGTTGATCAATTACTTTATATGAATCTTTTTTTGCTATAGTTTTAATTCTTTAGATTCCAAACAAGCAAGCATTCAGAATTCTCAAATATGATAAAGAAGCCTATTCTAATTATTGAGTATCCTTGTCAAACTTTATGTGAATTACAACTTTAGCATATTTCCTTAATTTTCCAACTAATATTTACAAAGCTTTTTCTTGTATTTAAAAATATTAAGTGTTGCTTATATCAACATAAATAACAATAGGTCTAAATTAGATCAACTTATTTTTGATAAATTAATTAAATAGAATCTTCATCTCAAATTTAGATATTTTAACATTTTCTACACTAAAATATGGAATAATTGTCTATATTACGGATGGATTCAATTCTCTTTTTATTTAATCCATATTCTATTAAGTTTATATCCAATAAATTGAAAAATATAAACAGTGCCTTTAATAATAGTAATTAAACTCTCTCCAAAATTATAAATTTTCTTTAGATTCTTTACCTGTTAAATTTATATAAATAAATCTCGGAAAATCTAAAATTTTATTCTATTCGTACTCTTGATTATTTTTAATACAATTACCTTAACAAAAAATAGATTAGATAATGGATGAAGTATGCATTAATAGATTATATCCAGGGTTGAAGTTTTAATATATTTAAATTACACATTGGTAACCTTAATTCAAGATCTAATTTAATACTGTATGGTATACATTTTTTAAAACTTAATAAAGACTAAATATCTGATATCTAAGCTCTTAATTTTCTGGATTCAATATTTGATCAAACCATTTAAACCAATTCCTTTTTGCTATCTCTTATGCAAATTTTAACAATTGGTTTCTCTTATAAGCTTAAAATTATTTTAATTTCTATAAAAAATTTACATCAATGTCAATTATTTTTGATAATTCTATGTTTATTAAAGAGTCTTTAAATAAATCTGAAGTGTTTTTATATAAATCTGAAGTATAAGCATAAGATTGTATCTATGAATTACTGTTATTATTTTAATCATTAAACTTTTAATCTTTTATAACATAGATTGAATAATATAATTAGCTTTGTAAATCACATATGCTTTTCATAATATTTATAATTTCTTGTTTTAGTTTTTCTTCTAATGTTTACTTAATGATAAAAATATTTGCTTTTTTATGAGAATCACTCGTTTCTTTTTTAATAAAATTGTGCATTTTATGCTTTCCATTAAAGATAAGTTAGTTTTAAATATTTTTTGACATTTTGAGATTTTCTTTTTCTATTATTATAAGAAATTTAATATAAAAATTTAAAGAAAATTTTAAAAATAATCATGGTATAGTGCTATAAAAATATTCCTAAATAGATTAAGAATAAAAATGATTTTATATGTTTTTTTGTTGAATAGCATTGAAATATCATTTTTTAGTGCTATTTTTCAATTTTTAGTCAATATTTTTGAAATATGTGCTTTAAATTCTTTAGGATAATGTTCTTTGTTTATTATTTTAAGGAGATTTGTATCTGCTAGTAAGAGGAGCTAATTTTGATGGCTTTTTATCAAAAATATCTTAAAAGTTCAAAGGGTTTGATGCTCCCAATTTAGTAATATTTGATACACGAGGATAATAAAAAGTTTATCTTTTGATTACAATCTATTATTAATAAAGAATGGGTTCAGTTTTAATTCTTTATCCAAATAATTGAATATGGGGTCCTTTTTATTCAGATTACTTTAAATTATGTTATTTAGGTGTTAGATCTGTAAGAGTATTTGGAGATGATTGAAACAATTATTATTATATATTATTAGATTGCATAAGTTTAGATATTGCACTTTTTACATAAACCATCTACAAAATTGAAGACATAGGTTTGAATTTGGATTTGATAATATTATTATTATTTGTTGAATGACTAAAATTTTATTTAAGTATTACATGGATGCAGTTCCACTGGATTTAAGTAAATTTTCTTGATTCTTAGGAGTTTTATCTAATTCATGATATTTTATTTATATAGGCTTATCAATAGTATTTTAATCATTTTCATTCTTAATTAACAGCTTCTTACGAATATTGCCTCCACATTCATTACAATGACAACTTTAATTTATAGATTTTTCCTCATATGCACCTTATTTTAATTCTTAAAATGAATTATTAGGTTTTAGTTTTTTATAAGTTTTAGATAGTGAATAAACTTTGTATTTACTTTCCTTCTTGTATGTTCTTTTACGATATTGTGGCCTACAATAGAGATCGAGATTCTTTACTAATGATTAATTATCAAATAAATTCATAATTATTGTAAAATGTTTTTAAATGCATCTAGATCAGATAATTAATATTTCAATTCTTCAGCTGTGAACTTGCATTGTATCTTTTTTACAGTGATTTTAAAACCCATTTTTTATTGTTTCACTTCTTTAGTAGTAAGTAGGTTATAATCTTTCAATAAATTAATTTCCTCTTCTACATCTACACTTAATGGCAAGCTTAGTTTGTATTTAATTTCATTGACTTTTCTGATTAGATCTTATAAATCTATTTCAAGTTAAATTGACTCTTTTTTTAATAATGCAGTAATCCCTAAGAGTATTAATTATTAATGTAAAGTTAATGTAGTAACAACACTCTTCATTTTGTTATCAATAACACTCATACCTATTTCTTAGTTGACAGCATCTGTTGTCATTTCATCTTTTTCTCTTAAAATTCTTTTAACATTATCTATTATATTTCTCATATCACCTCCTTTATCATTATAAGCTTTAGTTGTAAGTAACTTTATTGCATTCTCATCATATTTTCTAAATAAATAATAAATATACAATATTTCCATTTATTTTAAATTATCTTTAACTAATTCTTATAACTGCTATATTGTGTAAGGTTTGAGAATTAAATTTTTAAATTAAGGGAGCTAAAATTTATATCTTACAGATTAAGTTTATAGAAACTCTATATCATTGCTGATTCCTATAATGATAGCATATTTAGACAAGGAGAATAAATCAAAGGCTTCTTTTTCACTTACTTTAAATAAATTGTCAAATTCATCAATAATGATAATGCTAAATAAAATTATGTATATATATATTACGCATTCAAATCTTTAAGTTTATCTATAAAAATATTACGATGTTATTATTTGCCAAGAGAGTTCTTAAGATTCATTTACTTTTTACAAATATTTAAAAATTCTGTATAATTTTTACATTGCATAGCATTTATATATATAGTAGTATAATTATTTTTCCATAATTTTAAACATTTAGTTAAGAGCATAGTTTTACCACATCCAGGTTAACCAGTGATCATTAGAAACTTTTATTCATCAGGAGATATTATAAATTATTAAATTTCATATTCTTCTAATTCTCTAAACTTCATTTTTTTAATTAGATCAGTCACATTACTTTGAGTGTTTTCTAAATCATCATAAGCATTTGGTAATTTTTTAATACTTTTTAAATCGTCTTATGGTGACTGTCTTTTCTTTTTCATTAATTTATATATTATGGCGCTTAAATTAGCGTACCATTTATATAAAAAAAATAAATAATCAAATTTCTTTTTTCTTTTAACTTTTTTATCTGGCCAATAATCTATCCTGAATTGATTTAGATTAATTTTGTAATTGAGATTCAACAACAGTTTATTTATTTTATTATTATTCTTCTTTGAGAAGTAATTTTGGTATATGTGTATCATTATTTTCATTTCTAAATTCCATTTTGGGTGATCTCTTTTTTAGAGTGAAATCTTCTAATTTTAATTATAATTTAGTTTCAGTTATTTAATTTTATGGTGACTCACGATTCTTTATAATAATATCTGGATTTTCTTTATTCTTATTGCCTTCCTCAATAAAAGTTTAAATTTATTATACTAGTTTTTTATTATCAATTTATTGATATTAATCTTCATTTTTAGGAGTAGCATATTCTGTAGGTTTATCGATTCTTCCATTGAAATCTTCAAAATCTTTAAAATATGAAATATCATTGCTCATAACTTAAATTGGTGATTGACTAATAGATAATATTAGAATAATACATTTTTCTATCTGAAGATTAAAGTGATCTTGGTTCTCTTTATGTAAAATTATCAGCTTATTAAACAATATATCTGATTTTATCTAAAAAGTAATATTTAATGGGATCCATGAGAGTATCATATTATTATACACATTCTTAATACATTCCAACTAATTAGTCAACCATATTAATTTATTTAATTGGAGATAAAATAAATTTGTTTTCCATAGTGGACATTGTTATAAAAAATTATTTCGTTAAATGTATTTTCTTTTAAGTTCCTTATTAAACTTCTTTATGGTTTTATTTATATAGAAACTCTGGAGTCATAAATTATTCTTCAATAAAAAATGTTCCTTTCGAACCTGATTTATTGTCATCTTCTCCTTTTTTTCCTTGAATACTCTCAAAAGCTTATTTAAATATTCTCATTAAATTTATTAAATATATTATAAATTTCATTTCTTTCTGATTTCCACATCTTTAGTGGCAGCATATTCACTCCAACTTCCATCATATAATGATATATTTTTTAATCCTAATCTTTCTAATGCAACATAAATAATAGCTGCAGTAACACCTGATCCACATGAACATACAATATTTTTATTAATATCAACATTCAGATTATTCAATATTTATTTGATCTCTTCTACCTAAATACCTTTAATTAAATAATTATACATTTTTCATTAATCCTGTTGTTTAATCAATTAATTGACTAAAAGGTAATGAAGTAGAATATGGCATATGACCACTTGATAATCCAGCTCTAGGTTCAGGTACTTCTCCATTAAATCTTGGACCTGGTCTAGCATCTAAGACTTAATCTCCTTTCTTTCCTTTATTTTAATTCTCTATATTTTTTATTATGAAATTTAGATCTCTTAACATATGTGGTTAAACTGTTGCCTTATAATTTGCTTCCTTTATTAATGGTGGAGCATCAGAAACAGCACAATTATCTCTCACCCAAGCTGGAAAACCACCATCTAAAACAGCTATATCCTGATGTCCAAAATATTTGAATTGCCAATACACTCGTGCAGATGAAAAGATATTCATTCCATCATATACAACTATTTAATCATTATTACTAATTCCCATATCAGAAACAGATCTTTTTTACATAATTCATGTACCTCTCAAAATCTTCTTTTTTTGGAAGCATATGTGGTAAACTTGTTTCTTACAGACTATTTGCATCAATATCAAAACGAATAGCTCCAGGAATATGTTATTTTTTATATTCTAATTCTGCATTTCGATTCATTTATGGAAGGTACCATGAACAATCTATTTTAAGCTTCTATTTTTACCTAACACTTTGACTTTATTAAGATTTTATTTCAAATATTGTACTGAAACCAATGGAGATGGGAATGATGAAAAGGCATATCTTGTGTATCTTACAAACATTTTTTAATGATAATATGTAATTTTTACAATTCTTGTTTTGATTTTTATATTGAAATATTCTATATTCAAATCAAATATGAATAAATGTAATAATCAGAATAATTGATTGTGAGAGTATTTGTGATAATTCTGTGCTTATTGTCAATGGTAGGCTGCTCTATCATTTTATGGACATTTTTCAAAACTCCAAGATTAAGCAAAAACCCTGGAAGTATTATTTAAAGAATGGCCATTGCATAAATTGTATTGATAAAGAATTTTATTAGATTATTACATTTCTGATGTTTTTTGCTCAATTTTACATTGAAGATTAAGATATTTAAATTAGTGCTGTGTTTATAATATCTTCTAATTTTTGCTCATTTTTAGGTTTTATTGAGATATTCTTCTCCTCTTAATATATACTCTATAATGTTTATTTTCCAATAAATTTATACTGTTCACTCAAAACTTAGAACTATAATTTTACTAAATATTTTCAATACATGGAGATGTTCTCTTTTGCATTTTCAATAATTTTTACTTTGACAATGTTTCTCATAAATGATGTTTAAATAAAGTATAAAAGATAATTATTTAGCTTTGTTGGAGTTTGTGGTCTAAAATTAGCATCATCATCATCAAAATCTTTGAGTATTATTTTAGCAGTCATAACTATAAGTGTTTTAATATTACTTATTTTCATTACCATTGAAAAATCATTAATCAAAACCACTTTTTATAATAAAGATTCAGAAAAATTCCATAAGAAATATCATAAAGAGTTTAAGATTGTTAATATCTTATATACTACAGTATTTATAGTAACATATATGTTTCCATCCTGCATTATATTTTGGAGTGAATTATATTCTGGTAAAGATTATTATTATTATCTTCCAATCATCTATCCTTTAGGAGGAATCTTGCTTTTTTTTATTAGAATTAATGATCCTATTGTAAAAAAGTACTTATACAATATGCTTATGGGAAAGAAAAAAACAAATCAAAGTGGTAAATTAAAGGATAAACTTTTACAAAAATAAAATGTATCAATTTATTTTTAATAGTTCGATGATATTGGATAAATGAGTATAGACTCAGGATTTGAAATTAGTGTATGCAACAATAATAATAAACTTAGATATACAGTTAAATAAGTACTTAGTGAAAAATAAATATCATCAGAAATCTCAATCAATTCTGTTTTTGGAAGTGGATTTTAAACTAAATTAATCAAAAATAATTAAGAACTATTCATTATTTTATTAACTATTAAAAATGCTATTAATTAATGTATTCAAAATAATTAATCATCCTATAAAAATCTGAAACCATTCAATTTTACTCATATAACTAAATATTCATTATATTTGTAGGATGATTTTAAAGAATTAGATTAAAAATATAAGAATTTTAATGTATTATTATTATTGATTATAATATTAGAATTTGTGTTTAAATGATTATGTAGATGAATTTAATTATAAAAGAGTTATAAATTGTTACAGTTATGCAAGCAACACACTTATTCATCTTTTTAGCTAGATGTTAAATATTGACATAAATCAACTTCGAACTAGTTTAAGAATATAATAAAATACAAAAAATATATTCAATACAAAATTACCGTCATCTTTTGGACCTATTTTTTTAACTTATGATAATTATTTTACTATAGAAATAATTTCAAAATAACATAAATTACTTTTAACAAAAGGTGGAGGATTAATGAACATTTGTAAGCGTTATTAAACTGAATATATTAAATCTAAAAATGGTAATACTTTATTGCCTGCTATATTTGGATTGTATACAATATAAATTGAAGAAGATAGATTTATCAATATTGTATTAAAGTTAAATTAACTTAAAATAAAGTATCCTTTATCTCTAAATTTATTCAATGTTTCTGAACAATAAGATTAATTAATTTAATAAGATGTTTTTGGTTGGATATAATTAAGCTTAGAGAAAGGGAAATTTTAATTATTTGTTGCAGAAAAGTTATTTGATGATAAATATTAAATTAAAATTGAGGATAACGATTTTAAGTTATCATAAAGTGCTGCCAAAGATTTGTTAATTATATTAAGTAAAGATATTGAAGCATTTTGTTTCTTAAGGAATATTACTCTTTCTTTGGTTTATTTTAAATTACCAAATAATAGACTAGATTCAATGTGCAAACATGAAAATTCATTATCCTATCATTATTAGATTATCAAGAATAGTCAATAAATTACTCCATTGTAAATTAATGAGTATTTTAAAGATTTAGGATAATTTGAATTAGATAGTAAAATAGGTTTTGTTAGAATTTATTTTGATAATTTTTGGCAGGAATGGGAATATATTAATGAAAATGAAAGATGTTTTTATTTTGATAAGCTAACACAATAGTTGTCAGAAGTAGTATGATTTCTTTTATTTGAAAACAATAAATTAAAGATTAATAGAAATATACTCAATTAGCTAGTTCCATAGACTATCGTCTTGTAAATATTTCTACTTTTTTATTTTTATTTTCAGCTTAATCTTTAAAGTCTTTTTTTTTAGACTTTTTCTTCTTATCACTATCAACTATTCTTATTTTAAATGTATTTTACTTCTCTCTATCTATAATTCTTAAAATATCTCAAAAATTCTAATATAAGGAAATATCTAAGTATTATTAGAATAAGAGAATAATTTCAAAAATAGGAAATCATACTATTCAGAAGTTAAGTCGATATCCATATATTCAAATGTTTCAATAATTTATTTTCTTTCTAACAATCCTTCATATTTACTTGTTAATTAATCAAAATATTATTTCAAACTATTTTTATATTTACTAATAACCTTATAATTTGAATAAATATATACTTGTGTTATTTCTTTTGTTTTTAAAGTCTCAATCTCTATAGTTAAAATTTCAAAGGTTCCCACCAATTTTTACAAGATGCTTCTAACAATAGTTGTAGATTATGTTAATTAATCATTATAAACTACAAATTCTTAAGAGTTATCTTCAGTAAGATATCTTGCAACTAATAATGCTGAATCTTCATCAATTAATAAAAATGGTTCTCTTTACAATCTTTCTGATATCTCTTTTAATTTTATTTCTCCTGTCTTTTTATTTTTATTGTCAAATAAATATCTCTCAATTGCATCTTATAAAGTTATTTTTTTAGTTCTTAATCGATAATTTAATTCTAACCCTAAATGTTCTACATCATCCTTTTTGATTACCTTAAATTTTTATTACTATTAATTTTTGTCTTAATTGATACTATCTGGAGTATTATTTTAATTTAATGGTCTCTAAATCTTAAGATTAAGAGTTGCTGCAGTTGGAGCCTATCTATTTTAAATTGAAGGAACAGTCTCTTTTAATCTTGACTAAGCATTTATTAATAATAAATGTTTATATTTTTCATCTAGTTCTTCATAAGCTAATTTAAGTTTCTTTAATTCTTCTTACAATTAATCTTTCATCTTTACCTCCATTGATAATTTCTCATTCAATTTTTATTTCAACTCAGTCGTTGTTTTATCTAAATATTCTATATCTCTTGTTTTCTATTAAAGTTCCTTTCTTAATTCTTATTCAATTTTAACTAATCCTATTATTCTTAACTAATTATTATCTAATTTATTTGCTTTTTAAATAAGATTTTAATTTGTATCTTTGTATGCATCTAATTCTTATTAAAGTCCATCAATATATACTAATTTATCTTTAAGAGTTTATTAAAGATCATCAATCACCTATTTTTATTTATTTAAAACTTTTTAATCGGTATCTATCTAATTTTAAAGTTTAAATTTTTCTTCCTATTCTATTGCAATTTAACCTTAATAGAATGAATTTTCCTGTTTAAGAGAATTTATTATTTGCATTTAAATATAGAATTTCTCCTCAAATTAATTAAAATCATGAGTCATTTGAATTATCTACTCATTTCTCTAAGATTATTCTAAAAGAGTTCTTAATCTAAGTGTTTCCTCTTCAAATACATTGATTTCTTTCTCTAACTCTTATATTTTAGTATATTTTATATCATGTTTTAAATTTTAGATCTCTTCATTCTATTATTTAATCAAACTTCGTAATTCTTTGATTTGTTTCTTTAAAGTTATTGTTAATAAATTCTAAAAGAATTATAATTAATATTATACTTCACTAATTCCCAATTTAGTCATTAATGCTAAGTCTTATTTATCAGCAACATATTTCTGTTATAAAAATCCTCCTACATTTTGAACTACAGTTTACATTCTCTNTCAATTAATAAAAATGGTTCTCTTTACTATCTGGAGTATTATTTTAATTTAATGGTCTCTAAATCTTAAGATTAAGAGTTGCTGCAGTTGGAGCCTATCTATTTTAAATTGAAGGAACAGTCTCTTTTAATCTTGACTAAGCATTTATTAATAATAAATGTTTATATTTTTCATCTAGTTCTTCATAAGCTAATTTAAGTTTCTTTAATTCTTCTTACAATTAATCTTTCATCTTTACCTCCATTGATAATTTCTCATTCAATTTTTATTTCAACTCAGTCGTTGTTTTATCTAAATATTCTATATCTCTTGTTTTCTATTAAAGTTCCTTTCTTAATTCTTATTCAATTTTAACTAATCCTATTATTCTTAACTAATTATTATCTAATTTATTTGCTTTTTAAATAAGATTTTAATTTGTATCTTTGTATGCATCTAATTCTTATTAAAGTCCATCAATATATACTAATTTATCTTTAAGAGTTTATTAAAGATCATCAATCACCTATTTTTATTTATTTAAAACTTTTTAATCGGTATCTATCTAATTTTAAAGTTTAAATTTTTCTTCCTATTCTATTGCAATTTAACCTTAATAGAATGAATTTTCCTGTTTAAGAGAATTTATTATTTGCATTTAAATATAGAATTTCTCCTCAAATTAATTAAAATCATGAGTCATTTGAATTATCTACTCATTTCTCTAAGATTATTCTAAAAGAGTTCTTAATCTAAGTGTTTCCTCTTCAAATACATTGATTTCTTTCTCTAACTCTTATATTTTAGTATATTTTATATCATGTTTTAAATTTTAGATCTCTTCATTCTATTATTTAATCAAACTTCGTAATTCTTTGATTTGTTTCTTTAAAGTTATTGTTAATAAATTCTAAAAGAATTATAATTAATATTATACTTCACTAATTCCCAATTTAGTCATTAATGCTAAGTCTTATTTATCAGCAACATATTTCTGTTATAAAAATCCTCCTACATTTTGAACTACAGTTTACATTCTCTCAGTATTTTTACTTAAAAACCTCATTTTCGCTTTTAGATCATAATTTTCTTAAGTTAACTTATTTATAATATCTTTCAAATACACAGTTTCTGTATATAAATCATCCTATTTAAATAAATTAAATTGATTACTTTATCTTTAGCCATATTTAACGGTATTTTTTTACTTAAGTCTTATACGACTGGTGAATTTCTTTCAAATATAGTTGAAATAAATACTTTACAATTTCTGTATGATTAGTTTTGCTTTGTGTAACTGAACTATCATTAATTACATTAGTTTTTCTTGTAGATAGTGTTCTAAATTTATTAGGGGATGGTTTCAATACAAATTTATCTAAGTCATTCAATTCACCTACTCCAGGAATCATCATCTTTAAACCATTAGGCGACACTCTCTCAAGTTTTTTAGTATCATAGATGATGCCTGATTAAGGTCTACTTCTAATATGACTGAAAGTCTTAGATGTAATCCTTTAGATAAATTATTTCTTTACATTTTAAAGGTTTTTGGAAGTAATATGTTTTATAAAATAAAATCAATTACTCCAAATATATTCTTTTGTCTTTATAAAGATACTCAATTGATCATTCATAAATTAAATAATTTCAGTTCTTATACAAAATTAGAGTTTTCTAATAGGTTTATATACATTTTATGATTTGTTGAAATTTGAATAATTTCTCAATTCGGTTTATTTTCATAATTTTAAATTACTGCTCTTGTTTCCATGATCTTATTAAATTGTTACCTAAGATTATTTTATTATTGAAATTAAGTAGTCTTATTAAGTCACTAATAAATATAAAATTGTATGATGATAATGAAAAGTTTAAATATAGAAAAAATTCTAACTTTTTTTTTTTAATAAGTAAGTGTATCTAAATTCAAAAATTTACATGTAAAACTTAACTATAGATTATTTCTTATTAAAAATAGATGTTCTATCCCATTAGATAATTTATAATAAATAAATAATAAATTTATATGTTAATTAATATAGGTTTAATGAGAACTTATATATTTACTTTATTTTTAAATTAATCAATAGGAGCACTAAGTAATTTATTGCAGAAATTTAAAATCTAAAAGAGAGAGTCAGTTAATTATACTATGATATATTTGGTTTATGGCAATAAATTATAGTAGAGATTTAGAAAATAGAAATGATATTTCATTATAAAATGAATTGAAGAAGAGAGAAATTTTTAGTTTTATTTCAATCAATAACATTATTTCACATTAAGATCGTGTAGTTAACCTATCAAGATTTGACTAACCATTTCATACCATCAAAAAATTAATGAAAATTAACTTACTATTATCACTAAAATTCATAAGAAGAGGAATATAGTAATGAGAACTTTATTTTCTTCTGTTAAACTGAAAAGAATTTAATTTAATCTATATATTGTTAAAAGATGTAAAGTATTGTTCATTATCTAAAATGTATCTTGTTTTCATTTTTAAAGTATTACAATCATATAAATTTAACTTTGACGAATTTATCAACAAGAATGACGAATAGTTTAGAATTTACAATATTTTTATATAAATCAAAAGTAAAATCAAAAAAATCTTAAATTTGCAATTCTATCAATATTAAATCAATGAATAATAGATCTTTAAGTATTTCAATTAAAAATTAAATCTTTATTTATAAATTATAATTATTTTTTATTCTTTAAAAATAAAATTTAATAAAAATATTCAACATCTTTTAATTCTTGAATATTTACAATTTCTCTATATAAGAAAGCAATTAATTAATACAAAAAATGTTTTAAATAAAAATTTAGTATATAGTTTCGTAGTTTTAAATATTAAATATTCATTGAATAAATGAACTTACTTGATAACAAATTATGCATTTAGAATAGTATTCAGAATTATATTTATTATAATAAATAGATGTTTTTAGATATTTTATTATAAATATTTCACTGAGATTAGTGTGCTTTGATATTAAATTTTAATTCTTTGATTTTAGAATTAATACGCATCTAATTATCGGAAATAGTTTAAAATCAAGATTTAATAATTAAATCAACTCAGTCATCATAAGGGCTGAATTTGAATATCTTTCAATTGATAATTTATATTTTTTATAAAATCATTAATGGATATCAGCGCGTTCTTATACGACAACTTACCTCAACCTTAAGGAAATAATGATCTGATTCAAGAAGAATGTCATCAATACCTTTCTAAATTGAATTTTAATAAAACTTTATTCAGAATGCAAAGTCCTGAACCTTCTATTCAAGATGATTGTTTTTAAAATGAAAATGACTCTTTTGATGTTAATTTTGGAGATTTTAAATATGTTAACGATGAAAAGAAATATCCTTCTGATGAAGAGGGAGATATTTAATGTTTAAAGAAAATTTAAAAGGCTAAAAAGTTGAAGAAAAAGAGTAAAGATAGATATGGGCCTCTTTCAGAAAAGGAATTTATAGAAATAATGAAAAAACTAGAATAGTGCCAGTAAGTTATGAATATGATTGACAACATGTCGATGATATTGAACGGATTTAAGGTCTAGTTATAGAAACAAGGGATTTCAGCTCTTTAGCGACATAAGTGAATTATTTTGTTACAATATATTAAATATTTTTTGCTGTTGAACTGACAGTTTATTCACTCATACTAATTAAAGTGATTATTAATTTAAAATTATAAATGTAAATAAATATAGGTCAAATGAGCATGAAAATTAAGGCTATGACAATGTATGTTAAAATTGACACAATTAAAAGATTTAATGGTGAAGCTAGCTTTCTTGGCCATTAGGTTGAAGGATATTCATTTTTTTGTTAGCCTTTTAATTTATCTATACATATGCTAAAATACCACATCAAAATTAAGAGGAAATATAATTCATAATCTCTAAGAGGAGCTTTCCATTAATTTATTAAACTAAATTATACTAATTATATATACATTTTTTTTCTAGACAATCTTCCAGTACTCTTTGATGGACTTAAATTTTTAATTGGAATTATTTTTATTGAAGCTATTGGAATTTCAAATTACTCTCCTAAATATTATACAATTCTATCATTTTTAATGTTCTTTTGTTATTAAAATTGCATTAATGTGCAAATGATTTATTAAATCCATTTTTCAACATTTTCATTTTGTTTTATCAAAAATTCTTCCTCTTTACTATCTTTGACATATATGTCACAAAAGTTCTTAACTTCATAATAAGCAGGAATTTGAAATGGTTAATTTTTCTAAGATTTTAATAAATCACAAAAAAAGGAATTCTAGTCTTATGAATATATAAAAGTAAGTAGATGCATGATACCTTGATATTCAGAATCATTTATATAACTTAAATTATTAATGCATTTAAATATTGTCATTAATAATTTAGTATAAAATGGATAATATATTCTCAATAGATTTTTCATTTCATTTCTATATTTTTTTAATTCTCTAAAATGAAAGTCTATTTAATAAAAATGTGAATTAAATTTTAATTCTAAGCATCTTAATAAATTCTAAGGTTTAAATTCTTTAAATAGTATTGCTTGAGGACATTGTCCGAATTTATTTTTAAGTATTTGATAAATAGGTTATAGTTCAGTTAATATAAAACGAGTTATTGGATTGTTGCTTTTATATTAAAAATTTTATTGTTAAGAAAGATAATTTAATATTGTATTTTAGGATACTAAACAAGAAATTAGTGCTTAATCAAATATCAATACTTAATCGTAAATAGAAATCTCATAAGCAGAAAATTACTATCTTAGAAATAAAACATACGTAGATAAATGTGAAAGTAAGGAAATTTAATTGCATTACCTTTCGTTATGGTATAATTCAAATGAATTTTATAAAAATTTATATAATCCTTATTGATAAGTGATTTATTGTTTTTATCTTCCACATTCAAAAAAGAATCCTCTATTTTAATAAAATATTTGACTTTGCTTGTTAAAGATATCACTATTTTTGATAAAATGCTTAAACTATGAGTATGTTGCTTCTAAATCTTATCCGTATAAATTGTTAAAAAATATGGTTAGAAATACCATCATCATTTATGTATCTAATATCACACTACTTGGTTTGATTTTGTAAAATAATTTTTATTATTCATTAGTTAGATTAAAATCAAGTAATTTCTATACATATAAATGTTCATACATAGAATATTCTTAAAGTAAAATTATCATTTATTGAAATTTAAATATAGTAACTTATCTATTTTAATTATTTTAAATAGGTCTATCTGGTTTAATCTACTTAACCATATATTCAATAATTCTTCTTATCAAGATTAAGTAAGGATTAAAAGTTAGTTATTTAAGTAAAAAGTCTTTGGTATTAAATTTCATTTTGCATTTACTAAAAGCACAATCAAGAACTTTTTAACTATTATCTGTTACATGTAAAGCGCTTTCTTTAAAATTTACAGCTCCATTTAATAAATAAATCCAAAACATCATTTAAGCGCTAACACAAAATTTTAATTGATTTTTTTCAACTAAAATATTGTCTTAGAAAATCTCTTGAAAAGTTTGGAATTGAGAATTCATATTAACAATAGAAGGATCCTTCAAAAATAATTATAAATGAGCAGGCAAAATATCAATTTAAACTGGATTATATGGATATTCAGATGGTAATGATTAATAGAATGATTATTCATTTGGTGAAAGTATATTCAAAATTTTGATAAAAAACAGTGTATCTTCTATAGATCCAAATCGCATTTATGTAGTTCGAAAACTACTATTTAATATTCCATCTTATTTGAAAATTAGTTCATATACTTGATGCTAGAATTTTAAAAACTCTTAACCATAGCAATACTCTCTTTATTTTATGAGTTCAAAGCTGACAATTTATAACCAATTTAAAAATTCATTACCATGAGCTTTTTAAGCATATTTTAAATCGTCTTCAAATTTATTCATGATTATTTTATGTAATAAATATAATTATTTTTAAACTCAATAAATTTTTTTTGCCTAAATCTTGAAATTGAATTTATTGATAAAAACTGAAGCTCTAAAAAAATTAATTGTATGATTAATTTGAGTTCAGTAATTATGACTTAAAAAAAATGACTTGTAAAAATAAACAAATACTTTTGATGAACAATTTTGATATATAAATAATTATTTAATAAATAATAAAAAATAAAAAACTAATAATGAAAAGATCTAAATTATAGACTTCAGATATCTTAGATTGGTATAAGAAAAGGTAAATTTAAATGTTTATATTAGATTTCCTGAAAAAGTAAAACCAAATTATTTGTATTTACCAGAAGAAATCAAATAGTAAGAGAGAGCGTAAGTTATATTTGAGAATTTGGACAAAAAGAAAGAAAGTATTGAAAATTAGAAAGTATTTATAGATAAATTAGCAATTGATAAATTATATGATATCTGTGTGAAGAGTGGAATGAGTATAAATAGAAATTAAGTAAGAATGCTTTTCGAAAAGATTGATGAAGATAAAAGCAGTATAAAAGTATTATTAATGTAGAATGGATTGATTTAGAAGAGTTCTAAAAATCAGTTCTTGATGAAGAAGTTGGAGAATGTAATAAATATTATATTAAAATTTTAGAATTTACATAAGTTGCAATGAAAGTTAGAAAAAACTTAGATGAAGGCTATTTGCCTATATATTATAAAAGTTTAATATCACATTTAAGTTTTGTATCTAATAGAGAAGAATTAATACAATAGATTAATGATTAAAGTAAGAGTAAGATAGAGAGATTTGAAAAGATTAAAGAAATAATGAAATTACCATATGACGATATAGAATAAGATAATAATTTATAAGTTTAATAAGCAAGAAGAAAATTGAGTGAATTAAAATAAGATTATGAAGGTGTTTAAAAAGTAGATGTGGAAACATAAGATTTTATAACTTAGATGAAGTAAAAATTAGAGGATACTAAAAAGAAAAGTGATGATGAATTATTATTAAAAAAGAGAATAAAAAGACATTCTTTACCTCATCATAGTTCCATTATAACTTTACCTAAAATAGAATAAAATCATATGAAATGGCATAAAAATTTAAGTTTAATTGATAATCAAGTTAGATAAAAAATATTTAGTGAAGTGTAAACTAAGAATAATAAAATAAATTAATTAATATCACCTAGAAATAAAAAACAAAAGGATTTATTATAATTAAAAAATCAATAATCAAAATTTATCAAAAAAGCAAAATAATAATTTGATATTCAGTTTGATTTTATGAATGATAATCAATAATCAATTGATTATACAGGTGGTAGAAGTTTTGAAGAAGGAATTCTAAGTTTATTCTAATAATAATAGTAATAAGGCAATTTATGCAACTTTACAAATATCTCAACAATAAAAAATGATAAAAATGACAGAGATGAAATTTTAGATTAATCTGGAGATCATTTGCCAAAATCTATATTGAGAAAACTTTAATAATATAAAAATGTAACAAGAGATTCAACTTAAATATTATTAGACAAATCTATTTTGTCCAGTTAATAATCGAAATAATCTGGTAAGTTAACACCCATTTATTATTAAAGAATGATTCATTAAACTCATACAAATACAGATTCCCTTAATTCTAATGATATGCCAACCTATCCAAAGAGAAGAACATATTCTTAATAAGATCTAAAATATTAAACTGTAATATAATTTTATTATATTATTAGCCTTATTTTAAATAATCAGAATTCTAACTACCGTATTTATGAAATTATTTTTATGATATTTATACATTTTATGATATTTTGATTGTCAAATCCTTTCATCAGTGAAAATATTTTAAATAATTTAATATAATTTATATGGGTATTTAGTGTTCTTAATGCTAAATTAATAATGAGAATGAATCAATTCTTGCTAATGTGGTTACAGATCATAAGAACTGTATGTATATGGAAGATCTTGAAGATAGTTTCGAAAGTGATCCAAGTAATATAGAATCAATATAAAAATTTTATAGATAATCCACCTTCTACTACTATAAATAAAACATTGGAAGAAAAAAGCATATAATTTTTAAAGATGAAAAAAGAAAGCTAACATACTATACAATCTGAATGTTACAAATCAGAAGAATTGTAAATGGATGATGATTCTAAATTTTTCGGATAAACTAAGGATGGTTAAGCTAATGGATATGGAAAATTATGGTTAAAAAATGGAGATTATTATGAAGGTGATTTTTTGAATAATTTGATGCATGGTAAAGGAATCTATAACTATAAAAATGGACCAATTTTTGAAGGTCAATTTTTATATAATAAACCAGATGGATTTGGTATGGAATCTTGGCCAGATGGTTCTATATATGAAGGATATTTTAAAGAAGGTAAAAAATCTGGTAAAGGATGTTACAAATGGTATCAAGGATGTGTTTATGTTGGAGAATGGAAGAATAATAAAATACATGGGACTGGAAGATATGATTGGCCTGATGGAAGGGTATGATGATAGATAATAATTCCAGTCTTACTCCGGTAGTTGGATCTGTAATCAAATGCATGGAAGAGGAAAGTACATTTGGTAGGATGGCAAATGTTATGATGGTGAATATTAGAATGATAGAAAATAAGGATATGGAATATTTTATTGGCCTGATTCCAAATAATATTAAGGTTAATGGAAAGATGGTAAATAACATGGGAAAGGAGTTATGATCTATCCTGATGGAAAAAAAAGAGTCGGACATTGGTAAAATGGAAAATTGTTGAATTATACTGAAGATGACAATCTTCTTCAAATAATTCCTGATAACTGGTTGCAATAATGATTATAATAACTTTTTTTTTTAATATTTATATCAATTTTATTATTGAGTAAGATTAGATCTTAAAAGAGATTAATTTATAAAATAATATAATGAAGTATTATCGAATTTATACAATAAATCATTAGTTAGGCATTTATCCACCAAATTAAGGTAAATTTTAAGAAATACCTGTAGAAATAGGTATGATTTGTTATACTTCAGCAGGTTAAAATTTATGTTAAATGACAACTCCCTTTCTTGCTTCAATAATTTTGCCTTCATATTTTGCTTTTAATTCTTTCAAATATTTTCCGAATTATTCTTATTGATCTCTATTGAAAGCCCTACCCTTTTCAACCAAAAACTCTAATTCATCTATATTTAATCTCAAACCATCTGATATTCTTCTTTCTTTAATGATTTCATTTTCTAATTTATATGCTCTATCTTCCCAAATACCAATAATTCTTTATAACTCTCTATTTTCAATATTAAGCATATCTAATTCTGCATCATCTCTCACATATCTTTCTACAAATCTATCAACAGGAACTTCAACTATTTTTTCAACTGGCACCTCAACTATCTTTTCTACAGGTACATGAATTATCTTTTCAACTGGAACCTCTACAATTTTTTCATAAGGAACTTCAACAATTCTTTCATAAGGAACTTCAACTCTCTTTTCTACTGGTACTTCAACATATCTATCAACTGGTCTATCAATGTATCTGTCCATATATCTATCTACATATCTATCTCTGGGAACTTCAACAACTTTTTCATAAGGAACTTCCACAATTCTTTCATATGGGACTTCAACAACTCTTTCATAAGGATACGGAACTTCATAAGGAACAGGTACTTCAACAACTCTATCAACTGGAACTTCTACTATTCTATCAACTGGAACTTCAACTCTTTTTTCTACAATTCTATCAACAGGAACTTCTATGTAAATTGGCACTTCTTTAATGACTTCATAAGGAACTTCTTTAATAACTTCTTTAATCACTTCATATGGAACTTCCTTAATCACCTCTTTGATCACTTCATAAGGAACTTCCTTAATTACTTCGTAAGGAACATCTCTATAATAAGGAACTTCATAAGGAACTTCAATTCTTTAAACTACAGGTACTTCAACTGTTTAAACTTTTGGAATTTCAATATATTAAGGAACTTGTTAATAAACATATTCAATTTTTGGTATTTCAACGATCTTTTCCACTATCTTAGGTTCTGATGGCACTTCCTTAATCACTTCCTTAATTATTTCAATTGGTTTCTAATCATGTACTTACACTTATTGAGGTTAATTAACGTGAACTGTTTTAATTACCTCTACTGGTTTCTCTACTATCTTTTCAACAACTCTCTCTTAGATTTCTATTTATTTCTTCTTCTTCTTCTTTCTCAATCTCTCTACTTCATCTTCTAATTATTTTACATATCCATTTTATCTTTCTAATTATACTGTTAAGTCGAATACTCTATTATAATTATAATTGAATTACTTTTTATCAGCAACTTTTAACAATGATTCTAATTCCCCTATTCTGTCAAACATTTCTTAATTTTCTCTCTCTAACTATTATTTTATTATTAATGCTTCATCCCTTTATCGACCTACTTCATATAGTTCCTTTTCTAATGATTTTATTTTTTTGCACATTTTCTTTAGACACTTTTTATTGTCTTCCAAATAAACCTCTATCTCTGAGTTACTTTAATGCTTAGGTTATTATTCCATCTATCTTATTATCCTCTCCATTTCCTAAATTTCTCTTTTTATTGTATCTATTTCTGGATCCTAAACATGTTATTATGGTCTTTATCTTTTTGGAGTCTCAGCTATTGTTGAAATCACTATTTCTTCTTTGCTTTCTTTCAATTTCTTATTTTATTTTTTCAACTTCTTTATTTCTTTTTCTAAGTGTTTTTAATCATTCCCTCCTTAAACTACATATGCCTAAGGAGCACACATCTGTTATTGTTAACATACATATTATGGTTAACAGACAGATTAATACATAGGTTAACACATTGGTTAACATGGTTAACAAATACTTGGTGTACATGAATGTCCTGGACTTCTTGTTACTGTAGCCACTGATTCATTCAATTAATCTGACATTCTTGATGATGTTAGCTTTTATGCTTGATTATTAAATGATGTTCTCAGCTCTTGAATAGCTGATGTGACTTTAGATACTTTGCTTGATCCTGAACTAGTTGTATTTGTATTTACAGGCTATAACACCTTATGGCCCTCATTGAATCTTACCGATTTTGAAGACTAATTATTCATTATTTAAATTAATAACTGATAATATAAAATATTTTATAAATAAAAATTATTTCTTGTATGAAAAAATATTTTCTAAATCAAAATCTTAATTGAAGATAATAAAATTTTTAATTAAAGAATTTTACATTTATTCTTCATTATTTTTTTTTATTTTAAATTTTGTTTAATAACATTTAATTTTCATCCTCTAAAATTTTAAATTTAAATTACTAATAATTTAATAATGTGTTCTGTTGAGATGGAAATATATTTATTAAACATAAAAAACATTATTGAATTTATTTTTATAATCAGATATCAAATAAATTTAATGAATATTAAAAATTGATCATTCATTATATCTAATATTAAACCCCGCCTTTTAAAATTCTTAATTGAGAATAGTATTGAATTCAAAAATATTTTAATGAATTTGACAGATAAAGGTGAATAGGATTGATAAAATCTGTCATAATTTTAAATAAAAGGAAAAAATCTACTTGTATAGAATGTTCTATAGTTTTGTTAACTTAATTCGATGCAGATTTAGAAAAAAGAGGATTCTAGTTAAAAAAAATTGGAAATCATTAATTAGATAATATCATATGTAAGACTGTAAAAAGAAAGATGAAAATGATAAAATAAAATAATTAATATAAATTTCAACAAAGATGATAGTATATAATATTGTAAATGTGTATTTATAATTTTTGATACTTATGATATAATAATCACAATCCTTTCATTGCTTCTTTTCCTCATCAAAGGTAGGGAAATCAGTGTATCCCTTTTCATCACCTCCGAAATAGGTCTTGAAGTCAAAATTAGTATTGAGTTAGAAAGCATTTCTGACTCTATATACCAAATCTGGATTGTTTATATATAATTATCCAAAGGAAACTGCATCATATAAACCATCTTTAATATCCTGATTTGCTCTTTCAGGAGTAATAGAATGATTTGCCAGAAGAATTCCTTTGTAATGTGGCCTCAATGATTTGTAAAGATTTTAAATTTACTTATCAGAAGCAGGATAACCAAAACCTTCAGCATTTTCTTAACTTTTATCTTCAACCAATGTGACATAAGCCAAATTGAGTTTGGATAATTATGTTAAGAGATATGTATATAATTAGATAGGGTTACTATCATTCATGTCACCAGTATGACCGATAGGTGTAAATTTAATACTAACTCTACCTGGATAGATTGCATTTAATTTTTATACAAGTTAAATGACAAATCTGCATCTATTTTCAACACTACCTCCCCATTAATCAGTTCTTTTATTAGAACTATCTCTAAGAAATTAATCAGGTAGATGTCCATTACCAGCATTAATTTCAACTCCATCAAATCCAGCAGTTTTAGCTCTTTTAGCTGCATCAACAAATTCTTATAAGGTTAATTATATTTCAGCATCAGTCATTTCATGTGGTACTTCAAATGGTTTATTTTAAGCACTATAGCAATTTCCTCTTATTGCAATTGCAGATGGAGCCCATGGTTCTAAACCATTTTATAATGATGAATGAGTTTTTCTTCCTCCATGAAATAATTATAAAAACAATCTGCCTCCTTTATCATGCACAGCCTTTGTTACTAATGCCCAACCTTTAGCTTATTCATCATTATAGATACATGGTGATCCTGGATAAGATATAGATCTCTAACTCACAGGAGTTGCTTCACAAACTATTAATCCAGCTGTTGCTCTTTAAGCATAATATTTGGCATTCAATTCAGTTGGAATATATGGAGCTGGAGTTCTTACTCTATCCATTGCTGACATTGTTATTCTATTTGGCAAGAATAAATCATTAATCTTCAATGGTTTTAATAATTCACTTTAAACATTTTATGGTACTTGATATTTTGGGTAATCAGTATATCCTTTAGAGTCTCCAAAGAAAACAGTTCCCCAATCTATATTTTTATTTAATTGATAACCATTCTTAGCTCTTTCAACAAGATCTGGATTAGAAATAAAAAGTTGACCAAAAGCAACAAAATCAAATTTTCCTAATCTAATTCCTTCATCTGCTTCTTCTAATGTAATTCCTCCATTTGCAACAATTGATCCAGTGAAGTAATTTCTAAATGCTGAATAAACACAAGGAATTTGTTTCTTTGATGCTGGATATCCAAAATCTTAGAAATTATCTGGATCATTTTCATTTTTAAGAACAACATATGCAATTTTCAAATTACTTAATGCTCTTAATAATGTTTAATATAACTCTAAAGGATTTGAATCATTCATATCAGCATGATGAGTGATAGGAGTTAATTTTACACCAATTCTGCTTGCTCCAAATACTTCTATTAATTATTAAACAACTTCTAATAAGAATTTACATCTATTTTATGCACTGCCTCCATAAGTATCAGTTCTTTTATTAGCACTATTTCTTAGAAATTAATCTGGTAAATGTCCATGTCCTGCATTCAATTCTATTCCATCAAACCCAACTTTTTTTGCTCTTTCTGCAGCCTCTCTATATTATCTTACTACTTAATTGATATCTTATTAAGACATTTCTTAAGGAACTTCAAAGTCTTTTTTAACAATTTAATTCTAGCCTCGAATTCTTATAGCTGATGGTGCCAATGGAATTTAACCATTTTACAAACTAGAATGAGTTTATCTACCACAATGAAGTAATTAAATGAAGATATTGCCTTTAACTGAATGTACTTTGTCTACTACTCTTTTCCATCCTTAAGCTTAAACATCATTAAATATTCCTGGTGCTCCACCATAAGCTAAAGAACGATCACTTATCGAAGCTGATTCAGTAACAATAAATCCACATGCTGCTCTTTGTGAATAATATTCAATATGTTAATCTGTAGGAACTAAATCTTATCCACATCTGCCTCTTGTCATAGCTGATAATGTTATTCTGTTATTGCATTCTAATCCAGGGGATACTACTGTTGTCGAAAAGCATCCTGTTCTTTCTATTAGACCTAATTTAAATGGTTAAAATAAGGCCTAATAAGGAGTATTTGTTTTTTCCATTTACTTAATTAATTGATTACTTTCATTTCTAAATTCCTAAAATACCCAACAATACTACGTACTATTTATATATAATATTTAAATAATCCTCAAATTAATATTTAAATTTATTATTATAAAAATTATCATTCAGATCAATTAGAAAAGAATTTATGATTCAAAGCTTCTTAACAACTAATTCTTTTATTGGGATCTATTTCTAACATCTTTTACAATAAATCTCTTAGTAATGGATCAAGAATCATTTCCTTTAGAGTTTGCTGATTCTTTACTTTTAGTTAACTCTCCTTAGAACTTGATCCTTATAACCAAAAATAGTATTTTCCATTTGTAACATTCTTTGTATTAAAAAAATGTTTCAAACTTCCTTTTACGTTGTTTGCCATCCAATAAGGAAAGTTCTATTCTGTAATCTTCTCAACCAAAGCCATATGTTCAAATTCATTCTTTCTTGTTTAAAATAGCAAATGACCTAATATTTAAATTCTCAATCCTACCTGTATACATTTCAACCATAATACAAGCTATTCCCCATACATCACTTTTTTAATCCCATTTACAACATTACAATTGAACCTCAGGAGCTCTATATTGACGTGTATTAATTATACAATTATGGTCTTCATCATCGAACACTGCTCCACCGAGGTCTATAATCTTTATCCTGTGATCTTATGGTAGATACCTTCAAAATTTATATATAAATATCTCTTACATTTCATTTTGCCCTTTCTATAAATAACGAATCCTACTAAACAATATATTTTCTGGTTTTAAATCTGTGTGAGTCAATTTTAAATTGTGTAAAATCCCAATGTATTTTAATAATTATCTGCTAATGCATCTTATTAAATTCATTGGAATTCCACGATTTTAATTCATTCTTAACAGATCATATAAACTTGGACCAAGCTATAAAATCAATATTTTTAAACAATACTCTCTCAAAGACCATACAATAATATCCTCTATGATAGAAACTCTCTATTATTTCAACAAAGTATCTATTTAATTCTTTCTTTTTTAAATAAAAAAGTATATCTGCCTCTTATTATGCGCTATCAGCATGATTACTTCTCACAATCTTCATAGCATAAGATTTTGAATTTTTTCTTCTTACTTTCAAAACTCTTCCAAAAGTTCCATCTGAAATGTGTCTTCTTACTTTATATTCTTTAATGTATTCACCCTTTCGAAATTTATAATGTTTGTAATCATCACTTGAAGAGCTTCCATTTGATCCTTCATCAGTTATACTTGATGTACTAGTTGAACTATAATTTAATATTCACAATTACTATTTAGGCTTTTTATGGGATCTTCTATTTGATCTTTTACGAGATTCTTTTGATGACATTGTTTATTACTTAATATTTTATTAATTAAATGTCTTATTAATTTGGGATCAATCAATTATAGAGTACAACAGTTCCAAATGCAAAATATAAAACAATTCTTTGTAGACATTATTAAGGTAATGATATTAATTTAATAAAAGCAACAAAATAATGTGCCATAGGTCCAAAATGTCAATTTGCTCATGGAATTGAAGAATAAAGATAAATGAATGGTAAAAAATATTTAAATATAATAAAAAAAAGATCCTTTACCTGCTTCGGCACTTTCATCAATAACTTCTGCTCCTTAATCTACAACAATTGAACAATAATAAAAAAATTAATCACCTTTGTTTAAAAGTATAAAAAATCAATTAAATAAGTACCTTGTAAATATCATCAATTAAATTTTTGTAAGAATGGTTCAGGATGTCAATATGTGCATGGTATAGATATATTATGTAAAATCAAATAGATTCTGAGGTTTAGATACAACCTTCATAATAATTATAGCCATAACAATAACAATAATAAATCTTATTATTATAACAACAATAATTGTAATAACAATAAATTTAATCACAATAAATGCAATAACAACAGTAATAACAATAATCACTCTAATCATAATAGTCACTGGATCCAATGTCTGTAACCTTGACTTATATCTTGATGGAAATGTAGCAAATCTTTGTTTAAGAAGTGACATTATACAATTAAATATAGGATTTACAATAAAAGATAAGGTTTGCAACTGAATAAGCCAGATAAGGAAATTGTGTATAAGCCTGTGACTAGATCAGAACCATAATACACTCATCAGACAGAACAGTTGATGAAATTCAATAATATACATTGTTATATAATTAATCAGTAGCATATTACAAATAACTATTATAACAATGATAATTTATATATATGTATTTCTATTAAAATTTTATCTATTCATTGTCTTCAACCTTAAGATATTAAAGCAATTTCTATAATTTGTTATTCAAATCAGTGCTACTTTCATGAAACTACTAAAACTACTAAATCTACTAAATTTTATAAATCTATAAATTCTAAAATCTTGCCTATTTTTTTTCAATTTTCAAAAAGACTGAACTATCTAAATGTGATAACTAATTTAGTTTACTCTTAAAAAAGTAATTAATTTTTCTTCCTATATAATAAAAAACACTGATTAATATAAAAATATAGATTCAGAAATTAAAAGTTTCTTTTGAATAATAATTATTTGTTAATTTAATATAAATTAGAATTAATTTAAAGTATAATAATACAATAAGCTAATATTGTTGATGTGAAATCTATTAAGTCATCATTATTTTTATTGATTCATATTTAAAATGATTAATATTAGCAAACCATATTAATAGTTAGTAGAAAATCAATATTTTTTGGAATTAATATGAATTCAATGAATTGAAACTAAAAGATTAAAATTATTTCTTTTTTTATCGTCTTTTATGTGAAACATATTATTCAATTTCTATTTATACGATTTATTTTTTTTTCTTAGATAAATGAGTCGATATAATTTTATTGTAATTATTGTTCGATTTTATGCTTATTATTATTAATATTAATGTTAGCAATATTGTTATGTACGTAAGTTTACTATCTTTAATTTTAGTTATTATTTTAGTGAGCTCTAACTCTGCTATGAATTTGAGTAAGAGGGAAACTCAAAAATATTAATAATAGATGAATCGTATTGAAAAACGATAAATTGGATCTTTGATTATTTCTATGCTTTAATTAGATAAGCCATAGATAAATTAATTGATTGAATAATCAATAGAGGATTTTGAGTTAGAATATTCAACTTTGCAAGATTATCACATTAACAGGAAGACTTAAATTTATTAATCTATGCAGTAATTGAAAGCACAACTGTTAGATTTAGATTTATTATAATCATCTTTTATTGATGGACCTTAAGAGAAAGAAAGAGAGTTCCATGAATAGAAAATAATTAGACTTAATTAATTGATTAGTCAAAATTACAAAACAATTGATTAAAAAGAAGTCTAATTAATTAATATGTAAAACAGGTAAATGTATAAGTACTAATAGATATAGTTTAAGTTCTTTAATAGATGAATATGATATAAATATAAATTATATTGATCAAATAATTCAAACAATAGATTCTATTTTATATGATGAGTAGAAGGTTGGTATGAAATTTTTCTAAAAGAGAGGGAGGGTTAATGAAATATTAGATTATTTTGGAAAATCCACAATAAAAAATGTTAAATTGGATTTACCAATGATAAAATAAATAATTCAAATAGGAATAAAAAATAATTTTGTAGATCAATAAACATATAAATAAGTAATAATAGTAAAATGACAATAGATTTAAGAACATTTAATTTAATTAAGAAATAAGTTGGTAAGTGAATTAAATAATCTAAATACTGATAAGATTGNACAATAAGCTAATATTGTTGATGTGAAATCTATTAAGTCATCATTATTTTTATTGATTCATATTTAAAATGATTAATATTAGCAAACCATATTAATAGTTAGTAGAAAATCAATATTTTTTGGAATTAATATGAATTCAATGAATTGAAACTAAAAGATTAAAATTATTTCTTTTTTTATCGTCTTTTATGTGAAACATATTATTCAATTTCTATTTATACGATTTATTTTTTTTTCTTAGATAAATGAGTCGATATAATTTTATTGTAATTATTGTTCGATTTTATGCTTATTATTATTAATATTAATGTTAGCAATATTGTTATGTACGTAAGTTTACTATCTTTAATTTTAGTTATTATTTTAGTGAGCTCTAACTCTGCTATGAATTTGAGTAAGAGGGAAACTCAAAAATATTAATAATAGATGAATCGTATTGAAAAACGATAAATTGGATCTTTGATTATTTCTATGCTTTAATTAGATAAGCCATAGATAAATTAATTGATTGAATAATCAATAGAGGATTTTGAGTTAGAATATTCAACTTTGCAAGATTATCACATTAACAGGAAGACTTAAATTTATTAATCTATGCAGTAATTGAAAGCACAACTGTTAGATTTAGATTTATTATAATCATCTTTTATTGATGGACCTTAAGAGAAAGAAAGAGAGTTCCATGAATAGAAAATAATTAGACTTAATTAATTGATTAGTCAAAATTACAAAACAATTGATTAAAAAGAAGTCTAATTAATTAATATGTAAAACAGGTAAATGTATAAGTACTAATAGATATAGTTTAAGTTCTTTAATAGATGAATATGATATAAATATAAATTATATTGATCAAATAATTCAAACAATAGATTCTATTTTATATGATGAGTAGAAGGTTGGTATGAAATTTTTCTAAAAGAGAGGGAGGGTTAATGAAATATTAGATTATTTTGGAAAATCCACAATAAAAAATGTTAAATTGGATTTACCAATGATAAAATAAATAATTCAAATAGGAATAAAAAATAATTTTGTAGATCAATAAACATATAAATAAGTAATAATAGTAAAATGACAATAGATTTAAGAACATTTAATTTAATTAAGAAATAAGTTGGTAAGTGAATTAAATAATCTAAATACTGATAAGATTGATTAGCTTGAATTAAATATTAATGATTTGAAGAATGAAACTATGAAATTAAAGAGTTAATTACTAGAATCAACATAGAAATTATAAATAGAAAATAGAGATATAAGTTCTATAACAGAATCTAAGAAGAGAATTGAGGCAGAATTAATAATACTTAATGAAGATTTAAGATTGGAGAATGAATTATTTAATAAGAAAGAAGCATATTTGATTGAAGAAGTGAATGAATTGATAGAGATAGAACAACTTTTAAAAAATAGAGAATTGATTTAATACATTCAAGAATAATAATGATAATATAAATAAATATATAATTTGATGGATTAACAAATTCAACTAAAGGAGCATTTGAAGAGAGTACATTAATAATTAAAGTCTGCTGGGAATCTTCAGGCTAAGATTCACAACATACATTAATTGTTATAATGTCCACCTGATTTTTTGGATATGTATTATTTAATATTAATTTGAGGTTTGCATAATCTAATTCAATGAAAATAATTACATAGTATTTAAAAGATTCTTTAAAATCTATTTAAATAAATGAAGATTTGATTGATAAAATTTTAGCTCTATTAACTAGAATGAATTTAAGTGAAGAAATCTTTCGAGAATCAGAAATTGCTTAACCTCTATATAAAATAAAAGATAAAAAACTATTTGATAATATAAGATCTCCTATGATTGAATAAATCTAATAGAAATGGTCAAGATGTTTTATAAAATATAAAGCATGGCTTGAAGAATGGAAAAGAAATAATAATTAAAAGGATAAATAAGAAGATCGCAAAAAAAAGGGGAAAAGAAATTAATCATCAAGTTCTAGTGAGTCATCTAATAAAAAAAAGAAGAATAGAAAGAAATTTGTTAGGTAATAATTAAAAATTTAATTGAATAGATTTTAAAGAGATGAACTCTTACTTAATTATAAATATTTTAAGAGAGAAGATGAACCTAATTAAAGAGGAATGACATAAGAGGAAGTCATTTAATTTTAAAAACAATTTGCTGGTGAATTTAAAAGAATTAATGGAGCATACAATATAAAACATAGAGAATCATTAATGGAAGGATAAGAACATAGAATTTAATAAGACAATATCTAACAAATGATAGAATAAATACCATTTTTTAAACCTGCAAGTTTAATATTATCTTCTATTTCTAGAATTACTTTTGCAATTATAAGTATCTTATGAAAGTAATTACATTGAAACTGCTATTTAATAAAAAAGAACAGAATCAAAAATGTCTGCATTTTATAATAGAGATGTAAAATAATATATATATTTATTATTAGAGTATTCCAGATTAGCCTGGATATAATGAAATTTGTAATACTTAATCAGGATTATAACCAAAAATTATACATTTAGATCCTCCAAAAAGAGAGGATCTTATGTATATGGTTTAGATTATTTGTAATAGAGGTTTAAAAGAATTAGAAGAAAAAAATAAAAATGCTAATAAAAAATAAATTAAGGGAATTCTTAAAAAACCTCCTGAAGAATAAGTCAAATAGAAGGACGTCTTAAACTAAGCAAAATAAGACTTACAACCTAAAATACAATAATTGGTTGTAATGGTTGAGTAAAAGCATTAGCATAGCCAGGAAAGCATTCGTATTAATATTTCATTATTTAAGTAACTTTATTACATGATATTATATAAAAATTAAAGGATATTGGTGAGGAAAAATATATAAAAAATTTTAAATCTGTCATTGAAACTAAATTGAACGACAAACAAACTATAATGAGTGAAATTGACCGTAATAAGGCTCAATAAGATTAGCAAAGACTTCGACTTGAGCAATTATAAAATGTCAACCCTGCTCAAGCATTAAGAATAAGAGCTTACAAAACCAAGAATTGTCACAATTTTCATTCTTCTACAGGTTGCGCAAGAGGAGATAATTGCAATTTCATTCATGATTCTCGCTATCCTGGAAGACCAGCACCAACTCTTTAAAATCCAAACTTCCTAAATAAAACTTTATATCCTTTATCCAATATGGCTATTATTGTTCCACCTCTGCTTCAATAACTTAATCCTGCAATTCTGCTAGGAAGACAAAAAAAGTATGAAAGTCTATGAGTCAAACATTATTATAAAAATAAAATATTCAAAAAATGAACATTTATACAATATTCAAAAAATAGGCAGTCTATCTTGTATCTCTTCTTCATAAAAAATATCAAAATTTACTTTTAATTTTATTTTCTTCAATCACAAATAAAGAAAATAACATTCTTAGTCTATTATGAATAAATAAACTCCTTATTTATTCTATTATTTTTATTTTCTAGTCCTAATTTACACAATAACACATTCTTTAATTATATTTTTTCTATATAAGAGAAAATTAAATTAATAAAAAATAATTTAAATCTCAAAGAAGTTCAGATTTTACATAAATATTAAAAATGAGATTACATTACTCATTTTTTTTTATTTAAGAAGAAAATAATATATTGATGATGTTATTTATAAATTATTTCTACTTTGGCTTTGTTAAAATACATGTAGACAAATTTACAATATGATATTTTTATAATAATAAATTTTATTTCCTTTTTTAGTATAAAATATGTTTAGATCTATGACAATTAGAGTTCTTCTGTAAATCTAATAGCTTCAACAGCTTTTATCTAAATAATTTTTATAAAATGAATTATTTTTTTTTATCTTACGTATGTTGAGTTATATTCTAAATTAATATTTATATGGGAAGTATTTGTGGAACAATCCCAAGAAAAAACTAAATTGTGTCTATGAAAACAAGAAATAGTGATTAAGTGTTTACTTCAACTGAAGACATTTAAAAAATATACATTTTTGGTAAAGTGCTTGGTGTTGGTTCATTTGGAAAAGTAATTGCAGCAAAAATGAAGAGCAATCCATTAAAAAGATATGCAATAAAGATTATTGAGAAGAGAAAAGTTAAAGGGAGAGAGGATATTTTAGCAAATGAAATTTACATTTTGTAGAAGTTAGATCATCCTAATATTATAAAATTTCATGAAGTATATTAAAATAGGGTAAATTTCTATATATGTATGGATTATTGTTAAGGAGGAGAATTAGTTGATTGGATTCCAAAAAAGTATAAGAATTTTCATGAAAGCAATATTTAAGAAATAATGAGAAAAGTATGTAAATTTATATAAATAGATCATATCAGCAGTAGCTTATATACATGATGAAGGAATAGTACACAGAGATATTAAAGCTGAAAATATTATGATAACTTCTAAAAAAGATGATGCTGAACCTAAATTAATAGATTTTGGATTAGCAAATAAATTTGATAGCACAAAGTTACGACGATTGAAATCATTTGTAGGAACTCCAATGTATATGGCACCAGAAGTTATTTAAGGAAAATACGATGAAAAATGTGATATTTGGTCTTTAGGAGTTCTACTTTTTACTTTGCTTTCAGGTCATATGCCATTTCATGGAGAAACTAAAGAAGAATTGTATGATAATATATAAAGATCTAATGTATTTTTCAATATTTTATTAGATTGGATTTGATGCTCATTAATGGAAATTTGTGACCAGTGAAGCAAAAGACATTATTAGAAGAATGCTTTAGAAAAGTCCTTAATTACGTCCATCAGCAAAAACATTATTAAGACATGATTGGTTTAAGAAAAAGTTATAATAAAGTGAAAAGATAATGCAAGATTAACAATTAAAAAATTAAATTTCATAATCACCTTCTAGTTTAGACAATAGATCTATATATGAAATGCTTAAATAAAACTCTTCTAAAGGAGGAAGCAAATTTAGAAAAGAAGTTATGACTTTACTAGTAAAATAATTAAATGAATAAGAATTACACAATTTAAGAGAAAAATTTAAATAAATTGATATAGATAATTCAGGTACAATTACTATTTTTGAGTTACATAATGCCTTAATTGCTGAAGTAAAAATTAGAATTTATCAAAGGGATCATCTGTTAGCTATGATGAAATAGAAAAATTGATATCAAATCTAACTCCAAAACATAATTAAGGTTTAGAGCATAAAAAAAAATCAAGACCTTCTTTAGAATTAAAATATAGTGAATTCTTAGCATCATGTATTGATGAAAGAAAATTCCTTACAAGAGAAAAAGTAATATTTCAATTTAATTTAGTTATGGTCTTTATTTAAATTTTTTGACACTGATAATTCTAATTTTATTACAAAAGATGATATTAAAGAAGCTTTTGCAAGAAATTCAAAGTCTTTTACAGATGAATAAATTGATGAAATGATTGCTGAAATTGATCCAAATCATGATAATAAAATAAGTTTTGAAGAATTTTGTTAAATGTTTGATAATGCAGGAATTTATTAAAATTTAGCTGATGATGAAGAGTTAGCAGATTGATTAAAAGTTATAATTATACTTATTTTTATGAAATAAGTTAAGAATATTTCATAAATAACTCTAATTACAAACTTATTAAGACTATATTTTCTTATTTTTAATTCTTAATTATTTTTTTTTTAATTTCTCAAAGACAAGAAAAGTTAGTTACTCTTTGTAAATTGCCTTTAAAATATTTTTCTATATCTTAAGAATGAAATTACTTTAAAATTTATACTTTTAGAATTATTCTTCTAAATTTAGTTCAATATTGTTTATAAAATAATATTATTAATGAATATTATCACATCATATATATTATAGCACCTACTATAGACATAAATAATAAAAAGGTAATGGACATCAAAATTAAATACCAAAAAATGACATATCTCAATAAATTGCAAGGTTCATTTTTAAAATATTGAATAATTAAAAAAATATTGCTAATTACAAACCCAACTAATAAAATTCCTGATATATAAATTTTGATCTTGGAATTAGATTAAGGTTTCCATTAAATCATTACGCTAGTATTAATTATTGGATAAACATATACCCAATTATAATGACATATATTAAGTATAGCCAAACCATAAAAAATGCACAATCTCTTAATGCAATACATTCATCACCTCCATAAAGTTCTGGTTTTGATGTAAATTAATAGAATAAGAAGCTTACTAATGATAGAGAAACAACAGTGAATAATGAAACTTTATCAAAAGCTTATTGCTCTTATTACTCTTAATCCATGGATTTAAGTTGTTTGAAAATATTATAAATTTTTATTTATAAATTCAATTATTATAAATTGAAAATACATAATTTTTATTTGAGTTTCATGCATACATACTTCCATCTTCGGTAAAGTTTTTATTAACACCTGCATGATCAAACATTTAACAAAATTCTTCAAAACTAATTTTATTATCATGATTTGGATCAATTTCAGCAATCATTTCATCAATTTATTTATCTGAAATTTGTTTTCCATTTCTGGCAAATGCTTCTTTAATATTTAATTTAGTTATAAAACCTGAATTATCAGTATCAAATATTTAAAATAAAGATGATAACTAAATTTAATAAGTATAAATATTTACTTTTTCTTTAGTAATGAATTTTCTTTCATCAATACATGATGCTAAGAATTCGCTATATTTTATAACAAAGTCTTTTTTCTTCCTTCCTACTTCTTCATGAGTTTATGGAGGTGAAGTATTGTTTATCAATTTCTCTATATCTTCAAAAGTAGCTGGTGATCCCTATAATAAAATTTATGATTACTTCTGCTTTTAAAGCTTATTTCAATTCATCAAATGTTATAGTTCCTGAATTATCTACATCAATCTTTTTAAATATTTCTTTTAATTAACTTAATTCGGTTTCATTTAGTTAATTTACTAATAAAGTTTTAACTTCTTTTTTGAATTTTGCTCCTCCTTAATTTTATTTTAACAATTAATAAATTTATCTATTTTCCATAGTACTTGATGTAAAAGAATTATTTATTTATGTTGAAGTTTTCTCCTCATTCTTGAATTATTTTTTGAACCATGAATGTTTAATAAGATCTTTTGAATTTGGTCTCAATCCAGGCTATTTTTGTAGCATTTTTTTAATTAAATCTTTAGCTTCATTACTAATATTAGGCCAAACTGAAGAACTAAATGATATCTATATTTAGAATTAATAATACATTAGAGGTTTAGATATTATTATATAATTCCTCTTTTGTACTACCATGAAATGGCAAATGACCAGAAAGTAAAGTAAACAGTAAAACACCAAGAGACCATACATCACATTTTTCATCATAGGATCCTTTTATAACTTCAGGTGCCATATACATAGGAGTTCCAGCAAACGATTTTAATCGTCTAATATTTTTAGATATAATATTAATACTTCAAATGAGATGTATCAAATTTATTAGCTAATCCAAAATCTATTAATTTAGGTTCACCATCATCTTTTTTAGAAGTAATCATAATGTTTTCAGCTTTAATGTCTCTATGAACTATGCCTTGAGCATGAATATAACTGACAGCAGAAACAATCTAAAATTACTATAAATATAATAAATACTTTTTTCATAATCTCTTAGATATGTGGTTCATGAAAACTCTTATATCTTTTTGGAATCCATTCAACCAATTCTCCTCCTTTGCAATAATCCATACAAATATAAAAATTCAATCTATTTTAATAAACTTCATGAAATTTAATAATATTTGGATGATCAAGTTATTGTAACATATAGATTTCATTTGCTAAAATATCCTCTCTCCCTTTGACTTTTGCTTTTTCTATAATTTTGATAGCAACTTGTTTTTCAGCATTTTTAATCATTCTTGCCGTAACGACTTTTCCAAAAGAACCTACTCCTAGTACTTTTCCTAAAGAATATATTTTAGAAATATCTTCTGTGGATGTAAATACTAGATCCTAGTTTCTTGTTCTCATTTAAACAATAGTATTAGGTTTAATTTCAGCTCCTGAAGCACAACCCATAGTAATATAATTTAATTTAGATTTAATTATTAAGTTTGATTTTTTTTGATTGAGAATTTAATCAAAACTTATTATCTATCTTATATAATAAAAAAAACAATTAATCATGAAATAGCTATCTAAATTATATAATTGTTAGAGAAGTATTATAATCAATTAATAGATGGAATGATATATTATGTATCTTTTGATTCATCTTTGAATTCTAAAGTTTCTTAAACTCCAGCTATTCCCATCATTTAACAGAAAGCATCAAAATGTATTTTATTTTCATTTTCAGGATCTATTTCAATAAACATTTAATCAATTATTTCATTAGTTACAGAACGACCATGCCTAGCAAAGGATTCTCTTATTGCTTCTCTAGATAAGTAATTTTCATTTTTTGTATCAAAATATTTAAATATAGACCATAACTTTTCTTTAGTAAAAACTCTTCTTTCATCAATACATGCAGTTAAAAAATCACTATATTTAATTGAAGCAGGTTTAGTATTAAATTTATTTTAAATTGAAAAAGTAATATCATCTAATTCATCAATATCATATCCTATTTTTTAAATGATTTCTTCAATTTCTTCTAAAGTAGCTTAAGAACCCTATATAATAAAAATATAGAATCCATACTTCTTATTATAAAGCATGATGTAATTCTTAAATAGTAATTGTACCTGAATTGTTTACATCAATAGTTTTAAATATAGTTTAAAGTTTAGCTAGATCTTTTTCATTCATTTAATTTACTAACACCTTCATTACTTCCCTTTTAAATTTTGCTCCAAGTCTATAGGTCTTCAACATTTAATATAGAGTTCTTTAATCATCTTCTGATGCTGTGTTAGAAAATCCTGTACTTCTCCTAGATGGTCTAAGAATACCTTCATTAAATGGCAATTAGAACCAAGAATGCTTTAAGCATTCCTTTGATGAATATCTCTATAACTAATTTTTATTTAACATTCGTTTCAGTAAATCTTTTACTTCATCACTAATGTTTCTCCAATGCCTTTTATCAAACATTAACTAACTTATACATTACATTTTTATACATTTGAATATCGAATATTATCATAAAGTTCTTATTGATTTTTTCCATAAAATGGCGGATAACCGACTAACATATTATATAGTAAAATTCCAAGACTCCATACATCACATTTTTCATCATAAGTACCATCAATTACTTCAGGTGCCAAATAAATTGGAGTACCGACTCCAGCCTTTAGTTTACTATAAATATGATTTTGCCAAAAAGATACTTGTAACTAAATGAGTCATATTTTACAGAAAGTCCAAAATCTATCAATTTAGGCTCAGAATTAATATCACAATCTGTAAATAAAATATTTTCTGGTTTTATATCCCTATGTATTATTCCTTAATCATGTATGTAAGCTATTGCAGAAATAATCTAACAATTCTTAAAATATTATACTTTAACCATAATATCTCTAACTTAACATTCTGTATAAGATTTTTAATTTTTTGGTATGGATTCCATAAGTTCTCCTCCACCACATTTATCCATACATATGTAAAAAAATAATTCACTTTAATAAACTTCATGAAACTTAATAATATTAGGATGATCAAGTCTTTATAGAACATAAATTTCATTTGCCAACATTGCTTCTCTTCCTTTGACTGTTTTTTTTTCAATCATTTTAATGGCAAATTATTTATCATTATTATTTCTTCTTCTGGCTGTCAGAACCTTACCAAAGGCACCAATTCCCAAGACTTTTCCAAAAGAAAATATTTTATGAATATCAGCAGTGGAAGTAAAGATGTAATCTCTATTAGTAGTTTGCATTGCTATTATTTTATTTATTCTTTTAGGTTAGAAACAACCCATTATTTATTAATTATATTGAAAATATAAGACTTTAGATTTGCTTAAATTTCAAAAAGCATTATGTATATTATGCATTAATAATCATAGAAATTAAAGAACTGTGTATTATAAATATATATATAATTAAAAACGATACAGTAAGAATCATGTTGAAATAAAGAATGAAAAAAGGTAGTTTTTAAGAATGAGATATTAATAAAATATATTATTATTGTAATCAACTTTAAATCTCCATTTCTTTAATTTCATCTCTAATATTCATAGTTTATTCAATTCCTGCAACTCCCATCATTTGCAAGAACTCATCAAAACTTATTTTATTATCATGATTAGGATCTATTTCTTAAATCATTTAATCAATTTTTTCATCTGACATCTATCTTCCATGTCTTGCTAGAGCTTCTTTGATATCCTCTTTGGTTATATAATTTACGTTTAAAGTGTCAAAGTATTTAAAAAGTGACCATAACTAAAATAATTTAAAGATAATACTTTTTCTCTAGTTAATACTTTTCTTTCATCAATACAAGCAGCCAAAAAATCAGTATATTTAATAACAAGAGGAGATGGTTCTTTGTCTTACTCTAAATTGTTATTTTCTTCATCATCTTCTAACACAATGGTTTATATAATTTATTCAATTTCTTCTAATGAAGCAGGAGATCCCTATTGTAAAAGAGTATATTAATACTTCTTACTAAAGTGCTTCTCTTAATTCTTCAATTGTAATAGTACCAGAATTGTCAATATCTATTTTCTAGAAAACTTATTTTAGATGATGTAATTCTTTTTCATTCATTTAATTAATAAGAACTTTTGTAACTTCTTTTTTAAATTTGGCTCCACCTCTAAACATTTTTAACATTTAATAAATAGTTCTATTATCTTCATGTGTCTAAGTTAATAGTTATTAACTCTTTTCTCTCTGAACTTTCACATTCTAAAATTGCATAGCAAACCAATTATGTTTCAGACATTCTCTAGCAGATAATCTTTTTTTGGGTGTTTTTATCAGCATTTTTTAAATTAAATCTTTTGCTTATTCACTAATATTTCTCCAATGACGTCTATCAAAAACAAGCTAATAATAATATAAATATAATAAACTTCTTGTGATTTAATATTTTCATATAATTAAGCTCTATTTTTACCATAAAAAGGAGGATAACCACATAATAAACTAAATAACATAACTCCTAAACTCCATACATCACATTTTTCATCATATTCTCCATCAATCACTTCTGGTGGTAAGTAAAGAGGAGTTCCTACAAATGTTTTTAATCGTCTTATAATATTTAAGATTCAAATACTTTATATGAGTAGTATCGTATTTATTAGCTAATCCAAAATCGATTAACTTTGGTTCCGAATATATATCTTTCTCACTAAACATGATATTTTCAGGTTTAATATCTCTATGTACCATACCTAAATCATGTATATAAACAATAGCTGAACAAATCTATAAATGAAATACTCAATACTTTTTGTACAATAGTCTATACTTATCCTTCTGATAATGTTGTCTATTGTTTGGCAATTCTTTCTACTAATTCACCACCTTAACAATAATCCATACAAATATAAAAATATAATGGACTCTGATAAACTTCGTAAAATTTAATAATATTTGGATGATCTAATTATTGTAAGACAAAAATTTCATTAGCAAGTAGTGATTCTTTTCCTTTTACTCTTCTTTTATCGATTACTTTAATAGCATATTGTTTTTCAGAGTTCTGTTTCATTTTTGCTAATAAAACTTTTCCAAAAGAGCCAACACCTAATACTTTTCCAAAATTATATAATTGATGGATATCAGCAGTTGAAGTGAAAACTTAATCTTTATTCATTGTTTACATGGCTACAATTCTATTTCTCTTTTTAGATTATAGACAACCCATAATTTATTATATTTAATGAGTAATTTAATTGAAATATTCATTCATAAAATTTTTAAATCTAATTTTTTGAGATTTCATAAGCATAAAATCCTATAGCATTAGCATAAAAAGCTCTTAACATACATGCAGAGAATCCTCTCCATAAAGATGGAACTCCATCATTTTATATCCTATACTTTAGACACTCAAAAAAACCTCCATCAAGGAATCTAGGCTTAAATCTTCTTGTTTTCGTTCCCATTTCACATTACAAAATAGTTTTAATAGTCTATATTTATATTTATTTAATTAAATTACATCTTAAGGATATCCTACAATCCAACATGCCATTCCTGCTAATCCTCCTGATATTAATAAATCATGTGAAGATGGTTCTCCTTTATCTTATAACCACATCAATTAATCTTTAACAAATTCATATGTTGCAAATTATGCACTATATCCTAAAATTTCTCTTTATTATGTAGCATTCATCCCTCTAAATATATATCTAAATCCTTCTTATTTTCCAATCTATACACTTATTATTTACTACCTTCCATAAACAATCAAAAGGATTCTTATATAATTTCTAAGCATTATCTAACTACATTTGTAATCTACATTTTGTTAAATCAATTGAACATGCTAACATTGCTGCACAACTCCCAGAAATACCTCCACATATTGCACTATTAATATTTATTTCTTATACGTCTAAAAATAACTCATTGATTTTCCATTTTCATTATAACCTGTAAACTATCTTCGTGAATATTCATAAACTGCAAATACTATAGCATTCAAAAATGGAACAGATAATAAAGGAAAAGTCATTCCTTTATAAAATGCTAATATTCCTTCATTCTTAATTATTTTTATTATTGATCTCCAAAAGTTTTCTTTTGACATTTACATCCTCACTTTCAAAGTATCCATTGGATGTCCAAATAAACAATTAAAGCTTACTTCAAATATTCATATACATTCCACTAACTGTTCCTGCTCCCAAATCTATTTATATCTGTTTCTGATTATCTTTAATCCAATTGCTAAATTCAGACATTTATTATTAATTTGTTTATTAATTATTTTATTTTTCAATTCTTTCATATTTTTTAAACTATAATATATATTTAAGTCATTAAATACAATGTAATGCAATTCATTAATCAGAATGGATCTTTTAAATTTATTCTATTTCCTTTACATATACAAATAATTAATTAAAGTTTACAAATGATCAAAATGTTAAAAAATTCTACAATATTTACTACAAAGCATAGTGTTTGGAAAGTTTAAGATGAAAAACAATTATTCAAGAATTCAAACATCAAGTAAGATTTAATACATCCAATTTCAATCATCAAAAATTAAAATACATCTTAAATAATTTTAAGTGCTATAAGAGAACTTGAGGATAATGTATATACTTTATAGGACAACTAAGATTTTAAATAATCAATTAAGATATTTAATATTTTTCATTTAGACTCTTGTAATTCTGCCTTATTTTTAACATTAAACCAACTTTGCAAGTCTTTTTATCCCCTATCATAAGAAATATGTAATATGCTTACTAATATCAAAGAAATCTATTTATTAGTAATTATTTTAAATAATTTAAGTAATAAAATCAGAAAATTTAAAATGTTTTAATTTTTTAAAATATTTAAAGTTAATTTAAAAATGAGATGTTTAAAGCAATTCTATTGTATAGTCTCTACTCCCAATAAAGTATCTTATTTTTATTTTATATAGCGACTAAGATAAAACTAAAATACTTGTTTATAAATCTATCTGGCCTTAACACTGTTGAATAAGATTTTTAAATAATGAAGGAAATTAATTTAATCAAAAATAACAGTACAGATGTGTATTGCTTATCATTTCTAAAAAAACATTTCTAATCAAAAATAAAAAAAGATTATAAATAAAATTCTTTTTTTGATTATTATTTTTTAGAAAATACAAATGAACTAATAAACTGGTTTTAACTTTAAAATTACTTCAAACTAATAATTAAAAGAAAAATTTAACAATTCAATCCTCAAATATGTATATTGTAATTTCATATTTCTTTGGATCATTTATAGAATTCAGAGGATGGTCTAATGTTTGAAAACGATTGCATTTTGAAAACTGTTCATTACTTTTCTAAATTATCTAAAGAGAAAATAATTATAAATTTAATTATACAGGATAGTTAATAAATTCATCAAAGTAATCTAAACTAATTTAATTAACAAGGATAGAATATATTTATAGAGCAAAAAATGAAATTAAAATAAACGATAAATGCTATTTAATAAGGAATATTTGCTAATATAGAAATTAAAATTGTTGATAACAGAAGTAATAGTTAAAAGTTGATACATTTTTAGTATTTGTTAAATTAATTACAATTTAAAAAGCATTAAGAAGAGGTTTAAAGAACTTTAAATAATTTTATTTGTCAATCACCTATTACTCTTGTAAATGATTCCAAATTAGAAAGTTTATAATTTAAATACATACCTTGTATTGATAAAAGTGGATCCATATTATTTTTTGAATACTATTTTGATTAATAAGAAATTGTAATAAATAATTCAACTTAGATTATATATCGATATTAAGACTAGATTGTAATCATATTTTAAGGATAATAATTTAAGCTTTTTTATTGTAAAATATAGTGTAGTTGTATCAAAAAAAATTGGTAATATTTCTAATAATATTTTTAGCTCATTGCTTGATTTGAAATAGTATTAAAATTTTGATCATATAAAATTAGATGAGGATATGAAATATCCAACAATTGCATTAAATGAAGAAAAGATATACTTAAACTATGGGTATTTAGGGGATTAAATTTGGGAATTTAGTCTTTTGAATTAGAGTGTCATTATTAAGAGAAGAAAAAAATTGAAAAAAATTCTATTTTATTAAGATGCCGGAGAATAATAAAATTATATTTTAGAAAGAGAAGGAGCAAGTGTATTTTATAGTTAATTTGAAAATGAAGAGAAAAAATGCTATTTTATTTGTGGAGGAGAATTAGGTTAGTACAGTCCGATTTGTAATATTATTGAGAGAATATTTTCTGAAAATGAAGAATTCTCTTCTGGATTTGTAGAAAAGTGTTTATTAAATACAAGTTTGAAGCCTTTTTAACATTCTTTAGTTTTAGAAGGGGATAAGTTTGTAATTTTTCTTCCTGGAGATTTTAATAGTAAAAGATATAAGTATTCTTAAATTATGAATCACGAACATTAAAAATATGCTTAGGTTTTAAGAGTGACAAAAAATTAATGGAAGATAGAAAAAATAATAATTGTATATGAAAACGAAGATCTTGGAAAGTAATATCCAATTCATTTAATGCCATATAATCAATAGAATGTATATTCTATAAATAAAGATTAATGGATAGTTTGTTTTTTTGGATTGCAATTAAAAACACCTGAATCTTTAAATTAATCATCCTAAATTATTTAAATGGATGAATAGAATTAAAATTAATTTTTTTCTACAAATTGTGATGGTAATGAAGAAGGAACTTTATGCCAAATGATAATCAAAATGGATATCAAATATTAAGGGAATTAACTTTATATTTCTATAACACCATATTAATTTGGCAAAGGCGAATCAATTATCAGACACACATTTTTAGCTCAAAATTAAAAATGACCTTTTTATATTATTTTATATAATATATTTTATTTCTAAAATGAAGAATATAAATTAATTTAAGAAAAAGAAAACCTTTATTTTTCTAAATTTTTATTCACTTCTAAAACCACATATTGATTAAATTTTTGATTCAATTTGAGTATATTAGAAGTTTTGTCTTTATTATTTCTTTTGATTTTTTTAAAATAATTATTTTATTAGAACCAAAAAGTGTTTGTATTTTAATTTTAGGTTAGATCACAACAATATTCAAATAGTATTGTAAAGAATATATGTAAAAAGAGAGGAGAACCAAAATTCACTGAAAGTAAATTGTTTTAAGTATCTTAAGAGAGTAAATCAAGCGTATCTATTTTTTAGGATAGTCTGTAATTATTTTATGAAGATTCTTTAAAGCTTTATTAGATTATAACTAAATTCAAGTATAATTATTTAATATATTATTATTTTAAATGGATAATAATTTTTTTGGAGACACATTCATTAATAAAAATGGTCCATGTAAAATCAAATTATCTGATATGAAGGTTGTAGTTTTATACTTTTGTGCAAGTAAATAAATTATTAAATAAAGGTTGGTGTCCTCCTTGTGTAAACTTTACACCAACTCTTGTTGAATTTTATAATGATGTAAATTTAGAGACTAAATAGCTAGAGATTATATGGGTATCATATGAAGAATCAGAAGGTTAATTCAAAAAATATTTAGAAGAAGTATGTGCAATAAATATAAAAAGATGCCTTGGCCAGCAATTCCTTATAATGATAAAAGAATATAGTAACTGATAGATAAATATGAAATTAAAGGAATTCCAACAGTGACAGTATTGAGGAAAAATGGAGACATAGCAAAGAAGAATGGAAAATAAGATGTTATAAAAGAAGGAGAAGGAGCCTATAATTTATGGGAATAAATAGTGAATAGCGAGTGAACTAAAATTTTTATTTTAATTATTTATAAAATATTAATAATATAATGTCGGCTGGAATATTCATTGGCACAATTATATTTATAGGAATTGGAATAGGAGTTACTGTTTGGCTCAAAGGTGTTGTAACTAAGGCAACAAAAAATTTAAGCGATCTGAATGATAATTTATTGTAATACATTAATCAAATCAAATAGACTTATGTATGTTTCAGTCCTTTCAGGTACTATTCAATTTTGGCTCTTATGGTTCTGTATGTATATGCACTAACTCAATCCTATTATAACACCTATAAGAGAACATGAATGAGTTATTAATAAATGAATTAAAATTTAATTTATTGATCTTTAAATCTAAAATTCTATAGTATTTCAGATAATATATATATATGATAAAAATAGTGATACTCATAAATCAATTTGAATTAGATTACAATAGTAGGGAAAACTCTTAAAATGAAAGTTTTCCATTTTAATTCAAATCTCCTTAATTAAATATTATTTCCCATTCTTAATCAGTTAATCTGGCATCTATGAATAAAGATTTTAATTCTTTTATAGTTATCTATTAATTTTAATTTTTATCAATAAATTTAAATAATAATTGTAAGTTTTCTTAATTAGCTAATTTTTCAGTGTTACAACAAGCTAGTAAAAACTCATTAAATTCAATAAATCCATTTTAATTTGAATCTAGAATTTAGAATATTTTATCTGCAAATGGCCTCTATTACTCTGAATTTAAAAACTTTTTTAATTCTTTTTAAGTAATTTTGCCATCTTTATTATCATCAATAGCTTAAAAAGCTATCATTAATTTTTCTTTTTCTTTTTCATCCAAAAACTTATTAATCATTATTGAGAATAGAATTTTTTGAAACTCTGACTTTGATTAATATGATTAAATTCTTAAAATTATATCATCAAGAAAAGTTTTATCAGTATAATTCGCAATATTTCTTAAATAATCTTGTTATAAACATTCTGCTGCATTAATACGTTGGGCTAATAAACTTAATAAATAGATATACATGGATCAATTTTCAAAATTAAATTAATTAATTTTTATGCATCATGTGGAATAGCGTTCCATTATTTATCTTTTTTAATTTAACATTTTAAGATATTTTCTTTTTATTGTTTGATATTTTCACCTTAGAATGGACAAGATCCAACCAATATTTCATATAATAATACTCCACAAGCCCAAATATCAGAAGCTGGAGAATACTATTAATTTTAGATCACTTCAGGAGCTAGATAATTTAGTTCAAGCATATCGATTTCCCTTTATTTCACTCTTGTATTACTATAATCAATTAATTTAATTAATTGACTTTGCTAGCTTTAAAAAAGTATATTTGTTGGCTTCAGATATCTATAAAATACTTATATATCAAATTTACTTATGGTTAATCCCATTACTATGTAGATATTACAAACCTGCAAAAATTTATTAAAAGTATTTTTATATTAATTAATTTTTGCTTACTGAATTAGCTTTATCATCAGCTTTAATTCTTGAAAAAAGCGTTCCCCCATTATAATTTTCGGTTACCATATATAATTACTTTGAATCAACAAAAAATTCATAAATGGACATTATATTTGGGTGATCCTAATAATGAAGAGGTTATTACTAATTTTTTAAGTTATTGTATTTTGTTTTATAACTTATTCAAATCTATTTATTTATATTGATGGCTTTAAATTATTGCAATTTTCGTTACTCCAGTTTAATTATTTTAAACGGTGCAAACTTGACGAATCTGTTCGTTGGGACTTTTAAAGCTTTCCATTAAAGTATATTTATTGAAAAATTTTCCTTTATTTACAGTACTTTATTTATCTGGAGTCAAAAGTTCCTAACTTCTCAAAAAGAAGTCTTATTAAGATAATTAAATTGAAGAATCAGCTGCTATATTATTTGGACTGTTTTCTTTTACAGTATCAGCAGCTTAGGAAGCTTTCATGTTATTTTTTTTGTATTATGGAGGAAAATGGCTTTGCTTTTTAGATTTGCATATTCCCATTGGAAAATAATATTTATATAACTAAAACTTAATTTTCATTAGATAAATATATGTTGTAATTAAAAATTTTATAAGATTATTAAATAAATTAAAATCTCAAAAAAATATTTAAATAATAGTGTTATATAAGATGTTGATAGTTGAATCTATTTAAATTTGATTGAATTAAGATAATAAAATTAATTTAAGTTCAGTAAATAAAATAAAGTTGATTATAATTCTGTAAACTTTACAAATAGAAGATTTTTGATAATTTTTGGTGAATTAATGATAGATAAGGTAAATGTATATAATTTATAAAAGAGAATAAATAATTTAATCTATTTTTTCATACTTATTTTTTGATAATAAATGTTCTACCTTTGCTTTAGGCAGTTCTGGGTGGAGCATACATGGTCCTGTTATAAAACATTGTATATTCTTTAGATATCCAATTAATAAGTTTATCAGTTTCTTCAAATCTTCTTTTTTAATCTTTAGCTCCTATTAATACTACTATTATGGATCCTAAAAAACTTTCATAAGAGACAGCAAGACAAGCACCAGCATTAGGTGTGATTCCAGTTTTGATTCCTTAATAATTTTCAAAATGTAACAATTAATTTGTATTATACCATTCATAATTTCTACAAGAATATGATTTACTATTGCATATTTATTTTAAAATGGGAATCTTTAAATAAGCTGAACTCATTCTACACATATCAAATGCTGTTGATTTATTAGCCTATATATAATTTAGTATTTGAAATATACTTTAGAACTGAGACCATGTGGATTTGAAAATTAAGAATCTCTCATGCCTAATTTTAATGCATTTTCATTCATCTATCTAACAAATCTATTCATATTGCTCATTTATGTGTCATCATAGAATCCTTAGATTGTATCACATGTAATATAACTAGCTATCTTTTATTTTCTTTGAATATTCAGGAGTTATCCAAAATACAGTGCAATTGATAAAGCAGCATCATTTCCAGATGGTAACATTAATGCATATAGTAATTCTTCTAAAGATAATGTATCATCTCTTTTTAAAAAAGCAGATGTCCCTCCAATCTAAGTAGCAATTCTAGGAATACTTATATATGTTTCATTCTAAAATTAGATTAAAAAAGCTTGAATTACATAATCAAGATTTAATTCTTCACATAATTGTATAGCTGTATAGGCAGTCATTATTTTGGTAAGACTTGCAACTTCTAACTTTAAAGAAGGAGATTTGCTTGCTAGTTCATCTCCCATTTATGTTACAATACACCAAGAAATAGCTGTTGTCTAAGGAGGGTTTACTATTTTTTATATAAAAAATCATACATAATGATAATGCTGACTATCTTTTGGCATGTAAAGATTTATTCTCATTCATTTTAAATAAATAATAAAATAAGAAATAAATAGCTCATTTATCTATATTCATAGGTATTAATTGTATTTTTCTATTATTTTTATTAATTCTGCTCTTTTTAATTCAACTTATTATTTTAATAAGTAATTTTCTTACATTAAGGCCTTCATAAATTCTGAATCATCATTAATCATATTGCATTTTTAATTTCTACCTCTTTTAGTTAAATCATCTCTCCAAGTATAAGATATTGTATAATTATTTGCTTTATTTATGACAGGAGTAATCGATCTTTATTATTAAACTCGAGGAATTTATTATTGAGCAATATATTAAGTTTGAATAAAAATTGGTTACTGCATAAATGGCTAATTGATTGATTATTAGTACATTTTTATTTATAATTAATAAAAAACTCCAATACTAAAAATATTTATTAGATTCCATTCAAAGTATTAAACATACTTTATTTCCCTTTATTTAATTATTTATTTTATGAATCGAAAACTTGAACTAAAATTATTAAGCCATTTTTAGAGTTTGGAAGGAAAATTATCTTTATTGTTCTTACACATATCAGATAATTCAGCTGGTTTCTAACATGTTGGTAGCTTAAAAGAATAGTTTACAGCCTTTTATTATATATGTATGTAAAAGTAAACAAATTTTCATTTTATAAAGAATCAATACTATAGTATTTCTTAAAAATGGTACATAAAATTAATCTTTTGAATAGCAATGTATATTTTGTTCAAAATTAAAGACACATTCAAGTTAATAATTGCTATTGCATTTACTCTTATTTCATAAAACAAAATTTAGCTATAAATTCACCTATTATCAAAATGAAAAAGTCTTACATATTGCTTATTTCAGATAATAACCAAAAATCTTACCTAATGTTTTTAGACATTATAAAGCTATCAATTAAAATTAATTAGATTGTTTCATGTTCTTAACACTATTTTCTTAATCTAATTCAGAATTTTACTAAAAAAATAGTAATAATTATTATATTTACAAATAGCTCTTCCTTTAGAATAAGATTAACAAATCTCTAATTTGATGAGTTAAAAATAATTTTATTGTGGTCCTTCAAAAAATTTTAGACCTGTATAAAGAATTGAAGAATTCAAAGAATTGGAAGCTTTAGATTTTGAAACATTTAAATAAAATGAATTAATTTGTTTGACAAAATCTTCACCAGAATTTAAAGGTACTCCAATTCAATAGTTTATGATGTTGTACAATACAAGAGTTTTAGAAGAAAGGCCATAATAATTAAAAGATTTTTTGAAGCAATTTACGAAGTTATAAGGTGAATTAGCAATCTGTTTTTAGAATCATTTATTTACACTATTATGTTATAGTATGATAGATTAATAAACATTCGTTGAATTATCTCTTATGATATAGAAATGAGTTTGAGATATTATTTATAAATATAAACTTTAATTTTAATCATCATAAATTTGAATTTGACTATTATTATTCTTAACTAATTCTCATTTAATAATACTGATGATGTTTAAAATTATCAATTAATAGTATCGCTAAAATGATTATAAAATGTATCATAAAAAATAATTAGAAAATAAATGAGTGATATTTTTATTCATCCCCTGATATGATTTAAATATATTTTGTATAAAATCTAAATTTTTAAAATATTCCAATTAATGATAAGTAGGGAAAGATGAATATACATATTATTCTCATTGTTTTAATTGATAAGTAAAATGTTTGTCATTTCTCTTAAAAAACTTATTTTTTGTCAATCCTAGATCTTTATTATCTTCTTTATTAACTGTTTTAGAATAATAATCTTCTTCTTTTTAACGAGGATCTGTACAGAATTATAGATTTTTTGATCTTAGAAAGTTTAGAATAGCTTTTATTTTAGGATTGGGACGATGATATATTTCTAATTCTAAAGAATCAAGGCTGGAATTTAAGTCTTCCTACATTAAATATATAAAATTTTCAATTAAGCAAATCAAATATATTTTTAATATGAAAAAAATACATAGTTGTTAATTATAGACCTTAGGTTTTGTAAAAAACTATTAATCTGACTAGAATTCAAACAATATCATAAATCATACCCTCTATCATAAATATGCATCTTCTCAAAATTATTATTTTACAAGAGAAATTAACGAGATTTTAAGTAAGCAACGAACTTCCTCTGTAATTTTGTTTTAAGTATCAAAGCGATCTAATAATAGGATTATCTACATTATGATGATGAGGATGAATATCTTAAAAGATTTTATATTTATGAGGTGTATGATAATAAAATGAGATTACTTAAAGAGTTTTATAAATTTCATAAAGATCTTCCTAGATTTTCATTATCTAAATAAATACTCTAAACTTTAAATTATTATTATGATAAGCGTAGAAAATTAGATTATTATAGAATCTAGAAATAAATAGAGTTTGAAAATAAATAAAATCCTTAATTACCTTAGAAAGGAATAGTTGGTGATAAGCCGATTGAAACTTAAAGCACACCAAGATCAGATAGTAGTTCAACATCAAATGTAAATACAAATGTTGAAAACATATTGAAAGACATTACAAGATAGGAATCAAAATAATAAATTGAGATCAGTAAAATAACTTAAATCTAAGAAGAATAATAAAGTGAAATCCTTAAAATAATCAATATGATAAGCACTCCATAAATCAAGAATTATTAAGTTTTTAAGAAATCGAAAACTAATTTCAAAAAACACTTAAGACTTGATGAATTAGGTCTATCATTATCATCAAGAATCTAGTAAAATCCCTAAGAGGCTAAAATGCCTTTATCAGCTCGATATCCTTCTTATTCATTATGTAGAGTTAATCACAAACATTCATCTCTTTCTAAAGAAAAGACAGCAGATACTCATTTAATAAAAGATAATTTGTTGCAACTAATTAACAAATGTTCAACAACTAAAAAAATTAAAGTAGAAAATAAAAGTAATTCACGATATACACCATTTGATTAAAAAAAATTAATACCTGAAATTAAATAATTAGAATTGAAAATAATCAAATCTCTCTAAGAAATTGAGAAAAATAAAAATACATAAAAAATAGTATCTTTAGATAGCAAAGCTTTACATTCAATTCTTAGTAAATTTAATTAGCCACTATCTTAAAGACATATTTAATAAGTTGATTCATTTAAAAGTACTTCTAATTAGTCTATTAAAATAACAAATAGTAAAATTGCTATTTAAAAAGCTTATACTCCGAGAAATAAATTTTTAGGTACAAGACCTTATGAAACCAATTCTTAACATACAAAAAAATCAATTGAAAAATAGTAATAATAAGTTAAAGCACTTGATCTCAAAAAATTGATGATTTATAAATCAGAAAAATCTGCTAAAACTGAACGAATAAAAAAAAATGTTCCAGTTTTAAATTTGAATGCAGTTTAGATAAATAATTAATCTTCTCTTACTTCTAGAAACTAAAGTGGCAATCCAAGTTTCATTTAATTATTAACTCCGAAACCATAAACTAGTAGATATAAGATTAATAATTTGATTCATTGGTAAGTTAAAGCTATTTAAGCAGCTTAAAGAGATTATAAATTATAATTAAAACCTTAATAAATGAAAATAGAACAATTAATTTGATATTATATGAACTAATTTTAAATAGAAATTATATAATTAATTATCATTAAAAAAATTAACTTCAATGTCAATTATAAATTAAGAGCTTTTATAAAAAGTAATTCAGCTAATAAATAGTTAACCTTATCTTTATTAATAATTGAATACATTAGAGTTAGATAAGGGAATAGATCTTATAGATATTTATTCTGTTTACGGAGATGTAGATTAAAATATATATGAAGAACCAGGCGAAATTTAGTTTAATTTTGAAATTGAATAAGAGTAACCCTTTGAAGAAGTTAAGGAAACCATTCCATAATCGAATTTAAAAAAATAATTAATCACATTGGATTACATAAGAAATTATGATAAATGTGATCCAATCTATAGAATCATAGCGGAAACTTAAGGCGAACTTGAGGTATTTTTAGATAGGAATCAAGAAATATATCGATCTTTTAAAATTTGGAATGATTAATTAAATTATGGAGAACTCTATTCCAAAGACCCAAAATATATAGAAAAGATTAAATTTACTTTGATTCTTGTAATCATCAATATTTAACTATTAGTTATCAGAATGGTTGATTGCTGTATCTTATAAGTCACAAGTAAAAAAGAGAATCTTAATATAAACTTAAACTTAACCAAGAATTTAATATAAAGCAAATATATTTTTGGAATATATTTATGAAACCAAAAAATTTAGTGAAACAAAAAAACTAATGAAGTGAAACGTTAAACTTTACATGAGATTTTATTAGCGGCAACTCCAGATATGGCTTATATTTTATCTGAAGGGTTCATAATATCAAAATTAACTAATTAATTGATAGCCCCTATATAAAGTGGTTATTGCCGAATAAAAGATTGGCTTATAGCTGTAAGGGGAGTAACAAATCTAAATATAAAAGAGTTTTAGGAGCTGCTCAAGATCAGCAGAGAATATTTTTCTGAATAGAGTACTATTTGATTTTTTATTTATAAATTAAAAATTAATAATAAGTATCAATTAATTTATGAAACTAATGAATATATTTAGTAATAGACAGATTCTATTTCCTCCTATGATTGATACGTTTAATATTGTGTTTCGTATAAGATGTCTATTTATTCAATTAAGTCCTCATATAGTGTATTGCAGATTTGAAATTATCCAATAAGGTTGATCTTAATCAATCTATTTGATAATTCTTACATTTTATTTTATTTCTATCTAAATTATTTTCTCTCTTCTTTTATTTCATTTAAAATATCTTCATAAAAAGGGTATGGTGTAATCAGCATTGGAGCAAAATCTTTTTAAATATAATTATTTAAAATGTCTTTAACTTTAACTCTTTTTTGCCATTTTCCAGCCTTTTTATTTTTAAAGATTTAATTTTAGATATTCAATTCCTATTATTAAACTTATGCAAAATTTTGTAACATTTGTTTACCAATTACAATATTTGTTTTTTTATATTAATTTTTATTCTATTTTAGATGGTCTATAATTTTTCTAACAGCCATTTTGAATAATGCTCTATGTTTCCATTTCTTTTCTTAATGATGGCCAAAAATAATTCGTAAAAGTTTCTTATGAATCTATTAAAAACTTTCTTTAATCACTTTTGTCTTGAATTTTTTTTCAAGCATATACTTCTTGTAAACAAATTATGTCATAGGATCACCTTCAATAACACTAATTCTTTTTAATTATTTAGCATTTTCTATATAGATTTAACTGATTACTTTTAATTTTTGAAAGATTTTCTTAAAGTAAGAGTTTTCTTCTCAATCCTAATTGTTCAATTTCAAATAACAAGGATTCATCTTCTTATATAAGTTGTAAGAATTATGAAATGGGACACATTATTACTAAAGAATCTTTACAAGCAACTGCGGATTGTTTTCTATTATTATTTTCTAAGATTTCTATTTCACCAAATATATATCCCTCTTATATATTTAATAAAGTGTTTCCTTATTCATCACATAGTCGTACTTCACCAGCAACTAAAAAAAATACTTCTAGACTTGGAGATCCATTGTAATAAATAGTGTCAAATTATTTGTAATTATACATTGAAAAATAAGGCAGTATGGCTGCAGCAAAATTGATGTTGAATGTAAACATATTGACATTTTCAATCAATTATTTTTGACAAAAGGCTATGGCAAAAATCTTTTATTAAGATGGCAATGTTTCTATGATCCTATGATTCTTATTTAAAAATAATATTTACTTTTTATAATTCCAAAAAGGATTATTCTCAATGTTATATTAAAAGTAAGAAAATAACTGATTACTCAATTCTTCTGGAATTATGATTTTCTACATTAAAGTTTCTAAAGCTTCTAAATCTTCTTCAAAACCATCTGTAGAAGTTTATTAATCTAAGATATCTGCTAAATTTCCAATAGTTAATGAATAGAAACCAACACCTATGAATATCCAAATAATAGTCAAATTATACTACATTGAAGTAGTTAAAGGAACATCTCCATATCCAACTACAGTAACTGTTTATATAGCCCAATATAATCCTTAAATATATATAGAGATATCATTATCTTTTGATTCAATTCCTTCATAAAGCAAAACTGAATGAAATAAGCATCCAAACAAACTAACAAAAATAAGCATATTTTTAAAAATCTTTAAAATACTTATGATTTTGCCATCTAATTAAAAGAGTTTTTCAAAATATTGAGATTTTTCTATGGAATTTTGAGATTCCTAATAAATAAATCTTTCATTATAACAAAAATATTTAATAAATCTAAGTAATTTGAGTAAATGTAGTCCCATTAAATCATAATAGGTGAGAGGAAATAATTTATATGGAATAATGCTAACTATATCAAAAATCAGCCACCTTTAAAGGTTGAATAGAAAGATATCAATAAAAGTGTTAATTAAATTATAATTATTATCTATCTAACAAGTTAATTATTTTAAGATTATATCAATTAAATAGAGTCCATCCAATATAAATGTAATAATTGTTAATGAATCCTATAGTAAATGTATATTTTATTACAAATTAATTGAAATCAGATAGACTAATATAGATTGGATATAGCATCAATGTCATAGCTGTTTAAAGCGACATGAATTTTTTCCAAAGATAAAACTGGTCTGGATAAAAGGGTAATTTTTGCCGTTTCTTATGGATCTATTTTTATTAAAACAGGATTTCTTGTTTTTGTTATAATCTAATATATCTAAAAAATGATAGGAGTATTGTTAATTTTCTGACTGCATTCTCAAATTTCTTTTTAATTGGTTTTTCTTAGAAAAAATTAATACCATCGTCTTAATTCGTTTAATCATAACACATAAATAAGCTATGTTTTGGACTTAAGAAATGTCTATTGCTATTTGCACTAAATTATTAATAAGTTTTTACTTTTTTGGAGATTGAATGATAAGAGAAGTTTCTTTAGAAACTTGTTTACTTTATCTTATAGTTTGAAACAGTTTTAGTGAACTACATGATTAAATATATATTATTACTCTAGTTCTGTTTTGTATTCTTTAAGGTCAAGAGGAAGTGAGCTATTTGGATGAACTTATCCAATACTCATTAATATGTTAATTATTCTAATATATACAATTGCTAATTGCTTTTAAGCAGACAATACATATGTTGCACATATTTTTGATAAAGTCATAGAGAACAATTACACAAGATATCCTGAACTATTTGCTGTTCAAAATATTTACGATTCAGTCTCTAAATAAATAACACTAAAAAGTAAAAAGTTTTAGTTTCTATAATTAGATGGTCGAAAAGTGATTTGCTAAATTCCTATACCTTAGATAACTAAGCCATTTTAGATAGATAAATTAACAATAATAAGAAACCTGACAGATGAAGAAGTTAATCATATACTTTTTCCATTAGAAGATTAATGTGTATAACATTATACTAAAGAATTTGTCTATGAATATTGTTTTAAAAAATACATACGTCAATTTGATGATTTTAAAACCATGCTCAATATGCGAAAATAAGTATAAGTTCAATAATAATAATGTAGTATAAAGAAGATTTCAGTCTTGGAATTTCTAAATCATATATCAGAGCAACTGATGAATCTTATGGTATTCATCAACCAGATCATGCTGTTTATATCATAGATACTAATTATCATTAAATAATCAAGTAAGTGGATTAACTTATTATAATTTCTGAATGTACTGCAAAATTGAGAAATTATACTAAAGTATTGTTAAAAAATTATGGATATAAACTAACTGTTAATACAATTTCAGCTACTTTTCATTTTGAAATTGCTCTTGTTATTCATAGTCAATTATTGTTACTCAAATAATGTTCAGATTAAAATATAATTTCTGATTCTTTTGAATTTGAAGCATTTGATGAAGTTCAAGAAAGGTTTCTATCCAATCAATATTATTAATATAAAAATATCATATTTGGGTTAAATCTTAGAGCATAAGAGATGTTTCATCCTTAATAAAGTCTTGGTGTTGTCTTTACTGAACATATTCATATTGTTTAAGTAGAAAAAATTATAGATTTCTGTGCTATTTTAGTTTCTGGAAATGCATTTAGAAAAAAGCCAAAACCTATTTTTTAAATCAAAAACTTAATTTTGATGGATACTAATGCTGTTTATGTAGAAATGAAAAGACCTATTTCTATTATTGAGAATATTCTCTTTTTTGAATGGGTAGACTAAATGGATATTAATGATTATGTAACAATATTTGAAAATACTACTTCTGTTTTTAGTTATGTAGAAACATTCAAAATCATTGGTTATTAAAATGGAATGGCAACTTTAGATAAATAATTAACTAAAGGATTACGATATAATGGTAAAGCCTTTATTAAAAGAAATGGATAATTTAATTATGCAGAAAATACAACTCTTTTTTCAAATAATTCTAATGATGTTCCAGATGAAGAATATTTAGATTTTCATAAGATTGAACATGATCAAATCTAAGTCTATTTATTTAATAATTCTTTATAAGGATTTGATATAAAACAAGAATATTAATAATTCAATGGGATAACATTTCATCTTAGTCCCTTAAAAACAGCTTAAGCTCCTTCATTATTTATTAACATTAAAACTAAAATGTATGAAGAAACACATATTTCTTTCCTTACTATTCCATAAAATACTATTTTTATAAAAAGTAAAAATGGACCTTATAAATAAATCGAACCAAGATTCATGAATTCATCCATCTTGAATTAACAATATTGGATTGTTATTGATACATATAGCGATAAATTATATATTGGAAAAGATTACGAAATTGAATTAGTCAATAAAATGATTGATTTTCAATTAATAAGAATAGCTAATATAACTTCTCCAATTCATTTTGATTTCACTAAAAAATCAAATGAAGTTAAAGTTATGGATATTATGTTATTGCCATTAAAAAATTTTCAAAATTTTTAGAGTAATTTCCTCAATGGTACATTTAATCCTTTGAATTATACTGGATAAGGTTAAGCTTAATATTTTGAAAGTTTTGATTCAGGTAGCTATTGCAAACCAACAAACTCTACGAGAAAGAGTATTGTTCAATTATAATGTTATCCAGGAGATTTAATGAGATTTCTATCAATATTTGAATCAGAAATTTGCTAGTATCAAATTACTATAGGTACATATCTCTTATGTGATAAAAATTAAGATATTGTTGAACCCTCTGAATAACATATTATGTGTATATTAAATTAATGATTGTTATATTGATATTTAAAGAAAATCAGAAATTCCTTTTCAATTTTTTAAGAAATTTAGGAATTAATTTTTAAATCATTATTATTTTTACACAACAATGATTGAAATTCCCAAAGATTATGAAGAATTAAATTCTTAATAAAGACTTGAGATTTTAGAATTTTATGTATAACCTTTTATTATTAATTTAGTTCGAAACTATCATCTCAGAGTATACAGCCTTTAATCACTCTTAATTTATCTATCCTCTCTATTAAACATTTTAAGTTTAATTAAATTAACAGATCAATTCATCATCTAATCAAAATCATGTACTTTTTACATATAATTTAGATTTATGAAGCATTTAAAAATCTTTAGAAAAAAGCCATAGAAGATACTATAATTCAGGAAATGTTAATTGAATATGATGAATGTAATTTATAATTCTATTAATCATAGTTATTCATCCAATCAAAATTCAAACTCTACCTAAATTAATAAAATAAAAATAAAAAAAATCAAAAATAGAGAAAAAAGCAGTTAGTTGTATTTTTGATGAAAAGCCTATAAATCATGAATTTATTATGACTGGTTCTTAAACTTTGATGGTTCATGAAATTAAAGAAAAAGTTCCTAGTATTTCAGAATTAGATGATTAAAAACTTAAAGTGATTAGAGAATTTGATGAAAAGAGCTACATTTCTTAAATTAATTTTGAAAGGAGACCTCAAATTGATTTAAAAACTATTATTGAACAAAGAATGCTATAATCTTAAGACTATTATTTCAATGAAGCTTAATTGGATGATGTAATTATTTATCTTAAATTTAGGCATATTATGTAATTTAGTAAGCCATAATTGAGATTTAAATTGATTAAACATTAGAAGGTTGGTTCTATGATTCATATGGAAATTTTATTAATATGATTCAATAAAAATATGCTACTATGTAACTGAATCTTAATGAATTAGAATCAGATGGTTGGGTTATTGAAAAAAACACTAAATCATTAGTTATCAAATATAAAATTGATTCCAAAAATTCAACAGTAACTCTTTTTATGGATTCAGTCTTTGAAGCTAATATCACTAAATTAATGGCTTTAATTAATGAGATAGATCTCTATTAAAATTATGTTCCTTTTTGTGTTAGATCTTCAATGCCAAAAAGAATAGGGAAATGCTGCAAAATTTGTGATATCTAAGTCTACTTTCCTTTAATATCAGATAGAAAAGCAGTCTTTGTTGGAGAAGGTATTGATCGACTTAACATTAATGGTACTATTGTTTTTTTATGCAAATCTGTTGATAACGATCTTGAGTTCCTTAAATTACACAATATTGATTTATCAAAAGATAAAGGAAAATTTGTAAATCTAATTCTGAATTATTATGTATTCGAATTAACTCCTCTTTCTGATAATAAATGTAGGGTTAGAGCTGTTACTAACTCTGATCCTTAATGCAGATATGTTCCAAAAGCATTAGTTGCTCTTGTGGCGAGAAAAGTATTAAAAAAATATTTAAATTTAGATGGCTAGCACATTATTTGAAAAAATGTAAAAAATAACTAAAGATTTCAACTAAAGTCTATGGTATCCAAAATATATTGAAAATTAAGAGTTTTATGATTGGATAGACACTAAAGTTAAAAATCATTTTTCTAAACAATAAATTTGATTTTATTCTCTTTTTTTATAATTAATTATTATTATTAAAATTTCATATAGATATTCTATAATTTATTAATATTTTTTAGATAAGTTTGTGTTCTAATTAACCTTAAATTATTTAGTTATCTTAAATAGATTATTTCTAATATTATTCTATTACTCTTTAAAGATTGCTATAAATTATATTTCCATTTATTAATTATTTTTGTTTTAAATAATGGATTAAAAGATTGATCATAGGTAAAAATTGTTTAGAATTTCTAATACTGGTCAGAAAGCCCAAACCTTAGTACCTAGATAAATGAGAGAAGATAGTTAAAAACCATTGTAATAACAATAAATGCAAAAAATAATTGTTAATAATGATGATAAATTGAAAAAGGTTATTTTAGATCATTATATTGAATAGGAAAATGAATTACTAAAATCTGAACTTTTGGCATTTAAAGAATAATATAAAGTTTTACAAGAGGAATATAAAAAATTGCAATCTAAATATCATATTCTTTAATAATAGGTGAGGGGACCATCTTAAGAGATGCTGATGGTTCATGAATTATAAAGATAACTTAGATAATAATAATACTATGAATTCATATAGGAAGCAATGATGCCTTAACAATAATTCTAAACAGATGGGATGACTTATGAGGAATTATTAGAATTATAAGAAAAAATAGGACATGTTTCAAAAGGGCTATCAAAAGAGGAAATAAAAAAGATTCCTAAGAGAAAAGTCAATCATAAATAAAAAGATCCGTATTTACTTGTTATTAATACTTTAGATGCACAATATGTTACAATGATATTGAAAAAAATGAAAAGGTTCGAGAATTAAAGTGCAGACATCAATATCATTCAAAATGTATAAAGAAATGGCTTTTTAGTTAAAAGAAATGTCCAATCTGCTAATCAGAAGTATGATTTAAAATAAATTATATCTTATTTGTTATTTAATCTATGTAGTTATTCAATTAATTCAGTTTCTTAATGTATTCTTAACTGAAAATTATAGATATATTAATTCTAAATGTTTTACAACAATTATAAATATTTTTCAATTAAATACATAAAATCAATAATATATTTATATTCATTATTGATAAGATTACTTTTTACCACATAATAATCCAGTACCATTTTTATTTCTTACAGTTGATGATTACTCTATATTTTCTTTTGAAATTAATTTTTGATTTTTTAATTTTTGTTAACTATTTAATTTTAAAACTTAATTATAAATAGACTCACCAGGATGACTACATAATTCTTTTAAAATTCTGTCCTTTAAAGTATCTTCATTTGAAGCATGTTAACTAGGTTATGAAGTATATTATTAAGAATTAATATTTGCTAATATAAATTACCTTTTACCATCGATTTAATCAAAAGAAGGTTATTTAGTTTATTTAGAATTGGATCTTTTATTTTAATTTGAATCAATTTTTTAATATAATTATTGTTAATTATTTCTTGTTTAAGGTTCTTAGTGAAGTGGAGTTAATGATTTTTGATTAGGTAAAGAATCATAATTAGTTTTTGAGTATTCTTTTTAACATTTTTGTTCAAATAAATTATTATTCACTTAAGGATATTAATATTAAGCTTAGATATAATAAAATAGTTATACATCTTTAACTAACATGATTAGTAATGAGTTTAAAGGTTTATGGACCTGTAGATGTTATGTTCTTCTAATGTTTTGGAGTTAATTATTCTTTTTCTTCAAAACTTTTCCTATCTGTGTCTTTACTATTTTTTTACATATACAATTAACTTAAATTGTTTATTAATATTTAGTTAGATTATTCATGAGGTTTTTCAAATTCAGAAGATGTTTTTTATTTTTCATTATGTTAGACAAAATATTTTTCATTCATCTCCAACTATTTGTTTAAACATTTTTATGAATTAATTTATTCTCCTACACTTATATTATGCTTGTAGCTTTCTCTTTCATTAGGAGTTATTAGTTGATTGTTTTTTTGGAGAAATGTTTTTTATTACCAACTCTCTGGAGTATTTGTTCGACTTTCTCTTCTTGAGTTTTGTATTATTGAAGAAGTATTTGTTATAGATTTTTAAATTTATTATTATTATTGATGAATTGTAATAGGAGATTAAGTATGATCTTTTATTGGATTTGAATAAGTGCTCTAATATATATCTTCTCCTTCTAACATCTCAAATACTTTCATATCTACAGGAGAATTGTTTGTATTCTATCTAATTTTTGGACTATTTTCTAATTTTATTTACACAGAGTGACTATCAGAGGTTGATGATTCATCGCTTTTTAATAATAATAGATTATAACACATTTTATTCATATCTGCCAAAATTTAACTTTGCTCAAATTTAATTGGTTTTACTTAAAATTCCTAGCTACATTCTTATAATTATTCCTTTGTTTGAAGAACTCTTTTTTCATAACGGCTCATAATATCTTCAAATGGTTTCATATCCATTTTCTTCACAATATTTTCATGATTTTTTTCAATATCAATCTAAAATTACTTTAATTGTGCATCTATTTGTTTAATTTAAATAGTTTTAGTTTGGATTGAATTTAATAGCAAATAATGATCATTTTAGAATTTCTATAAATAAGTTTGCTTTAATTAATTTGCAGTCTAAATAACAGAATCAAAGAATTATGAACAACTATCTTAATGTTCCTAAAGTTACTTACCTGATATTGCCTCCAAGTTATTAAATTCTAAAGATTTATTTGCACATTATTCTTTTATCTATTACAATAGTTCTTAAAATCGATTTATCCGTTGCTATCTAAGAATTTCATGTTAATTCTCTTATGTCTCCTCAATTTTCAAACCTTTTAATGCTAAGGTTAGTGCACATTTTGAACAAAATTATTTACTTTTATCACATTATACATAATATTTTGCCTTAGTTTATATATAACATTTACTTTTTTATTTGGATGTTTTAAACATTTGTTATTACTTTGTTCTTTCTATTTAAAAATGTTTGAACTCTTTAAAATTCTTTCTTATTCAGTTAATACGAAAGATGTTTCCTCTGAATCAGAAGATGAAATTGATCTATTCATTATCGGTTAAAAATTATTAAAAAATAATAAAAGAAATTCATGAAGCCAACATCTAATGCTTCTCAACAAGCAAATTAATGGGCATTAAAAAAAAAGGAGCAAATGGAAAAAGCTGCTCAGATGAGAGCTGAACGAAAATTAGCTGCTACTGGAGAAATGGCTTTAGGAACTAAAACAAATTATGGTACTTATATCAAGTATCCAAAGATTATGATAAGCCTCCAAGCTAAAATTCTTAAAAATAATATTATTAAGCTGATTTGGGTCATAATAATGCAAGATAATAATAATTTGGTTAGTAGTAATTTTAAATGAATGACATTAATTTTCAAAATGCATAGCATAACAGGCAATCTTCCTTAGGAAAATAATAACCATAACCATCTTATGATAAATATGGATATAATCAAACCTCATAATTTACAAATAATAAACCCCCAAGCTAGGAGGGATCAAGAAAGGTTTAATAAGGTATGTAATCTAAGCCTTAAATGAATTAAGCATAAATGAGCAGATAATAATATGGCAAAATTGAGGATGACTATGATTATTAAAATAAATAATATGGACAACCAAAATAACAATAATAGCAATATAATGCTAAATAACCAACACCTGTTTAAAAACAATAATAATAAAGACCACCATCAGGAACTTATGATTAATCAAATGCATATAACAAGCCTTCCAATTAATCAATAAAACCTCCTGTTCAATAAATTAAGTAATCCACAAATATCAAATAATAAAATAACATTAAAAATAATGTACAATCAACTTATTAACCTCAATATTAATACCATAATCCTATTGATGATATCCCAATTAAAAAAAGTGACAATTAACCTAATCTAAATATTTAAAATCCAGAACCTTTATACGAATGTTCAAAAGGATGTGGAAGAACATTTTCTAAAATTGCATTATAAAAACATGAAAAAATTTGTGTAAAAGTTTTTCAAAAACAAAGAAAACAATTTGATGCTTAGAAGCATAGAATAATTAGTAATGAATAAGTTAATCACATAAGAAACTAAGATAAAATTGAACAAAAATATGAAAAAGCTCTAGGTATTACATTTATTTATTTAAGCCAAAAAGCAAAATTGGAAAAAGTAGTCTGAAGCCTTTAGAGCTGCTATCATTGCTGCAAAAGGTGGACAATTGACTAACGATTAAAAAGTTAATATTTACTTATAATGTAGAAAGCTATGCAAGATGCTAGTAAATCTAATTTAGTTTAATGCAATTATTGTGGGAGAAGCTTTAATTAATAAGCTGCTGAAAGGCATATTCCTTTTTGTGCTTAAAAGGCAAAGATTCCTCCCAAACAACCTTAAAAAAGGAGATGATCATGAATAATTCAATAAATTTATATTAAATATTTGTTAATTATGTAGAAAGATAAGAAATTAGTAAGAATAATACTTTACTTAATCATAATTGTAATTGCAGATAAAGCAAAAAGCATCTAAAGGATTAACCTTCTGAAACTAATCCATCATGCTCGCCTGTAAAATATTAACATCCAAGAAAATTTCTACACTACTATGTCGCTAAAATTGATTAAATAACGCATCCTGAGTTATAAACATCTCTTTATTAACCAACATAATAATAATAATAATAATAATAATAATAATAATAATAATAATAATAATAATAATAATAANATCTAAGCCTTAAATGAATTAAGCATAAATGAGCAGATAATAATATGGCAAAATTGAGGATGACTATGATTATTAAAATAAATAATATGGACAACCAAAATAACAATAATAGCAATATAATGCTAAATAACCAACACCTGTTTAAAAACAATAATAATAAAGACCACCATCAGGAACTTATGATTAATCAAATGCATATAACAAGCCTTCCAATTAATCAATAAAACCTCCTGTTCAATAAATTAAGTAATCCACAAATATCAAATAATAAAATAACATTAAAAATAATGTACAATCAACTTATTAACCTCAATATTAATACCATAATCCTATTGATGATATCCCAATTAAAAAAAGTGACAATTAACCTAATCTAAATATTTAAAATCCAGAACCTTTATACGAATGTTCAAAAGGATGTGGAAGAACATTTTCTAAAATTGCATTATAAAAACATGAAAAAATTTGTGTAAAAGTTTTTCAAAAACAAAGAAAACAATTTGATGCTTAGAAGCATAGAATAATTAGTAATGAATAAGTTAATCACATAAGAAACTAAGATAAAATTGAACAAAAATATGAAAAAGCTCTAGGTATTACATTTATTTATTTAAGCCAAAAAGCAAAATTGGAAAAAGTAGTCTGAAGCCTTTAGAGCTGCTATCATTGCTGCAAAAGGTGGACAATTGACTAACGATTAAAAAGTTAATATTTACTTATAATGTAGAAAGCTATGCAAGATGCTAGTAAATCTAATTTAGTTTAATGCAATTATTGTGGGAGAAGCTTTAATTAATAAGCTGCTGAAAGGCATATTCCTTTTTGTGCTTAAAAGGCAAAGATTCCTCCCAAACAACCTTAAAAAAGGAGATGATCATGAATAATTCAATAAATTTATATTAAATATTTGTTAATTATGTAGAAAGATAAGAAATTAGTAAGAATAATACTTTACTTAATCATAATTGTAATTGCAGATAAAGCAAAAAGCATCTAAAGGATTAACCTTCTGAAACTAATCCATCATGCTCGCCTGTAAAATATTAACATCCAAGAAAATTTCTACACTACTATGTCGCTAAAATTGATTAAATAACGCATCCTGAGTTATAAACATCTCTTTATTAACCAACATAATAATAATAATAATAATAATAATAATAATAATAATAATAATAATAATAATAATAATAATAATAATAATAATAATAATAATAATAATAATAATAATAATAATAAGAATAATAATAATAATAACACCAATTTAATTAACCACGTAATTGGAATATCGCTAAAAATATAAAATAGCAATCAAACTTTGAATTAAATTACAATTCATTAAACATCGTAAGCTCAAACATCTTCCTTTAAGACAGCTTCACTTTATACATTAAAATAATTAAACCCACAATTCATTTGACAATCTATCATTTCAAGCCATCCTACACATACTTTAATTATATAGGAATTTTGAATATCAAGGTGATGGAATCTCTACAGGGGTTAAAACATCTTTTAATCGAGAAACAACTCACACTAACCACCAGATGAAGAATGTTTGCTTATATACACAAATAGAATTATGGAAGTTTATAATATGAATATATAGTCTGCCAGCGCAAAGGTACCAAAGATTCAATGATACAAATTTAAAACTTCACAATTTAGATTAAACAGACAGAACAAAACTCATTATCACTTGTATCGTAAATTAGTAGTAGGAGATAGTTTATTCAGCATTACTAAAAATCTACCTAGCAAAAATTATTTTAAATAACTTCAATTTGTGTACACTTTTATAAGTGTTAATCAATTTGATCCTGTTTTGAAAAACTAGTTAGATAATTTTACAGATTTGTTAATACTTTTTCAATACATATAACAACTTCCTCTGAGATAAATTTATTAGATCTATATTAAACCAATCAATAGAATGCATCACTGTTATAAATTCGATTAAAATTTTCTTTTGCTACCCAAGTTCATCCTCAGTCTTCTCAATAAACATCTTTTGAAACTTAACATAATTTTCATCATCCTTTATCCTATCTTATTCTTGTTTATGTCTCATTTCTAATAGGAAGCATCTATTAGTAAATTCTTCTTCAAGCAATCAACTATTTTCTTTTCAAAGGTTTCCTATATCTAGCAATTATGTCATTCCATCCTAGTACCCATAACGAGAATTTCTTAAAAATTTTTTATGTATTTCTAATCCTCTTTTGGTAAGAATCATCGATTTATTCTTATAACTACTAGCAATCTTCTAATTGCATTAGTAACTATGTATAATTTCGTTTTTTACCACGATTTATTCTATATTATTAAAGTATCAAGCCATGCAAAAGTTTATTTGCTTACACATCTGTAGATTTTATCATAATTAAATACAAATCTAATTTTTTGCAAAGTTTTGTCTTTTTTTGAACATTAATACACAAGATACTTTTTTGATTCATTGTATATAAATCAAAATAAATGAAATGGAAATTCAATATTTTTTTAAGTAATCGAAAAAGGAAGAGAAAGAAGATCTATTTTAGATTCTTGCTTTATCAAAAGATTTTGATAAATAAATATACAGTGTGATAATTGAATTGTTATAAAAACAAAAAATTTCAGACTGTTTAGAATATCTTTCAAATGATGAAAATCAGAAAGAAAATGCATAATATATTTCATAAACAATAGATTTACCACTTATTGATTAGTAAGAAAAATTAAATAGGGCAAAATATAACATGAAGATAATTTTGAATATAATGAAATAAATTAAAGATCATGACTTTAGTAATAATGACTATTTCACAGAAATTTGTTAGGAATTTAGACAAGGTCTGATATAAAAAATAAAAGAATAATAGAAGCTTATCTAATTATTGTTATTTTTGTTCACCTTACAGCTATAGATAATAAATTAATTTAATGTGGATCAAATTTTTTAGGTTTATTAGTTTAATTGAAGGTAGATCTGACTAAGCACTCCTTTGAAAATATAAGAATCAAGAATACTTCGTTAATTGGAGGTAATTTTGCTAGATGTAATTTAAATTGCTCAATATTTGATAATATTGATATTAGCGGACTAAATTTGAATGGAGCATATTTATTAAATTGTTAATGGAAGAATATTAAAGTTTATGAATTAAATAAGCTCGAAAGTCATAGTTAAGATGTTCGATCTGTCTGTATCTCCCCTGATGGTAATACATTAGCATCTGGGAGTCACGATAACTCAATCCCTTTATGGGGATAATAAAAAGACATATTGTATGGTCATTGTAATTCTGTCCAGTCAGTATGCTTCTCTCCGGATGGTACTACTTTAGCATCCAGTAGCAATGATAAGTCTATCATTTTACGGGATGTTAAAACAGGAGAATAAAAAGTAATCTTGAATGGTCATCGTGGTAGTATAATATCTGTATCATTCTCTCCTGATGATACTGCATTAGCACCTGGTAGTGAAGATAACTCTATCCGTTTTTGGGATGTTTCGACAAGAAAAGAAATTGAACCTGCTTTATTTGAAACTAATCCTTTTACAAAAAATGGTATTTATTTTAATTATATTTAGTAACGTGTAATATTATTATTCTTCTTATATCCCAAGAAGCGACATTTTAAGTACAAGGAGCTCTAATAAAAAACGAATCGTTCGAGAATCAACTAGGCATTGATTTGAAAATATTATTTAAGCAAAAAGGAAAGTAACTTTTTTGAAATACGATATCAATATTCATAAAGAAAAATTATAATTATATACCATCATGAACATAAAAATAGTTCATTCATTTAATATAAATGATAATTAAATAATATTGAACTTTTAAATTTCAGATAGAATCTGTTCTATATTTATTCCAGTTTAAATAAACTAAAAATTTTGGATATCCATTTTTATTGGTATCAATTGTCCTTTATTACTGATTATTTAACAAAAAAATCATTCTTAATTAATAATCCACTTAGAATTCTAAATAAGCTTAGACAGTAAATATTGATATATTAACCATCAATCAAAATTATAATCAGAATTTGAGAATAACTTACTGCACTCTCAGATTGTTCATTTCATGTTGGTGGAATTATGATTAATTTATTAGCTTTTTCGTTTTAAGTCTTCTACAAGACTTTTCTAGCAAAAGCTTATAATTTTAATTTTTAGAAAGGAAATGAATGGATTAGAATTAATTATTTCTAGAAATAGGAAAAATATATAGGAAATAATTAGATATTAAAAAGAAATTAAGATCAACAGAGAGTAGTAAAGCGCTATGAAATAATTTAAGATAATCCAAAATTTTGGTGAATTTCGAATAGTACTCCTTAATGAACGTTTTCTAGTATTCCAGTGAAGATTAATTTTGCTCAATCACTATTTTAAGTCTAATTTATAAATGATCCGAATTAAAATTTGAAAAGAAATTGGATGATTAATTTAAATAAATATAAAGAAGCATTAGAGAAGAAAATTATGTAGTGCAGCATGAGAATTAATTAAGTAAGATAATCAAAGATAACATTAATCACTTTATGTATGCATGTTATAGTTAGATTGTGATTTTTACTTAACCTGGTAATTGTTCAATTATTAAATTTTGGTTTTGTGGAAAATATCTAAAATTTTAATTCAAATTTATTATTTATAAATTAAATCTTATATTAAATGATAAAAGTAAAAATAAAATCTGTTTTATAAATGAGAAAATTTTTTAAATTTTAAATATGTATTTTAAAAATTATCGTTAAAGCAAAACTTGGTACAGCAAAATGGAAATGAAAGTTTTGAAGATAATATTATAAGAATTCTAAATAAGAAATAAATCATTCCTTCAATTGTTCCGGTTTATTTCAATCGCAACACATCAAAATTTCTTACCATTCATCATTATAAATTTGAATTCCTCTAATTATTCCCTATACTTCTTATCTGAAAAAGGTGCCGTTTCAATCTATATCAAATAGCGGAAAGCTTGATCTTAAATGAGCTCAGAATAATCTTTTTCAAATAGATGATAAAATAATAAGTTTAGTAAAATCAATTTAACCTGATTCATTATTTGTATCCATTTAGCTCATAATAATTTTATCATAGCTTAGGATTAAATGTAATTGATATTAAATATATCCATTCGTTTAAATTATATCTTCTTCACTTAATAAACTATCCCCGTTGTTATCAAGTTTTAAGGGTTTCCAAATATTTTTTTGCACTTGTTTTTAAACTTGCTCCAAAATTGATAATTATTAAATTGGAGCTTGAAATATAAGGTATCAAAGAAAATGCTGTAAAATAAAATAAATAATGCTTAAAGACCTCATTTGACAATTTTTCATTGCAAACCTACTTCTTTAGGATATATGAAATTTTTTAACTATATCAATAAGTTCAGCTATATTTAATCATTCTGTTATTATATATAAATTTCGTAAAGAATTAAAAAGCTTTGAAATATAAATTTTAGAGTATTCCTAATTAAGGCGCTAGTTGATTTGTGAATAATTTTTGGTTAGGCAGAGTTTGGAATCTCCAATAATTTGATTGTCTTGTTAAAATATATTCTAAGCTAAAATTATTTAATTGAATTTTTGTAATATTCTACTTAGAACAGAAAAATACAATTTCCCATTTAAAAATTACTAAAATTGTGAAACAATATAATTTTTACAGAAAAACTTATTATAATTATTCAATATAGAATAAAAATGAAAAAATCAAGAGAAATGCTTGAATCGATTATTTGAATGATTCATAATTTATAAAAAGAAGACTTTGATATATTCTTTCTCTTGGAGATTGATCTAATAAATATTCTATAATAATGATATTCTAAGTTTTATGGAATAACATGTAATTTATATTTAAAAGAAGTATAGAAAATCATTTTAAATAATTAATAATGCTTCACATTCCAGATGTCGTAATTGGTGTTGAAAGAGCCAATCATTAGCATTTTGATGATATCTATGAAACCTAAAAGCTTGCTAATCCAGTTAAAATTAGCATGATCAAAGTTTAATATAACAAAGATCATGTGACTGGAGTAAAGCTAAAATACAAAGGATTAGATGGAAGATAAATAAAAGGAACTTGTTCAATGAAATTTAAATTGCTTGGAGGTCTACTTTCTGGGACAAAAAAAGAAAAATATTGCATAGCAGATGGTAAAAATTCTAAAAAAATAATTAGATGATTACATCAAGGAAATACATGGATTTGTTGGCACTGAAATAAACTAATTTGGATTTACAACTTACAAAGGAGTAAGCCATAGATGTGGAATTGCAAAAGGAATATCATTTTCTCATCATTTCCCACTTCATACCTTTACTTCAGCTAGAGGGTCTTATGATAAGTTTTTAGATTTCATCGCCTTTAGAGTAGTCCCTCTTACTCCTTAATAGATAATATAATTAGTAATATTTTTTTTTCTATGTAATTTAGGGCTTGAGTTAAAATCAAGGCAATGTGAATGTCGTAATAACACAGACAACTTAACCTCCTCCACCTGCTTAATAATATCCTCCTCCTGGTTAATATCCCCCTGCTTAATAATATCCTCCTCCTGCTTAATATCCCCCTGCTTAATAATATCCTCCTCCTGGTTAATATCCACCTGCTTAATAATATCCTCCTCCTGGTTAATATCCACCTGCTTAATAATATCCTCCTCCTGGTTAATATCCCCCTGCTTAATAATATCCTCCTCCTGCTTAATATCCCCCTGCTTAATAATATCCTCCTCCTGGTTAATATCCACCTGCTTAATAATATCCTCCTCCTGGTTAATATCCACCTGCTTAATAATATCCTCCTCCTGGTTAATATCCCCCTGCTTAATAATATCCTCCTCCTGCTTAATATCCCCCTGCTTAATAATATCCTCCTCCTGGTTAATATCCACCTGCTTAATAATATCCTCCTCCTGGTTAATATCCACCTGCTTAATAATATCCTCCTCCTGGTTAATATCCCCCTGCTTAATAATATCCTCCTCCTGCTTAATATCCCCCTGCTTAATAATATCCTCCTCCTGGTTAATATCCACCTGCTTAATAATATCCTCCTCCTGGTTAATATCCACCTGCTTAATAATATCCTCCTCCTGGTTAATATCCCCCTGCTTAATAATATCCTCCTCCTGCTTAATATCCCCCTGCTTAATAATATCCTCCTCCTGGTTAATATCCACCTGCTTAATAATATCCTCCTCCTGGTTAATATCCACCTGCTTAATAATATCCACCTCCAGGATAATATCCTCCCCCAGGATAATACCCTCCTCCAGGATAATATCCTCCTCCTGGATAATATCCTCCACCAGGATAATATCCACCCTAAGGTTATCCACCACAATAAAATACGACTGTTATTATCGAAAAGCAAGCTCCCCCTCCTCCGTAACCATAAAAGAGTGGAGGTGGTGCTGCAGTTGCTGGAGCACTAGTAGGAGGTGCATTGATTGGAGCTGCTTTAGCAAATAATCATAATCATAACCATCATCATGGTCCAGAAGTTGTGATTGTAAAGAAACATGGTCATCATCATTGATATTAAAAATCTATTCATATTCAATTAAAAATTCTATAATATTAAATAATGTTCAATAGTGAAATTCACATTGGAATAGAAAGATAAAATCATAAGTCCTTTGATGACCTTGATAAAATGAATCTACTTGCCTAACCTATCACTATCTCGATGATTAAAATATAATATACTAAAGATTGTATTTTGAGTTCACTTTTCAAAATTCAAAATAGATAAAAGTAAATTAGCATATCAAAGAAATATTTGGATTTGCTGGCTCTACAATCAATTAATTAGGAATCAGAACTTATAGATAAAAATTACTAAAATTGTGAAACAATATAATTTTTACAGAAAAACTTATTATAATTATTCAATATAGAATAAAAATGAAAAAATCAAGAGAAATGCTTGAATCGATTATTTGAATGATTCATAATTTATAAAAAGAAGACTTTGATATATTCTTTCTCTTGGAGATTGATCTAATAAATATTCTATAATAATGATATTCTAAGTTTTATGGAATAACATGTAATTTATATTTAAAAGAAGTATAGAAAATCATTTTAAATAATTAATAATGCTTCACATTCCAGATGTCGTAATTGGTGTTGAAAGAGCCAATCATTAGCATTTTGATGATATCTATGAAACCTAAAAGCTTGCTAATCCAGTTAAAATTAGCATGATCAAAGTTTAATATAACAAAGATCATGTGACTGGAGTAAAGCTAAAATACAAAGGATTAGATGGAAGATAAATAAAAGGAACTTGTTCAATGAAATTTAAATTGCTTGGAGGTCTACTTTCTGGGACAAAAAAAGAAAAATATTGCATAGCAGATGGTAAAAATTCTAAAAAAATAATTAGATGATTACATCAAGGAAATACATGGATTTGTTGGCACTGAAATAAACTAATTTGGATTTACAACTTACAAAGGAGTAAGCCATAGATGTGGAATTGCAAAAGGAATATCATTTTCTCATCATTTCCCACTTCATACCTTTACTTCAGCTAGAGGGTCTTATGATAAGTTTTTAGATTTCATCGCCTTTAGAGTAGTCCCTCTTACTCCTTAATAGATAATATAATTAGTAATATTTTTTTTTCTATGTAATTTAGGGCTTGAGTTAAAATCAAGGCAATGTGAATGTCGTAATAACACAGACAACTTAACCTCCTCCACCTGCTTAATAATATCCTCCTCCTGGTTAATATCCCCCTGCTTAATAATATCCTCCTCCTGCTTAATATCCCCCTGCTTAATAATATCCTCCTCCTGGTTAATATCCACCTGCTTAATAATATCC